GTTGAGGAGGCAAAGTGGAGAGCAATTAGATGGTCACGCAGTGGCAGGCCATGTGCTTCCACCAGCTGATTGGGGGGACACGGGGAGAGCAGCACGCAACAGGGCACAGAACTGAAGTCCTCAGCACATTGCATGGCAAGGCGAGCAGCAGCAGCGGTTGAGGAGGCGAGGGATGGTGGAGAGCTATTAGATGGTCACGCAGTGGCAGGCCATGTGCTTCCACCAGCTGATGGGGCCGGCATGGGGGCGAGGCACAGGGCGGGGAGGGGGGAGGGAGCAGAGCAACGTGCGGAGGGAGGGGACATGGCAGCGAGAGGGGGAATAGAGGAATTGAAGTGGCGAGGTTGACAAGGGGTTGTGAAGGTGCATGCATCTATCTCATGCATCACCATACCACCCTCTCATCCCCACTCTCACCAGTTAGACGCATCGCTCCAATGCATGCCACACCACCGCACTCCATCCATCACTCCTCCATGCTATGGAGATGCTATCCCTGCTGACAGCTATCAACTGCGCTCGGCACTTGCATCAACACCGCATTTAACGCCCTGTGCTCCTCGTCCCCCTCACTATCCCCCTCACACGTCACCACCATACCACCATTCCCTTACCTGCTGGCAGCTATCAACTGCCGTCTGGACTTCCTTCAGCGCCGCATGCAGCGCCCTGTGCTCCTCGTCCCCCTCACTGTCCCCCTCACTATCCCCCTCCTCCTCCTCCCCCACCTCCACCTTCTCCTCCTCCTTCTGCCTCCTCCTCTTCATTCTCGTTCCTCCAACCCCACCCAACCCCTCCATCCCCTCATCCTCCTCCTCCTCACTCATCTCCTCCTCTCTTTTCTCCTCCTCCGCTCTCCTCCCCTCCAATCCTACCTTTTCCTCCTCTCCCTCCTTTCTCTCTCCCATCTTCTCCTCCTTTTCCTCCCCCCCAATTCTGCCTCTCCTTCTCCCTGTGCGTCCCCACCTCTCTTTCACTCCCTCTTCTCCCTCCTCCTCCTCCTCCTCCTCCTCCTCCTCCTCCTCCTCCTCCTCCTCCTCCTCCTCCTCCTCCTCCTCCTCCTCCTCCTCCTCCTCCTCCTCCTCCCCCTCCGCACCACCACCAGGCACCGTGTCAACTGCCATCATACCGTCCGCCCCCTCTGCTCCTCCCCGCTTTACGTCTCTCCCCTCATTTATACCCTTCACAGATGCGCTTCTCCCTCTTCTCCTGCCGCCAATCGCGGTGGTGGCCGCTGTAGCAGCAGCAACCGACTTTTGAGCCGCCTCAAAAGCTGTAGCAGCAGCTGGAGCATCCTTTCCCTTCCCTCTGCCTCTCACGCTCCCTCTTCCGCTCCCTCTTCCTCTCCCTCTCCCTTCCCCTCCATCCTCAACCGTCTCCCTCACATCCTCGTTACCCCCGTTCCTCCCCTCCAGTTTTCTCTTCCTTCCCTTCTCCCCGCCTTCCCCTCCCCCTCCACTTCCCCCTCTTCTCCCCCAACCCCAGCCTTCCCCCTCTTCTTCTCCTCTTCCTCTGCTTTCCTTGCAGCAGCAGCTGCAGCCCATTTCGCTTTCAGCTTCTTCGTTTCTAGGGACTCGCGCACCAGATAATCCAAATCGTACTTACGACTGAGTGAAAGGGAGTGGGGTGGGCAAGAGAGAAGAATGAAGGGACGGACTGAGAAATAGCAACAGCGTCACTTGTAATGTACAATATTGTAATGGATGAAATTTTAGCTGCTCAATATTGTAATGTACACCGATGTGGAAATGGATGAAGAAGAAGAAGAAAAAGGGGGTGAGTGAGAGGTTCTATCTATTATTAGGTAAAATCTGTGTAAATCCAACCCCCAATGCTGCTAAGCAAATTTGACGCATTCGAATCTAAGAGCTTCGGGGCACCCGGACCTGCGAGCCTTGGGAGCGACGGTGGACCCGTCGCTTGCGACAGAATCGCCGCTTCGCTTGCCTCTCGCGCGACCACGCCCGCGACCTCCCCGAGTCCCACGACCCCCCCCAGCGTCCATGTTTGTTTCTGCGACGCTGTCGTCGCCTCGCCGTCCCCTCGCCGTCGCCTGGTCGCCGTCTGGTCGTGGTCGTCGTCTGGTCGTCGTCTGGTCGTCGTCTGGTCGTCGTCTGGTCGTCGGCTGGTCGTCGCCTGGTGGTTGTATGGTCGCCGACGGGGAGCTCTACGACCGTAAGCTGAATGTTAGTCGCAAAGATTAAAATGCGGCGTTAATCGCCTGTGCTTACGGTCTTGTAACTTACTAGGCTCAGCAGCGGTTTCTGACAAGATTCTCGTTTTGCGCTCGTCAAAACGTGCATCGTTGGAAACATATAAATCGGAATGAAAATAATCAAACATCAGAGTAAGACCACTCTTCGATCCCCGTTTTCAAATTGGTTCCAGTAAGGAATTACAATTCCTTACTGTACTCGCACTTTAGCGAGTACATCCCGAAGGACACGCGACGAACCTGTTCGGCCTAATTCGTCACACCGAACCACTCCCGAGTCGGCTCCGCACCAATCGCAACCATCACCGAGCCATCTTCGCCCTACCTCTTCGCCTAGCTAGGATTTCCCCTATTTAGGCCTCGCTACTTCATTGTTTCGTCATTCTGAAAATTCTCATTCTCGTTATTCGATATCTGCGCACTTTGACAAGTTCATTCATAACAGTTCCCTCCCCGAAAGCCTCAGCGCAATTCGGTCGTCAGAACCGATTTGCCAGTGTCGTCGACGGGGGTCGTCGGAGCCGGGCCTGACGAGGCGGGCGGCTGCCGCGCGTGCGGGCCCGCCAGCCTGGCCCAGGGCTGGGCCGAGCGCACGACCGCCGCCCCGCAGCCCCGCTCCGAACGTGAACAGCGACCCACGTTACCGGGTGGGGTCGGCGAGCTGGCGACGCCTCGCGCGAGGGAAAGTTACCCTCGCGCGAAGGCAGCCCACATGTGCCACCTGCCCGCGAGGTCCTAGTAACCCATCGCGCCCTGCCCGGACGGGCAGGCGAGGGGCGTGCGAAAATTCGGGGCCCCCTCGGGACACTTGACAATTTCGCGACCCGTTGCGGTGCCGCCACGTGTTCGCCCGTGGCTTCGCATCGGGCGCATGCGAAATTTCACACGCTGCGAAATCGAAAACCTCTCGCATCGGGATCCGCTACGAAATCGACACGTGTCGGCCGTAGCGTCGCTCCGCGCGCATGCGAAGTGTGCGTCCCCTCGCCGACCTGGGCCAATGGACGCGAAGTCGACGCCCTGCCAAGGCAGAGACGGGCCACCCGTGCCACTTGCGCATGCGCCCTCCGAGCCCTGCCGAGACAGGCCCCACACCCTTGGGCGATGCTGAACGGGCCTGGGGTGGGGCACCACCTCCTTTTCTTGGTGGAACGTGGCTTCGCTCCTCATTTTCCGCATCTCGTTTCGATTTTCAGACCTTGACAACTCTGCGCCTCCCCTCTCTCCTACCTTAGCCATCCGCGTCCTTTGTTTGTCGATAGATATGGAGCCGAGCCCCGACGCCGATAAGTCGGCGCCGACTTCGGCTGACTTTCCCCTTCGTGTGCGAATGGGTCGCGGTCTCAGCTTCACCTTCGAGTGGAACGACTTCGCCGTCCTTCGCGACCATAGGATAGAGTTCAACGAGAGATGCTTGGGATTAGGCATCAGGTGAGACTCGGGTAGTCGCGGTGGTTGAATAGTGTCGATGGCGGCGCCGACTAACTCTAGCTCCGTTGGAAGTCGCATTGTCACTGTTTGTCATCAGACGTACGTCCGAGTACGCGAGAATAGGCATGGTCCCCGTCCAGGGACGTCGGTCGGCAAAGCAAGCGTCGACCACGTACTGTCTGCGTTTGACGTACGGTAGACGTCGACCTGGTAGCGTTTGCTCACCAGCCATGATATCTTCCCCCATGCTCACTCGTGCCCTCAGGTTCGCTTGGTTTCGCATTGGACGGGACGACCAGCGGTTGTGGGTAATCGGAGTCGGCCCGCTTCGATCGGCCATGAAGGCCGCCAACCATTCTTGCTTTGCTACGGTTTTCGACGCCGACATCGCCGCTATCCCATTGCGATCGACGTGAGCTGGTTCCCCGTTGTCCAGTTGTCATTTTGTGTAGTCGGTCGCATCATCGCCTAATGATGTGGTCGACGCCGTCTTGCATGTGCAGCGGCGGCCCGCTTCCAGGGTCACTCTGCAGCGTCATAGCCATCCTCTACCCAGGAGATCTGCTGAAGGCCGAGGGACAGGTCTGCAGGACCTCGATCCGGCACATCGACCCGCATACCGGGAAACTGAAGCACCGCGACGAGGCCGTCCGCATTCTGAAGTAAGTTGTGAATGGTCGTCGCTTTCTTGCTTGTTAGTCGCCAACAAAGGGTATCACATGCTGACCTCCTTCTTTTTACTACGATGCTCCAGGCTATTCCGCACGGCTGTCCTGTCCGAGCTGGGGCGTCCCGGTAGGAAGTGGGACGGGGCGCCGCCATCACAAGCAGTGGTCGAGGACAGGCTTGCAGACTGCGACGACCCTATCCGCGACGTGAGTTGCACGTTAAGGCCGAGGGACAGGTCTGCTGAAGGCCGAGGGACAGGTCTGCAGGACCTCGATCCGGCACATCGACCCGCATACCGGGAAACTGAAGCACCGCGACGAGGCCGTCCGCGTTCTAAAGTAAGTTGTGAATGGTCGTCGCTTTCTTGCTTGTTAGTCGCCAACAAAGGGTATCACATGCTGACCTCCTTCTTTTTACTACGATGCTCCAGGCTATTCCGCACGGCTGTCCTGTCCGAGCTGGGGCGTCCCGGTAGGAAGTGGGACGGGGCGCCGCCATCACAAGCAGTGGTCGAGGACAGGCTTGCAGACTGCGACGACCCTATCCGCGACGTGAGTTGCACGTTAAAGCTCCGCTCTTAACGTTCTGCGCGTATCTGTATGCACCGCTCATATTGTTCCGCGCTTGCCGGTGTTGTATGCAGAAAGTGCCAGGCACAGTGTCGGACGGGCATGTCGGCACCGGCATGCTTGCCGCGACGTCGTTCGGGTGGGTGGCCAAGCAGATCGACCTGCTGACGGGCGACAAGGCTCGAAGTGCGGTGAGCATCGAGAACATCAAGGCAAAGGGTTTGAAGTCGCTCCGTGATAGCATGGTCGAGTACATCTGCAAACGCGTCGCCGAAAAACGATCTGCGGCGCTGACTTCAGGAGCCGTTGGAACCGCCGACAGTGCGATTGATGACGACGGCGCGGAAAGTCATACGGCGCCCCAGGCAGCAGCTGCCGACCAGCACCAGGTGGACTTGCCGGTGTTCGGAGGAGGCGACGCCGCGGCAGGTGCAGGAGGAGGAGGAGGCGACGCCGCGGCAGGTGCAGGAAGGAAGGTTCAAGATTCGGAGTCGTCGGATTCGGACTCAGAGTCGAAGTCGGAGGGGGAGGAGGAGGACGAGGCGGCGAAAGAGAAGAAGGTCGAGGAGGATCACGAAGAGGAGGAGGAGGAGGAGGACGAGGACGACAACGATGAGGTGGTGGAGGTTGAGGAAGGGAAGGATGAGGCGGAGAACGACGAGGAGGGGGTGGAGGCCGAGGTGCAGTACGAGCTGCAGTACGAAGACGGTACGGTTGTGGCGTTGGGGTCGGCGGATGAAAAGAATGAGGAAGCGGAGGATGGCGATGCGGGTAATGCTACAAGGTCGGCAGAAGATGGGGGGAAGGAGAAGGATGAGGTCGGCGCGGAGGCAACGACGGAACACGACCAGGAGGAGGCGGCATGCGAAGGTGGGAAGGTGTCGGTCGACGCCGGCCAAGGGGCGAACATCACGGGCATGGAGGAAGCAACTGGTCGGCAGGGCCCTGAACAGGTCGACGTCGAAGAACTGCTGCGGGAGAACTTCCTGTTGAGGGCGGAGAACGCTCGGCTGAAGGCGTTGCTCGATGAGGAGCAGGCTCGGCTGGACGGGTTTTTTGTTGGGTTACGTGGACTCGTCGACCACCTTAAAGAGTTGGCCGATCAGATCGACGACACCGACAAGTTTGCGGCGCACCAGCTGCGAAACGCGACGGCGGACATGTCGAAGACCATCACGGGCAACATCACCGGAGCTTCGACGAAGCGTGGAAGACGATGAAGACATTCGCGGAACAGGCGTCGGCGTGGTTGGAGGACTTCGACAATCCGGAGGGTCGTGTGGCATGTGCACGCGCTGAAGCTGTCGACGCCTTGGCCGAGCACGTGAAGGGGGTGGTGGGCGCTGCGAGGCGGGATTTGGAGCTGTACATCACGACGCAACTATCCGCCGCGCAGGTCAACATCGCCACCTCTGTGACCTCCAGGCTCCCCGTGCAGCCGCCGCCACCGCCTCAGCCCACGCCGCCCGCCCTCCCGGAAGAGCTCTTGAAGTCATTCAAGGCCGACATCATGAAGACGGTGACGGAGGCCACCCAGCAGTCGTTCGTTGCTTCCGGGATGAAGATGTTGACCGAGATGATCGGCACTGTGGCGCCTGGTCGACGTGGGTCGTCGCCGTCGGCCAATGACGCAGATCAAGCGCAAAGGAGGGCGGCCGACAAGCAGGGCGAGAAGAGGACGGGCGACGGAGACGAAAAGGAGAGCGTGAAGCGGAGCAAGGGATCGGACGGGAGCCGCGGCACGAAGCCTCCTGCTCAGAGCGTGGTCGAACAGCTAAAGTCGAAGGCGGGGTGGAAGGTGATAAGGACGTCGAACAGCAAGGGAAGCGGTAGCGGGGGGGCAGAGGGTGGCCCTGCCGACGGGGTTGCCGCTTCCTCTGCTCCCCATAGGCCCGCAGTCCCCGCTTAAAGGTCTGCACGGCTCGCTCAGTCAGCCCGTCGCTCTGCGGGTGGTAGCGGGAGGTCCTACGGTGCGCGATGCCAGACTCCTCCAGCAGCTTCTTGAACTCTCCATGGAACTCCGTTCCTTGATCTGTTAGCACCTCCCCGCACGCTCCGAATCGGCATACCACCTGCGCTTTGAAGGCTGCTGCAATGTGTCTTGCGCTCTTGCTCGGTATGGCCCTCACTTCCAACCATTTACTCACATGTTCCACCATGAACACTATGTACAAATTCCCGCTCCTGCTCAGCGGCAACTCTCCCGCGAGGTCTAGGGACCAGCGAAACCCCAGCCCGCAGATGGGCAGTGAGTGCAGCTCTGCTTTGGCCTGCGTCAGATTTGCTTTGCTCCTCTGACATGCCTCACACCCCTCCACCCACTCTTTCACCTGCCTGCGCATCCCTTCCCACCACCAGCCGGTCCTCTCGTGCCCGAAATGTCCCAGCTTGGTGTGTACTTCCTTGATCACTGCTTCACGCTCCTCGGGCGCTGGCACCAGCTTCCAGCCATCCTCCGTCTTGATCTGCAGTTGCTGCTGATACCACCTATAGTGGTGCCCTCGTGCCCTCACCCTTTCGGGCACTGTCTCATCTTCCTCAGTCTCTCCCTTCAACCACGCCATTGCCTTTGCATCCTGCCAGATGTCAGCGGGCCCTTTACTCCCTGTTGCACCAGCCCGCTCCACCTCCCTTGCCAGCAGTATCAAGGTCTGTGCTGGCTCCTGCTCTGTCCTTTCCGCCCTCTGTGCTGCCTGTTCGGTTTCTAGCGGCGGTGGGTTGCAGGAAAGGCCATCAACGTGCTGCAGTGTCTTCCCCGGCCTGTGCCTGATCTTGAAATCGTATTCTTGCAGCTTTACTGCCCACCGCGCGTTCCTCCCTTTCAGGTCTGGCGTCGTCATCAGCCATGTGAGTGGCTGGTGATCCGTGACTAGTGTAAACTCTCTGCCCTGTAGGTACACCCGGAAATGTCCTACCGCCCATACTGCCGCCAGCCCCTCTCCAATGTATGAGCTGTACTGCGCCTCCGCTGGGTTGCAGCTCCTGCTTGCGTAGGCCACCACCTTCTCCACTCCCTCTACTTCTTGGCACAGTATTGCCCCCATCCCCTGGCTGCTCCAGTCGGTGTAGAGGATGAAGGGCTGCTCTGCTGCTGGTAGCCGCAGTACTGTTGCCGTCTTTACAGCTGACATGAGGTCTTGCAGTGCCTCCCTCTGCTTCTCTCCCCACTCCCATGCCTTGTCCTCTCGCAGCATCCCATTCAACACCGTCGCTCTCTTGCTGAAGTTCGGCACAAAGCGTCTATAATAGCTGAGGAAGCCCAAGACTGCACGCAGCCCTGACTTGTCTCTCGGTTCCCTCAGCCTGTCTAGCACCTGCACCTTCGCTTGCTGGATCCCAATCTGCCCCCCTGTGACCTCGTACCCCAGGTATTGCACCGTCTTCTCCCCTCATCTGCACTTGTTAGGGTGACACGTGAGCCCTGCCTCTTCTATAGCCGTTAGTGTCCTTTCCACATCCTCCAGGTGCTGCTGCTCGGTCAAGCTGAAGATCACGATATCGTCGATATAGCACACTGCGTGCTCTATCTCCCGCAACACAGTGTCCATGACTCGCTGGAACACCGCCGAGGCGTTCCTCAGACCAAAGGGCATGTACAGCCACTCGTACAACCCGTCCGGTCCGTGGAAGGCCGTTTTCTTCACATAAACTTCTCTGGTCTTGATTTGATTGAATCCCTGGCGCAGGTCCAGCGTTGTGAAGTACACCCCGTCGGCCAGCTTGTCAAAGAGTTCTTCCGCCATCGGCATTGGGTACCTATCCGGCACTGTGATCTTGTTAAGATCTCTGTAATCCTCGCACATCCTCCGGCTCAGCACCTCGCCTGTCAGATCCTTCCTGGCTGCCACCACGGTCGGGGTAGCGTACTCAGACTCTGACCTCCTAATCAGTCCGGCTTCCAGTAACTCCTTTATTTTCTCCCTGCAGATCGCCTCATCCCCTGGTGGCATCTTCCTCCTGCGGTGGAACACCGGCTCATCACTGCTCAACTTCAGTGCCATCTCCTTGATCTTGCATTTCCCCAACTCCTGCAGGTTGAAAGCGAAGCCCCTCCTATGCTTAACCAACAGTGCCCGCATTGCTGTCTTTCCTCCCTCGCTCACACTCTCACCTATCTTCCACTCGTGCTCTTCTTTCGGCAGGCATGCCCACACCCCCTGTCTGACCGTCGCTACTGTGCTTTCTCCCTCCTTCAATCCCCAATGCAACACTGTCTCCTTCCACATCCGCTGCACCAGCCACTGCATCATGTACCCATCCATGGCGTTCCCCATTGCCCGCCTCCTCTCTTTCTCGCTCACGCCCGGGGCTGCTGTGGCGTTCTCCTTATACCCCATGGCCAGCTCCCTCTCCAAGGCCGTGGGCTCTTCCCACCGTCCCTTCCTATGATCATGCACCAATCCTGGGCCCGGCTGCTCCCCATCCATCCGATATCCTGCTGCCCCCTCATACGACACCAGGGTGGGTAGTGCTTGCCTCTCCTGCCCCACCTGGTTGCACGGATAGTGTCTGCTGTAGCTCTTTTTGCTCACCGGTGTTGGCGTTCTTCCTGGCTCCAGTATATCGCTCACTTTCCTCCCCCCTGCTCTCTGTACCCCTTCTATCTCCTTCTGCAGATCTTCCACTGGCACTACGTTCTGCCAATACATCCTGAGCCGATGGGCGTATGCTCCCATCCGCGCCGCGTCACTGCTCACCCCTTTACCCACCTGCTGGGTCACTCTTTCTTTTACCAGTCTCACTGGTTCTCGCACATCCCCACTCATGTCCAAGTGCTCCAGTAGGTATGCCAATCTGCCCTGCCTAGCCTGCAGCCACTCCATAATCCTGAACAGATCCTCCATTAGCTGCGTCCTTGGGTCTTGCTCACCCTTGCCCTTCCCTGCCCATGATACCCCTTGGCACTCCCACCCAGCCACCAGCAGGTCCACGTGCCCCCAGCTCGCCACTTCAGCTTCCGTGATCGTCCTTATGTCGTTCACTCCTCGGCTCATAGCTGCCCTGACCACTTCTTCCTTCAGCAGTTCTGGAAATTCCTGGTGCAGCTTCCACGCATGATGTTCCGCTATATTTCTCACTTCTGGTGCCTTCTCCACGTAGATCCATTGCTTCACGGCGATTCCGTTCCGCACCACTGCTGCCAGTCCCGCCCCTATTCCCCCGAACAGTTCCACCAGCCGAATGGGTTGTTGCCAATCTGTCTGTTGGCTCGGTTCATCCATGAAGTGCATCCTAGGCTCTCCGCCCCTTCTTGTGCCTGCTGCTTTCTCCCGTGCCCCCTGTTCCGCTGCCCCCTCCTTCTGATCTGCCCTATAAGCCCTTTTTGGCTCTGTCTTGACAAACTGCACAGGCAGCTGCCCTAGCGGCTCGCCCTTCCTCCACCACCTGGTTCGAAACTCCACGGTCTCCTTCCAAAAGCAGATAGTCATGCCCAATGCGAAGATCATCTCTGTGCCCACCAAGACGTCAAAATCCTCCGACTCCGAAATCCCACACCTGATCCTGACCGGCGTTTCATGCTTCTCCCCCTTCAGCAGTGTCAGCTCTATCGGCGTCCTGGTGCAGGGCATCCACTTTGATTCCCCCCCTTCTGCGGTCATCACTAGCATCCCCTTCACTACGTGTCTGTCTGGTGCCCACAGTCCCAGCTTCTCTGCCATCCCCTTTCCGAGTATTACGCTCTGTGCCCCCGTATCTATGATTGCCGTCTTAGCCTTCTCTCCTTCCACTGACAATGCGCCGCCTTGGATCAGCAGCACGGAGGTTTGACACGCCAACCTTTCTTGAGGGTGCGGCGCCGCGGTGCACCTTTCTTCCTTTTCCTCCGGTTTCTGCCCTCTCTCCCGCTCCTTCCTCACCTGTTCCTTCCGGGCGTCCTTTCCTCCGCTGCGCAGCCCCATCTCTTCCCTTCCTCTCCATGCCATATACGCTGGCTGCTCCTCATGCTCCATCTCCTTCTCTTCTCTTCCCGGCCAGACCATGAACGCGGCCTCCTCATCCTGCTCCACATCTTCCTCCTCCTCTTCTTTGGCGTACATCCCCGCCTCTGCTTCCCGTCGTGGTCCCATTGCCTGCAGCTGCGCTTGCAATCTACTGATCTGCTTCTCCAGTTCCTCTGGCGTTTTCTTCGCTGCTCCCTCCCGCTGATAGCACTCCTTTGCTGCATGCCCTCCCTTCCCACAGATTTCACACTTTGGTGCCGTTGGACACTCCCGCCGCCGGTGCCCTGGCTTGCCACAGGAGTTGCAGTTCTTGCAGTCTCTGCGCAAGTGCCCTGGCTGCCCGCACCGGTGGCACGTCCGTGTATCAGGCCTGCTGTCCCCTCTTCCTACTGCCCTATCCTTCTCTTCTGGTATCATGGCTGCGGCCCATGTAGGTCCTCTGCCTCGCTCCGCCGGTCGTTGCCGATATGCTTCGTACTTCCTCTGGGCTAGCTCCATCTTCTCTGCTAGCTCGAACACTTCCTCAAGCGTCGTTTCAGCCCCCATCTCATACACCTTCATCCGCAGCCCGCTTCCCCAAGCGCCCTCCAGGCCGTCCAGGAACTTACTCACGAGCAGGGCCGTATCTGCGCAACTCACGTCCTCCGCCAGGTTAACCAGTCGGTTGTAATAGGTGAGTAGTGACTCGCCCCGCCCCTTCCTGAAGTCCTGGAATTCCCTTATCTTCTCCGCGGTGTGGCCTGGGAACTGCCGCTTCAGTCTCCTCAGGAATGCTTCCGTGGGGTCTTCCCCGTACCTCCCCGCCCTCTCCAGCAGCTCATCCATCTTCATTCTATACAAAGTCTCTGCTTCCCCTTCCAGGGTGTTCGGCAGACTCAGGAAGAAGTCCACTGAGTCCATGCCGCTCCGCTCACACCTGTACCGCACGTTGCCCACTTGCATCAGGTAGTTCTTCAGCGTGGTTCCCATGCGCTGATCTCCTGAGAAGCGCGCTGGCACCTCCACTCTCGTGACCATTGCTGAGCTTCCCTTACCCTCTCCCCATGCTTCACTCGGCCCTCCTGCAGACCTTCCTGACGTTCCTCTCTCTCTCGCCCGCAGCATTCCCTCCCTTGCCTCTCGGGCCCGCTCCAGGCTGTGCATCAGCCTACTGCCTCCCTCTCCGCTGTCGCGTTGGTCTCGTCCTCCCTCCTCGGCATGCCTTCCATGATGCCGCTGATATCGGCCAGGGGAGCGAGATCCCCCACCGCGTCTTTCAACCCTGCTGTGATGCCGTTGCTGCGAACCAAATCCGCCTCCCCGGCTTCCCTCGTACTGCATGTGCCAGTCAGGCGAGCGCGCCTCACTTCCACGCTTCTCTCCATAATAACGCTGCTGCTCAGGCGAGCGGTCGCCGCCTCCTCGTCTCTCCTCACGGGGTTGATAGGGACCAGGTGAGCGCCGACCCCCCCCGCACCTCCAATCGTGATACCTCCGCGAATCCGGTGAGCGCGCTCCGCCCCAGTGCCCACCGTCTCGGTGCTGCCGCGGATCTGGCGAGCGATGGCCGCCTCCACGCTTCTCCTCCCGCATCACCCGTGCATCTGGCGAGCGCATGCCGCCACCACGCTCCCCTTCACGGCTCCGCCGCGATTCTGGCGAGCGTCCGCCACCGCCACGTCCCACATCCCGAGTCAGCTGCGGATCTGGCGAGCGCGCGCCACCGCCACGTCCCCTCACATGATTCAGCCGTGGATCTAGCGATCGCGCACCGCCGCTGCGCCCTCCATCACGATTCAGCCGCTGATCAGTCGAGCGCATGCCGCCGCCGCGCTCTACGTCACCTCGCCGACGCGGATCTGGAGAGCGTCCGCCACTGCCACGCCCCCCGCCGTCATCTTCCTCTCCGCCGCGTGGCAGATTTCGACCGCTCTGTCCGTCCGCCTCCGCCGCGTCTGGCTTCGCCGACACGCCCGCCTGCGCGGGATCATCGTCCTTGACTCCAGCGGGCATTTCGCGCTGCTCGCCTGCGCCTTCCTCCTGGAACTCGTCATCGCCCTTGGTCCCGCCTTCACGATCCGACTCCTGCACCTCATTCGCCGAGTCTATCTCCTCTTCTCCATCCACATCGAGATCGCCTTGGCGACCCGAGAAGAGCTCCTCCAGACCTCGCCCGCGGCCACGATCTTCGCGACGGCGATAGCCTTCTTCCGGCGAGCGGTATGCTCCCGTGTCCTGACGGTACCCATGACCGCCCTCAGCTCCGTGTCGCCCGTCCGTCCGCCATGGGTCACTTCCCATCGTAACAGATCCGGATCCGCCTCTTCCTTCTCGAGCGGATCTTCCCTCCTGCCGATCTGGCGCGAGAGGGACCTGATCCGCGCGAAAGGCCGGCCTCCGCGGAGAGCGCTCAGGTCGCCGCGGCGACCTCTCCAATGAACGCCCGCGCTCACGTGAGCGTTCGCGCCGTGAGCGATCCTCCTCACGGCGTCCGTAATTCTTGCCGTAACGCAGCTCGTACACATCCATGCTTGTACGCGCACCCTTTCTGTTTGTTATGAAAGGAACGAGACTCTCACCTCAAAGGTCCTCCCTAAGTGGTGTGCCACCCGTGTGCAATGCTTGAGGCAACAACAATCCACTATACGAAAGGATAACAAACAGAAAGCATTGTGTGTGTGTGTGAGAGTGAACTTACCTGACCCTGGCTCGAATCGTGCATTTCTCAATGTGCGGCTCGAGCCTGGGTTGGTTTGTTCCCATTGGGTGCATGGATTTCCCCTTGGTGCTCTCCTACCAACTTCGCGTCAATTTCCCAGCCCCCCACCTACCCATCCTCGAATCTGCAAACACAACATAGTTACACCATCACTACACCTCCTTATTACTGGCACCTTATATGCACAACCGTGCATATTCGGTGACAAAGGTTCCAAGCTCTGCCGGATCCCCCTCTTCCAGCACTGGGCGAAACGGGTGGAGAGCGTCGACACCGAGACGATAAAAAAGCGTCGAGTCCCGACCCAAATTCAGCCAGAGGTAAGTCGACGATACTGTCGCCGACGGGCAGTATGTAGTGTTAACCAAACCATCGCGGCCCTAACGTCTTTCTCCTACCGCTGCAGGAAATCTCGGTCCGCATGGACACCGAGTACTACAACATGTCCCTCAAGGCCCAGCTGCAGTCGGAAAGGGAGCGCGCCGCGAACGAGAAGATTGATCTCCAGGAGGAGATCGCGAAGCGCGACGACACCATCGCGACACTCACCGCCGAGGTAGCCCGACTCACCGAGGCACTCAGCTTGTCGGAAGCACGGAGAGTGCCTGAGGCCCCGCCGTCGGCGCCCGTGCAAGCTCCCAGCGAGGGTGGCTCGGCGGATTCGGCCAGCACGGGGGCTGTAGCCAAGAGAGGGGATGACAAACCCCCGCCACCCCCACAGACGGACGAGGAGGCTAGTTACGAGCTCAACGTGGTGCAACCGTGGCGGGAGGCAAAGACAGTGAGGGACGCTTGGCGCCTATGGAACTCCGCCACCGCCAATGACACCCGTGCCTTTGCGACAGGGTCGCCGAGCAAGGATTCGTCGCCCGCCACACCCTCCTCACAGGAAAGGGCGCGACGCAGGGTGGGCTCGACATGAAGGTGCGCCGCATGATGAAGGCCATGGATGCGGTGCGCCAGCTACGCGCGAGCGACGGCGACGCCGACACCGAGGCCGTGGTCGACGCACTGAACAGGATCGCGGCACCGGGCATTGGGACCTTCTGCGACGCCCTCACGGTGCTCAACCCGAAAACGGCACCGATGTTGTCCAAAGAGCCAGGCATGGGAGTCAAGGGGCTGGGCCCCAAGGTGGTCTCGAAGCTTCGCCTCGCCTGTGCGCTTGTGGCGCTCAACCTGAAGCCGAGAGATTGGCTCATCGGTCTGTTTCCAGACACCTGGGAGGAGCAGATGCCGAAGACCAAGGCCGACCTGGCGAAGCCGAACGCACCGGCCAAGTCGACAGCACCGGCCAAGCCGACCGCACCCGTGCAGCGTCCTCCGACCAAGCGCAAGAAGTCAGCATGAAGTCCCTCCTAGGATATGTGTCTGCGTAGTTTGATGCTGTTGATTTTGGCAGACTTAAACAAGCCCCCCTTCCCCCCCCCCCCCCCCCCCCCCCCCCCCCCCCCCCCCCCCCCCCCCCCCCCTTCGAATACTGTTTCTGGTAGTTTGTAAACAACCCACATCAAGATCCTTGCGAACCCTACTTGTCGGTGAATGTTGTCGCTGACGACCAGTACGATAGGTGTCGCAAAACTCGATGTCGATCTTTTGCCGACAAAGCTCACCGCCGAGAACCATGTTTCTATTATGTCACCGGTCCTCGCCGACTAGCATGTGCATATCATGTCGACATATGCGCCGACATGGCTCATCAGGTGATATTCGGTTAGCATGTTTCTATGTGGACACCGATTTGTTCAACCCAAAGTGAAGCGAACAGAACTGTAGCAAAAAAAATACTTGTTACGAAGAAAACATTTATCAAATCTACGCCGAAATCGGCGCCGGCCATACCGACATAGTACACACCCTAGCAACCTAGCACACATCCGTCCGCCGACTACTCATCCGTACTGTCCTTCGCCTGCTTCTCCGCCTTCGCCTTCTTCCTCTTGCTGCCCTTGCCCTGCTTGACCTTCTCACCCTTCCTCCCCTTGTGCTCCAAATCGTACTCCATCTTCGCGTCACACGGCACATCGATGCCCTCCGCTTTGAGATTCGGCCCGGCGACGGGGCACATTCCCCAGAACGCCAAGGTCTCGACCGTCGCTCTTGCGATCATGTCGGCCTCGACTTCCCCAATTCCCGCCTCGAAGGCCCTGGCCACTCCATAGCGCTGCAGCTCTGGCGCGACGTTATGTGCAACCTCCCCCGCGGGAGCCTGCCGACTTTTTGCGTGCATGACCTTCTTGAAGCGCTCGGCCCTCACCTCCCCTGCACCTGCCACCATCGCGGCCGCCTTCCCTTCGCCCACAGCACCGAGCACCGACGCACCCGTCGACATGTAGCACCAGAGGGCGCATGCAGATGCCGCTAACGCCTGGGCCCCCATCTCTGTCTTCTCGTCCGCCTTCCCCTCCGCGCCTTCCATCTCCGCGCTCTCACCCGCCTTCCCCTCCGCGCTCGCATCGACCTTCCCAAACGCCACGCTCGCCGCAACCTTCCCATACGCCGCGCACATCGACACGCGATTTACCATCGCCGACAAGAGAGCGGTTGTCTCCGCCTTGCCTGCCTCCGTGTCTTCGATGATGGGGAACCATATCGCCGGCCAGAGCACGTCATGAAGCGCATCACCTGAGCTCGCGTACCCACGGTACTTGCCGAGTATATCGTCGAACCTGCCGCGCAAAAACATTAAAACAGCACGACGTGGTCGACATCAGCGATCATGACACCGACTTGGTCGACAGAATTCGGCACGTCGGTATCCGACTTACCTTGCTCTGGGATGGCACAAGCCTTTGGCCCACATCACCGTCCACATCCCGGTCGACAGGAACCTGAGCTCCTCCCATACCGCCTTTCATTCATCCAACTGCCCCGGCTTCAAGACGGTGAGCTCCTTCATCAGCACCTTGCTCACGTAGCCGTCGTAGAGCAAGTACGCAATCGCGTGCTCGTAGGCCAGCTCCATCTTCTCGCGCGACTTGCCGATGTACCGATTCTGGCCCTTAATCTTGATCTCGCCCACCCACCCAAGCCCGTCGCCAGACCTGTCTCGGCGGATGCCATGACCCCGGCGTCCATGCTCTTCCTCCTCCTCCCCCTCCTCCTCCTCCTCCTCTTCCGCCTTCGCCTTCCTCTTCGCCAGCTTATGATTGCCGCCCGTCTTGTTCTGATTCCGTGCCGGCTTCTTCCCTTTCTCTTCCGACATCTCATTCCCCGCCGACATCGCCTGCGTGCTCCTCTGAGAGACCGCCTTCCCTTTCCCGTTGTCGTCCTTCCCCTTCCGTCCCACATTTCCCTCGGCGAGAGCAGCCGTTGCAGCCGTCGGCTCCGCCGAACCCCCTCCGTGGGTCCCCGACGGCTCCGCATGTGCCGTGTCCATGATGGCCAGTGCTGGGGCATGCTCGGGGCGTTTTGCTGCTTCAATTTGAGCCAGAACGGCAGTGAGGTTGGCATGCATGTCGGCTCGGCCGCCGGTGGCTAGCGCCGCGCTCACACCCTTCTCCGCCGCAGCATCGACCACAGCTGCACCTGGTGTGGGTGAAGTCGCGTTTACCGACGTCGGCGTCGCGCTTTTGCCGGGTTCCGGCTGAGTCACTTGTGGAGCTCCCGCTTTGCGTGCGCCTAAATGGGCGCGAAGAAACGCAGATTTGGGTTCCGCGGGCGGTGGGGCGGCGACTATAGGAACGGCAGGTGGGGCACCGGTCGATTTGCCGGCAACCTGCGAAGTGACTGAGCGACGTGCTGTTTCGGCAAGGGCGGCGTCGACCACTGGAGGCTGCTGCACGTCCCTGCGTTGTGCATCCATGCGGCGGAGCATCTCCCTGAGCGCCTTACTGCCGGCGGGCACCTTAGCAGGTGACGGACCTTCGGGCTCAGCCGCAGCAGCCGTCGCGTCGCCCTTGTCGGCAGTTGGTCCTGCTGGAGCTGGAGGGGCCGCAATGGCCGGCCCATCGTTGTTGGCGCCTGACTTGCCGGCCGGCGCGGGGGTAGCCGCTGGGGGCTTACGGGGAATCGACTTGGCAGAGGCGGGCGTCGCGTAGCCCTTGTCGGCAGTAGGTGCTGCTAGAGCTGGAGGGGCCGCAATGACCGGCCCATCGTTGTTGGCGCCTGACTTGCCGGCCGGCGCGGGGGTAGCCGCTGGGGGCTTACGGGGAATCGACTTGGCAGAGGCGGCCTTCGCGTTGCCCTTGGCCGCCACCGCGACGGACGGTCCCTTGGTGGTTCCGGCGCCGCCGTCATTCGCCGTCTGAGCAGTAGGGGCCTCCAAGTGGGATGAGGAGTTGGACTGGATAGCAGCAGGATACAGGTTCGGAAAGCACGCAGCCCTGAAGGATCATTCCCCGTACAGCCTACTTTACGGACGAGAGCCCATACTGCCAGTGGGGGCACCACGGGTATTGACAGACACAGTGACGGCAGGCACGATCAAGAACTGGGTAGCCCTGTCCGAGGTGAGAGCACGCTACATGCGCTACATGATGCCAGCAGCACTGGAGAACCTGCACACCGCACAGCTGAGGGATGCCAGGAGATATGAACAGAGACAGCGCAAGGGAGAAGGACGAGCGATAAGGGGCGTCAGCGAAGGGCAGGAGGTGTATCTCAAGAGAGCAAAGCAGGACACCCTGGATGTAGGGCTGGGGACAGTCCGCTGGAAGGTCAAGGAGGTGCGCCCTTCGGGGGTGCTGGTCCTGGAGAATGATACGGGGGCGCAGTTAAAGGAGCATCAATCGAACGCTGCAGTGATCAGAGGAAGCGGGCCTCAGCGTAGTGGTCCTGTGACTCGCGCTCAAGTTGCGCAAGCACGGGCACAGGAGGGGGCAGGGGGTAGCTGAGGCAGCTGAAGGAGTAAGGGAAGATGAACATGAGGACTAAGGCAGAGGATGGAATAATTGTATCTCCGACAGCTGTCACCGAGTATGCACGGTTGTGCATATAAGGTGCCAGTAATAAGGAGGTGTAGTGATGGTGTAACTATGTTGTGTTTGCAGATTCGAGGATGGGTAGGTGGGGGGCTGGGAAATTGACGCGAAGTTGGTAGGAGAGCACCAAGGGGAAATCCATGCACCCAATGGGAACAAACCAACCCAGGCTCGAGCCGCACATTGAGAAATGCACGGTTCGAGCCAGGGTCAGGTAAGTTCATTCTCACACACACACACAATGCTTTCTGTTTGTTATCCTTTCGTATAGTGGATTGTTGTTGCCTCAAGCATTGCACACGGGTGGCACACCACTTAGGGCAGACATTTGAGGTGAGAGTCTCGTTCCTTTCATTTGAGGGTAGCTGAGGCAGCTGAAGGAGTAAGGGAAGATGAACATGACGACTAAGGCAGAGGATGGAATAGCTGTATCTCCGACACCTTGGACGTACGGGTGCCATGGTGTGCGGACCAGCTTCACAGCTAGGTCCTCGGCGACGATGCGGCGCAGCATCTGGAGTGTGCGCCAGAAGTGCACCGCGGCTTTGTCGGCGTCGGACCCCTCGGCAGCCTTCCCTTCCGCCTGCAATTCGTCACGTGTATTAGGTGTTCAGACACGGTCGGCAAGACGACTCGAAGACAGGGCTACGAGGGTTGTCGACTAGCTTACCGTCTTCAGCATGTCGTTGACGCCGGGGAATATGTGCTCGGCGAGGAGTTTCAGGAGCTTGTCGGTGGGTTCCACCCTGCTCCGCCCCAAGAAGTAGTCCTGCTTGTAACCAGAGTACCCGGCCTTCTTCATCACCACCCCCACCGGAATGGCGGTGATGTACGCCCGCGTCATCTTGTCGAGCGCCCAGTGACCCAGCTCCGCGATCTCGGCGCGCGGCGTGCCGTCGATGGCCAGCTCCTGGGCCCCTCCCGCTCGAGCGGCGTGCACGTTCCTCTTGCAGAACACCTTGTTGGTGTCCCACAACTGCCGCGTCCAGCGCTGGTGGCTTGCCGCAGAGAGCTCCCCTTGGTCGGTGTCGTTTTTGGCGAAGAAAAGGTGCTTCTTGTACCAGCTCGCGCGTGTGCTGGTGTCCACCGGCGGAATGAGGCGGACGCCGTGAAACTGGCCGATCTGGTCGAGGACGAAGTGCAACCACAGGCCCGTCTCGCCGACGGCGCACAACTCCGCTTCGAGGTGCCGCGCCGCGTAGCTCTGCTGCAAGCGAGGATCCTTGGACGTCTTCGAGTTCCGCGCAGCGATGACCATGACGACCTACTGGTTCTCCGGGTTCACCGAGGAGGTGCTCGCCAGTAGGTACAAGAAGATGTCGGGGAGCGTGATCTCGCGGATGCTTGCACCGCGCAGGAGGCTGTGGTGGGAGAGAAGCGTGAGCACCTTGATGAGCAGAAACCTCCACAGTGTCTGCGAAGGACCCGTTCCACGCGGGTTCCACGCCTTCGCCGCCCACGTCGGCAGCACCCCCATCATGATTTGCCGAAACTGTTCGGCGGTGTAGGTATCGCCGAGGGTTCCTCGACGCCAATCGGCGCAATTCCTGCCCACAAAGCCAAGGGTAAGGGTCAATCAGGGCGGCGTCGACATCAGAATGTGGACGACATAAATTGAACCTGCACTTACTTGATGTCCCGCTCGTTCTTGGTGCGGATCATGAACCGCACCTCCGACCTAGCCACCGATATCTCCCGCATGATGCTCAGCTCCGTCTCCCGGTAGAGCGTCGCCTCCACTCTCGCCGCCATCTGGCATGCCTTTATGCGCCCGAGGAGCATGTGCACCGTTGTAGAGTGCACAGGCTGGGCTCGCGCGGCGTTGTCCCCCTCCTCGGTGGACTCGGCATCGAGCTTACACTCACGCACCATGTACTTCACGTACGCGCGAAGCCAAGTGATAGTAACCCTTGGGCCGTGCAGCCACACGTACGCCCGGGGGACATCGGCCTCCTGGTCCCGATTCTTCTTCTTGTTGTCCCGGATGTAGTGGCCTATCCCGTCGACGTGCTTAAGCCTGTGCTCCTGGGGAAGTTTGCCGCCTATCTGCCTCAACAACTTCGCCGCCCACCTCTTGTAGTGGTATATCCAGGAGGTGTACTGCCTCAGCGTGCTGTTCTTCTCCAGGGTTTGCAGGTGGCGTAGTGCGTCCATGACGAGCACGTCGATGCACGCATACACCATGTCTTCCTCAACGAAGTCTGCCGCCTTCCACTGTTCGCGCGGCACCGACATGTTCTCCTGGTCCGCGTCCTCGTCCTCTTCGAGCAGTTCATCTATGAATTCACGCTCTCGTCCGAGTCGTTCGTCCAATGTGCGCGGATTAGTGCTACGGGGTGGACACTCGTCGTATTCGTCATCGCTTTCCTCCTCCTCCTCCTCATCCTCCTCCTCCTCGGCATCAACTTGGTTTCCAGAGCCGGCATGTGCCGACGACGTTCCTGGCTGTCCATTTCATGCAGGCTGCTGTTTTTTTTTCTTGTTGAACTCCCCGATCGGCGGTGGGGGAATGTCCTTGGTGAACTCTCCTTCCGGAATCTGCGTTAGCTTGTCAAGATCGTAGAGTAACGGGAGCGTCTCTTCGTCGGTAGATGTAGGATTGTGGTCGGTGGGGGGACTAGCGTCGGGCATGTCGACATCGGCCATGTCGGCCATGATTGCGCTATCGTCGTCCGTGTGCGATGCGGAGGTTGTTAAACCAGAGACGGAACTGTGTTACGGGGGCGAAATAACGGTCTTCTTCGAATTCTCGCTCAATTGCGTCTAGCTCGGCTTCGACCTCAAGACGTTCCAGCTCCGCTTTGATGTCGTCGTCTACTGAGTCGGCGGGGGGTGGGATGGATTGGGGCTGTTGGGCTCTAGGACGACCTCTGGCCATGCGTCGCCGACTTGCTAGGTCGGCGAAGATGTCGATAGTTTGCGGCGATGTTGCCCTGGCACGTCCGATGTCGACGTCGACAAGTATGTCAGAATATTATGCTCTAGCCTGTAGTGGGGTGCTCTGCAGCGAGTACAACCCTTCTAGGGTTTGCTATTTGTATCCCCATTCTTGCTAGTTCATCCTCTTCTTTTGCCTAAACTTCTCGACATGGTATCAGAGCAGGACGATCCAGATGGGTCGATCCTGTGGGTGGGCCCCACCACCTGCTTCCGCTGCTCCTATTACTCTTTGTGTCGCACGCCCCGTGGCGTGCGGCGGTTTTCTCCCCGCCGTGCGCCCCGAGGCGCGCGGCGGTTTCCTACCGTGGGGGACGCCCGCGGCCCCTCGATTCCGTCGCACGCGCCCCCCCCCCCCCCCGATCCCGTCGCCCGCGGCCCTGCGATCCCGTCGCCCGCGGCCCCCCGATCCCGTCGCCCGCGGCCCTCCGATCCCGTCGCCCGCGGCCCCGCGATCCCGTCGCCCGCGGCCCCCCGATCCCGTCGCCCGCGGCCCTCCGATCCCGTCGCCCGCGGCCCCGCGATCCCGTCGCCCGCGGCCCCCCCCCCCCCCCCCCCGATTTCCCGTCGCGCCGCCCTGGGGAGCCGCGCGCGACCCCCCACGGCCCCGATTTCCCGTCGCGCCGCCCTGGGGAGCCGCGCGCGGCCCCTCGCTGCCCCGTGGTGGCGTCCTGGGGGCCGCGCGCCGTCCCCCTCGCCGTCCCCCGCGCTCCTTCCCCCGTTCCGCCCGTTTTTAGGGTTTGGGGGTGAGGACTGTGGGGGTGGCAGCTATGGGGGTGCCGTGTGTGTGCGCCGTCCCCTGCTCCTCCTCCTCCTCCGTCTCCCACTGCTGCAGCTGCCGCTGAGGGGGGTGGATGTGTGGGAGCCGAGGGTTAGGGTTTAAAGGGGGGTGCCGTGGGAGTGGAGCTAGGGGTTCAGCAGGGGGGGTGTGTCGAGGGGTGTGGGACAGTTGGAGGAGGTTGAGCGGAGGTCGCCGTCGTGTCGTCCGCAGCGCCTGTATTCCGGGGGTCGATTAGCCACCGGTAGCTCAGAGAGCCGGTTGCGCCGTCGCCTGTGGGTCCGTTGCTCCTGCCGTGCATATTAGCCGCGGAGCCTGTTACTCCTGTACTCCGGGGCACTCATTCCCGGTAGCCACGTTGTCGCACCAGAGCCGTCTGTTGCCCGTGTGTCTGCAGCTTCAGTCGTCGCCTCCTATCTACTCTCCTCTCGCCAGCCCTCCTCCTCCTCACTTGCCCCCTGTGACTGCCTCTAGCTTTGCTCATAATTGTGAACCTTAAACTATTGCTTCTTGCTTGTGCTCAGAATGTGTGGTGACATCGTGATCCACCCTGAGCTTGTACTGCTTTGTTTCCTCTGCTGATTACACCCCACTTTGGCTATGGGGGTGTGTCAGAATATTATGCTCTAGCCTGTAGTGGGGTGCTCTGTAGCGAGTACAACCCTTCTAGGGTTTGCTATTTGTATCCCCATTCTTGCTAGTTCATCCTCTTCTTTTGCCTAAACTTCTCGACAAAGTACTGACCTCTCGTTTTCCTAAACACCGACCTGATTGTTAGAGACCACGTAGAAGCAACCCGTGCCGACGGGATCGATTAGTCGGCAGCCGACAAGCCTACAATCGCGAAGAAAGACAGGCAGCGGAGAGCAGGAAGGAAAGCAGGATCTGACAAGGGAATGAGCACAAGCGGACGGTCACGAAGGAGTACGGTCCCGAGCGTCTCCGAAGCGGCCGCGCTTCACGCAACCCCCCATGCTGCTGCCGCTATGCATGCGTTCTCCTGCGGCGGCGCAGTGTCCGACGTGTCACGTGCCAAGCATGGCTCCTGGGACGCCGCGCTGCACCCAAGGGGCGTAAGCCTGGGCCATTCCACGAGGGAATGGGCGTGTGTGACGTGGCGTGGGCCCGACATTGGCGCCTCAGAGCGGAAATAACGGCATGCCGACTTCCATCTCCCAGGGGCCCTGGATTACTGCGGACCCGCGTGGCAACCCTACCGCGATCGCCTGGTGATCGGCGCCGACTACCCGTCGGCGCGCTTATTTGTGCGGTTAGGTTCATTGAACGTGGACACTGTTGTGACTGTGCCGCGTGGCTCGGTTGTGGACCGTTGGATGACTTGGTCGACACCGACCAAACTTGACGGTGAGATCTGCGCCGCGTGGATCGAGCGCCGACAATTTTGGCGGGAGCGACGACTTCCCGCGCGTAACACTGAGCCCCGGAGCGACGCCTGGCCGCCCACGTGAGCGACGTGGCAGTCTTGTCAGCAGTGGGGGACCTCCTGGCTCGTCCCTATTGGGCCGCGTGGCAGCAGTCGCGGCTCGACGTGGCGAGCTTTCCTATTTTGTCCGCTGAGATTTCCTTCTCAGGTATCTCCCAGCGGAAACGTAGGTCGTCGGATTGTCGACAATCCCGAGGGCTCCCGTGGCCCCTGGGACGCCAGTTCGCCCCAGTTTGCCGCTCGGAGGTCGTCGGGAGGTCGTCAGTCCCTTGGGGGGCCCTTTGTCCTATCGAAACCGCGAATCTGGGCGGCAGTTTTCGTCCGCTGAGGTATATTATGCCTTCCCGTGCAGCGTCACATTACGATCACTCGGATTAACCTCTCTATAAGAACAATTCCTCCTCTACTCGTTGAAGCAGATTATCCTCATCATAAAAACGCATCTACCTGGCTCAATCAACCCCAACCCTTTACAAGAACACTCCCCGCCTGCGACTTTATCCCCTGAATTCCGGAGTTCGATTGTTTTCTTTTTACCCCCACCAGCTTTTTGTTCTCTAGCAGGCTGGTCCGTCCTATCGCGATTAGTGGTTTGCCAGCTTTCGAGATCTAAAGCTTCTTCTCCGTCAAGAGTGGATTGTTACATTTTCCGTTGCGTTTTGTCTGTGTTCGACCGGTTACCCGACCAGTGCAAACTGCGACGAAATCTGCGACAGATTTAGACGCGCAGTCGCGACAACGCGACAGAATGTCGTCGGAAATGTCGCCGCCCAATAAGAAGCGCACGTCGGAGCGGCAAATCACGAAGGACGATTTCCAGGAAGACGAAAACGAGGAGCCTTCAGGATCAAACCCCTGGGCGGGAGGGTTTCAGAAAGCCTCTAACGAAGTAATGGCGACTCGCCGCATCGTTAAAGCTCGCCGGCCCGCAGGAGGCGCCGGCGCGTCTCCCGCTCCCCCCGCTCCTGCCGCCGCTGCGCCGCCTGAAAAACCGGCTCCGGCGGCTGCTGACGTGGCAGGCGGGTCCGACGTGGCGGAAGCGAAGGAGCAGGCGGAGGAGGAGGGGACGGAGGAGGTGAGTTCTGGCGGCAAGAGCGCGAAGAAGGCGCGATCCGACGGCGCGGAGGAGGAGGAAAAGGCGGCGGCAGAAGGTTCCGCGAAGGAGGGCGACCAGACGGGAGAAAAAACTGCGGATGGGGAGAAGAAAACAGAAGAGGATAAGGCAGCGGCGGAGAAGAAAGGTTCAGGGGAGAGCGACAAGCAGGAGGCGAAAGCGGAGGGCGCGAATGGCGCGGGAGCCGCGGCGGGGGCAGCGGCAAGCCCGTCTGGTTTCGTGGGTTTCGCCAAGGCGGCTCCGGGGTTCAACCCCTTCCTCTCCTCCTCCACCGCCGCCTCTTCCGGCGGAGGTTTCGCCTCCTTCTCCTCTTCCGCCTTCGCGTCCCCCTTTTCCGCCGCTTCCGCCTCATCCGGATCCTCCGCGTTCTCCTTCTCATTCCCCGCCACCACCTCCGCATCTCCCGGCGCCGGTTCCGGCGCCGCAACCGGCGGCGGCGGCTCGTCGATCTTCCCTGCCGTTTCGAGCATTTTCGGGTCCGGGGCGACAGCCAATGGGAGCAGCGCAAGCGGCGCGATCGGCGCGACTCCGGGCCTGGGGATCGGGTTCGGCAGCAGCAGCGGGGGCGGCGGTGGCGCGCCAGCTGTCACGCTGTCGGCTGTCCACGTGGCGACGGGGGAGGAGAAGGAGCGCGCGGTTTTCGCGGCGGATGCTACGCTGTTCGAATTCGGGGAGGGGGGGAAGTGGAAGGAGCGGGGTAAGGGGGAAGTTCGGCTAAACGTGCAGGCGGAAGAGGAGGGGGAGGAGGCGGGGGAGGGGAAGGGGGAGGGGGAGGAAGGGGAGAAGGGGGAGGAGGGGAAGGAGGGGGAGAAGGAAGAAAAGGAGGGTACTGAGAAAACGGAGAAGAAGGGAGGAGAGAAAGAGGATAAGGAGGAAGAGAAGAAAGAGCAGGAGATGGATGATGGGAAAGAGAGAGAGAAGGGAGAGAAGGGAGAGAAGGACACGTCAGCAGAAAAGGCCAAAACCACTGAGAAACGGCCGGCTCGGCTTGTCATGCGAGCAAGGGGTAATTTCCGTCTTCTTTTGAATGCGAATCTTTTCCCGGATATGAAAGTAACCCGGATGGATGGGCGGGGAATTTCGTTTGCTTGTGTGAACAGTACGGGGGAGGAGAAGGAGAAAGAGAAAGAGAAGGAGAAGGAAGGGGGTGGTGCTGCAGCAGCAGTCGGTTTGACTATGCTGGCGCTTCGTTTTAAGGACGTGGCTCATACAGAGGAGCTGCTGTCGCTCATTAACGAGTACAAGGGCGGCAAGGGGAAGGATGCTTCCCAGAAAGGTCCTGATGCTGCAGAGGCGAAGGAGGAGGGGAAGGAGGAGGGGAAGGAGAAGGAGGCAGCACAAGATAAGGAAGGGAAAGTGGATGAGGAGACAGGGAAGAAAGCTGAGGAGGAGAAGAAAGAGGATGGGGATAAGAAGGAGGAGGAGGAGAAGCAAGAGGAGAAGGCGAGTGCGGAATGAGCAGCAAGAGGAGTGGTCTGTGAGGAGGAAACGATGATAAGGGTGAGTAAAAGTCTTTTCCCTCTCAACGTCTGCATATATAAGTTACTTTTTTTTTTTTTTTTTTCGGGCGGGGGGAGGCAGGGGAGGAGGAGGGCGTGTTCTTAAAATGCAATGTTCAAGGCACCACCTCACCATGCACTCCGTACCACGCACTTTCCACCTCACACGCCCTACCACACACTCCCTACCACACACTTCCCACAGTGCAGGTGCTTGTAGCTGGACTCCTCATTTCACTCCTCAATTCACTCATCATTTCGCTCTTCATTTCAATGCAGTCAGCATGTCTTCCCAACTTCTTGTCAAGTCAAGTCACTGCTCTTCACATGCTTGCTGCTCCAAGAGTTTGGAGCGGGGAAGGAAGCAGAGAAGGCATTCCCATCCCATTCGTCCCCACTCGCTTCCGTTCCTCTTCTTCAAGTTCCAAGCCTGCATTTCCTGCGTCGTTCGACGGGGCAGGATGACCTGTCCTGTCCAAATTCTTGCATTCTTTTTCCAGTTCGGCTACCATGGTTGTGTTGTGTTCCAGACAGATAGACCCTACTTATGGTCCCGTGATTGGAAACAGATGTGGATGTTTTTAGGACACTATGGTTGTGTAGATTGTTGGACTAAAGCTCGTGTTTCTTATGTAAAGACATATGCATGTGATGCCTGCCTGCTTCTGTAATGGGTTGGGGAGAATTTGCATTTTGCTGCCATAAGCAGAACCCAGTTGTGGCATTATCAGCTGGTTGGTACCAATAGGGTAGGCCTGCTGAAGAGAGTTGGGTGTGTGTGTGATGTGAGGGTTAAACAACAATGCCAGAAACAGGACCACTCCTGCGGATCATTTCAAGCATGGAACAACATTTTGTTTCACTGCCACTTGCAGAACCCAAGGCTGACGTGGCAGGATGCAACTGGTCTGTTGAACAGAGGCGGGTCTGTGAGTGGGTTGACCAATGCCGCAAACAGGGCCACTCCCGCTACAAATGCTGAGCATATCACTGCAAACAGAAGATGGGGTTGTGATAGAAAAGGGGGTCGTGATAGAAAAGGGGTTTGTGATAGAAAAGGGGTTTGTGATAGAAAAGGGGTTTGTGATAGAAAAGGGGTTTGTGATAGACAAGGGGTTTGTGATAAAAAAGGGGTTTGTGATAGACAAGGGGTTTGTGATAGAAAAGGGGTTTGTGATAGCGGTGGGGTAATTAATTAGTGACAGAGAGTGGGTTGACCAATGCTGCGAACAGGGGGTTGGGTTGTGATAGAAAGGGGGGTTTATCACAACGTAGACAGCTTGTGCAATGAATGTTGCACATATTGCTGCAAACATCAGGAGAAGCTGAACTGCAAACGGGGTTGATAACAACAAGATTAACTCCTGCATCGAATGCTGACACAGTATTGCAAATGGGAGGGGGGAGTTGTGATAACAAGGCGGCGGTACCGTGTCTGTGCGAGTGTGTCACTGCTGCTTGGAAATCCCGCACCCCCATGACGCTCGTAGACTGCCCGCCCTCAGACCTATTAAGGCTCATGATAGCTGTGCTGACTGAATGTATCTGTGCAGGTGTGTCAATGCTGCTTGGAAATCCCGCACCCCCATGACGCTCGTAGACTGCCCGCCCTCAGACCTATTAAGGCTCGTGACACCTGTGCTGACTGAATGTATCTGTGCAGGTGTGTCAATGCTGCTTGGAAATCCCGCACCCTCATGACGCCCATAGACACATGCTGCTGCCCGTCCTCAGAACTAGAAAGGCTCATGATACCTGCGCTGGCTCACCGTATCTGTGCCGGTGTGCCAGGGCTGCTTGGAAATCCGGGACCCCCATGGCATTGCAGAAAGCGTGAGTTGCCACTGACGCCCACAGACTGCCCGCATTGTGCTGGCTTTCCTACGGTACTTTAGGGGTTAAGTGCCCCACGAGACTCACTGTATCCGAGTCACAGCCTCTCCGTGTTGGCTCCCTGCACTCACCGTATCTGTGCCGGTGTGTCAAGGCTGCTTGGAAATCCGGGAACCCCATGGCATTGCAGAAGGCATGAGCTGCCACTGATGCCCACAGGTCTTGTGTTAGGCTAACGTACCAGATTTTAGGGTGTACCTTTGGCTAACCCTAGACTCACCGTATCTGTGCCGGTGTGTCAGGGCTGCTTGAAAATCCGGGACCCCCATGGCATTGCAGAAAGCGTGAGCTGCCACTGACGCCCACAGGCTGCCTGTTCTCAGAATGATGAAGGCAGCGAGGCAGCCAAACACCCACGTGAAGGCCATTTGGAACCCTGAGAGGCGGGGGAAGGTGTGGGGAAGGGGTGCATCGGGAGAGAGAAAGCATGAGCACACAGGCTGACGCCCACAGAAAGCAGACAGTTTTAAAAGGAGCAAGTATGGAGGATGAGTGTTTTGAGACGTCTCAAAACAGGAACCCTGAGAGGCGGGGCGGGGGAAGGGGTGCATAGAGGAGAGAGTGAAAGAATGAGCACACAGGCTGACGCCCACAGAAAGCAGACAGTTTTAAAAGGAGCAAGTATGGAGGATGAGTGTTTTGAGACGTCTCAAAACAGGAACCCTGAGAGGCGGGGCGGGGGAAGGGGTGCATAGAGGAGAGAGTGAAAGAATGAGCACACAGGCTGACGCCCACAGAAAGCAGACAGATTTAGAGGGAGCAAGTATGGAGGATGAGAAAGAGGTCCCACAGTCAGTCGTCTTGCAATGTGATTGAGTAGAACACACTTTGAGTTGCGTAAAACAAGGTTAGAAGAAGTGTGCATGCAAAGCAGATGGACGTGCGGGGAACACACCAACCATGGCAAGAGCTTGGGGAAGGGAGCAGCGATGGTCGTGGGCCATTTTTGAGACGTCTCAAAACTTGCAAATTGAGTTCACGCAAAGTAGACGAACGCATGGGGGACACACCAACCATGGCAAGAGCTTGGGGAAGGGAGCAGCGATGGTAGTGCACTAGGTTCCAGATGTGATGGCCGTGTGCTGCTATGGGGGGGGGAGTAGGGCGGTAAAAAGAGTTGGTAAAGTGGCTTTGTCAAGAATGGAGAGGATCAGGAAGGGAGCAGCGATGGTAGTGCATGATGTGATGGCCGTGTGCTGCCATGGGGGGGAAGAAGGTGGGGGGGGGGAGGGTAGGGAGGGGGTAGGGAGGCTATGTCAACAATGGGAAGGGCATGTGGGGGAAGGGAGCAGCGATGGTAGTGCGCGAGGTTCCATATGTGATGGCATGGGGAGGGTGGAGAAGGGAGGTACGAAGAGTCGGTAAGAAGGCTTTGTCAAGAATGGAGAGGACCGGGAAGGGAATCACTTTTGAGAATTCTCAAAAGTGATTTCCATAGAGCAGCGATGGTAGTGCACTAGGTTCCATATGTTTGAAGAAGTGTTTTGAGACGTCTCAAAGCAGCGATGGTAGTGCACTAGGTTCCATATGTGATGGCCGTGTGCTGCCATGGGGGGGGGGGGGAAAGGGGGTTTGTGGGGGAAGAAAGGAGGGGCATTTTGAAAGCACGGAGCACAACGATGAGTAAGGTGTTGACAACTAAGTGTGACGAGGTTGTTTTTGAGACGTCTCACACCAGATTCGTTTTTTCATTTCAGACAACCTCATCACAGAAAGCAGGATCTGAATCCAGTAGGAGCACAAAGATGAGTAAGGTGTTGACAACTAAGTTGAGCAACAAAAACACGAGCAGAGATGAAATGTGGTGGAAGTGAAGAGAGAACAAAAAAGGTATTTCAAAAGTGCTGGAGAACAGAAAAGAGTAGATGCCGTGTGAAAACAGCACCTAGGCTGAAGAACAGCGGGCAGATGAAAACCGTGGAGGTGACTGAGAAGCCGCCCGCAAGAAGAAGCGGACACAGGGCTGCCCGAAAAACAAACTCCTCGCTGAGAGGAGCCTGTGGGGCGGAAGGCACGGTGAAGGGAAGGCAGAACGTGGGGGAAGTGAGTAAGGGGAGGAAGGAAGATGAAAGGAGAGCGAGAGAGAGAGAGAAGAAATGAGAAGAAGAGTCAGTCGCGCCACAATCCCTCAGAGTCTAATTCCTCCTTGTTCTCGTTCTGCTCCACAATATCTCCTTGATTTGAACATTTTAAGAGTTATTAAAAGTCGTGAAAAGTCTTGCCACCACCACCATCACACATTTGCCCTTCCCATTTCTCACTCATCACATGTATCATTCCCCCTTTCCCCCTTCACATGTCTCCCTCAATTTCCCTTTCCCCCTTCAAATGTCTCCTCCACTGCCACTGTTCTCACCACCACCAGGTTGCGGGCATGGAACAGCAGGTCAGACGGAAGCAGTGGCAGCACCAGCGGTTTATACGCATGCGGAACAGACGCAGCAGCAACACTACCATCAGCACTACCAGCACCACCAGCACCAGCAGCACCAGCAGCAGCGCCATCGGCATTGGCTAGAATGGTGTAATGACGATTCTCACGCCTCGCAGCGGCTAGGGCTTGGAGTGTGTTGAATGCGGAGAGGGTGAGAGGGCCGAGAAAGAGGAGAGCCACAAGGAGGAGAGGAAAGGCGAGGGAGGGGATCTACAGGTTTAGAGGGGGGAGGGGGGGAGGGGGGGGGATGAGGGAGTGGGAGAGAAGGGGGGAAACGGGTGGAGGAGAGAAGGGAAGGCGAGGGAGGAGATGGTTGAGAGGGGGAGAGGAGAGGCATGGGGAAATGGAGGAAGGGAAATGGGGAGGCGAAGTGAGGGAAGGGGAAACGGGGGAGGGGAAATGGGGAAAGAGAAACGGGGGAGGGGACAAGTGGGAGTGGGAGTGTGCTACAGTAACGGCAATCCCGGTTGCTATACAGGGACGGCTTATGAAATTTATATTCAAATCAAATGCGATGAGAAATTCAAGGGGTTGATAACTGACCTTGTAAGCAATAGCAGTCTAAAGATGTAGCTTACCAGGTAGTCAGGTTGCAGAGAAAGAAGACGAGGAACGGAGGGCAGAGGGGCATGGGCGTTGTCCAACTGCATCACGCCACATGGCACACAAAGCAGAAGCAGTGGAGTGTTGACGGAACGGAGTGCAGAGCAAGCACAGGATAGGGAGTGTTTGGTGTAGAACAGTTGGCATGAGAGCGAGGAGGTTTGAGACGAGGATAGGGAGTGTTTGGTGTTAGCACGTGGTTCTAGAAGGAGGTCGGGTCGGCCCTTCATTTCAAAGGGGGTAAATTCGAAGGGATTACCCTGATACGCACTTATACTTCGAGAGCAATGAAATGCGCAGTGCAGAATAAATATCGATGTGGATAGGGAAATCACCATCTGAATTCCGCACACTTGCTGGGACATACCAGGCCGAATTTCGCGACACCCGCGACAATTGCGGCGGACGCCACGCAGGAACCAAGCACGCTCGTTATTCGCTGGCGCACGACACGTGGGTCGTCGCGATTGGCAGGTGGAGCTCCGCGCAAGAGGCGGGGAGCCTCCCATATGTAAAGCGAGAGCACGAAGAGAGAGGAGATAAAAGCGCATAGGAGCACTGAGACGAGCAAATTCATGGCTGGACGAAGGATGAAGAGAGGTTGATCGAAGCACAAGGCCGTCGCATAAATATAGCATGAAAAAGGTCGCCTGCGACTTACAATCTACATAGGATCCTCGATCTACTATGGCGTCATGGCTTCTTGTGCGGAGGCCTGATCTGGTGGGAGTGCATCTCATCAGTGAAACATTCCTGAACAGGGTAACCGCTAAAGGTACTCCCGTGATTGGAACGGCGGTCCGGAAATACTCTCAAAATGGAAACGTATGTTGGAAATATATCGAGGCGTAGCACAGCCGACCTGACGAAGCATGGCGAAAATAATCGTAAGCGAAGTTGGTCAGGAATTTTGGTCGCAGACCTGCATAAGGCTGGCGAAATCCGGAAGTTGCCTGACACGAATTGATATCTCCCCTGACGAAGTCCTTGAGCTTCGTTTATGAATTCTGTTTTCCAGAGTTTGCCCGACACGGTTATATGGAGTTTTCCATATGGAGTTTTCCATATGGAGTCATACCAGTTCACCATCATGTTCACCCTCATTTGGGGGGGGGGGATTTCTATTCAGCATTTACGGTTTCTTTCTCCCACTCCACTTCTCTCCAATCGACCGCAAAAAACTGCAGCCAAATAGGACCAGACTCAAGCTTGGATGCTCGAACTTGCTACCAAGCAGAACTGGCTCACTTCCGCTCCGCGTTTAGTGGTGCATTCCAGTTCAAAGTTAGTGGCCTGAGTTAGAGTCGCGGTTAGACCTGTGAATACTTTGCTCGTTTCTCTCTCGACAATGGCGAACCTCCATAGAGACGTCCTCGCTATGGAGAAAGAGAGGCAAGGAACCTCAAACACACCTTCGAACCGTGCCTTAAAGCAGCAGCTATCCTCTTTAGTAGCTTTCGAGTCGATGTTGAAGCAGCAGCTGACCTCGCTTGCTACCGAGACAGCGGCAGTCGCGGCACACGTGGGGAAGGCAACGCGTTCCGTTGTAAGAAACCCGAGAGTTGAGACGAGGTGCGGGGGCGTGACGTGTCAGGATACACTGTATTGTACCTCAGTTGTTAGTTATGACTGTGAAATATGTGGAGGAAGGCCAACGCCTTTCGACGCAAGAATCCGCGATATTAGGCGCCTCAGCGAGGCTCTGCAAGGAGTGACTCAGAAGCTCTGAAACGTCACAATCGTGTTTCTACAGTCTGGATAACGACTTGTTGACTTTGTTATTCCCGTTGACTTCCCTGGGAGTGCACTGAATTGCGTTGCCTTCCCCTGTGGTACATTGACTGCCGCTGGCTGGCGTTGACTGGCGTTGACTGGCATTGGCCAGCAACTGGACGAGGCATGCAAGGCCATGGAGAGCCGGAGCAACCTGATGACAGCCACTGAGGAGGTACGCTGGAAAGAAGAGGCGCTAGGGAATTCTCAAAAGGGGCTTCTGTGTAACCTGATGGCGACCACTGAGGACGTACGCTGGAAAGGAGGGGCGAGTAGTAGGACTGGTTCTGTCCGCTGTACGTTTTCGTGTGAACTGTGACGTTGTTGTAGCTGGTCTTCCGAGATGATTCTTACAAAACTTCCGACTTCATCCGGGCATCAGTTCCGTTGTTCTCTAGGTTCTCTCCTTGTTTCTCCCGCTTTCCTGTCCCCTCCGTCGCTTCCCCGCCCCCCCTCCTCATCTCTGCAGTCCATTCAGAAGATGCCAGCTGTCCTCAGCTCATTGGAGGCCTATTTGGAAGAATCCATTGCGTGGTGCGTGCTGGAGAGGCGATGGGGGAGGTTGGTTGTGTGAAAGGAATGAGATGGTGAAAAATGGGGCGAGGGGGGAAAAGAGACAGAAGGAGATATCTAGAAACGAGAGAGATTTAAGTCAGAGAGAGGGAGGGGGTGGAGGGGGTGTTTGAAAAACTGTACCACGCGTTTCAGAAATAATTGGCAGGAAAAGGCTGAGAGGGTGGGAGGAGAATGGGGGGAGAATGGGGAGAGAAGAATGGGGGGAGGAGAATGGGGGGAGAAGAATGGGGGGAGGAGAATGGGGGGAGAAGAATGGGGGGAGGAGAATGGGGGAAGAAGAATGGGGGGAGGAGAATGGGGGGAGAAGAATGGGGGGAGGAGAATGGGGGGAGGAGAATGGGGGGAGGAGAATGGGGGGAGGAGAATGGGGGGAGGAGAATGGGGGGAGGAGAATGGGTGGAGGAGAATGGGGGGAGAGAGAAGATGGGCTAGGAAGAGCAGGGAGGTGGGTCTTGCTGGGGTATAATAAGAAGGGGAAGGCCTTTTCTGCTGAGGCTTCCACTTTGTTGTTTCTCATACCTCTGCCTGTTTTATCAACAGCCATTGATTCCTGCAAACACTTGGTGAAATTTCTCATATGGACTCATCCCTTCGTTTCATTTTTTTTTCTCGTTTTCCACCCCTGTTGTATTTGCTCGAAAATGGCACCATGCCGCTCCAATTACCATGCTATCAACCCATTCACTGACTGATCCATGCCATGCATTTCAAGCCATGTCAGAATTCAATCCCTCATGTTCATCCAGGCAATTATCTAACTCATGTCTTTCTCATTGCCGGCCCTTTGCTATCCATGTCTTTACCTTTTTCTACCCCTTGTCAATTTTTATCCATGTCTGACCCTTCTACCCACGTCTTCACCCTGACCATTTTCCACACCGTATCTTCACCCTCACCCTTTTCTACTCAATTTCTTCACCATGCGTCTCTGACAGTGCCTCGGATTTACTACATGTGGCCCCGTTCCCGTTGCAACCGCCTCCTCAACCATCCCATGTGGCACCTGTATCCCATGCTGCCAACATTTCTCAGTCTCTGGAGCAATCTCAACCGACCCACGCATCCCAACCATCCCATGAATCTCATGGTTATGAATCCCAGGCAGCATCCCAGACTCGTCACACCCATTGGCATCAACCAACTCAACTGCTGCAAGCCCCGCATTATCTACATGCTTCATTGCACCAATCACAGCAGCGGCAACATGTAGGGCTTGGGAATCAATCGTTGGAAGCTCTTCAGAACCAAGCACGCTAATCACACGACCCACAACAAGCCAACTGGTTTCCGGTGTATCTATCTACCTACTAAAATCCCTTGTTTCCAGTGCCATGTGGAGTAGATAATATGCATGTACTAACATTTATTTTCCACCATAAATGGCATTATGGTTGCACTGGCAAAAAATCGCAGCAGGAGTAGTGACTTCGAATACAGGAGCAAGTTAAAGTGCGCTCAAAGTTTTCAACAAGACCACGTGCCAAGGACATTCCTTCCACGATGAATGCTTGCGGGTTTTGGGAAGATCCAAAGGAATGGCTTTGAAGGATGTTGCGTAACTAGGACCATTTGCTGTTATTTATCCACAGAAGGAGCGTTTGGGTGGATTATAGCGAAATGTAGCTTCTCTGTTGTGAGTATCGACTCATTCTGTTCAAGAGCTGGAAGAGGAGAACGCAGAAACGAGTCTTACATTTGTGTGATGGCGGGAAAGTTTTTGAAATCTTCCCCGCCTGTTGGCGCATTTGGCGTTTGGAACTGTGACCCCTGCCTTCTGCGACCACTTATTTCGGCGCGATCCCCGTCATTTTGGGCCCCAATAAAGGGATTCTGGTCTCTAGGATTGATCCACGTCGCATATCGTAGGGTCTGGTGTCATTTATTGATTGCGTCGCATCTTCTCGTCCTCGAAAGCCCTGGAAAAGCTCCGAGCCACATGCTCGCGCATATCTGTGGTTGCTGAAAACACCACGCATTTTTTCGCTTTATCTGGACGAGTTGCACCAGCAAATGCAGCACCATTGGTTCAGCAAGAATCCTCGACCGCACACTGTTCCAAACCAGGAACTACATGAGCTCTGGGGAACAAAATATGTTTCTAGAAGGAATAAAGGTACATATTTTGAGCTGTCGAGGTGTTTGAGTACTCACCAAGTTTCTTAATTAACCATGCTCCACCCACGAGTAGTTGCCTGAGACTTGGTTATTTTCTGAAGTTGGAATCCAGACAGTTTTCTTACAACTTAGCACAATTCGTCGCCACTGGGCTCTGATGGCGGATTGCCACCTCTCCATCTGTTAGTTCTTTCTCACGACCATTGCGCACCTTGTGAGTCTTGCAGCTTTATCACGTAAATCTCTCAAAAGTTTCTGTTCATACACTCCTAATATTCTTGATATACAGCCTGTAACATCCCAGCGCAGCGCCGTTGGCATTCTTCTGACAGGTCTGCCATGGTGGCATATGGCTTGCAGCGACAGCCTCAATTCCTCTGACACCTCCTAACAACCACTCGACGGCTTCTGGTTTGGAAAGCAAGAATATCGAGGTTGCATCAGACCCTGAGCCACAGGCGCTACTAGAACCACCAACCCCTGTAGTCATAATTCACTTTCCAACCACATCCCACATCCCGCTTCTTGCATCCCGCCTTCTCACAACCCAACCACATCCCATATCATCCCCCATCATGCATTCTGCATCCCGCATCCGGGGATCATGCCGCTTTCTCCACATCCACATCCCTTCGCGCTATCAAAAACCGCAGCGACGGGCTCATGTACCCTGAAAGCTGGGAAATCGGAAATCCCAAGGATCCGAGGTAGCGTGTTTTCGGCAGCCTCGATGGCGGAAACCCGGAATGCCTGAGGAGAGGAATGCACTGCTTGCCACCTTCTTACCATGACAGTCACATATGACGGCGGCGGAAAAGAATTTGACCGAGTGACCGTAGAGGAGTCATGATCCACCCAGCGTGACCTCCTCCAGTACTATAATATCCGTCGAGATGATTTACGGAGTTACAATTTGATTTCTTCTCTCTCGTGACCCATCCTGATCAGCACTGTCTGCCTTTTCTTCTCTTCATTGTTCTCTTAATTGCCGTCTTTCTTCTGAACGTCTCTCTTCTAGAGCTTTCGCCATCACCAATTCTCCTCGTCTCCATGGCTCCGCCAACTACAATGGATCACACACTACCAATTGGATTCGTCGACAACAACAGACGTGATTCAGCAATTGCCACTAAGCACGATCAGAATTCGACATCAGCCGCGGCAACCGCCGGCGGCGGTTCTCCATTCTGCCGGCAATCGTGCTACACGCCTGCATCTCAACCACAAAGATCGTCGCCTCCTGCCTGTCCCAAAGCCCCGATACCATCGAGCCGCGGCCTCAAGAGACGGATGGAGCCTTCAGAGAATCTCCGCCGACTCTTCAGACCAATCAACTTTGACGGAGTCACGTCTTCGTGAAATTGTGATTTGGCAAGATCGCTGTCAACGCTAAGCCCTCTGGCGAATTCTTGCCTTCAGGATCCTCCCAAGGAGGAACCTGGAGGGGTGATTCCAATCAGGAGCCCCAATTGGGCTCTTCAAGAAAGTGGCTCTTTGGGAAAGTTGATCCAAGGCGCAGAGCAAAAGGCAGATTGTTTGTAGGGACACTTCCAGCCTTTTACTCGCTGGACGATGACCCTACTCTGCCATAGCTCTAGAAACGTAGAATACCATGTACCATGCAGCGCCAAGGTGCGCATTACTTGAATACGATTACCCCGAAATGGGGGGAAAAGATTAGCAACTGCATTTGTGCAACTCAAATTACAGGGATACTGACTGTACACAAGGCGATCTTGATGTCCTATCCAAAGTTGTTAAACACCTTCTTGCACAGGTGATCTCCATATACCACTGGCTCCAGACCTGAAGTCCCCATGGTCTTCACCAGAGCTTCCAAAGGCTCCACTCTTGCATCAAAGTTTGGCTGTGCAAGCAAAGTCACCAGCAGCAGGCAGTCACCAGAGGGAGAAGTGATCAAGGTCAAGAACGATGACCATAAGAAGGGAATCAACAAAGAGTGGTGAACACATGATGGTAGAAATATTGCACGCCTGGTGTCACAGTTCCCAAACATCCTGCACACTCACTTCATAGAAGAATGGCACCGAGACACGAAAGGTGCGGCTTCTGTTGACAACCCGATGTGCAGTTGGCTGGTAAAGCCCATTTGTCCACAACTGCCCAAGCGAAACGGAGGTTGAGCAAAGATGCAACGACGTTGAGGGTGTGTCGGGCATTTTTTTAATAATCTATGGATGTTGCATGTGCTAAGCTGTGTCTGACAAATGAGAATCCTGAGGATCCTAATAACATACTTGCAAAGACATAGTGCATGTTAAGCATGCTGCAACTCCAAGACGGCTGGGTCAATGAGAGCAGCAATTTGGGTTGCCAACAGCAGGACAGATAGCCTTGATCGGCCACTAAATTTGAGACATTTATGCAATCGCCACTACAGAGATCATGCACGAATGACTGAACAAACAGAGGGGAAAAACCTTGGTGCACCTTCCATACCTTGAGCATGTCACCAATATTGACCACAAAGCTTCCTGGAACTGGAGGAGCGTTAACCCATTCACCTGCCTTGTTCTTCACCTGCCCTTTCCAGAACACAAGAAGAAAGAGGATTGGCGAATTAAGGCACGAGCAAAAAGATCATGGGAGAAATGTAGCAAGAAAGTGAACAGACTAGTAAATATCATGACCAACCCAATCTGAACGTCCCAGAACTCCATACCGTGATCAAATCTGTCATGACCAGATCTGTCATGACCTGATCTGTCAGGAGCTGATCTGTCCTGACCTGATCTGTTATCAACTGATATCTGATCTGTCATTACATGATCTGTCATGACCTGATCTGTCATGACCTGATCTGTCATGACCTGATCTGTTTGATCTGTAATGAGCTAATCTGTCATTAACTGGTCTGTCATGATTTGGCCTGGAACGTAAAGCACGCACACCAAGCAACGCCACAACCCGAACAAGTCCCACAGTGATTGTCCCCCTCACCCCTAGCGCATAAGACACCCTTGCAATGAGAATAAGGCCACATGTGTACTTGACACGCTGCGCCTGCAAGGCTGTGCAGCTGTACCCACAAGGCTTTACCTGTAAGGCTGTGATGCCAGGATCCTGATTCACAAAGGTGAGGAGGCCTGCGGCGGAACAGAGTGCAACAAACAGAGAATTCAGAGAGTCAGAGTGGCATTCTCACAGGAAGTTTCCAGTCCAAAACAGAAAGTAAAATCAAGCACATGGCCTTGGAAAGGGATGGGAAACCGTGCTGGGGAAGTGGGGAGGGGAGAGGGCATTAGCACACGGAAAGGGGTGGCGTGGCAAGAAAAGCGGGAAGAGCACTGAGATTTGAGGCGTTTGAAAAGGAGGAAGAACAAAGAGGGAAAAGAATTGCGTCTGCTCCCTGAAACGTTTCAGAAGGGAAAACGATGCTTGCATACCGTAATCCGTGTGTTCTCCACTGGACCGACCACAATCGTCATATTTGTCCCATTGGTCCCATTTATTCATCAGTCAAAATGCATGACAGCAAGTTGGGTGAGAGGAAGAAGGATCAAGGGGGAAAGCGGGAAGCAAAGAGAGAAGCGGGAAGTCAGACACGGTACAGTGCAACCTTGAAAATCGGGGATATTAGAGTCAAACGCACAGAAAGTTAAGAACTAACATTGAAACAGCTAGAGAACACCCAACAGCATGAGAACACCCAACAGCATGAGAACACCCAACAGCATGAGAACACCCAACAGCATGAGAACACCCAACAGCAAGAGAACACCCAGCATCTTCTCTTGTGATGTCACCCCCCAAACCCCCTCCTCCCAAAAAGGAAAAAAACGTTGAGATGCACACACTCACCAGCTGAGCGATTCTGTGTCGTGGGCAGCGAGAGGGGGATAGCCAATGACCCGGATGACCCAGAAGGGGTCATCCGCCCTGCCGTGCTCAAAGGTGTCGAGTGGGAGGTGCAGCCCCATGGCCATGCCCCGTAGCACCGTGCGCCCCAGAGCTAGAAGGAGGGGAAGGGAAAAAGGGAATGAGATAGGACAGGGCATGAAGAAGAATTCATGAATGCTGAGGGGATGGAGTGGGAGGTGCAGCCCCATGGCCATGCCCCGTAGCACGGTGCGCCCCAGAACTTGAAGGAGGGGAAGAAGAGAAGAAAGGGCAGCAGAGGGTAGAGCAGGGACCATTGACGCTGAGGGAATCGAGTGGGAGGTGCAGCCCCATAGCCATGCCTCGTAGCACCGTGCGACCCAGAGCTGGGATAGAAAAAAGGGGAGGGAAGAGCAGGAAAGGGGGACCACGGTTCTCATGTTCCAACTTTTGACGTCCATCACACATTCCAACCTTTCATTTTCGTCATAAAGTCGTACATTTCATATTCACCACATATTCCTACCATTGTTGTCACACACTCCCTTGGTTTCATGTTCTTCACACATTCGTACCTTTCATCTTAGTCACATATTCCTCCACAACCAGCCTGAAGCGTTCTGGTTGACTGGGCCTGCATCACAATGAGAGGCAAGGCCTTTACAAGAGATTGGTAATGGAACCGACTGTGATAAACAAGAGCAAGCGCATGGCAAAATGACCAGAGCAACAAGTAGCAAGCAAGAGCTTATCCCTGTAGCGAAATCCAATCTATTACATCTTGGCAAACACAACACTTTGCAAGGGCGCTACAAAAACCAAAAATGAGAAGACAGACAGGGATCGTTGTCAGGGAGGGATGAGTGACATAATGGCAGGGACTAAGTGGCAGGTGCTTGCCCCACCATGGGTTGGGGCCGTGAAGCGGCTTCCCGGAAAGCACAAGGGGATGATCCGCTGGGTGCTCCCTGTACAGCTGGTGAGGAGGCAGGAATAAATGGAGGGAGAGAGGGAGGGAGAAGGGCAGAGAGGGATGTAAAAGGGAGGCGTGCACGGAGCTGACACTGACACATCCATAATTCCATCACACCAAGGGCTCTGGTCACTGGCTCAGCTCACACCAAGGGCTCTGGTCACTGGCTCAGCTCACATCAAGGGCTCTGGTCACTGGCTCAGCTCACATCAAGGGCTCTGGTCACTGGCTCAGCTCACATCAAGGGCTCTGGTCACTGGCTCAGCTCACATCAAGGGCTCTGGTCACTGGCTCAGCTCACATCAAGGGCTCTGGTCACTGGCTCAGCTCACATCAAGGGCTCTGGTCACTGGCTCAGCTCACACCAAGGGCTCTGGTCACTGGCTCAGCTCACACCAAGGGCACTGGTCACTGGCTCAGCTCACATCAAGGGCTCTGGTCACTGGCTCAGCTCACATCAAGGGCTCTGGTCACTGGCTCAGCTCACATCAAGGGCTCTGGTCACTGGCTCAGCTCACATCAAGGGCTCTGGTCACTGGCTCAGCTCACACCAAGGGCTCTGGTCACTGGCTCAGCTCACATCAAGGGCTCTGGTCACTGGCTCAGCTCACATCAACGGCTCTGGTCACTGGCTCAGCTCACACCAAGGGCTCTGGTCACTGGCTCAGCTCACACAAAGGGCTCTGGTCACTGGCTCAGCTCACACAAAGGGCTCTGGTCACTGGCTCAGCTCACATCAAGGGCTCTGGTCACTGGCTCAGCTCACATCAAGGGCTCTGGTCACTGGCTTAGCTCACATCAATGGCTTCATGCATGTCGCGCCGGCCCTGAGTGATGTTCTCTCCAAGCCTCTGATATCCCCTGCACACAGCAAAAGAGAGAGTAGGAACTGGGATAAGAGGCCTCCCTAGAAACCTCTGGATGATGCATGTTGCGCGTTGGTTGTTTTGAAGCCACAAATTCAACCCTAACCCAAAAATAGAACAAAACAAGGAGGCAAACAAGCGGCGGGGCTTGAGTTGGTCATTGCAAGCGGGTGGGACATATCACTTTCCATCCCCAGCACACCAGATGAACCCCCTCACACGCGCACCCTCCCTACCCCCTCACGTGCATTCACTCCCTACCCTCCTCCCAAGCCCAACCGCCCTACCTGAAAATCGGAGACTTTGACAGGGCAATCTCGTTCTTATTTTCATCAGCAAGCGCAAAAAACTCTCTCCCCACTTCTCGAGCGTCGTCCACCAGCTGCTGGGACACACCATGGCCAGTCTGGAATGTGGCACACGGAAACAGTAGCCATAATACACAAGGCAGGGCAGAACTGGCAATGCACGTCTATTCCAGCCTTTCATGCTGGGACCAAACAACGACCTTTCATACATTTAACTGTCGTTTCAAAAGAAACCGCAGCAGAGGCTACTGGTTGTTAAGTTTATTATTTATTATTATTATTATTATTATTATTATTATTATTATTATTATTATTATTATTATTATTATTATTATTATTATTATTATTATTATTATTATTATTATTATTATTATTATTTGGTGCCTGCAAAGACACCGTTATGGAAAATAACAGAAGCGAACTTACGAGGTAGAAAAAGCCGACTTCCTGGCAAGCTGCATGGATCTCCGAGGCAACCCGCTTGACGTCACTGGGGTATGACGCCTCTGATAAAGCTTCTGATGAACTTGTTGGTAGTATAGCTGGGTAATGGCTCGTGTCGGAACAGAACTCAACGAGAGGAGAGATGTCTGTGGGAAAAAACAAGGCATACAGAACAGTACAAAAGGAGGCGAGTTATTTATGAGCCAACCCGCCTGATGTCGCTGGCGCACGACGCTCTAATGAAGCTTCTGGTGACGCCTGACGTCACTGCATGGAGCGTGAACAAGAAGACGTACCGATCTTCGGGAGCTCCTGAAACGTGCGGACTAAGAATTCCTTATTCGCGACGACGTGCAGCACTGTGAGTTTTTTTCGGTAAGTAAAGATTATCGTGGAAGGGTATGTTTTCCGTCGAATCGCAGCAGCGCCATGGGTGAGAGATCCGCTCCAGGCTGATATTTTTGGGCATAAGGATGAGACGCAACAGGTCGCCGACATTCTAGAACTATTTACACGAGGTGGTAAAAAATGCTGAAAAAGAAAGGTGATAAAACACCCGTAATAAAAACCTACAATGCTACAGGCGACGACCGAGGCAAGCAGGTTTGTGCTGGTTCTGAGCGCGCGGATTTATTGGAATCGCTGCTTGGCCTTCAGAGTACAAAGAAACAGGAAATGACCTGAAATATGGAATGCAAGGGTGTCAGTGGATGGATGAATTGTTGGTGGATTCTGCGTGAAGTTGCAATAGCCAAGCTTCACCAGTTCACGAAGCTGAGAAAGTTCATTCGCTCTCCAATGTAAGCATGCTGCGAGATGGTTAGAACGGTCATACGAACCTCGGAACGGCGGTAACAACATTTACCTTGGAAAGCGAACTGAACATAGCTTCTCCATCGACATTCCTTCTTGTCCCACCCTGGGTCTGTCTGTGCTGTCTGTTGTGTCAGATTTTCCCGCGCTGGGGAAATGTTCTGTCTGGCGCTGAAACTGTAGGGTGTTACCTGTGCGGGCAGTCCATTACCATAAGTACATTCTTTCTCAACACCTACGAACCGTTTTGATCTTTCAATTTGACCATTTAAAACGCGAAGTACCTCATTCTAAACGGAACTAATACGGTATGTTCAAGACAACTAACTCATCAGAGACACGCTTTGAACAAATCAACAACTGCTCACTGCTTTCCCTGTTGTCCTCGTTTTTTACGCACAGCCTCAGCGCATTCCCTGCTGCTCTGCTCTGCCAAAATGAATCGCATAAACCAGTCCAGCTCGGGTCAGATTACCATATTCAGATCCAGTGTGAAATGTAGGTAATCTGAAGTCACTCGCGCTGCCTGTGAGGCACACATGCTGCTCGTAGCTCGTGGCTCGTATGCAACTAATACACGATGATCGCCGTGTTTTCGGACAAACATTCAGATTCTAAATCGGTGTCCGCACCGAGAAGTCCCCTGCGTCTTGGTCAAACCGCATTTCCGAACCTATACAAGCTTCCGTCACGAGCGCGCCGAGGGCTATTCGTCATAATCACTATCCTCTCTACACTCGCTATCCTCACAGCCACCGTTATAATCACCCACAGAAGCCTGGGAGGCGTCTTTACAACTGGCACCAACCCCAGCAAAGCCGTGCGCTGGATCACGCGATATACGCAGAATCTGACGGCTCAGATCGCCTCACACCGGGGAATAAACACGCCTCTTGCAACTTCGCCAGAAGGTCGAGTAGTTTGTTGGTGGTCCGGCGCACATGGCGGCTACTCAGGGCTGGAAGGTTTCACAGCGGAGTTAACAGAGCAGAATAGGAGGAAGGGTGGTGTGATAGTATCGGGGACTGACTGTGCGCGTTGCACGGTAGGCGAGCTCTGCGCGTTTGACATCGATATAAGGACACCAGCGGGATGGGATGTGACCCCGCCGCCCGATATACTCGACGTGGCGCGCGGCGCGACGGCCAATCTCAAGCTCAACGTGGATCGAACCAGCAATAACGCGAACTCCAGCGGAAATCGCGGCAGGAATCACGCCGCGAATGGCGGCGGAGGGCACGAAGGGGACGGCGGATGGAGCGGAAGCGGAAGGGCGATGGGAGTGGGTGACTTTAGAGAGTCTCTTGTAGTGCGTCTGGTGGGCCCAGCGTTAGCGGCAGCGGATGTGACTAAAGAGGGGGGTGACACAAGAAAATGGAGAGTCTCGTACCGCGTCTGAGATGCAGGGAATTACAGCGTGCTCCTTCTATCAGAATGTGGGAATTTGGACTTCACCCCCAACGGCACTGAACGCGCTCGAGGCACGGTGGCTGAATGGAACCTCACTGTGCTCCCAAGCGCTGTTCCTGCTCCTCCATCCTCCGCCATAATCACATCCTCTGATTCAATCACATTCAACAGTTCAGTCGGATCTGCATTGCCAGGCACTGACTCTACCGCGTACACCACTACCGAATCGTCAGACGGAACTGATTATAACGAGTACCAAGACACCCCATGCGACCACTCAGCATATGGTCGGTGGCTCTTCGACCCGCTAAAGGGCATGTACACGTGGCAGCTGTACCCCTGCGCGAAACCCCTCCCGCCGCCCTCTGATTGGCTCAGCGCGCTTCAGTCTCGGGGCATTTACGAGATCAACTTCGTGGGGGATTCACATCAACGGTTCCTGTTCAACCACCTCTTTTTCCTGCTCACAGGGGAAGCACACGTTTCCCAGTCGAAGGTTCATCATGATATGAAGCATGTGATCATGCCCTCCCCCACTCCCTCTCCACCTTCTGCTCCTGCTCCTGCTCCTGCTCTTGAGCCTGACGCTCCTGCTGCTGCCGGCTCTGCGCCCGCTGGTGATGGGGCGTCATTCGGAAATAGCAGTCAGGCTGAAGAGCAGCGGCCGTTGAAGCTCAACTTCTACTGGATTGCCGGGATGTACAACATCGGGCAATACGGATGCAAGTAAGTGTGCTGCATGATTGTCTGAGTCAACTCAAAAAAACTTGTAGTGACTTGCTGGGATGTACAACATCGGGCAACACGGATGCAAGTTAATGCATGTAGCACTGCAGGACTGTTTGAGTCAACTTAACAATTTGTACTGGATTGCCAGGATCTACAGTACCGGGCGATACAGCTGCAAGTAGCTGTGCTGCATTATTGTCTGAGTCAACTCGAAAAAGCTTGTATTGGATTACGGGGGCCATCCATTCCCCACCATCTCACCAGCAGCAGACGTTAATATAATCAATAGCGGCACATGGATCCAGGGGTTCAATGGCGCCCCAGAAGATGCTCTCATGTTCTCATGCGTCTGTCTGTTTTGTGCGTCCATTTGTGCGTGTGTGTGCATGTCCATGCATGCAAGAAGACGTGACTATCATCAACGGTGGCACATGGATCCACGGGTTCATTGGCGCCCTGGAATATGCTCTCATGTTCTCATGCGTCTATCTGTTTTGTGCGTCCATGTGTGTGCCTGTGTGTGCTTTGGGTGCCCATGCATCTCCATGTGTGCAGAAAGAAGTTTCCGAATCAGGGCGGCCCATTCCCCACCATCACATCAGCAGCAGACGTCACCATAATCAATGGAGGCACGTGGATCCATGGCTTCTGTGATGCTCCAGAAGATGCTTTCGGGTTCTTTCTCCCTAGGTTCCTGCGTTGGGCTTATTTGCAAATGCAGGCAGCTCGAAAGTGGCATGCAGCGAGAGAGCGGCTTCTCAAATTATTCAAGGAGAAACAGCAGCAGCAGCAGCAGCAGCAGCAGCAGCAACAGCAGCGGAGGCTACAGCAGGAGCAGGAGCAGGAGGCGGCGGCAGGCAGCATCACCAGCAAAAATATTATTTCATCACCTGAAAGCAGTTACAAGAGCTCCAGAGGGCCGTTGGTGCTGTACCGGACTATCCCTCCGGTACCACGGAACGGTTTTTGCCGTTATGGGTCAAACAGTATCGTATCTCGTTTGAATAACGTGGCAATTGCACATCTGGCACGATATAGAATTGGGCTTTTAGATGGGAGGAATGTAGAGGTGCCAAAGATGGAAGACTACTGTAGCGCTCGCGATAACCACTACAGCTGTTTCAGACACCGCCCGAAGTTTGGGAAAGGAAAGGGAATTTATGAAGGTGATGTAGGCGAGGCTATGGTGTACATGACGATGTATAATTTGCTGAATCTGTTAGAATGATTCTCTACTTTCTTTTAACAGGGAGGGACTCGTTTTCCTCCCATTACAGTGCTTTTGCTTATTTCTTTGCATTATGCACCTTTTTCTCTACTCAAATTTGAATGTTGTTATAATTCAGAAACTTTGGTCATTGATTGTGGTTACCGATGTCTTCTGAACCGCGCATGAGTTTCTGTTTACAGTGATGATTTCGCGCCAAGCCGCGTCAGTTTGGGTGATGCCCGTCAGCATCACCTTCCTGGGCTGTCCCATCCCAACTTTGAACTTGGGACAGCCAAAAAGTGCACGTGGCACGTGCAAAAGATTAGCATGTGTGTGGACGTCGCAGTTGGTTTGAGCCCCCCACCGTGCGAAGACCCCGCACGATCTGACGGTTTGGCCTGGCCGGCGGGAAAGGCTCTGCGGTCGCAGATTGTAGATGTAGTCGTGCAGTCTCTGTTGATTGGACGCTTGAATGCGAGACGGCAAAACGGTCGCACACACTAGAGGATGTTGAGCACGTGAAAGCATCTTTTGTGCTGCCACGTTGGAACCACTGCGGTGCCTCTCTTGCTGAGCTCCCACGATTTCCTGCAAAGCGCAGATTTTCGTCAGTCTGTTCGTGAATATCTTCGTCAGCCGTTCAGTCAGTGCATGAAAATCTTCGTGAGCCGTTCAGTCCATTGACATTCGCGGCCCGTCAGAGGCAAACCAGTGGGGTGACAGAAGAGGTCAGCTGTGTCATGTGACATAACACCCTGGGACTTAGTGACTTTAGGTAAGCTTTTGCGCAGAAGAACCCACGGACGCTCGCGTCCACCCCTTAAGAGATTGAGTCGTTCTTTCGGTCGCATTCACTTGTTCTTGCAAGAGCAAACGATGTTCGTTCTTCCGATCACCCGTTCAGATTCGGACATTGTGTCCGCAAAAAGAATTCCCCTGCGTCCTGGTGGAGTCGCATACGGCGTGTTATCCGCCTTCGCTTTAGTCGCAATCCTCACGGCCTGTACAATCACGCACATCCCGAATGGCGAATTTTCAACTGCCAGTTGCTTCAACGATAGCAAGGCCGGGAGGTGGAGTCGTACGCGACATGAGGAGATTTCGACTGCTCAAAACGACTCGCGCCGCGTCATAGTAAGCAACCCGATCAACAACTCACTGGCCGATCAAGTTGTGTGCTGGTGGTCCGGCGACCATGGCGGCTATTCAGGAATGGAAAAGTCTGCAGCGGGGATAACAAGGAAGAACCTCTTGAAGAGGAGGCCTTCCGGGAAGGGAGGTGTGATAGTATCGGGGTCTGGTTGTGCGCGTTGCACGGTAGGCGAGCTCTGCTCGTTTGTCATCGATATAAGAACCCCAGCAGGATGGGATGTCACCCCGCCGCCCGATTTAAGCGACGTGATGCGCGGTGCGACGGCCAATCTTTCGCACATTCGGACCAGCAATATCGCTACCTCCAGCGGAAATCGCGCCGAGAACCACGCCGCGAATGGCGGCGGAAATGGCAGAGAGAACAGCGGATCAGGGAGCGTATGGGCGATGGGAGTGGGTGACTTTAGGGAGTCTCTTGTAGTGCGTCTGGTGGGACTGGCATTAGCGGCAGCGGATGTGACTAAAGAGGGGGGTGACATAAGAAGATGGAGAGTTGCGTACCGAGTGTGGGACACAGGGAAATACAGCGTTCTCGTTCTTTCAGAGTGCGGAAGTCTGGACTTCACCCGCAACAGCACGGAACGCGCCCTCGGCACGGTGGCGGAATGGAACCTCACGGTGTTCCCAAGCGTTGCCACCGTTCCTTCATCCTCAGCTTTTATCCCATTCGCCGATTCAAGCACATCCAACGATTCAAGCAGAATCGAATCCCCCGGCAAAACTGACAATAACGAGTACCAGGACACCCCATGCGACCACTCAGCATACGCTCGGTGGCTCTTCGACCCACTAAAGGGCAAGTACACGTGGCAGCTGTACCCCTGCACACAGCCACTCCCGCCGCCCTCTGAATGGATCAGCGCGCTTCAATCTCGGGGCATCTACGAAATCAACATCGTGGGCGATTCACATCAACGGTACCTGTTCAACTAGCTTTTCTTCTTGCTGACAGGAGAAGCGTATGCATCCGATGCCAAGAAGAGTAGTGATATGATGCACCAGGTCATGCCCTCGCGGCCCCCCTCTCCTCCTCTTCCTCCCCCCTCTCGTGCTGCCGCCTCTGCTCCTGCTGCCGAGGGGGCATCTCACGGCAGCAAACGAAGGCAAGCTGTGGAGCTGCGGCCGCTGAAGCTCAACTTCTACTGGATTAATGGGATCTACAATGTGGGGCAACACGGATGCAAGTAAGTGAATACATGTTGAAAGTATGTGCTTGTCCCACTGATGGAGTTTTAGTTGACTAGATAAGAGCTCTACTGGATTGCTGGGATCTACAATGGGGGGCAACACGGATGCAAGTAAGTGCGCACATGCGGAATTCTGCTTGCATAGAAAAAGGGAAGGTTTCTAGAAAGGAGTATTATTTTTGCAGCATGTTTCAATGTTCGAGCAAGCTAGAGCAGTGGTATTTTCCTGACCCGCCTGATTCGTGTCGCACTCTCCGCTTTCGTCTAATGGGCCGTTGGTTTTGTTTGTGTGTGTGTGTGTGTGTGTGTGTGTGTGTGTGTGTGTGTGTGTGTGTGTGTGTGTGTGCGTGCGTGCGTGCGTGTGTGTGTGTGCGTGTGTGTGTGTGTGTGTGCGTGTGTGTGTGTGTGCGTGCGTGTGTGTGTGCGTGCGTGTGTGTGTGTGTGTGCGCGCGTGTGTGTGTGTGTGTGTGTGTGTGTGTGTGTGTGTGTGTTTGTGTGTGTGCATTGTGTGATTGCAGGAAGGGCTTCCTGAAGCAAGGCCAGTGGTTTCCCAACTTGTCACCAGCAGCAGACGTCACCATTATCAACGCAGGCACATGGACCCATGCATTCTGTGACACTCCCCTAGATACATTCGGACTCTTCCTCCCTAGGTTCCTGCGCTGGGCCTATATACAAATGCAGATGGCTCGAAATTGGCGGATGGCGAGAGAGCGTGTTTCTGAGGTACCGAGGCAGAAAAATCAGCAGCAGCAAGAGCAGGGGCAGCAACAGAAGGAGGGGCACGAGCAAGAGCAGGAGCAGAAGCAGGAGCAACAGCAGCAACAACAGCAGGAGGCAAGGGGAAAAGGCAACAGCGTCAAAGGGCCGTGGCTGCTCTACCGTACTGTCCCTCCGTTACGTCGTAACAGTTTCTGCCATTCTGGGTCAAACAGCCTTATTTCACAGTTAAATCTCGTGGCCGTTTCTCTTCTGGCGAGATATAACATTGGGCTTTTGGACGGACGAAATGTAGAGATGCCAAAGATGGAAGATTCATGTCATGCTGGCGACAACCATTACAGTTGCTTTGAACCCCGCCCAGGAATTGGTACAGGGAAGGGGATTTATACAGGTGATGTAGGGGAGGCTATGGTCTACATGACAATGTATCATTTGCTAAATTTGTTAGAATGAATAACTCTCTTTGAGAAGGTAGCTCGTTTTGCTCATCTACTACTCAGACACTCGATTCTGTACATGAACCGTTCTTCACCGCGAAACATTTAGTTGTCAAGTCAATTCGAATCTCCCCTGAGATTGATTTTGAGTTGATCCAGCCATTTCATTCGAGCGAGGCTGATTCCTTGCAGCCATTTCTCCCTCACATCCCAAGACCAAGCATTTCGAACACCATCCATGTTCGTTTCCATGCTGCCTTCCTGATGTAACTCTGTTTTTATCCGAGGGCGCCCAATTTTTCCGCAGCGCGCGATACGCCGCTAGATAACATCGGAAATGGCGCCGTCGAATCCGCTCCTCTCGCCGTCACCTGCGGCGCTGTCTTTCCTGAACTCCCACTTTCAGCGGCTCGAAGATCTCTCGCTCGCGCCAAATCTCCTAGGTAATCTCTCCTCAGAGATTAACGACCTGATTTCTCAGAAAGATGCGCTCTGCTCGTCACTCATCTCCTCGCTCCAACCCACAGATGACGACAATGTCCGAACCAGCAGTTCCAGGCTCGGCCGATCCGAACCTGATGCACGTCCGGGAACCATTTCATCCGTGGCTGCTCGCGCGCTCCAATCCATAGCAGCCACGTCGGAACGAATCGAAGAATGCCACGTGCGCGCCTCCGTGGCGGCCGCTGACGTGCAGCCGATGGTTGATCGGCTTGCCAGGCTGGCAGCTGAAGTGGCGAGATGCGAGAGGGTGAGAGGATACGTGGAGGTAGTTATAGGTTTCGAACGGCAAGTGGGAGATGTGGAGGAGAAAGTAGGAATGGCAGTAGGGCTATGGAGGAAAGAAACCGGTTCTGTTGCTTCCTCCTCTGCCTCTGCCTCTGCCGCTGCTGCTAGCGCTGCTGCTGGGGGTGCTGGTCCTGCTGCTGTTGCTGCTGCTGCTGCTGCTGCTGCTGCTGCTGCTGCTGCTGCTGCTGCTGCTGCTGCTGCAGGTGGTGCTTCCCCTGCTGCAAGTGCCACCCCCATCATTTCCAGGAAGCAACCGTTTCGAAACCCTAAGCTCCTCTCCTCCCTCCGCACCGCCTCTCACGCCGTCCTCACCGCATCCAACCGCTCCGCGTCCACCGCGCGCCACCACCCGGCCTGGTCCCGCCTGATGACAGCTGTCGACCTCCGATTGGACGCCGCAACTGCCGCCCTGCTAGGCCCTTTGATGGATTGCTATAGGGGATGCCTCGCTGCTGCCGGCTGGCCGCCTCCCCTTAGGAAAGGAGGGGGAGGGGGAGGAGGAGGAGGAGGAGGAGGAGGAGGAGGAGGAGGAGGAGGAGGAGGAGGAGGAGGAGGAGGAGGAGGAGGAGGAGGAGGAGGAGGAGGAGGAGGAGGAGGAGGAGGAGGAGGAGGAGGAGGAGGAGTAGGAGGAGGAGGGGAAGAAGGAACAACAGGTGCTCCTGCTGCTGCTGCAGATTCGGCGCTGGATCGGCTTGCCGGACCTGGAGGCGAGGTTCGGACAGAATTCACGAGCCTGTTCCTGGCGCTGTGCTCCCTGCAGCACGCGCAGAAGGTGAGGCGAGAAGCAGAGAAGGTACGGGTTCGAAGCGAAAGCGAGGTAGCTTATATGGAGGATGAAGAGGAGTCAGAGGAGGACAAGGAGGAGGAGGAGGCAGACCTAGGGAATATCCAGAACCTTGGGAATATCCAAGTAGACGAGCCGTTGCTATGGGGGATGGAGGAGCTGGTCCAGCCAATAGCGTCGCAGGCCCGGCCTCCTTTCGACCAATGGGGAGCGAGCGGGCGGACGGAGTGGGCCTTTGCGCTGACCCTCCGTGTGGCGTTGACTGGCGTTGACTCGTTTGACCTGGCGCTACAGCCGCTGGTGGACGAGGAAGGGCTTACAGGGGTGAGTGTGCGGGAGGGCTGGGTTTGGGCCGTGGTTCGGATGCTCCCGATCCACTTTCTGCGGAGATCCGTCGTGCCGACCCTGGCTGAGAAGCTTCTGAAAACCGCAGGGGTTGGAGGAGGAGGAGGTGGGGGAGGGAACGGGGAGGAAGCTTGGGAAGTAAATTTAAGTGAGGATGAGGAGAGAGCAGCAGTAGCAAGGGAGTGGCTTCGAGTGGTGGGTGAATGCATCGCCTTTGACTCTGCCATGTCTCGCCTTCTGGTCTCTGGCTCTCCTGCTTCTTCCGCCGGTGATGCTGCTGGTGGTGGTGCTGGTGTTGCCATTGATGCTGCTGCTTCTGCTGCTGCTGGTGGTGGTGCCGGTGTTGCCATTGATGCTGCTGCTTCTGCTGCTTCTGCTGCTGGTGGTGCCGGTGCTGCTAGTGCAGTAACAGCAGAATCTGCCAGTGCAGATCTCCCCGCGCCAGCGTCAGATTTCTGGGTGGCACTGCAGGTGGATCCCACAGTGGGAGTTTTCGCGGAGCGACCTGATTGGCTGCTGCTCTGGATCCAATTGGAGGGCGCCAGCGCACGCAGGAGCGTGCTAGCTGTCATGGGCAGGGATGCTTCGTGGAAGGTTCCTCGGGATGGGGAGGATGAGGCAAGCATGGGTTTGCAAGATTTGTCTGCTTCTGGCCTTCTGTTGACTGCAGCTGACCGCCCTGCAGCAGCGGAAACAGCAGGAAAGGGAGTTGTTGAGTTTCGACCGCCGCCCGTTGCTCTTCGGCTGATTGAGATTCTCCGGGCGGCAGTTTCCCGATGCGGGCGGCTTTCCGGGACCGTATCTGAAGGCACTGTAGCAAGCAGGACTTTAGCAGGCAGCAGTGACAATAATGAAGGGAGAGGCACCAGCAGTAGCATCCCCAGCCCCAGGGCCATCGGCCGGGGGCGGCAGCGCCTGTCTTTTGTCGAGGGCCTCTGCCGCCCGATTCTCTCGGCGTTTTTGAAAGAGACGGAGCAGAGAGCGGATGAGATAGAAGCAGCAGGAGCCCTGGCGAGAGACGGGGATTTGGAGGATATTGCTGGGTGTGCCAATGCTGCCAGGTTTGTGGCTCATGCCCTGGGGACGTGGCAGGATGAAGGGTTTCTGGTGGAGGCATGGGAGGAGGGGAGGAGGGAGCGGAGGGAGAGGAGGAAGGTGAGAGAGCGGAAGAGAGGAGGAGAGGAGGGCAATGGAAGCGTTGCAGGTGAGCGGCAAAAACGAGAGGAGGAAAATCAATCGCAGCAGAAGCAGGAGAAGGAGAGGGAGCAAGGTGACGAGGCAGGAAGGCGAAACGTGGAAGGGGGGGATCAGGAGCAAGAACAGGAGGAGGAGGCAGGAGGAGACGGATGGGAGCTACTGGATGCTGAAGAGAACGAAAGTGAAGGGGAGCAACAAGGCCTTGTGCCGCACCAGCAACAGCACCAGCAGCAGCAACAGCAACAGCACCACCAGCAAAAGCAACAGCGGCAGGGGGAGGGCCAACAGAAGAACCAACCGGAGCAGCAAGCAGACTCGCAGTTGCTCCGGGTCCAGAACCTACTAGACCAATTCGAGGGCCCCGGCCCGGACCTCTTCTCCTCCGAGATCCACCGCCTCTCCGCCCTACACTCCACGCTCGTCGCCAGGCTGGCGACAGCTGTCGCGCGCGGATTCGTCTCCCGTGCCACCGAGTACCCACGCGCCATTGTGCGCGTCCAGGCCCCTCCTCTCTCCCTTCCCTCTCAACCCTCTCCTCCCTCTCCTTCTGGCGATGCACAAACTCCCTCCCTCTTCTCCTCCGCATCCTCCTCCCTCGCCCTCTCCTCCTCTCTGGTCGATGCTCTCATCTTTCTCCGCCTCCGCCTGCTCTCCGCCCGCCACTCACTCGACGCGGCTCTCTTCTCCTCCTTCTGGCGCCACCTCGCTGCCTTCCTGGATAGGTTTCTAGTGGATAAGGTTGTGTTGGGGCGAGAGGTGAGCGTAGGCGTGGGCGTGGGGGTGGGGGCTGCAGAGGTGGCTGGAGGGGGAGGGGTTGGAGGAGGTGGAAGGGTGAGCGAAGGTCCAGGTGTTTTTTCAGATGGGATAGGCTCGAGGAGTGCGAAGATGGGTGCTGCTGGTGGGGCGGGGCTTGTGTTGGGCAGCTTGAAATTTTCGGAGCGGGCCGGGCAGCAGTATTCGTATGACATGCAGGTGGTGGTGTCGGTGTTTGAGATCGCCACCCCCCGCCCGCTCAACTTCTTCAAAAGGACAAGAGACGCTGCCCGGCTGATGGCCATGACGGACAGAGACGCCAATGGGTTACTGTTTATGTTGTCCCTGGTCAGCGGGTCTGGGGCGCCATCGTCTTCATCCTCGTTATTATCTTCTTCATCAAAAGCACTGGCATTGGCCAGTGCAGCTATAGGGGCTGCTGGAGCAGCTGCTATTGGTGCTGGTGGTAGGGATGTTGGTAGTGGCAACGATTCAGGGATTGATACCCCAGAAGCCAAAATCCAGCAGCAGCAGCAGGTGGAGGAGGAGGAGAGGCAACAGAGGGCAGCAGCAGCATTGAGGCGGAGAGGGATTCTGCATTTACAGTCAGGGGAAGTGCAATCTGTGCTGGAGAGACGTGCTCTCCCAAAAAGATAGCGAGTTTTGCTCATTAGTTCTACCTGTGATGGCTATGAAACCTTGTTTGGGCCCCAAGTATGTGATGAGGAAACAATACCGTAACTGCTGGAGTCATGTCATGTAGGTCATTTTGTTGCATTGATGGTAAAAGCATGAATATGAGTTGCACGGATGTGACAATTTATTATGTTTATCGCACAAAGATTATCCTTCATAATATGCAATGTGCATCTGGGCAAACAGATCATTAAATCGGATTAAACCTAGTATGTCTTTCTTGTCCGGTATGGGTACGAGTTTTTTTATGGATCAAGTGTAGATATCCGTCTTTAATGTGGCAATTTCTCAGCAAGCTCTTGATCACTGACAAATGCCTGCTGGCATCCTCTTCCGAAACGCGATCAGAGCGGTCCGTCACTGGCACACCGCACCTTGCGTTTCGCCCAGATTTGTGCACCGCAATGTGTCGAATGGACGCCACGAGCGGGGCATTTGGCGCATGATGGAAAGCCGCCCATTCCCTGGTGTTTCCAAACCAAACCACCGCACACCTGGCTGAGTTCGCCTAGTTCGCATGGTTCCAGCGATCGTTGCCATATTCGCGAAATGACAGTTACAAGAGTTCGCATTCCTCTGCTCCATCTCATCCAATCCCATCCTCCAGCCAGCACACCATTCACTGGAACATCACAGGCACTCAAACCCCCACCTTGATCAGCGCCCCTTTTTTACTGGCGCTGCTGATGAGTGCTCTTCTGTTCATCAGAAACTGCGTCCAAGCCGCAATGGCTCCCGTAGTGCAGCCTCTGGTCAACGGAGGGAAGGGTGCGTGTGATCTACCGCGGCGATTTCGTACCGAACCCCCAGAGTGGCGAGGCACACGGCGGCATACAGCAACCTCTCTCATCCCACCATTCCTAATGAACACTGTTTGGATATATACCAAAATATTCTACTCGACCCCTTGCCGCCGTTTGTGCTGAATACATTTTCATCGCATGTCTGCGCTGACCGCCGCAGTCAAGAGGCGACGTCAGTGGCTGCGCCACTGGCATGCCACGATTCGTGATCCGGGTCGGCTCTCAAGATGCTTTCCCTAAGCCCTGTACGTCTGTAGTACTAGGAACCAGCGAAAGTATCACTCCTCGCCTCCTTCAACTCGTGTGCTTCTCCGCAGAAGCCGACTTGGTATAGGAACCAGTGATTTTTTAGAATTCTCAAAAGTGATTCCCAATTAGTATAGGAACCAGTGATTGCGGCTCCGAACCCGATCAGAACGAGATAGCCTACCGTTCAATGTGTTAGGCTGTTATGTAAGGCACTGCCTTTGAGCCACGTGTAAACCAGCGCGAGCTTGTTGCGAATCGATTCTATCCGAATAGTTCCTTTGATGCACGTGCCCCCCCGCCTGCAGAGCTGATTAGCGGCGAGTCCGCTTCCAATACCCCAGAGCTGATTATTCCTCGCGGCCTTTCCCGCTCATTCGATCTAATCGCGATGATCCCTAGAGAGGGGCGGCCACAGCGGCCCGTAGCTGGCAAGTTCCATCTACCCAAGCTTGTATCCCTCGTTTTAATCCTCTTGCTCGTTCTAGCCGTTTCAGAAGCAACGCGCGCAGGCCGAGTCTTGACGGGGAAGGGACTGGAACGAGGGGATGGGACTGGTGGGTCGTCGTTGCGTATCCTGGACGAGGTGGTTGCAGTGAAGGGTGTTCCAGATCTTGTAACGGTGCTTAATGATAAGGGGGATGATGAAAAAGAGAAGAAAAAGAAAGAGGAGGAGAAAAAGAAGGAGAAGGAGAAGGAGAAGGAGAAGGAGAAGAAGGATAAGGAGGAGAAGGATAAGAAAGAAAAGGAGAAAAAGGACAAGGAGAAAAAGGACAAGGAGAAAAAGGACAAGGAGAAAAAAGACAAGGAGAATAAGGACAAGGAGAGTAAGAGCAGTGACAAAACGGGCGCTGTTGATACGGACGCTGCTAAACAGGTACCTGCTAAAGGGGACGCTGTTAAGGGGGATGCTGCCAAGGGGGGCGCGGTCGAAGGCGATACTACCGGAGATCCCAAGGCCGGCTCAACGGGACCGGAGGAGCAAGGTGCCGGCAAGTCGCCACCTGCCGACGAGAAGTCAGGGAACGGCAAGGGGACTGAAGTTTCGCAGCCTCTTTCGCCAAAAGAGTCGCCCGGCGAATCGCCAGAATCGCCTTCCAGCAACCAATCGCAAGAGTCGAAGGAGTCGCAGAAATCGCAGGGAAGCTCGGAAAAGCCTGCGGCAACGCCCGAAAAACCGCCTGCCGGGGGCGATTCTGAGCCGAAAACGGCGCCAGAACCTGCGGCGGAACCCGCGCCTAAATCGGCTCCGGAACCTGCGGCGGAACCACCGCCGGAATCTGAGCCAGAACCAATCCCAGCCGTAGATGGAAATTCCAATCTGAGTACAGATGGCGGCGATGGCGGGGGTGCAGGAGAGGGTTCAAGGGACAACAGCAACGAAGCTTCGTCGAATGACCAGGGGCCGAGTCAGTCAAGCGATGACGGATCGACGGGAGACAAGGGCGTGCAGGAGTGGAACGGAGGGTCGAATGATGACGGAAATTCTGACGGAAAAGTTGACGGTGGCGATGACGGGGGGCAAGGGAAGGGCGAGACGGAAACCGCTGGGTTCAGGATGAAAGACGTGAAGCGCGCCAATTCCGTGAAGCCCCAGAAGATCGACGGCTGGTTCGCCATCCACGATGGCTACAGTGGCGAAGCTTCGGCGCTTAAGGCGGCTGACGTCATCTTCTATGGCGACTCGCTCATAGAGGTACTATAGATACTATATAGAGAGGGCTCCCTGTGTGATATTATGGGGGTTGAAAGAGGAAGGCATTATATAATGGGTGACTGTGCAGTTGGGTTTCCCACTGTTTGCTAAAGTTGGGATTCTTGGATTTTTGTGCAGGGCTGGAGTGAGAAGTTTCTGGGAAGGCAGCTGGGACTGTACGTTGGTGTCAGGTACGTTGCAGAAACTTTTGTTTTCTCTCTTTTTTTGTATTTTCTTTGTTGGTGCTGCCGGCGAAGGGTCTGTGCAAAAGTGTTGTGTCTAGCATTGGCATGCACCTGCGTTGTGCGCGTGCTTCCGCTTGTTGATGATTTGGCCAATTGTTGTCTAAGAATCCTCAACCATCGTTCTGGGTGTGCGTGCTTCTGCTGCTGCTGCTGCTGCTGATTCTGCGGCTGCTGTTTCTGCTGCTGCTGCGTGTGGCTGCAGCGCCGTGTTCGATGCTCTCAAGGCGTCACTCGGTGCGGGGAGGGAGGTGCGGGCGTTTGGAATTGCTGGCGACACAACGGACGACCTTATGTGGAGGTTGGAGGTGCGGAATATATCGTGTGTGTGTGTGTGTGTGTGTGTGTGTGTGTGTGTGTGTGTGTGTGTGTGTGTGTGTGTGTGTGTGTGTGTCTGTGTGTGTGTGTGTGTGTGTGTGTGTCTGTGTGTGTGTGTGTGTGTGTGTGTGTGTGTGTGTTACTTTTCCTCTTCCCTCCCTACCTCCCCCACTCAAGGCATGCATAAACATCCCCTTCGACTGGCAAACTCTTAGCTGTGAATAAACCTAGCTGTGTGAGGCAGAGAATGCTGGGCGAAATGAATAAATATAGCCCACACTACACCACACTACACCACGCTGCATCCTCCTTGTGCTTCTCATCCAACCTCGTGCTCTTGCTTCCTACCCATGCCCCAACGCTCCTTAATTCCTCCTCTTTTCCTCATCTCCTATCCTTTCCTCCCCTCTCCTCTATTTTTCCTCCCCTCCCCTCCCCTACCCTCCTTTCCCTCCTCTCCTACCCTATCATCTCACCTCCTTTCCTCCCCTCCCCTCCCCTCCCCACTTCTCTCCATGACCCCAACAACCAAGCAGAACGGCGAGCGCCCATCCGCTCTCAGCCTCACTCTGGCAGTGGTCTGCGTGGGTATAAACGACGTTTTCGAGTCTGTTACTAACGGAGGCGTGGATGCCCAGGCGATTGCGAATAAGGTTCGGCTTAGGAAGTTTGCTCTCAAAAGTATGAATTAAAGAACCAAATGTTCAGTACATGTTCGTACGTAACAAAAACAGGTTTGCGTTTGTGGTGATTGGTCAAGAGTGTCTAGTTGTCTCGAATTTGGGGATTGCTTGTAAGCGAAACTACTTCCCTACTTGGACCCCCTTCCCTGCTTCCCTACTTGGCAGATTGGCGATGTGGTAACCGCAATTCGCGCGTCACAACCCACCACGAAAGTGCTCGTCCTTGGGCTGTTACCCGAGGTGAGTTAGTTCAACAGCTTACGGTATTTGTCTATTTTGAGCTTGTTCAAAATCATAAGCATACTGCAAGTAACGAACGTGTCATCAAGACCGATGGAGCAGCATTTAGCAGAAACGAATCACAATCAACAACTTTAGCAGACAACCAAATTACCATGAGGGTGGAAATAAAGGGCTCATTAGTTCTCTTTACTCTTCCACCCTCCACCCTCCGTCCTTCACCCAGCCTCTTCCTATGCACCTCTCTCCAGGAGTACCTCTCCAAGTCAACATAACCTAATCATCCCGGATTCAATCAAGTCAACGCCATTCTCACAATTGCAACCTCTCCCAGCCTCTTCCTTTGCACCTTTTCTCAGAGATACCTCTCAAAGTCATCACAGCCAGACCCCCAGCCATTCTCACAATACCAACTTACTGCACCCTCTTACTTCACACCCTCTTACTTCACACCCTCTTACTTCACACCCTCTCTCCAGGGGTACCTCTCCAAGTCAACACAACCAGACCCCCAGCCAGGGCAAGTCAACGCCGTTCTCGCACAGTCAATTCCAGGTCGGCTTCTGGCAACAGTTATGTTTCGAGTGGCAAGTCAGCGTGAACGCCATGCCCCGCTCCTTGGAGTGACGTTGAGAGAATATTTCCAGTCTATCTGTTACTCTGTTACGCCGAGCCTATGAGTGGCGTTTGAATTGTAAGAATCCATCACCATCTCATACAGGAACAGAGTTTTTTTTATCTTCTTTTGCTTCTCTGGCCTATATGCAGATGGCACTAGCACCTACTTTTTGGACTGTAACGATGCGTTCCTTAATGAGGATGGCCTTCTGCTTGAGGACCATTACATCAGTGTAAGCCTTCGCCTATAATATGTGTTGTTGAAGATAATGCATACGGCCATGGGTCAAGTGGTGTATAAAGGCGTGCCTCCGCCAAGTGTGGATATGCCACTCTATCCCACTGTGTCCCTAACTCTCTATCTCCCTCCCTCCCTCCTGCCCTCTCACAGGATTCCTTCCAGCGGTTACACCTGTCAGCAGCAGGCTACGACGCATGGGCCAGGTGCATCGCCCCGCAAGCACAGGCCATCCTCGGGTGAGTCAATCGCTTGGTTGCGTTCCTCTGCTGCATTCAACCGTATCACCTTTAAGAATCAACAACAGCGATGCATGGGCCAAATGCATGCAATTCCCAGCAAGCACAGGCCGACCTCGGGTAAGTCCCACCTCGGGTAAGGCCCACCTCGGGTAAGTCCCACCTCGGGTAAGTCCCACCTCGGGTAAGTCCCACCCGGTAGTTCCAGCCTTGCATCTTGCATCCGCCCTGTTTTCTAACTCCACCCCCCCAGGCGAAGCCTGTGCCTGTGGGTCTGCCAGTGGCGCTTCGACTTTGAGTCGACTCAAAAGTCTTGCATCTTGCGTCTGCCCTGTTTCCTTTCCAACTCCACCCCCCCGGGAGAAGCCTGTGCCTGTGGGTCTGCCTGTGGCGCTTCCTGCGGATCAGTTTTTGAGACGTCTCAAAAGTCCACTTGCATCTCCCTGAGGGAGAAGCCTGTGCCTGTGGGTCTGACTTTTGAGAATTCTAAAAAATCATCTTCCTGAGGGAGAAGCCTGTGCCTGTGGGTCTGCCTGTGGCGTTTCCTGCGGACCAGAGCGACGGCAGCACTCCTCTCAATACTCCTCTCTGCGCTCCATGCCTTCTCATCTCATTGCTCCACCCATTTCTCGTTTCCTGCTCCTCCCTACCACCCCCCCAGGGAGAAGCCTGTGGGTCTGCCTGTCGCAGCATCTCCAGAACCAGGCACTGCCAGCAGCCCCAACGGCTCTCCTGGTGACTCTCCTACTCCTTCACCCCCTCCCTCCCCTTCTCCCTCATCTCCCTCATCTCCCTCCCCCCCTCCTCTCCCTCCTCTCCCTCCTCGCCTTCATCACCTTCCTCCCCCTCCTCTCCCTCCTCCCCCTCCTCTCCCTCCTCCCCCTCTTCTCCCTCACCTTCTGACTCCTCACCTCCCTCTGCGTCTTCACCTCCCTCATCCCCTTCCCCTTCTCCTTCCTCTCCCTCCACTTCACCCTCTTCTCCCTCTCCTCCCACCACCAACACCTCCTCCCCGGACCCTGCTTCCCCACCCAAATCTCTAGACTCGGGCAAGAACCCCCCCACATCACACGATCCCCTCACCCCCACACCTTCCTCCCCCTCAACCGCTTCTCCTGATCCCTCTAACTCAACTACCCCTGACGAACCCTCCTCTCCTTCACCTTCCCCCAAAGACCCTCCCAAAGGACCTTCCAAAGAACCTTCCTCTCCCTATCTAACCCCCCAAAATAGCTCCTACCTGACTCTCCCTAGAGAGATACCTGGCACCCTCACGCCCATTCCTTCCTCCTCTCCAACCCCCCCCACCTCCAGTCCAACCCCCTCCACCTCTGGTCCAACCCCTGTCATGGAATCTAACCATACGATGTATCCTAAAAAAGAATCACCAACAGGTGATGCTGATGGTGCTGGCTCTGGTGCTGGTGACTCAACAACTGGCAACGGCACTGCTGGTTTTGGTGCTGGTGGTGCAGGTGCCGGTGCTGCTGGTGCCGGTGCTGCCGGTGCTGCTGGTGCTGGTTCTGGTGTTGCTGCTGCTAGCGGTGGTTCGGCCAACCCTACAGGGCAAAGCGCAACAAAAGCAGCAGCAGGACCGACAGCTAGCTCAGGCAGGTGGCAACTGCTGATCAGCTCTCTCCTGGGCCTCGCTTGTACTCTAATCTTGGGGGTGTTTTGAAGGCTGAAGCTGAGAGAAGCTTCCTAAGGTCGCCGCTTAAAGCCAGGCTTGATCCGCCACTTCCTAAGGTCTTCTGAGAGCCTTCACAGCTCAGGGGTTGTTGAGTAGGCTGTGTTCCGTTGTGTCCTACAGCAAGTGTAATGGAGTTTCATGTTGTCCACGGGTGTGTAAAAAGCTCCTTGCTGCATTTGTGTAATTCAAGTGTAATGTAAGGCAATTATGTAATGCAGTGGTGTAATGGAAGTGTACTGTATGCGTCACTCTCACCCAGGTCCTGTGGTATGAGCCCCAGGTGTCCCATCGCAAACCCAGACAAAGTGCCCAATCGTGTGTCTGATCAGAGCTGGTACACAGCTTTTGGCTTAATCACTTATTTCAGTGGATGACCTTTGAGGCGCCCCAAAAACATTGTGCGTGAAACTCTTGATTTACGAAACATCAGCTCTTTGATTCCAGTGGATGGAGAAATACACGAAGGCTGGAACTCGACACAGGACACACACCCATGGAGTGGCTGGGCCGGTCCTCTAAGCTGAGCAGAGCAGTGAGCAGGAATACGCACAATGTGGCTGAGCTCACAACTTGACTTTTGAATCGACTCAAAAGTCAACTCGACACAGGACACACAACCATGAACTGGCTGGGCCGGTCGTCTAAGCTGAGCAGTGAGCAGGAAAACACACAACGTGGCTGAGCTCACAACTTGACCGAAGAACGTGCAAGGCCCATGTGCGAATTCGCAGAAAGGCATGCATGGGTCAGATCAGAGGTCCACAAAGCTGAGCAGGAAACCGCTGACAACCCGCCTGAGAAACGCATTGGGGATGTGACGACACAGCCGGCCATCCACATATGCCACAACACTAGTCACCACCACATGACTCACTGCCGCCCGCACCCTCCCCCCTGCCCTCCCACCCACTGCACCGACCGCCCCACGATGTGCCTCTCCCTCTCCTTCTCCTTGCCTCTCTCCCTGACGCTCTCTAGCAGGAGTAGCAGGAGTAACAGCAGCAGCAGCTGCTGCTGCCTGTCGCTCGTCTGCTTGAGTGCCAGGTGGCGGCTTCACGCGGAGCCACCTGGCAGTCTGGTGTCGGAGCGTGCGGATGAGAAGCGTGACTGCTAGCTGCTCTAGCAGCGCCCACACCGCCACCCGTGCGTTGTGGGGACCCTGGATGGGGAGAGAAAGGGCAGGAGTGGGCAATGGGACTTGGATAAGCATAGTACCTGCTACCCAAGTCTGGTGTATGCGAGTTACAGCGGATGAGAAGCGTGACTGCTAGCTGCTCTAGCAGCGCCCACACTGCCACCCGTGCGTTGTGGGGACCCTGGGATAGGGAGACAAAGGGCGGAAATATAGAGGATCAATGGGAATAAATGGAAATGGGAGTGGACATGCGGAGGTGAGGGTGACTGCGAGCTGCTTTAGCTGCTCCCACACTGCCACCCGTATGTTGTGGGGACCCTGAGACAGATGAGCAGAGAAGGGAAGGAGGGAAGAGAGGGGGGGCGGAGGGAAGAGAGGGGGGGCGGAGGGAAGAGAGGGGGGGCGGAGGGAAGAGAGGGGGGGCGGAGGGAAGAGAGGGGGGGCGGAGGGAAGAGAGGGGGGGCGGAGGGAAGAGAGGGGGGGCGGAGGGAAGAGAGGGGGGGCGGAGGGAAGAGAGGGGGGGCGGAGGGAAGAGAGGGGGGGCGGAGGGAAGAGAGGGGGGGCGGAGGGAAGAGAGGGGGGGCGGAGGGAAGAGAGGGGCGCACGTTGTGGGGCCCCTGGGACAGGGTGAAGTAGGGCAGGAAAAGGGGTGTGCGGATGAGAAGAGTGATCGCTAGCTGCTCTAGCAGAGGCCACACACTGCCACCCATGCATTGTGGGGACCCTGGGGTAGGGAGAAGAGAAGAGCATTGGATGGGGAGACAAACAGGTGGGCAAGCATGGTGATACAGGGTTTACCCATACTGACTGCCCATTCCATGTCCACGACGCTATTACCCACACTGCCACTCTTGCACATATTGTATCATGGGGCACCCCAGTGCAAAGAGCAGGCAATCAGAGGAAAACGTTGGCCCATACAGGTCTCGAACCTGTGACCTTCGCGTTATTAGCACGACGCTCTAACCAGCTGAGCTAATAGGCCTGTTTGGAAGGATGAACAGCAGGGTACAAACAGGAGATCACTGGTTCTTTTCTATCAGAACTGTGATTCCGTCACTGTGTGGGCTGTTCTGCAGCTAGTTTCCCAATCGCTGCTTCATTTCCACGTCAGCAGTCATGCAACCGTGCGCTCGCTCACTAGCCCTCAACGAGGGCCATTTTCAGGTGCAATCTCTACAATTGGAGAAATGTGTTCAGGTGTGATCCCGGCGCATCTTTCCAAGTCTCTGTTGCGTACTGTACACGCGGGCCGGAACAGAGCCTTGAAAAGATACGCCACTCAAATCTGTACTGGCTGAGGGAAATTGATGGGAAATTAATGCGCCACACACGCTTTGTTCACCGAGGCTACCAGGAATTGCTAAGACATACCCTGAAATTATAAAACTTAAACGCTTTAGTGACCCTGGACGCATTTTTGGGAGATCAACCCTAAACACGTGAACCCCCTGGTTTTAAGGGTTGATGCCTCCGTAAGGTTTTCGTGACAAAAAAATAAAACCCAATCGGGACGCAATCGAATCGGGAGGCATCAACCCTAAACACCAGATGGGTTCCGGTGTTTAGGGTTGATCCCTCCCGAAACTGCTTCCAGGTTCTCTAGGGTTTTTTTTTTTGTTTTTTTCGGGTGGCCTTAACAGCTTCGGGTAGTTTGGTCTGGCCATGCTGTATGTTTGACTTCCGTCAGGATGTGTCAGAGACAATCCGTCAGCTGAACAAGATGTGCGTGGCGAGTCTGCATAAGGTACTGTTGCGGCACGTGTGTACAGTGCCGCAACAGTGCCGTAACAGATTGGGATCGCACCTGAACACATTTTCTGTACTATAGAGATTGCACCTGAAAATGGCCCCCTCAACGACGACCTTCAGAAAGTGTGTCACAGCTACCCAAGTCTGACAAGCTCCTTCAAACCTGTGGCCAGGAAGTCCTGTGATGAGATCGTGACACATTGCATCATCACACGTGTGCGTACTTACCATCACCCACCCATCTCGTCATTCGCACAGCACTCACCATCTGCTCCCCATGAATGCGTCGCAGCGACCGGAAGGCAGACACCTCCACTGCCCCACCGGCACTACCACCAATGCGACCAGCAGCAGCAGCGGGGCCACCAGCAGTCATTCCCATCCAGCCCTCTCCTCCTCCTCCTCTCCTCCCATCCCTGCTTCCTCCCCTCTCAGGCTCCAACAGGCCTTCTGTGACCAAGAAATCCGTGACACATGTCACCATCTCATTGGTGAGGGATGTGTTGGGGGGTAGGTTCTTCAGCACGACCTGGAGAGAGGAGGGAAAGGGGAAGCGGGAAGAGAAGGGATGGGGAGGGAGAAGGGAGATGGGGAGGGAGAGTTGTTAGGGGCAAGTTGTTGACCTGGAGAGAGAAGGGGGAAGGGAAGTGGAACGAAGAGGGACGGGGACGGACGGAACCAGAAATGGCCATCCCATTTTGTGGTTTGGTGAGGGACGTGTTGTGTGGTAGCTTCTTCCTCTCCTTTCGTCTTCAGGAGCATTAAGGAAAGCTTCCATCTTGAAGCATCAGAGGCATGTGAAATCGGCGTGCGTACCGTGTCGTTGGCGATCTTGACAGTGACGTACGGCTGGCGATACAGAGTATCCAACATGGCTTGCAGATAACCCTCCACGTATGCCTGGTGTGTGGAAAGGGGTTCAGTAAGAGGTGTGCTTTGAGTCGCGATTAAGAGGCATGGCAAGGGCGGGCGATACAGATTGCCCAGCATGGCCTGCAGATAGCCCTCCACGTATGCCTGGTGTGTTGAAAGAGGTATGGTTAAGGTACGGTTAAGTGCGATTTAGTGCGATGAAAAAGAGGAAAGAGGGAGTTGTGCAACCGTGAGCTCTAAGTAAAAAGCCTGCACTTATGCAGAAGTCATGCATAAGTACTCTGCCGCAGAACGTACCTTGTACAACCCCAGCTGGCGCGCAGGCGGTTGCAAGTGGTGGAGAGGAAGCGACGGCGAGTGGATGAGAAGCAGGACGAGAAAGTGGGGATTGAGGAACCCTAACCTCTGAACCTGAAAGCCTGAACCCTAGCCTAGACATTACCTCGTGCAGGCCCAGGCTGGTGCGCAGGCGGATGCGGGTGGTGGAGAGGAAGCGGCGGCGGGTGGACGAGGAGGAGGAGCCAGAAGAGAGCGCGGCAGTGAAGCCGGGGGCGAAGGGATGGAGGAGGGGAGCGAGCATGGTGTCTGGCTCCATGGCGATTCGGAGGATGGCACGGTGAAAGCCCTTAGCCTGATGGATGGGATGGGGTGGGGATGGGAGGGGGTGGGGATGGGAGGGGGCATAGAATGAGAAGAGATTTGTCAGGGCGTTAAAAAGCAGCGGAGGGGTGGAGGAGAGGAGCGGAGCGAGCATAGTATCTGGCTCCATGGCGATTCGGAGAATGACTCGCTGAAAGCCCTTGGCCTGATGGTGTGTGGGATGGGACGAGGGGATGGAATGAGAAGGCATTTTGTAACAGGTGTGGAACAGGGGTGCGAGCATGGTGCGTGGTTCCATGGCGATGCAGAGGATGGCTTGATAAAAAGTCAGCCATGGATGAATCAGCTGACATGGAATCTGACAGCTCTGATCTGATACCGCTCCAGGCAACCACGTGAAAGGGCATGTGTTATGAGACTGCACACACACACGCACTCACACGTGGTTGCCTGGAGTTATGAGACTGCACACACACACGGACTCACCAGCCCTGGCAGGCCACCACTCTCCACCCCTCTCATCATGGAGTCCGAGAGTTCGGATACCATTGCATGCACCACTCCTGTGCCCGCCTCCCGCACCTGACGGGAAGGGGAATGGCGGCAATGACAAGAGGCAAGAGAAAGGAAAAACAACAACGACAAGCACAGGGGACAAAGGCCCCCCAAAAAAAAACACGAGGGGGTTGGTGCTTAAAAGAAAGGATGATCCAATATCATGTCTAGGCCGGCACCTGAAATATCCAATATCATGTCTTGGGCTCACAAGGAGGTCGGTCCCATGTCCACATCCCTCGGGAAGAGGTCGTTTTTGAGGCGCCTCAAAAACGACCTCATGTCCACATCCCCCGGGAAGAGCGTGGGTGAGATGCCAAACGAGCAAATCTGATATGCAAAGGTAATGCTGTGCTGTATCCGCTGTAGACAGAATGCTGTAGTCGCTACAAGCCTTCAAGTGCTGTACTGTACTCACAGTGGATTCCACGTCTCCCAGGAAGAGCGTGGGTGAGATGCCAAACGCGCTGCCACCACCACCTGCATCTCGCCTCCTCACCACCTTGCGGAGAATATCAAATATTCCTGTAAGGGGGATGGATGAATGTGAGGGGGTTGGATGGATGTGAGGGGGATGGATGGATAATGGTTGTGAAGGGGCACAAGCCCCTCACACAAGGACTTGAACAATGTGACACGAAGTCGATATCCAGCAGGCGGGGCGTATCAGCAAAGCCCTGCTTGCAGGGCTTTGCTGATACACCCCGAAGTCACACGCTCTTGACGCGCGTGCACAAGGATTTGAAGAGCCCATTTTTTAGTGTTGTCAAAACTCAAGCGCAATGGAGGGCTTTGCTGGCGTCTGTCTGTACCGCGCCAGATTTTGAAACATCTCAATACACGCCCGTCTGTACATCTATACGACACCAAGGTCACCATCCGTAGTCCAGACCAGATTCACCATACCTCTGGTGGTGGCGGTGGCGAGGGCGATGTGGCCCTGTGAGGGGTCAAAGAAAGCATCTAGAGCTGACGAGGCGGAGTCATCAAACAGAGCCGTGAAGGGCTGTGGCAGCAGGGGCAGACCACGCGCTATGTACACCGCCCTCAGGGCGTACCTGCGTGGATTGGAGGAGGGTAGTGGCGGAGGAAAGGGGGAAAGGGGGGAAGAACAGGAGAAGGGGAGCTATCAAAGAGAACTGTGAAGGGCTATGCGAGTAAGGGCAGACCCCTTACTGAGGGCTATGTACACTGAGGGCTATGTACACTGCCCTCAGGGCGAGCCTGAAGGATGCTGAGATGATATATGAGGGCTTATGTGCCTTGGAAGGCTATCACCATGTGCGATGAGGTCATACCGAGGGCGTGTGTGTGTGTGTGTGTGTGAGCAGCAGCAGACTGTGAAGGTGGATGAGTAAGCGGTGGGTATGTACAACTGGGAGACGATACTATAAGAGGTGACCTTTGAGTCGACTCAAAAGTGAGCGGTGAGTATGTACAACTGGGAGACGATACTATACTACCAATCAGCCCTTGTGAGCGAATTTTGAGAATTCTCAAATATCGCGCAGTGAGTACATAAAACAGGGAGACAATACTACAAATCAGCGAGGGACTCATCAAGAGTAGTGTTGGGTCAGCTTAGCAACCATCTGCTTGGAGGATGTCAACGCATGTGTCAACAGCGGCCCGTGCAGGTGGATGGGTGTGCGCTGCACTGCCGGCACTTGGATCACAACCAGTAAAGCATGATTTCTACAAGGCAGCAAGACTCACCACGAGTAGTGTCGCGTCAGCTTAGCGACCATCTGTTTGGAGGATGTTAGAGCGTGCGTGAGCAGCAGCCCGTGCAGGTGGATGGGCGTGTGCTGCACTGCCGGCACTTGAATCACCGAGTGCAGAATCCCCCTCAGCGCCTCCTGTGCGGACGAATAGTCAATGGCACCCGGTGCACTGGGGAGGAAACTCGCCACCACCTGATGCGAACGGGGGAATTGGGGGATGAGCAATAACGGAGATGAACGGGAGCATTAGTTGCAAGGTGTGCTTGATGCCAGCATTATTCTTTCACTCTACTTTATGAGCGCACCTTCAACTATCGCATATGACGGGGACAACTTCAACGCCCTCTACGCGGATGGGCACATGGAGCGGCTGCTGCCGGTTGACTTTGAGTCTGCTCATAAGTCACCCAAAATCCCCATCATATATCACATATGAGCCCACCTTAATGGGGTGGATCTCGAGGTATTCGATGTAGACGGGCGTGATGCTCCAGTCTCGCAGGCACGCCAGGCAGTGCTCCAGTTAAAAATCATTCCTTCTACGCTTTCTTATACACTCACCTTAATGGGGTGGATCTCGAGGTATTCAATGTAGACGGGCGTGATGCTCCAGTCTCGCGGGCACGCCAGGCAGTGCTCCAGTTAAAAATCATTCCTTCTACGCTTTCTTATACACTCACCTTAATGGGGTGGATCTCGAGGTATTCAATGTAGACGGGCGTGATGCTCCAGTCTCGCGGGCACGCCAGGCAGTGCTCCAGTTAAAAATCATTCCTTCTATGCTTTCTTATACACTCACCTTAATGGGGTGGATCTCGAGGTATTCAATGTAGACGGGCGTGATGCTCCAGTCTCGCGGGCACGCCAGGCAGTGCTCCAGTTAAAAATCATTCCTTCTATGCTTTCTTATACACTCACCTTAATGGGGTGGATCTCGAGGTATTCGATGTAGACGGGCGTGATGCTCCAGTCGCGCACGGGCACGCTGGGATCCTTGCTGCGGTAGAAGGGCACGAGGCGCAGCAGTGTGCTCTCATCTATATTCACCTCCACCGGCTGGTGTCGTGGGGCAGGATGGGATGGAATGGGGCGAGGTTGGGTTGGGTGGGATGGGCTCACCAAAAGGCGTCAACAGCATCGCATCCTCGCAGCAGCACAAAGGCAGATTCTCTGGCCGCAACACATCCGGATTCTCTCAAACCCTTTGTGCCTTTTGTGCTGCTGCGAGGATGCGAGGAGGCACCACCTCATCGCATCCTCAAACTTACTTTGGTGCTGCGCTGCTCAACCACCTCACCAAGCGATCTGACTGAACACATCTGCAGCAAGAAGCACGCAGCAGACCGGATGTGCTGCGGCCGACCGGATGTGCTGTGGCCGACCGGATGTGCTGCGGCCGACCGGATGTGCTGCGGCCAGGAATCAATTCAATCTCCCAGACGAGTCAAATAAACCAGCATTGCTCTTCAAGTCTACACAAGAATCAATCCTGCCTCAGCACACCTGCAGCAGGAAGGATGCGGAGCGGATGTGCTGTGGGCGGGAAGCAAGCCTATTGACCACCACTGCCATTGAAAACAACGACACCCCCTCCCCTCCTCTTCCTTCTGAGGCACCTCAAACGCATTCTAGACGCACCTGCAGCAGGAATGATACAGAGCGGATGTGCTGTGGGCGGGAAGCAAGCCGATTCACCACCACTGCCATCGAACACAGTGGAGCACCCTCCCCTCCTCCCCCCCCTCTCCCTCCTCCTACCCCTCTCCCTCCTCCCGCCCCTCCCACACCCTCCCTCCCGACCCTCCAATCCCTCAACGTGTGTCCTATCATGGTTCTGGTGGCAGCCATGGCGGCAGAGGGGTTGAGGGAGCGAAGAACCACAGCTGAGGAGAGGATGGGGTGCTGTGCGGTGGTGCTGGAGGAGGAGTGGCTGAGAGAGATGGGGAGCGGTGGGGGCTTGAGGGAAGGGGAGCGAGAGTCAATACCTGCATTCTGTGTGGTGGAAGCGGGGAAGGAGAGGGAGAGGGAGGGGGAGGGGAAGCAGCGGGGAGGTGGTGGAAGGTGGTGGGGGGGGGGGGGGGGGGGGGGAAGGGAGGGGGGGGTTCTGGATGCTAACGAGAAAACGAGATACGGAAGCTGGGCAGATGTAAATGTTTAGCATTCACCAGCTGACGAGTGGATGAGGGCGTGGATGCTGTTTTTAGGATGGGAATGGGCATGGGCATGGGCATGGGCATGGGCATGGGCATGGGCATGGGCATGGGCATGGGCATGGGCATGGGGATGGGCATGGGGATTGGATTGGGCATGGAAGTGGGTATGGGCATGGGCATGGGTCTTGGCATTGGCATCAGCATCGGCATATGCATGGGCATGAGCAGACAGCAAGAACAGCATGGGCAAAGAACGGAAGGGCATTGCCCTTTTCAATTCCCAATGGGAACTGAAGGGCGAATGAAAGGCGTCTCCTATCCACTCACACACAGCACAGCCTCAAGAGCCACGTCTTTAACAGAAAGAGCCAAGGACGCCCACAGGCCGTCCGCCTGCCCGTGTAGCAACACGCGGCGATCCATCTCTTCCTCCCTCTCCTCCTCTTCTTCCTCCCTCTCCTCCTCCCTCTCCTCCTCTTCCCCTCTCCCGTCCTCTCCCTCCGGCTCCTTCCCTTGTCTCCTCTCTCGACCCCTCCCTGTGGGTGTTGCCACCTCCTTTGCATTCACATCCAAGGAGGCCCCAGACTGGTGGCACGGATGCAAGGAAAGGACAGATGCGAAGGGTGAAAAAGAGTCACTGACAAGTTACAGATACACATGTGTGAATAGAATTGTCAGGGTAAAGGCACGGTGAGGTGAGGGGAGCTCACCGTTTGAGACGACTCAAAAGCAAAGTGGGGGGGGCGCACCGTTTGAGTCGACTCAGAAGCAAAGTGAGGGGAGCTCACCGTTTGAGTTGACTCAAAAGCAAAGTGAGGGGAGCTCACCGTTTGAGTCGACTCAAAAGCAAAGTGAGGGGAGCTCACCGTTTGAGTCGACTCAAAAGCTAAGTGTATATACATAAAACAACAACCGACAACATGGTATGGTGGAATCACATGGTGACGTGACGGGCACTCACCTGCAGCAGCTTGATATCAACCCCTTCCACCTCCACCATCCCTTCCATTTCCCTCACATCCCCTGCCTCCCTGCCGCCTTCTTGTTTCCTTTTTGGGAACTCCCAAGTACAAAAAAACAATCACGTGGTGCAGTGAGCTCACCTGCAGAAGCTTGATCTCAACCCCTTCCACCTCCACCATCCCCTCCATCTCCCTCACATCCCCTGCCTCCCTGCCGCCCCCTTCCGTCCCACCACCAGTCAAAACCGCCGCACTTCCGCTTGTAGCACCACTGCTCACACCAGCCCCCCCAGTAGCAGCACCACCCTTTCTGCCAGACCCCTCCCTGTCCTTGGCTCCCTCCCTCGTGCACACACGCACCACCCGTATCGGCCCATCTGCATACACCTCCACTCCCACCACCTGCTGCTGTGCTGCCTCCTGCCGTGCTGCCTGCTGCCTTGCCAAAGCACCTACTGCACTCATGCTGCCTCTACCCCTACCCTTGCCCCTGCCTCTGCCTCTGCCCCTTCCCCTGCTTCCATCAACGGTTCTACCTTCCTCAGTTGCGCCCTCCCCAACACCTTCTCCCTCCTCTTGCTCCTCCTCCTCGTCCTCGTCCTCATACTTGTAAGCATCGTCATCAAAATCCTCTTCCTCCCCCTCCTCCTCCGCCTCCTCTCCCTCCCCCTTCCACTGGCGCAGGTGAAAGGGCAGGTGGAAGGGCAGCAGGGAGGAGAAGGCGGACTGGGAGAGGCGCAGGCGGCGCCACGGCTTGACCTTGTCGGGACTCATCTCCTGCTGGGGCGTGCAGCCTGGAACGAGGGAGGGGGAAAGTGGGAATGAATGGGGGAAACGCAATTCAGGAGCACAACGGAACTCAATGTCAGGTGGATTTCAACACCAGCTGCGATTTGCAAAAGACAACAAACCAATGTCAGATGGGCCAACAACGGAACCCAGTGTCAGGTGGAGTTTGAGTTGAATAATGACGCACCTGGAGCTGTGAGCAGCAGTCTCTTGGGTAAGCGCCAGTCTTCCCAGGTGAAAGGAACCGATTCACCTGCTTCCACCACCTCCCACCCCTCTGAACCCTGCACACATGCAACATGCATGCAGTCACATTCAGTAGAGTGTCATAGCATATAGTCACACACATGGTCCTTCCAATCGCGCAATTCGCACCACTCAATACTACTGCCCGGCCTTCTGCTACTCACCTCCTCCGCTTTTTTTTTTTTGTTTTTTTGTTTTTTTTTTTTTTTTTTTTTGCAATGGCTACAGACCTGCCCAGACCTGCCCGCCCACCCACCTTCTGTGTGACAGAGACCGCTGATCCCAGGAGAGTGTTCTCAATGCGGTACGGCGCTTCCCTCATGCCGTCCACTGGACGAATCTCCGCCACCCACGTGCCGCCCACCGCCGCCCCTGCTGCTGATGCTGATGGTGATGTTGCCGAGGGTTCATTCTTCCCTGCTGCATCGGCAACTAAACCATCGCTAGGCCCCATTCCCATTCCCCCTGCCTCCTCTGCTTGCTCTGCTGATGTGTTCAACCTCAAATCAGATGCTCCTTCTGCTGGGCCTCCCGTGGTTCCTCCCCCGCCTCCTCCCTCTGCCACGTCAGCAACGGCGAACAGCACCGGCTGTAGCACGCGCACGCCTCCTGCCGCTACAACTGACATTGACAGCTGGCGGTGGAAAGATGCTGCTGCTGCAGCGGATGGTGATGGTAATTGTGATGATGGGGATGATGGGTATGGGGATGGGGGTGCTTCGTGGAAGGTTCCACCTAGTGGGTGACTGGAACTGTCGCTGTTGCCGCTGTTGGTGTGAGAGCGCATCTTGAGGCAGAACGAGCCGAGAGATGCCGCCCCGAATGGCCCAGACCAGTGCCACGTGGCAGGCTGTGATTGGCCTCGAGGAGATGGAGCAGGCGAGAACGAATCAGAAAAGTCTAGCGGGCGGAAACGCAGGAAAGGACGAATGATGCCGCCCTCTTCCAGCAGAGAATCGCGGGAGGAAGAAATTGGAGGAGAGTAGGGGGAGGAGGAGGAGGAGAGGGCGAGGGAGGAGCGAGAGGACCAGATGTGCGATGGTGATTGGGCATGGATGGGTGCAGATTCCCCTGGTTGTATGGTGGTCCAGAGCTCAGGGAAATACTGCCATTCATTGGGCATGGAAGGGGGAAGGCAGGCACATACCAGATATTAGAAAGAGGATAAGAGAACAAAACCATTTTCAACAAAGCCATTTTCTACATAGGGAAGCGGCTGCGCACGAAGATTTTTGCGCAGATCTCAGCCAGGCGAGGCGAGATAGACTGCTGCTTGCTGACAGGCGCAGGAGGTAGAAGAGACCCAAAACATCCCTGCCCTCGACACCGGCCAAACCCACCTCGAGCCCTTCCTGGCAAACGAGCAGCGGCACGGGGAAGCAGTTGCGCACAACATATCTCGGGCAGATCTCCGCCACACGTGTTGGGCTGCCATTCGCTGACAGGCGCAGGCGCACGGCAAACTGGAAGCAGCGCAGCGACCAATCACAGGCTGCCTCAGCAGTAGCCTCAGCAGTAGCAGCAGTGACACCCCCCTGAACATGCCCTCTTTCTCCTTCTTCCCTTTCTTCCCTTTCGTCCCTTTCCTCCCCTTCCTCTCCTTCCTCCCCACCCTCCACCACGGTCTCTAGCCGCGGCCTCTCCCTTCCCCTCTGCTGCTCCTGAGCTCTTCTTCTTGTACCCCTTACAGACATCTCCTGTTCTCCTACAGTAGCGTCCCTGTCCCTTATAACGGGCACATACTGCACCAGCTGAATCTCTGTGGTTCGGCAGATGGAGGAGAGGTCAATGGTGGCCCCTCTACCTGTAACACTACTGCTTCCCCTCTCCCAGTTGCTGCCTCTCAGATACCCCTGTGACTCTCTTCTTGTACCCTCCTGTGCATTGAGGTCGTTTTTGAGGCGCCTCAAAAACGACCTCAGATACCGCTGTTCCTCTCTTCTTGTATCCTCCTGTGCCTGTGCAATGGAAATGTAGACCGACATGCCTCTGCAAGAGGAGAAACCAGGAGGGTAGGCAGAGGGAAAAAGAGAGTGGTTCACGGCCTGGCCTGCTGTTTGTTGCCATGTTGCATTGCACTCTACAACAACAGCAGTGGCGCTTGCAGAGCACGGAAGAACGAGACTAAACACAAATGCAGAGGAGCAAAAGAGGAGAGGAGAAAAGGAGGAGAGCAGCAAGGGAGCGAAGGAGCAGCGCATCTGAAGGTGAACAAGGGAGCGAACAATCAACATGCACTCACACAGCAAGCCACGGCTTGGCAGTGCTGGGATTCAGAAGAAGTGATGCGGTGGAGTACGGTGAAGAGGTCTGTGACTGCTGCTGCGACCGGCTCCCTCTCTTCCCCCTGCCATCTGGCACCCAGGATGATTCCAGTGGGTTTCCAGCACTGGAGCAGAGCAGTGGTGTGTCAGTGGCGTTACGGATGGTCCATGCAGGGAAGATCTCAAACTGCAGAAGAGCAGGTGAGTAGGAGAGGGGAGGGGGAGAGTGAGAAAAGGAGCAGAGCGGCGGTGTGTTGGTGGCATTGCGGATGGTCCATGTGGGGAAGATCTCAAACTGTGGAGAGCAGGTGGAGGGAGGAGGGGAGACGAGGGAATTGCGAGGTTTGCGTATGGATCGGGGGCAGTGTGAGATTGCTGCCAAGGAGAACTGCAATGGCGTGTCAGTGGCGGATGGTCCATGCGGGGAAGATCTCAAACTGCAGGAGAGCAGGTGGAGGGAGGAGGGGAGACGAGGGAATTGCGAGGTTTGCGTATGGATCGGGGGCAGTGTGAGATCGCTGCCAAGGAGAACTGCAATGGCGTGTCAGTGGCGGATGGTCCATGCGGGGAAGATCTCAAACTGCAGGAGAGCAGGTGGAGGGAGGAGGGGAGACGAGGGAATTGCGAGGTTTGCGTATGGATCGGGGGCAGTGTGAGATCGCTGCCAAGGAGAACTGCAATGGCGTGTCAGTGGCATTGCGGATGGTCCATGCGGGGAAGATCTCAAACTGCATGGGAAGGGAATGCAGATGAGGAAAAAGGGGCTGCAGTCAAGAAAAAGGATGGAGTCAACAGGCTTGCAGCCATAGAGAAGGGAAACGGTGTGCCAGGGGTATGTGTATGTATCACCGTGTCGCCCACGCTCACCGTTTCTCACGCTCACCTCAGGCACAGCATCCCTGTCGCTGTATCGAGTCCGCAGCTGTACAGCCATCTCACGTGTGAGGAGCTGTCCGCAGCTGAACGTGTGAGGAGTACTCCTCCCCCTCAATGACACACCACGCCTCTCTGCCTTCTGCTGCTGCTGCTGCTGCTGCTGCCGCTGCTCCTGAGGATTCACCTGCTGCTGCTGCTCCTGCCTCTCTTCAGAATCCACCTGCTGCAGTTTCACCTGAACCTCGTTCCCACCAGCAGACGGCAATCCCCCCAGGTGGGCAAGAGCCACTGCGCCCTTGACAGGTGGCAGCACGTCATGGGCCAGCAGCGCCAGCATGTTAACAGCACAGGGAACGTGGACAGGGGCACTGCTCCACTTGCTGCCACACGTGTTACTTGCTGCAGCCACACTGATGGTGCTGCGCGAATTTTGAGGCGCCTCAAAAGTCGTCCACGTGCTGCCCCACGTGTCACTTGGTGCAGTCACACCGATGCTGACTAAATCCGTACGGTCAGATTCTTCAGGTGGTTTCACAGATAATGGATCGGAGGTGTGGAGGAGGGCAAGGTAGCACCAGGACGGGTCAGCGAAGAGAGAGAGCCAGGCAGAAGAGGCGGCAGGGATGTGAAGAACGGATGCATCAGCCGCAGGCACAGCAGCAGCAGCAGCGGCACTGGCACTGGCAGTGGCAGCGCTACCACCACTAGCAGCGCCATTAGCAGCAGCAGCAGAAAAAGCTGCAGCAGCAGCCAAGGCGTCCCTCTTAGTAGGTGAGATACAGACCACTAGATCAAACGGCAACCAGCAGCGCACTCGAGCAGTGGGCAGCACCTCTACCTGCATCGGCCGCACCCACGCCACCCCCCTCCCCTCTCCCCCCTCCCTCTCACTCCCCCCCACCTCCCCTCTCCTCACACCCCCTCGCATGTCGCTAACCACCTGCCCTTCTCTCAACGCCCCCAGTTGAACCTCCTCAGTTCCCACCTTCACCAGAAAATGCCGAACCTCAGCCCCGACTGCAGAACCTGTGTCATCTCCCGATCCTTCTGGACCAGCCCTTTCCCAAGCCTGTCCTTCAGGCCTGGAAGCCCCCGAAACTCCAGGCTTGGCATGGTTGCTGTAAATGGTAGCAGAAGACATTTTTGGGAGGCAAGTGAGTGTGGAAAAGGACGAATTGAGCGCACCGCTCAGATGCAGCATCTGGCTGATCTGCAGCATACGGCCCATTTTTGTCTTCATCTGCCGCTGTATGCCGTCCAGCCAGCTCTTGTCTCTTACTGCCTGAGATCCCGAGATCTCCTCCGACCAATCAAAGCACAGCTGCTCCTGCCCCCGCTCCTGTGGTTGCTGCTGCTTCTGCTGCTGTTGCTCCTGCTGTTGCTCCTGCTGAGTCTCCTGCTGCTGCTGGGAGCAAGTCCAACCCATGGCGGCAGTGCTTTTGGCAGGAGACCCGTAGCCGAGAGGCGTGGTTGTTGAGGCAGGTGGCCGAAAGGACAGCAGGAAATTGCCTGGACATAACAAATGGGTAGGCATGGAGGATTATGTGAGATTAGAGAGCAGACCAATGTTGATAGTTACAACGACAAAATGGGCAGGACAGTGAAAAGAAAAAAATCCAAGTGCCCACCAAGGTCGACTTTTGAGACGTCTCAAAAGTGCCCACCAAGGTCGTACCGGCAGCAAGGTCATTGACGAGGCGGCGCTGCTCGCCAGCAGAAGCAGCAAAACGGAAGCAGAGAGCAGCATCGTCCAAAGCCTGCCCCTGCTGCAACTGCTCCACTACCTCCATCCCCCCCTGCTGCCTTGCCCCCGCTTCATCCTGCTTTGCCGCTGCCACCTCTACTTGCCCCACCCCCTCCACCACTGCTTCCCCTCCTGCTGCTTCTCCTGCAGCAGCAGCAGCAGCACCACCGGGAGCTGCAGCTTCCCCTCCAATGGGAGGGGCTGCTGCCCCTCCCGCGGCAGGTGCTCCTCCAGAGGGAGCAGGGCGGCGGCGCAGGCAGACTTGCAGGGGGAAGCCAGTGTTGTTGCGGACAGAGAGGAAGGGCGAGATGGAGAGGCGCACGCCCTCTGGTGTTCTCTTGGACACGTGCAGCACCACCATTGGACCTGGCAGCGAGGCAGCGGCTGTTTGACTTTGACCCAATCCTGCACACGGAGAACAGGAGGAAAAGGAGACGATCAAATGCCTCAGCAAAGCAGCGGTTGGTTGGCCGGTTACTAAGGAGACTCAGCAGCTTGCCGATGTAATAGGAGAAGTGCGCAACGAGGATGACCACCGGATGGGGCTGAGATCCGGCCTGACCAATGGTGCTATTAAGCTCTATGCGAATTCCAAGAGGCGGACTGACCTTGGAGCAGGCGTGTGCGGACAGCCAGAGAGCCCTCTCTGGCGATGGAGATGGAAACAGGCAGCACCCACCCCTGCTCTGCTTCTGCCGCCTCCTGCTGCCCCTGCTGCTTCCCGTCCTGTGACAGCCCCTCTTGCTGCTTCCCCTTCTGCTTCTGCCCTTTCTGCTGCTGCTGCTGCCGTTGCTGTTCGGTGCGGTGCTGTGTCTTGGGCAGCGGTGGTGGCAGGAGGCGCAGGAAAGCGAGAGACGACTCGCGGGCGTTGGAGAGATTCCGGCGGGATAAGAAATGCCTGCAGGAGGAGGAATGGCAATGGCACAGAACGGTAAAGAGGAGTTGTCAGGGACTGTGGAAACATGCAAGGGAAAAGGTGGGGGTGGCAGGAAGGAAACCATGTGAGGGTGCCACGGCAACACCACACCCAACCGATGCGACCCGCTACGCCAAACCCCCAAGACAGCCCAGCTCAAGTTCAAATCAAACCCTCTTCATACAAGGGAGATTGAGGGAGTTTCAGCTCTGCCGCTCAAACTCCCTTCACACTCACCGCACAAGAAACGTCCCTGTGCCTCTGCACCCAATCACTGCCTCAGAAGCGCCCCCTCCTCCCCCGCTCCCCCCTGCTGCTGTCGCTGCTACAGCTCCTGCCAGACCTTCCGTGACCCGTGTAAGTATCGCCCCCGAGCGGCCAATATTAGCAGGCAAAATCCCAGCAGCAGCAGGCGAGCTCTCATAGTCGTGATTGAAGAAGGAACAGGCGAGGCGGAGAGTCGTGCTGTTGGTCACCTGGGTGCATGAGAGGAGGGATTGCGGAGGGAGGGGATTGGGAAGGGAGGAAACAGCGGACAGAATTGGTGAGAGATTGGTACTTCAGTGAATTCCGGTGGATGGTGGTGAATGGTGAATTCTGGTGAATCCCAGAGAGTCCAAGCACCCCCATGCATCGTTTGGCGAGGATGGGCGAGTGGTGGATGGTGTAGGGACCAGCGAGTCCCAGCACCCCCACCAGCAGCAGCAGCGCATCCAGAGACTCCTTCACAGCCCTACCCCTACCCTAAACCCTAAAACTTCAGGCTTCTACTTTAAACATACCATGCACCGGTTGGCGAGAATCGGTGAGTGGCGGACAGTGTACGGCCCTGCCAGTCCCAGCAGCCCCACCAGCAGCAGCAGCGCGTCAAGGGACTCCTCCTCCACCACCACCCGCACCTGCTGCACTCTTATAAGAGCCAGCAATCCAGGCTTATAAGGGGTACAAAGTGTCCGGGAGCGCCAGAAGAAGTCCATTGGGCTTGACGTGAGGAGGCTGGTCCTGATTGGGTTTCGCAGGGAGCGGGAGAGAGGAGGGGGAGATTGAAGGACTACCTACCAGCTTTTTCCAGCATAAAAGGTCAACATGCTCTGAACCCCCAACCCCTAACCCCGAAACCCCAACTTTAAGCCCTCACCATCGGCTCCTCTGGCCATCATAGGTGGCCACTTGGATTCGGCAGGATCCGAACAGGCGAGTCTTGTGTGAGCCCAGCTGAACCACAGATGCCACCTCCCCCACATGCACCCGAATCAGTGGCAGCACTGGCGGGCTGCGCGTCACCCCATCCCAGATAAAGCCTTTGGATTCCTCCCCATCTCTCGGATTCCCCCCTGTGCTGCTGCTGCTGCTGCTGCTGCTCCTGCTGCCCACCTCCCTGCGCCCCGAGGAATCCTGTGTCGCTGCTGCTGGTCTTGTCCTGCTTCTCCTCATGCTGCTGCTGTTTCTGCTGCTGGTGGTTTCTTCCTCGAAGAGAATGGTGAAAAAGACATTGCTGACAGAGACACGCAGAGATGGGATGAATGTGACATGCTTGTGTCGAACCAACGATTGAAACGACCCCTGCTGCTGCTGCTGCTGCTGCTGCTGCTGCTGCTGCTGCTGCTGCTGCTGCTGCTGCTGCTGCTGCTGCTGCTGCTGCTGCTGCTGCTGCTGCTGCTGCTGCTGCTGCATCTGTTGCTCCTCCTCCTCCTGCCTGACCTCCACACCTGCTTCTTCCTGACCTTCTCGCCTTTTCCGCAAGGCTTCTCCCTGTCTCATCTCAAGCTCGCCCCTCGTTACAAGCACCCGCATCTGCACCGCATGGCCCTGCCCACCCGGCAGCAGCACAGGAAGCCCTCTCACAAACGCGAAATCAGACCCTGTCTTGCGGTTCTGCATGCGAATCACCCACCTCCGCTTATCCCCTCTGCCCCTTCCATGTTTTCCACCCGTCGTCCCAGATTTCTCCCTTACTGCTCCCCCTCCCACTCTCCCACCACCAGCGCTAATAACTTCCCCATCTGCCCCCACTGCCCCCACTGCCCCCACTGCCCCCACTGCCCCCTCTCTCCCAGCCGCCTCATCCTCCTCACCATTACCAACCCTCTCCTCCTCCCTCTCTTCCTCCGCCTCCTTCTCTTCCCCTTCGTCTCCCTCCTCCCTTTCATCCTCCTCCTCCACACCTCCCACTGCCTCTGCCACCAGCCGCCACTGCTCCCACGACCCCTCATTACTGTTCTGCACCGCAATGCGCCCGCCGGGCGAGTTCGGCTGGTAGTGCACGCACAGCGGGCGGCGAACAGGAACCTGCTCAGCACCTTCCATGCCTATCACCGTGCTTCTGTCCGCATCTGCACCTGTGCTCGTGCCTCCATCTGTGCCTGTGCTGGCGCCTGTGCTTGTCCCTGCCTCTGTGCCTAATTCTAAGCCAGAAGTACCATCAGCAGTGTAAGGAGACTGAAGGCAGAACCAGCGGGAAACGGCCGACTTTCCATCCCGCGCAATACTCCAGAAGGGTGTGTCATCCCAATGCATCCCTTCATGCTGCTGCCTCTCTTGCTGCCTCTCTTCCCCTCTCTCTTGCTGTCTTTCTTGCTCCTGCCCATCATGCATTTCATTAGGCTGCTTCCCCCAGCTGTGTGACAGGAACGGTAAGGCCGGAAGCTTGAGCTTCTCGCGCCACCCGCGGCTCTCCGGGAAACGGACAAGAAACACCGCCCGGTCGCTCGACGCGAGACTGTAGTGTGCCACAGACGTCAGCCGGAAGCTTTCTGGAAGGTTGGGTGCGTCTTTGACCGCGAGGTATTGGCGTGTGTCGAGATCCCGAAGGGCCACCAGAGAACCTGCTTGGGTAGGGGTGTTGGGGGGACTAGTTCTGCGGCGTCTCAAAACTAAAGCAGAGGCAAGCTGGTACAGCAAGAAGTCTAGTTCTGTGGCGCCTCAAAACCAGATTCCTGCACGGCTGGGTGAGTCTTCGACTGAGTTATTGGCGTGTTTTGAGACGTCTCAAAACACGCTGGGTGAGTCTTCGACTGAGTTATTGGCGTGTTTTGAGACGTCTCAAAACACGCTGGGTGAGTCTTCGACTGAGTTATTGGCATGTTTTGAGACGTCTCAAAACACGCTGGGTGAGTCTTCGACTGAGTTATTGGCGTGTTTTGAGACGTCTCAAAACACGCTGGGTGAGTCTTCGACTGAGTTATTGGCGTGTTTTGAGACGTCTCAAAACACGCTGGGTGAGTCTTCGACTGTGAGTCATTGGCGTGTGTCAAGGTCTCGGAGGGACACTAGAGAACCTGCTTGGGGTGTGGTGGGGGTGTGAGGCAGGGATGATGAGAGGGTGAGGAGGATGAGAGAGCGAAAGCCACGGCATTCAAAGTGCAGAAGGAAAAAGGAAAGGGTCTCATACAGCACGAAAGAACTACTAGCGCATGATGAAACGGGCTACCTTGATGGAGATCCACAAGTGAGCCAACACCGGCAGCAGCAGCAGCTGCTGTGACACCACTCTTTCTGCCCGCACCACCAGTCCTCCCTGTGGTAACAGCAGCGGGAGCAGCATTGCGGGTTGGCTGGAAGGTGGATAGCGGCTCAGCAGATGGTGCTTCGGCTGCTCCTGCTGCTGGCAATGGTGAGACGGACGAGAGGAGCGACAGCAGCATCTGGTGGAAAGAGGCATGGAAATGCACGTAAGGGAGGATGACTGGTTTGGGTGCATACGAACTGCTTGAAACGAGGTGACTTTTGAGTCGATTAAAAAAATGCACGGAAGGGGGGATGACTGGTTCAGGTGCATATGACTGCTTGTGTTCAAGCTTGTGTGAGGGCATCGCGACTGTTTTTGAGTCGACTCAAAAAATGCACGGAAGGGGGGATGGCTGGTTTAGGTGCATATGACTGCTTGTGTTCAAGCTTGTGTGAGTGCATCGGGACTGCTGTTGCAGCTGTTGCAACTTGGTGCTACCAGATATGCTTGTGAGAATTTTTAAATAGCCTAAAGAGACGTGTGCTGGAAAGAAGTTGACTTTATCTGAGTCGCGAAGTGACTTTTGAGTCGACTCAAAAGTCACCTTGGTGCTACCAGATATGCTTGTGAGAATTTCTCAATAGCCTAAACAGACGTGTGCTCGAAAGAAAGAAGGTGTTTATGTCTGAGTCGCGGCGCCTAAAACAAGAGCTTGACAGACACATCATGGAAAGGAGGTGCTGGTTTCTCTCACCTGAATCTCTGCCACCGTAACTGCCACATCAGCTCCCTGCACATCCACAAACCCCTCCACCGCATCCCACCACTTGTTAGCTGGACCAATGTACTTCCTCCGCCCCTTAGCAGCAATGCTACCATTGATAGCAGGAACGATTCTCTGTTGCAGCCTCAGACGAGAAGAAAGGCCTGGAAGAATGCTGCTATCTGCATCCATATAACTCTCCCAATCACCACCCTCACTGTCACCACCCTCACTGTCACCACCATTCTCACTGTGACTAACCTCAACGTCACAACCACTATCCCCTATCTCATCTTCCATCTCCTTGCCTCTATTCGAAGGCCCCTCTCCTCCACTGTCACTCGCACCTTCCTCTCTGGCTGAAGAAGAAGCCTTCCTTGCACCACACCTCACATCACCCTCACCGCGAATATCTACCCCATGCCTGTGACTAGCTCTCCTCTCGCTCTCTTCTTCCCCCTCTTCTGCAGAAGCAGCCAGAGCAACGGGAGGAGGAACAGCAGAAGACGGAGCAGGAGCAGCAGCGGCAGTAGCTGGACTGGTGGTAGAATCACCAGAAGCAGCAGCCACGCCAGTGGCAGCAGCAATAGAAGCAGCTGGACTATGGAATTCCCGTCTGCGCTGTACGTGGTTTCCTCCTCTGATGCTCTTCACTGCCAGTCTCTTGAGGTCAAAACTCACTGCATGCATGCTGCTGCCCTTCACTCCAGTCGCATTCACATCATCTCCTCCACAAGGGCCAACCTCAGACGAGCCGAACGCGCTCAGGAGCACGAGAAACGCGCCCTTGCCTACCTCAGGGTGCAGCAGCAGCAACCGCACTCCACCCATTTCCACCCATGCATGTGCACACAGCACCTGGAGGCACTCCATGTAGGAGGTACCTCGAGACTCTGCTGCTGCAGCAGAAGCAGCACTTGCCATTTCAGGAGCGCCCTGCCCTCTCAAACCAGTCTTCTCCACCCCTGTCCTTTCAGCTCCGCTCCCATTCCTCCTCCCCTTCCTCCTCCCCTTCCTCAACTCCTCCTGTCCCGGCACACTGAACGTGAAGAGGGGGGAGAGGGCTGAGAGAGTGTGGGAGAGGCGGGAGAGAGCAGCAGGGTCTAGGGCGAAGAGCCCTCCCTGCCAGGACAGACCGAAGGAGTCCCTTGCACATGCGAGGTTAGAGGTGGAGCCACTCCGGACGTCAGTTGAGGGAGATAAGGGAAAGCGGTACTCAACTGACACGTCAGCTGCTTCTGAACGCTGCCGCTGCTGCCGCCACTGCACCCGCCGATGCCGCCGCCGCTGCTGCTGCTGCTGCTGCTTCTGTTGTGCAATGCCTACAGAAACGCAATCCGTTTTGAGCCTGGAACTGCTCTCGCCCCTGATGGGCCCCACAGAAGCAGACAGCTGCCACACCTCGCAGCAACCACAAAAAGCTGGTGACCTTGTTCCACTACTGCTGCTGCCGCCGCCGCCGCTGCTGCTGCTGCTGCTGCTGTTTTGGCCGCTGCTGCTGTTTCTGCGGCCCTGGCGAGGCCCTACGAAGCTTGGCATGTGCCGAAGATGCTCCTGCTTATGCTGCCCACATCTTCCCTCCTCCTCATTGTCCTTCTCCTCCTCCTTCCCCTGCAACTGCTCTCTAACAGGAGCAAGACTAGACAGAGCAGGAACAGTCCACAAGCTCTTAACCGCCTCAGCAGATGACGATGCTGCTGCTCCTGCTCCTGCTCCTGCTGCTGCTGTTCTTTGATCTTTGAACTGTGTTACTCTAGCTGAAAAATGGTCCATTCGAAGTGTGTTCACCGGCCCTCGCAGCACAGGCAGTGCTGCAAACAACCACCCACCTTCACTCCTCCTCCCCTCCCAACCCCCACTGGCCCTCCCATCCCAGCCACCACTACTCCTCCCCTCCCTGCCAGCGCTCCTACCCTGCTGCCTACCCTGCTGGCTCCCCTGCTGCCTCCCCTGCTGCCTCCCCTGCTGCTTTCTCTGCTGCTTCTCCTGCTGCTTCACCAGCCGCAGCACCTGCCTGACCGCACCAGCTGCATCGGAATGACAGGAGAGCAGCAGAGGCGCCAGCCCCAGCAGCACCTGCTGCTCTGCACTGTCATCACTCACGAGCACGTCTAGACTAATGCTCCGCACCTCTGCTGCTGCCATCTGCTGCTCCCTGCCCCCACCGGTGACAGCAATACTGCTCATGCACTGCATGGGATCTGAGTCTGATGGAACTTGCCTGTCCGCACCACAGTTTCTTCCAACTGCGCTCCCCTGCTCATCTCCAACCCCCAGCACTCTCCTGCTGCGCCCCTCCTCTTTATCACCTGCCCTCCCATCCCTTGCACTTCTTCCCTGCGCCTTTTCTTGCCCTTCCCCTCCTCTTTCCCCTCCTCGAATCAGGCCCAGAGCCCTCCACAAGCCCTTCCACCTTCTTCGATTCCCTTGCTTTGTAACGCCTCCCACACTGCCTGACCCATCCCTCCCATCTTCCCCATCCCTCCCATCTTCCCCATCCCTCCCATCTTCCCCATCCCTCCCATCTTCCCCATCCCTCCCATCTTCCCCATCCCTCCCATCCTCCCCATGCCTGAATTCCCCATACCCATCCTCCCCATACCTGAATTCCCCATGCCCATCCTCTCCATCCTCCCCATCATCTCCAATACCCCCTTCTCGATGATCTTCCTCTCCTTCACCTCTCCACTCCTCGTCACCGCACTCTACTCCAGCATCCACCTCTCCATTCGACATCCACGGCATCTCCTCCTTACCTATCCCTGCCAGCCCGACCTTTCCCCCAAGCCCTCCCCCACGCACCATCCATGGCTGTTCAGAGGTAGTTCGAAGCAATAGCCCTCGTCTTCCCATATGCTTCACAGATCTCAACTCCCCAGCCCGCTCTCCCATTGCCTCCCCAGCCCGCTCTCCCTTTGTCTCCCCACCCCCCCTTCCCTGCATGCTGTTTCGTCTAAGCTGCCTAACACGCATACCTCGCCTGCTTCCCTCTCCGACCCCCCACCGCTTCCCACCCCACTCAAACCCTCTCATTCCCACGCTGCCAGTACTGGTACCTGTAATAGCCTCGTCTTCTCTATTCCCACCCTTCCTTTCTGTAAAACCCCTTCCTTCTCCAGACCCCCGCCTATGCCCCTCCATAGCCCCCCATTTGCCTCTCATCTGTACGCTTCTACTCCTGTTGAGCGCCACTTCATCACCCACACGCCATCCCTCTGCCCTTTTACGCCACAGGCCCCATAAATCATATCTCTCCGCTTTCTCACCCCCCTCGCCCCATGAAGCACCTTTTCCTTCCCCCTCCTTCCCCTCCTCCCCCTCCTGCCCCTCCTGCCCTTCCCTCTCTTCCTGTCCCTCCTGCTCCCCTCCCTCATCCCCCTCTGCTTCTCCCCCATCCTCTCCCCCTGTGCCACGTGTCAATGGACAGGTCAGCACGTCAGGAAGCATCCTAGCTGGCATAGACACGACAGTGTACGGTACCGTGGCGCAGAGAGCAGCAGAGAGAGAGGCAATCTCGAGACCGAGGGAGAGAGAGAAGGAGGAGGAGGACTGGAACGGCGAGGAGGAGGGGGAGGAGGAGGGGGAGGAGGACGAGGTGGGGAAAGAAGAGGAAGAGGAGGAGGGTCCGGAGGAGGAGGAGGAGGAAGAGGAGGGGTCAGAGGACGAAGGAGCAGATGGCATATGCACAGTGCTTGGGGAGTCTACCTCTATAAGACTGGCAGCCATGTTTACAGCGCTTGCCATATGTACAGCTGCTGCTGCTGCTGCGGGTTGTGCTGCTCTGGTGGTGGTGGGGTTGCCATGACAAGCGTCACTGCTAGAAGCAGGCAGGCTGGCAGCGTCTACAACGGCTTGCAGCACCTGCCAGGGAGGACAGAAAGCAGAGAGAGAGAGGATTCTTGAGGCGCCTTGAAACTGGTATGTTCGACAGCTGCTGCAAGGTATGCTATCCTCATGTGATGCTGATGCTGATGCTGATATGCTGATGCTGATGCTGATGCTGATATGCTGATGCTGATGCTGATGCTGATATGCTGATGCTGATGCTGATGCTGATATGCTGATGCTGATGCTGATGCTGATGCTGATGCTGATTCTGATTCTGATGCTGATTCTGATGCTGATTCTGATGCTGATGCTGATGCTGCTGATGCTGATACTGATGCTGATGCTGATTCTGATGCTGATTCTGATGCTGAGGCTGATGCTGATGCTGATGCTGATATGCTGATGCTGATTCTGATGCTGATGCTGATGCTGATGCTGATGCTGCTGATGCTGATGCTGATGCTGATGCTGATTCTGATGCTGATTCTGATGCTGAGGCTGATGCTGATGCTCTGATGCTGATGCGCTGATGCTGATGCGCTGATGCTGATGCTGATGCTGATGCGCTGATGCTGATGCTGATTCTGATGCTGATGCTGATGCTGCTGATGCTGATACTGATGCTGATGCTGATTCTGATGCTGATTCTGATGCTGAGGCTGATGCTGATGCTGATGCTGATATGCTGATGCTGATTCTGATGCTGATGCTGATGCTGATGCTGATGCTGATGCTGATGCTGCTGATGCTGATGCTGATGCTGATGCTGATTCTGATGCTGATTCTGATGCTGAGGCTGATGCTGATGCTGATGCTGATGCTCTGATGCTGATGCGCTGATGCTGATGCGCTGATGCTGATGCGCTGATGCTGATGCTGATGCTGATGCGCTGATGCTGATGCTGATGCTGATGCTGATGCTGATGTGATGCTGATGCTGATGCTGATGCTGATGCTGATGCAGATGCTGATGCTGATGCTGATGCTGATGCTGATGCTGATGCTGATGTTGATGCGCTGATGCTGATGCTGATGCTCTGATGCTGATGCGCTGATGCTGATGCTCTGATGCTGATGCGCTGATGCTGATGCGCTGATGCTGATGCTGATGCTGATGCTGATGCTGATGGTGATGCTGATGTTGATGCTGATGTTGATGCTGATGCGCTGATGCTGATGCGCTGATGCTCATGCTCATGCTCATGCTCATGCTCATGCTCATGGTGCCATGAAATGTTTCAAGGCACCTTTACGATCAGGGCATCACCTTGGGAAGTGAGTGGTGACGTATCACTGCATGATGAGACAGTGGGTGACAGGCAGCGGAGCTCGCAAGTGTAAGGTCGTCTGACGCACCGTTATATGCAGAGACTTACCTCGGGAAGGGCGTGTATGACAGTGGCAGGCACGGTAGCTGCGAACGCAGGGACGCAGATCAGAGCAGCCGCAGATGTGATTGTATCCGATGTGAGTAAAGAGGTGGTCTGGCATCGGTACAGAGAGGCAAGCACACTGAGATGAGTCGGAGCCAGCACCACTGTCCACACCGATTCACTCCTCTTCACCGCATCACACTCCCCACTAATTCTTCCCTGTCTTCCCCTATGCTTCCATCTTATCTCGTGTGAATGCACCCCATTAATCTCATCAATTGCCACCTCATCCCTTTCTGCACCCACACCCACTGCCTGGATGCTGAGCCCCGTAATAGTCACATCGCTATTGTGCCACACCTGATGGACGTCCACTGCCCCATACCCCACTGGCCCATCCCCGCCTTGCTTTCCACCATCTCCCACCGTCGGATTGCACTCTCGCCCTCTGCGAGCTGATCTCGGCCGTCCGTTCCAAACAGCCTGCTCCAACCTGTCCCAAACAGCTCCCCTACTCTCGTCCCTGCCCGTCTCCTCAATTCCCACCTTATCCCCTTCTCCTCTCCCTCGATTCCCCTTCTGGCCCTTCTCCTCCTTCGCCTCCTCCCTTCCCGGCACCTGATTCCCTCGTTCTTCTTGCCCTGCATTCCCGACTGTAGCCTTGTTGATGTTGACTGTGGCGTTTCCAGCGACTGTGGAGTTCCCAGTAGGGAAAATAGGGCTACCAGTACTGGAACTAGGGTTGATTATAGGACCCATGCATGGGTTGTAAGGAGGCTTGGGACGAAGCCTGATAGCAAGAGAAGCAACCCCAGCCACTATCACATCTGCACCGCTCGTTACAGTCGCGTGATGTTGCTCCTCCTGCTCCACGGCTATTGCTGCTCCTCCTCCTTCTCGCACCGCCTCTGCTGCTCCTCCTTCCACTACGACCCTGCCCGGAAATGTAGCCGCTGTATCTACTCCCCCTCTTACACCTGACTTCACTTTCCCGTGGGACAAAGATAGCAGGCTAGCGCCATTGCTTGCAGACTCGCTGCTGCAAGGAAAACCAGCAGTGAAAGCTGCAGCAGCTGCCGCCGCTGCCACATCAGCCTGAACCCCAACAGCCAACCACAGCCTGCCACTTGTCGCGTTCACACGCCACGATGCACCCGGGATGAGTCCGTCTAGAGCCGACCGCAGAGCTGCAAACAGGCTGTCTAAGCTGCTGCTACAATGGCTCTCACAAGTGGGGTGCTGGGGGTGTCTTTCACTACCAGATTGCCGGGGGCGTCTTTCACTCCCACTAGGACCCGTGGGAACATCAGCACTTGTAGGTGGGTGTTTCACACAAGTCGGATCAGTGCCTTTCACAAAGCCGGCACTGCTCCCTCTGCTGCTCCTGTACCTACCCTTGCTTCTATCCTTTGCCTTGCTCGTTCCGATGCTGCTGCTCCCCGCACTGTTGCTCCCCCCACTGCTACTCCCCTCACTGCTGCTCCCGTCAATACTGCTCCCTTTGCTACTAATCACAGCTGAAACCTGCGCAAGCAGCTCTCCCAACGTCAGGAATGCACCAATCAGATCTGGACTCACAGCCAGGAGCGAATCACCTGCTGCCACGTGGACCTGCACTGGTCTGTCCGGTCTGGTGGAGGCTGGAGCAGGGGCCGCCATCTGGAACGACAGAAACGGCTCCTGATTGGCCACACTTCCGCTTCCAGTGTTTTCAGGAACAACAGGGCTGCTAGCACTCATACTTGATCCTGTTGCTGTTTCCTGTGTTTCTGCTTCCGTCCCAACTCTGGTAGCTTTGTCTTCATTTGACCGGCGCAGGTGCAGAAAGGGAGGCAGTGGGGTGAGCAGGAGGCAGCGAAGCAGATAGGAGATCAAGCTTCCTGGATCCTCCTCTGCAGCTGAATCAGCCCCTGTGTTTGCCACCCCTCCGCCATCCCCATCTCCCCCAGCACTCCTTTTCTCAGATACTGCCTCCCTCAGACCTTTCCGAGCAGACAGGCTTAAGAACGGCACCATACTCTTGTGTGAGTCGGAGCAGCAAGATGCACGTGGGGCAGCGCACGTGTGAGGGGAAGCGCACAAGCAGCCGTGTACTGCCTGCACCTCAACGCTGCTCTGGAAGCCCCCTGATGGCAGCGACAGCATGGCTGCTCGCACTCCTGACACCGCCACATGCAGTGCGGATGAATGGCCCATTCCAGCCTCATTCGCAGCACAGGCAGCAGCAGCAGACGCGGCAACGGCAGCAGGCGCAGCAGCAGGTGCGGCAGCAGGCGTGGCAGCAGGCGCGGCAGCAGCAACAACAGCAGCAGGGGCAGACGTAGCAACAATGGCCCAGTCAGCAGGGGTGTTATCAGCAGGGGTGTTATCAGCATCTACATATCCTGCCACTCCAGAGTGAAGCAACCACGGAGGCATGTCCGCTCCCAGTAGACCCACCACCACGTCAAGTCCTGCCACCCTTACCTCCCACCCACCACTTCTTCCTCCCTCTAACCCATCCCAACCTATCTCCACCCCCTGCTCTGCTTTCCCTTGCTCACCCCTCATTTCCTGCAGTTCGCCCCAGGAATCACTCCAGTGGGCCTGCTTCCGAGCCTGCTTCCAGCCCTGCTTCCCGGCCAACTCCCGAGCCTGCTTCCGAGCCAAGCGCCGAGCCAGAACCACACCAGTGGCCCCAAGCCTGTTCTCAATCTCTGTGATTTCACGTTCCAAAGCAACAATTGCCTTTCTTTGCTGCGCTCTCACCACCTCCCTCCTCCAAAATGCCAGAGACGACAGCCTGGAAATACTGCCCTGCCTCCTCCTCTGGGCAGGCAAAACCTTTCCAGAGGCTGCCAGCAGCCAATCAGAATAGAGAGTGGCGTAATTTCTCCGAAGTTCCACAGTGTTTACAGCTCCGTCTAGTCTTAGCTGCTTGCTCTGCTGAACCTGTTGCACTACAAGACCAATTGCGTGCTGCCACCTTGCATGCGCTGACCTGGCACTTTGGGTTTCAGGGTTTGAGTGCTGAGCTGTGATAAGCTCTTCCCCAGACCCACTGCCACTGCTACTGTCGATCCCAACCCCATCCCTACCCTCATCCCCAACCCCATCCTTACCCCCATCCCCACCCCCACTCTCACGCCCAATCCCACTCCCACTCCCACCCCCACCCCCACTCTCAGTCCGACCCCCACTCCCACGCCCACTACCACTGGGTAGCAATGTACACGCAGGAGAAAGCACCCCTTCGGTCGCTGCTGTCGAGCACGATGGTACAGGTGACAATGCTGCTGGTGCTGGTGGTGATATTGCTGGTGGTGGTGCTGCTGCTGGTGGTGCTGCTGATGGGTTTGAAGACGGAAGGCTGGGAGAGAGAGGAGAGCAGACAGAGGAGGGGGCAGGAGCAGCAGGCAAGGCAGGCAGGGACGGAGCAGGCGGAGAGGGAGCAGGCGGAGAGGGAGCAGGCGGAGAGGGAGCAGGCGGAGAGGGTTGGAGGAACATAGCAGCAGCAGACGCCAAAGGGAGGAGGTCCGGCAGGCCTCTCACACGGACCATGACAGACTGATGCAGACACACTGCTGTGTGCTGCACGGACCAATCTCGAGAATACTGCAGCACTACGGACCCTCTGAATGGGTGGATCAAGAAGATCTTATTGGGAAAGACGTTGGGAAAGCCCTCGGTGGTTGCTGGGAAGGAGCTGGGAGGAATGGAGGAGGAAGGGAGCAGGAATGATGTGGATCGGAATGAGTTGTTGGCTGGCCTGGTTGATTCAAACCGTGATGGCTTTGGCTTCTTGGTCTTCCATATCCCTTCCTCCCTCCCTTTGTCACCTTCCTCAGCTTCTCCCCCTTCCTCGCCCCCTTGCACCTCCTCCCCCTCCTGCTCCCCATGCTCCTCCTCTTTCCCATCATCCTCTTCCTCTTCATCTTCTGCCTCCTCATCCTCCCCGCCCCTCCCACCCATCCCTGCACCTCTTTCCAAGTCAACATTCGCCTTTCCCCTCAAAAAACCATCAGCCAAACCCAGATCTTTCACAACTTCCCGTTCCTCTCCCTCTCCCTCCAGCTTCCCCTTCTCACGTCCCTTTCCTCCCACCTTCTCCCCCACACCCCTTTCCAGCCACAGCGCCAGCCCACCCACCTCCCACCGCTGCTCCAATCCACCCTCCCTCCAAACCTCCCTTCCTCTCCCAACTCCCAGACCTACACCTATGATCAAGCTCGCCGTTTTTCTCACCCACACTGCCACCGCTCTCAACCGCTCTGCAGCTGCTTTCACCCACCTGGCTGCTGCCTCAGCGCGAGCAGCTGCCACCCTCACTGTGTGCATCAGGTGATTCGCCAGGAGGAAAACGAGGGTGGCAGAGCCCAAGGCCCAGCATAGGAGCACAGACTGCTGAAACGAGCCCTTCAATTGGTTTGATGAACCTGCTGCTGCTGCGGTGGCGGCTGCTGCCTCTGCTGTCCCTGCACTGTTCCCCACTAGTGCTGCCTCTGCTGTCGCTGCACTGTTCCCCACTAGTGCTGCCTCTGCTGCAGTTCCCTGCAATGCGCCATCTGCTGCTGCTGCTGCAACATCTGCTCTGCTCCCTGTTGAATTGGTCTCTGCTGCTGCTTCCACCCAGCGAGTCTGCACCAGCGGCTTCCAAAAATAGCCCCTAAAGGAAACACTCCTCTGCTGTGCCAGGGGCAACAACCGCGGCTGCAGCTCTCCCATGCCAGTCACATTGGCATCCTGACTCCTAAACAGGAGAGCAGACACACCAAGAAGCACACATAATCCTACCAACAACCACACAAGCACACCCCTCCAGTGTGCGCCTCCCCACAGCCTGCCCCGTGCCCGCTCTCTCCCGCCTGTAACCCCTCTACCACTATTTACACCATCCCCACTCGCACCCACATTGCCCCAAGTGCTGTGCCCGTCCGCCTCTCTCCCATCAGCTTCTCTCCCTGCGTGCGCCTCACCTCCTGCATCAACTGCTGTCCCTCCAGCTGCTGTCCCTGCGCCTGTCGACTGCAAAAAGCCCTCACCACCTGGGACTGCCTCACCCCTTGCCGACTGTCTCCTGTCAGCAGCAGAGCTGGACTGTCGGCACGTAAGCACCAACCTCTCAAGCCCAAGGCAGCAGGCAGCAGGTGCAGAAGGTGCAACAGCAGACTCACCAATCCAACCAGTCTCACCAGTCACTGTCACACATGGAGCGGCGGCACCACCAGTGCTGCCTCGACTTTCTTGCTGCTCCAATGGCTGTAGACGCTTGCCTTTACAGCAGGCAGAGCACGTGCATTGGTAGGGAGGCGTGTGTGGGTGTGGGAGCAGGCGCAGGCACACGTCATGGAGCTCCACACACACCCATGACGCCAGCAGTTGACCCAGGCATTGGCTGAGAGAGAAGGGCGAATGGTGCTGCGCCACGTGGCGCTTGATGGCCTCATGCAGGCTCGCTCCCTGGGAAGAACCGTGAGTAGGGAGAAGAATAAAGCATATGGATGCAGCTATGGATGAAGGTACGTATGAAGGGACAGCGTAGCAGAGTTAGCAGTGGAGCACATGGGCATGAGCAGCTTCAGAACAGATAAAAAAAGAAAAGCCAGATTGAATTCTGGTGTTGATTGGCAGTATTGACTGGTTTGAACACTGGTGCCACCATCGCACTCACCATACTGCAACAATCCGAAAATGCAGAAGCATCTCAAATTCAAATGCGCAAAGAAAGTCCAACATACCTCAGGGTCCAGAAGAGCCACCTGCTGATCCATTGATACATCCCCAATGGTCGCCTCATCCTCAGCCTTCTCTCCACCCACCACCGACTTTTGATGCTCGTGCGCCTTGCTGCTATCTGTCTGTGAGTTGCAAACGGGCCTGATGCAGTGGCAGGGAGGTGGGGGAAGGGGGCAAGGGAGAGAGACGGCTTGACATAGGAAAAAAAGGGAGGAGAGGTTTCATAAACCAGAATCGATGGAGCTTACTGACGTAACTTAGGCAGTTTTCATGGCTCTAAGGTGATATGAAGGCCGTTGATGATCAACCTGACTGGAGCCGATCCCAACAGGCGAATCTCCAGGCTCAGGAATCAAGGTGTATGGAGCTTACTGACTTGCATAAGGCACTGACCTCGGCTCTAAGGTGATATGAAGGCCGCTGACGATCAGCTTAACGTGCGCCGATTTCAGCAGCCGAATTTCCAGCCTCACCGACCCAACACGTGCAGCGGACACACGCAGGGTGTTATCCTCGCCCAGCCACTCCCGATTCATTGAATCTGGACAGGCAACGGCTTCGGAAAGGCACACTGAGCCGTTGAGGATGCTCGCTCGGACAGCATCTGGATGGATTGGCTGCAGCGGGAGAAGCTCGGATAACTTCTGACGGAGGATTTTCTCGATAAAGGAATCCAGCGCCATCCTGGCGGATGCGATTATAGCGAGTACGGAGGCCTACATCATCATCAAGTACGCTGACTTATCGATGCTCCTACGGACGCTTAAATGTATTCAAACGGAGACGATTCTGGCGAGGATGAAGATTAATGTCATCCTCGGCTTGCTATGGCTACTGAACGCCAAAAAAATATGAAGGTAACGACTTCCGAGTCCACTAACAACAACACAATGAATTATTGGAAGACCAAAAGCAACTCATCACGCTCTCAGTGTGTGATCGAAATGAGCCATCTGCTTGGAGACTTTTCCGCGAAACACTGTCACCCACTCCCGAAACGCGATTAATCTAACAGCAGCTCAAGTAGGCGCTTCGGCCCGGGAAACAGGGCAAGGCATCAGAGCGCTAACGAGAAGCAGCGATGAGCAGGACGCGTCGCTCTATTCAAACTGAATGAAAGACAGTAGTCTTTTATGTGCTGGCCAGGCACTATTTTGCCATCCCTGAAATTCGCCATTGCGATTCTTGGAATTGCCGCGCTGCATGCCTCTGTTACCGCTTTCTACCGAGGCCTGACATCTGCACCGATTCGTCAGTCGCAGGATTCCGACGGTTCAGATGTGCCGCAAGCTTGATCATGCAGTCCGAGATTTGTGGTCCCAGATACTTGTAAGGCTCTAACGTTGATTGGTTGATCTTGCGCCTGCTTTGATATAAACCAGACACCATATACACGTACATCAACTTCTAATAGTTTATGATTTGACGACTGCAAATGCATCCCGCCTTTAGGATTCTTTACATTTAGCAGTTGATTATTTGTCCAATGTTCTTTCAGCCTAATGACTCTGTAATGGGCAGGACTGCAGAGTGCAAGAACGCCCTGATGATTAAAAAATGCTCTCAGTTGTTCATGTCTTGTCCCTGCCGTTGAATGAAAACCACCACCACTCCCAAGTGCGCGCGTCTGGTACGGAGGGCTCATTCCTCCCAAAACACCATTCCCAGTCGACCCTGTTATTGACCTGCATAAAGAAGCACACAAAGGTGGTGAAGAAAAAGAAACTCTTATCACTCTTCCCCTATCTCTCACTCTCTCACATCATGCACTCCCAATTCCTCGTGCTGCTTCGCTCCATGGGCATGATCCAACTCCTTTCACAGCACGTGAAAGGAGCAGGCAGCACACTGTACAGCATTGCGCACAGAGCTCCCGGTCAGAGTGCGAGAGGCCGAACATGAGCGTCCCGCTGTGTGGAACACGAGGAGCAAGGCAAGTCACCACACATGCTACGTCCACTGCTCCCGTCCCTTTGCAGCTCCTCAAACCTATCCGCTCAGAATTGAGACTGCTTCCAGATGGCCCTCCCGTAACACATGCTCGGATACATCTCCCTGACGTAACAGCTCAGCTCCACACTGTTTTGCTCATTAGCCCCAAATTAGCGTGGCGAGGCCAGCTTCCCTGTGCTGTGTAACCATGTAACTCTGCAGCCCTGTAGCCCTGTAGCCCTGGTTCCCTAGTGCTGAAGTGGACCTGTTCAACTGAGCTTCTCCCGCTGCATGATGCGACCTGCATGCTGCTGTACGGATGTATTGGTTCCATGCATGTACGGCACGCTGTGCATTCTACTGCTGCTGCTGCTGCTATACATAGGAGCACTCCTGCTGCTGTAGACTTGCTGCGGAACGACTGAATGCCTGGGAGATCTAATCAGGGGCTGGTCAGGAGCGGCGGGCGGGCACGGCCATCGTAAAAACGCCTCGCGCAGTTTCACTTGCATCACGCTTGCTATGTTGGTCTGGATCCAGGTGCATGCTGGTGAGTGTGAGTGAATACAAGGCTGCAGCTCTGGAAAGCTTCTGAGGCACTGAGGCGGGAGACACTGAAGCACGGGAGGGCTGACAAAGAGGCCTGGAGGAGAGGCACCGAGGCACGGATGCATGGCGTGACGGTGGGTAGTTGCACTAAAACTTAACACTCGCCACAAGTGACATGAGATGCAGGTACACGCAGCTGGTCAGGTAGGCACGAGTTGCAGGTGGCGACTGGTGCACTGGGCATTGAGATGTCTCGACCGGAGCAGTGGCTGGTGCACCCCGCAGGCCGTGCTGCCTGCTACAGCTGCCCAGCGAACGCACTGTGACAGGCAGCACAAGTACCTCCGCTGTGCCTCACTGCGCATGCATGCACTGTGGTGTGGCACCATGCGGTTGATTGAAAAGCAGCTGCTCGATTGCTGCATGGGGGCCGAGTATTCTCGAGGTTCGACAAGCAGGTGGGCTGCAGAGGCTCAGTAGCGGATTCCTCCTGGATGATGTGCGTTGCATCCCCAGCTAAAGCAGCACCTCCATCTGGAGAGGCGGTGCTGCTCTAGCTGGCCCAAGCAGCCCAGTTACCTACTAGGCTCCGTCCTACTGCCTACTGTGCGCCTGGTTGCCTGTGTATTACGTCTCACGGCGAAGCCTGAGCGTGCATGCGCTGCGGTGCAGCTGCCTCTGCCAGTTGACCCCTGTAAGCTGCCTCTTTGATAAGCCTCCTAGCTTACCATTACCTTGTGGTAAGCTTTCGTTTCTCCAGCCCCTCCGCCTGAACACAATCGTCTCTCTTTCTTTCTCACCCTCCTACTCCTCAATCTCTCCTGTCAACTCTTTGTCACTCTCTTTTTCCCTGAGAACCCATTCCACTTGACCCTTCACCCTCTCCTCACATCTCTCCCCATCCGTCCACACGTAGCAGGGGCACACGTAGGCAACGGATGTGGGCTTTTGAGGCGCCTCAAAAGGCACATCTTTCCGCACCCCTCCACTGACATGCTTCACACAAATGCACATAGACACACACTGATACGCGTGCTGTGTGCACGGGCAAGCGAGCGCGTGCACACACACACAGGTACACAGACACAGACACAGACACAGACACAGACACAGACAGACAGACAGACAGACAGACGGACGGACGGACGGACGGACGGACGGACGGACGGACGGACGGACGGACGGACGGACGGACGGACGGACGGACGGACAGGCAGGCAGGCAGGCAGACAGACAGACAGACAGACAGACAGACAGACAGACAGACAGACAGACAGACAGACAGACACACAGACACACAGACACACACACACACACACACACACACAAACACACACACACACACGCACACACACACGCACACACACACACGCACGCACGCACGCACGCACACACACACACACACACGCACGCACGCACGCACGCACGCACATGCACTTGCATGTGGACGCACAGTAACACCCCACATCACTGCTTGCTGCACCTACCACCTCTGCATGCACATGCAAGAATGCAGCGGAAACCAAGGTATTAAGCATACTACATCCAAGATCGCTTCTTGGATCGTTGATTGGGGGAAGCTGAGAGGATCAGCAGCAAAAAGCTGAGGATGAGAAATTGGGGGGCAAGTGAGGGGCAAATGCTTGGGACAAGTGAAAGAACAAAGGATGACAGACAGACGAATGACTTACCAAAATTGTTGAATGAATGCTGCAGACCCCTATTGCTGCTGCTGTTGCTGCTGCTGCTTCATCTGCTGCAGCAGCTGTGACGCAAGCTGCAGAGTCGCCTTAAACCTCTCATCCTGCATATCAATACCCCCCCCCGCCACTCCACCACCACCATCACCACCACCACCACCACCACCTCCTCCCCTTCCCCCTCCTCCACCTGCTGCTGCTACTGCTGCCACTGCTGCTGCTGCTGCTGCTGCTGGAACTCCCATACTGCCACCTGAACCACCAGGACCACCTGAGAAACCACCTGAAGAAACCCCTGAACCTGGCCCATAACCACCACCTGCCTGCTGCTGCTGCTGCTGCTGCTGGTAGAAAGGTTGCTGAGGAGGTAAAGGTGCCGAAGGCCCCTGCTGACCCCATTGAGGGGAGAACGAGGCCGCAACACCACCAGCACCACCAGCAGCGCCACCACCAGCAGCGCCACCACCACTGCCACCAAAACTTGCACCACCACCACCACCACCAACAACACCACCACCACCACCACTGCTGCGATCACCAAAATCAGGGCCCCTCATGCCGCCACCAAAGCCAGAACCGTCCACCTGCCCTTGCACCTGCTGCTGCGGTTGTTGCTGCATCTGCTGCTGCTGCTGCGGACGCCACTGCTGCTGCGGCTGCGGCTGCTGCTGCTGTTGCGGGGGGAGTGGCGGCCCTTGAAAGGGCCCTCTGGGTGCAGGCCCAGGGAAACCGGCGCCAGGGAAGGGTGCAGCAGGAGCAGACGGTGGTAGAGGGCCCCCTGACGGAGCACCTGAGAGGGCACCTGAAACGGCACCTGGAAGGTTTGGAGAAGCACCTGAAGGGTTTCTGTGTGGGAGGTGGCTGTCTGAAGGTGGATTCCACCTGCTGGGTCGACTGCCCTGCCACTGACCACCCTGGCTGGAAGGTGGCTGATCCAGTGTTTGCTGCTGCTGCTGCTGCTGCTGCATAGACTGGGGAGGCTGCTGCGGCTGCAGCTGCGGCTGCTGCTGCCCCAGCAGTTTACTGAGCTGAGCCAGCTGCTCTGGAGTGAACTGAGGAGGCGACACCACCTGCTGCTGCTGCTGCTGCTGCTGCTGGGGCGGGAGGGGAGGAAGCGGAGGGCCAGGAGGCCTCTGGGGAAACTGCCCTCCGACTGGGGGAGCCGGAGGGAGCGGGGGTGGCACAGAGGGAAAATCCCGTTTCATCCCACCCATGCCTGGGCCAGTAGGGGGGAAACCCATACCCATGCCGGGACCAGCGGAGCCAGGCGCAGAGGCAGGTGCGCTAGCAGGTGCACTGCCAGGTGCAATGGCATTGCCAGGAGCAGCAGCACCACCAGGATCACCGGGAGCACCACAAGTGCCGGTGGCAGGAGCAGCGGATGTGGCAGGAGCAGCAGATGCGGCCGGAACATTCAGCTTCGGAAGCAGAGAGGATAGAGACGCCAGGAGCTCAGGCGTGATCCCAGCAGGTAAACCCGCCCCAGAAAAGCCTGCTCCAGTAGCACCCTGCCCGGCACCCGCCCCTGCCCCTGCCCCTGCTGCTGCTCCCTCGGCGCCTCCCCCAGCCAAACCCACAGGGGGGCGTATCAGCTGAAGAGTCGCTGCAGGGGGGATCGGGGAGGAAGAAGCATGGGCACTGGGAGGAACCGGAGGAGTGAATGACGGAGGTTGGTAACCAGGTAACCCGGGACCCGCGCCAGGGGCACGAGGCAGCGGAACAGCAGATGGGTGCATAGGTGAATGCAAAGGTCTCTGGGGGGGTGAAAGAGGCTGGGCGGAAAGGCCTCCACCCCCCGCTTGGGGCTGCTGCTGCTGCTGCTGCTGCTGCCACCTAAACGTTGATGCTCCAGCTTGCTGCTGCTGCTGCTGTTGCTGCTGCTGTTGCTGACCCTGCTGGTTGGGAGGCAAAGGCGGTCTCCCTGGTTGGACTTGGGGCATGAGCCCTGTATGGGGGAGAGGAAGGGCGGGCCCCTGTGGAAGAGGACTGGGAGAAACCAGCCCCGGGGCAGCACACAAGGGAAGCGCTGGCGGAGCAAGAGCAGCAGGCGCAGCAGGAACAACACGAGCAACGGGAGCTGCAGGAGCGCCAGGAGCGGCGGGAGCAGCCACGCTGAGGTAAACACCAAAGAGCGAGTCATTTCTAGGCACTTGGAGGATGGAAACAGCAAAGTCGGACGGCGGGACGAGGAAGAGCGTGGAGCCGTCAGGCAGCTTGGCCACGCCTGCCCGGCGCTTCTCCCCCAGGTACTGAACAAGGTCGTGATAGGGCGGCACGTCCGGCTGTGCCTCCGGTATGATCGCCACCACTCCGAAATCCGCTGCTGCCCGCACGTGCTTTGCCAGGGTGTCTAGCTCCGTGCGTGCGGAGCAGTTAAGCACATCCGGCCTGGGGGAAGGGAGCGGGAGCGGGTGGGGAGGGGAGGGAAAGGGGAACAAGACGGCGCGAGGAAAGCACATTGAGAGTGCTTCTCTCCCAGGTACTGAACAAGGTCGTGGTAGGGCGGCACGTCCGGCTGTGCCTCCGGGATGATGGCCACCACTCCGAAATCCGCTGCTGCCCGCACGTGCTTTGCTAGGGTGTCTAGTTCTGTGCGCGCGGAACAGTTCAGGACGTCCGGCCTGGGGGAAGGGAGAGAGGGAGGGAAGATGAGGTGGTTTGGATTGGACAACAAAGTAGAATAAGAGAACAGACAAAAAAAAAAAAAAACAAAGCCAAAGAAAGCCAGCAAAACAAACAAGAAGTAAAAATGCATGCACGAAATCGTCAACGAAGACAGAATCACAGATGCTTTTTCATGTTAAAAAATCGCACGACATACATGGGTGCAGAGATGCCTGGACCGATGGGAATCGCCCGCGCATGGCACACCACAATCCCCCCCTTGGCCAACGTCCCCTTCCAATGCGACCCTGCGCCATCCGAAGCTCCAATCGCCCGAGCCAGCCCTCCAGGTACAGAACCAGGTCCGGGAGGAGGCATAGGGCCAGGAAGAGCCCCAGGCAAGCCCGGACGGCCCAGCATGGGAGGTCCGGCAGCAGAAACAGCAGGAGAGGCAACAGAAATAGCAGGAGAGGCAGCAGAAACAGCTGGGGGCACTACGACATCCCAGCCACTGCTTCTGCGGCTGGGAGGGCCACGAGGGGGAGGGCCATGAGGAGGAGGCAGAGGGCCCCCTTCACGATCATCGTAAAAGTGGCCACGGTTATCGGGATCAAACTGCCCGTCCATTCGTGGACGCTTGGAGTCGAACCCCCCCCCGTGCCACCCCCTCTCATCCCTCTCGTCTCTCTCATCCCACTCATCCCTCTCATCCCACCCGTCCCTCCCATCCCGCTCGTTCCGCCAGTCCCTCTCGTCCCGCCAGTCCCGCTCGTCTCTCTCCCAGTCCCTCTCCCTACCCCTATCCCACTCATCTCTCTCCCTCTCCCTCTCCCAATCCCTATCCGCCCAACCTCGCCCTCCTCCTCTCCCCCCTCCTCTCCCTCCTCTGTCAGGCCCACGAGGGGGCGACTCCCAAGCCTCATCACCATCCCACTCCTCCCACCCACCCCTACCTCTCCCTCCTCTGCCTCCCCTCACTCTCCTCCCCTTCCCCTTTCCCCTCCCTCTCCCCCGACCATACTCCCTATCCCCCCCAAACCCCCGATCCCCCTCATACGAACCCCCAAAAACCGCGCCACCGCCCGGCCCGCCCGGCCCGCCTCCCTGCCTGCCCCTCTCACCGAACGCCTCCCCAGCTGCAACTCCTGCTGCGCCGCCTGCTGCGGCGGCTGCAGCAGCAGCAGGGGAGGAGAAGGGCGGGTCAGCAGCGTGCATGAATGCAAACTCGCTCTTGGAGTACCGGATATGCACTCGATCATCGTTAAACAGCACGTGGTCCAGCGCACGGATCGCATTCGTCGCCTGCTCGCACGTGGCCATCTCCACAAACGCGTACGTGCGCCCCGGGAACGTCTTGATGCGCCGAATCTGCCCGTGCTGGGAGAAGGCCGCGTGAAGCCTCTCCTCTGTTACAGTAAGCGTACTCGGAAATCCCACCCATAAAATCTCGCTGGGAGACCCATCCCCGCTCCCCCCACCACCTCCTCGACCCCCACCACCGCCACCGCCGCCGCCGCTACCCCCTCCTCCTCCTCCCCCAGCATGCGGGCCTGATTTCGCAAACTCCACGCGGAACACCCCGCCGTCGCGCGTGCGGACGTTGTTGATCGACGCCACGGCGGCCTGGGCGTCGTCCTCAAAGCGGTAGTCGACAAACGCGCAGGCGCGGTCAGGGTGGAAGCGCAGGTCCTCAATGGGCCCGAACCGCCGGAACTCCGCGTCGATCTCCTCGGGGACTACGTGCGCCGGCCCCCACCCCACCCACACTACCCTACGCACGCCGGGCCGTGGCCTCTCCCGCTCCTTCTCCTTCGGCTGGCTGGCTGGTGCCGGCTGCAGGGAAGAAAACAAGGCAAGGATGAGTATGGGGCCGGGGCAAGACAGTCACATAGCGGCCTGAGCGTAGTCCTCAAAGCGGTAGTTGACGAAGGCGCAGGCGCGAATGAGGGTTACGTGTGGCGCCCCTCTGCCCGTGGATCCCTTGGCATATGCGAACTACACTTTCAGTGGCAGCAAGCCCGGCCGAAGAAGCTACCAAGATTTCTAAGACAAAAAACAAAGCAGAACCAGCTTACCTGTGGCGCCCCTCCGCCCGCCGTTGACCCCTTGGCATATGCGAACTCCACTTTCAGTGGCAGAAGGCCCGGGCGCAGCGGCTTCCCCGCCAGCACGCGCCTCGCCTCGCTGGCCTGTGTTGACGTGGCCATGTCCACGTAAGCAAACTCCCTCTGGTAGAGAATCGCGAGGCCTTCCACCTGGCCGAAGCGGCCAAACGCGTCTGACAGCTCGCGCTCGGTAATATCTTGGGTCACGTTACCAACCCACAACTGCCTCGCCTCTCGAGGCCCCTTGCTCTTCCCTGCTTCTCCCGCTCCCCCTCCCCCTCCCCCTCCCACTCCCCCCGCTCCTCCTCCCGCTCCTCTTCCCCCTCCTCCCGCGCCTCCCTCTCCCCTTCCCCCTGGTGACACCCCCGCTTTCATCCGCTGCTGCCGCTCTAACTCAAGCTCTCTCTCGCGTTCCTGCCGCTGAGACTGCAAGAACTCGTCAAGCGGCAGTTGCTGCTGCTTATCCCGTTCTTGTTCCAGCTCATCTTTTTCCCTCCCACCAACGTCTTTCTCCCCACCCCTCTCCCTTTCTCTGTCTCTGTCCCTGGAATAATCTCTGTCCCTTTCTCGCTCCCTCTCTCTCTCCCGGCTAGACTCCCTCTCCCTGTCCCTGTCTCTCTCCCTTTCTCGGTCTGAATCTCTCTCCTTCAAATCCCGATCGCGTTCCCTCTCACCACGATCCCTCTCCTTGTCCTCTTCCCAATCCTTGTCTCGATCCCTTTCCCTCACCCTGTCTCTATCCCTATCCCGTTCCCTGTCACGGTCTCGATCGCGTTCTCTGTCCCAGTCCCAGTCCCGGTCCCGATCCCGCTCGCGGTCTCGATCCGCGTGGTTGTCATCCTGGCCATGGGAAAAAAGGGGACGTTATTATTAATTCCAGATTTCCCGTAATGTAAGAATCAATGACGTCATTTCATGAGGCCATAGCGAAGAGAGTGGACGAAAGAGCACAAGAAATTACCCCCTATTTGGAAATTACGGACACCGAAAAAAGGGGGAGCAAGCAAAACTAATTTGACACCCGTTCCAAGCTTACTAGAGTATGTACGTTTATAATATTTATGAGTTATAGGCCATATAGAGACCACGAATATCCTTGATGCACTGGAACACTGAGACATGTCATACCCGTGGCGCGATTGCAACTTACTGACAGGCAATTACCCACAACGAACTTTCATCGTGATCAGAAACAATCGATGCCATTCATGAGCTTTCTACTTCGACAGTAACTGTTGATACCTGCGATGCGGAACGTCTCTGCATGGCGTATTAAACTCCTTTGCGATCCGAAAACGAACGTTGCGGGGAAATGTCGGCGGGCGTAAGATTGTATCTAAGAGCATCAGGTAACTAAAAATCGCATACCAGCTCAGAAGAAACCTAGGCTAGTAGGTAGGCTTCGATTTGCTGAAAACTCGCATCTCAAATCGAGGCTCAAGGAAAAACCTGGGAATCTCCTGTCTGAGGATGGAACGGAGGAATCTCGAGAAGCCTTCTGCACATGGTTGAAAAAAATGTAATATGCTCTACGCAATTCGTCAAATGAGACTAAGAAAGAATGTTGGTATTCCTTCACTTTCAATTTCCTTAGGAGGCCTTGAATATTTAGTGTGCATAGCTTCATTAGTTGAAGAAGGTAGAAATCACTTTTATGATCTTGGGTTTGTTCTCCAGTCTAGATACCCATAGAACAAATTGAAAACATTCTATAATCATATCTGTCATTATACATGATAAGCCTGTTTATATATACCTGCTGTAGTACTGTAGGCTGTAGTGGGGTAGCTTACATGGGGTACAACACATTCTAGGGTTCATATTTGTATCCCAACTGTTGCTAGTTCACCCATTCTCTTGCCTAGTCTTGTTGACATGGTATCAGAGCAGGAGGTCCCTAGGACCTTCCGATCGTTCTTTTTTTAGGGCCCACCGCCGCTCGCTTGCGGTTACCACGCTACCCCCCGCGCCCTACCCTCGTTGTGCCCTCGTTGCGCCCTATGTGCACCCTCGTGCGCCCTCGTTGCACCCTCGTTGCGCCCTAAACGCGCCCTCGTGCGCTCTGCCCTCTCGTAGCGCGCACCCTGCTGACCAACGCGCCGCCAGCCCAGAGCCCCGCGCGCCGCCCGCCGCGTCCTGCGCTGCCTGTCGCGCTGCTTCCCAGCCCCGCGCGCCGCCCGCCTTGCCGCCGCGGCTGCTCTTTCTCCCCTGCGCGCCGCTCGCCCCGCTGCCCCGCAGCCCCGCGCGTTGCCTAGCGCGCAGCCCCGCAGCCACGCACGCCGCCCGCCTCGCCGCCGCGGCTGCCCGCTGCCCTGCCCCCCCCCCGTTCGAGGTCGCTTGCCCGCCCGCCTCGCCGTCACGGCCGCCTGCTGCCCCCTGCTCGCAGCCACGCGTGCCGCCCGCCTCGCCGCTGCGGCCGCCTGCTGCCCCCCCTGCCCGCAGCCCCACGCGCCGCCCGCCTCGCCGTCGCGGCTGCCTGCTGCCCCTGCGCGCCGCCAGCTCCGCTGCTCTGCAGCCCTGCGCTGTCGCCCGCCCTGCTGCTCCTTTTGGCCGCCTGTCGCTCTCGCGTCCCGCCCCTGCAGCTGTCGCTTCTCTGCCAGCAATTATGGCCACTGTCCGCGTTCTCTCGTTTGATGCCGAGGGCCGACCCGTCCAGTTCACCACTTGGCTCGATGACTTGCAGTTTTTTCTTATGAGCGATAGCAAAGACCACATCTCGCTCTATGACTACGCATCTGGTGCTGCGCCTGCTCCTGCTGCCACAGCCGAGCTTAGTGCCCGTTCCCAGTGGCAGACTCGTGACGCTGCTGCGCGCCTCGCTATTCGTAGTCATCTGCCGTTAGCTGAGCTCGAGCATTTTGGCGACTGCAAAACCGCTAAGGCCCTGTACGACGCTGTCGTTGCTCGCTACTCCTCACCTGCCACAGCCGAGCTTAGCCGCCTCATGCTGCCTTACCTGTTCCCTGAGCTGTCCACCTTTGCTACAGTCGCCGATCTCATCACCCACCTTCGCACTAGTGACACTCGCCTGCGTGCCGCCCTTCCCACCGAGTTCTGCGCTAAGAACCCCCCTCCACTATACTGGACACTCCACTTCATAGTCACCCGTCTCCCTGACACCCTCAGCTCAGTGCGCGACTATTTCCTTGCTCGCTGTCCCACTGAGCTCACTGTCGACCTCCTAGAGGAGAAGCTGTTAGCAGCCGAAAAGAGCATTGTCGCTGTCGGTGCTGCTCGCGGCGCTCCTCGCACCCCCATCTTTGAGGGGTGCTCTCCCTCTCCCCTCGCTCCCTCCTACGCTACTGCTGCTGCTGTTGACTTCCTTGGTGCTGAGTCTGCTGGCGCTGCTTCTGCTCCTGGTGGGAGGCGCCGCACCGGCAAGGGCAAGGGGGGCAAGGGTGGCGGGGGTGGCGCTGGGGGGGGAGGGGGTGGGGGGGGGGTGGGGGGGGAGGCGGTGCTGGAGGGAGCGGTGGCGGGAGTGCTGGTGGGAGTGGGGTCGGCAGCGGAGGCGGGGGCGGCGGAGGGAGCGGTGGCGGTGGTGGCAGCGGCGGCAGTGGCGGCGGTGGCGGTGGCGGTGGTGGCGGTGGCGGTCGGAGCGGAGGTAGTGGCGGCGGTGGAGGTCGGAGTGGAGGCACCAGCTCGGGCCAGAGCTCCCAGCAGCAGCAGCGTCCCCAGACGACCCAGCAGCTTCGTGAGTGGCTTGCTCAGCGTGGGACGTCGGGGGGCAGTGGCCGCTGTTCCTATGTCATTCGCACAGGTGATCGCAAGGGGCAGAAGTGTGGGAAGTTCCACACCCAGTACCGCTGCTTCTCCCGCCTTGACGACGCTTGGCGTGAGGAGATGGGCGAGGATGTTGAGCGCCCCCGCTGGGCTGATCTGATGAGGGCTGGTGTTGATATCTTTGCTCTTGACTATGATGCTATTATTGCTGCCATATATGCATTGACTGTTAGTGCCGAGGGAGACTGTTACTTGTGTGTGCCGCCTGACCCAGGTATAGAGCCCACTGCCCTAGGTGCTAGTGAGTCTGCTCTCTCAGGTACAGCACCCACAGAGACTGCTCTCTCAGGTACTGCACCCGCTGAGGCCTTGCACACCTTCACTCTTGACTCAGGTGCTTCCCGCTGTTTCTTTCGTGACAGTACTGAGCTCACTCCGCTCCCTGCACCGGTCTTGGTCTCCCTGGCTGACCCCTCGGGGGGCCCAGTCCTTGCACGGTCCACCACTGTGCTCCCTTGTCCGGCGGTTCCGTCTGGCTCGTTGTCGGGTTTCCACCTCCCCTCGTTCTCGACGAACCTGGTGAGCAACGCTGTCATCCAGGATCAGTGGGTTGACACCTTTACCCCTGGAGGACAGCGTGTGGCGATCCTCACGTGCTCTAGGACCGGCCGTCACCTGGCTACGTTTACCCGTCAGCCGGGGTCGAGTCTCTACACACTGACCACTGTGTCTCCTCAGGTCGCTGCTGTCGGTCAGGTGTCCGCGTCAGGTCTGGTAGCCCACGCCTGTGAGTGTCGTTCCCTGTCGCACCAGACTCTTCTCTGGCACCACCGCCTGGGTCACCCCTCCTTGCCACGCCTCCGTGGCATGCACCGTCGCCACCTTGTGTCTGGTCTTCCCAGGTCCCTCCCTCCCCTCCCTGCCTCGCCTGCGCCGCCTTGCCTTCCTTGCGTCGAGGGGCGGCAGCGCGCCGCTCCTCACTCCTCCTCGTTCCCCCCGACAGAGGCTCCTCTGCAGACCCTCCACCTGGACGTGTGGGGCCCAGCCCGCGTTCGTGGCCAGGGCGGTGAGCGGTACTTTTTGCTGGTTGTCGACGACTACTCGCGTTACACCACGGTCTTCCCCTTGCGCACCAAGGGTGAGGTCCCTACTGTTCTGATCCCTTGGATCCGCACAGTTCGTCTCCAGCTCCGCCGCCGTTTCCGGACAGATCTTCCTGTCCTGCGTCTGCACTCTGACAGAGGTGGTGAGTTCTCCTCCGACCTCTTGAGGACCTTCTGTCAGGCGGAGGGCATCGAGCAGACCTTCACGCTTCCGGGCTCCCCGCAGCAGAATGGGGTTGCTGAGCGCTGCATTGGCCTGGTCATGGAGGTCGCTCGTACCTCCTTGGTCCATGCGGCGGCTCCCCATTTTCTGTGGCCGTTTGCTGTCCGGTACGCCGCGCATCAGCTCAACCTCTGGCCTCGTGTCTCCTTGCCGGAGACCTCGCCCGCACTGCGTTGGACGGGGGAGGTTGGCGATGCGTCGCGCTTCCGGGTGTGGGGTGCTCGTGCCCTTGTCCGCGATACGTCCGCGGACAAGCTCTCCTCCCGCACGCTTCCCTGTGTCTTCCTTGGCTTTGTCCCTGACGCGCCTGGCTGGCAGTTTTACCACCCCACCTCGCGCCGGGTCTTCGCCTCTCAGGACGTCACCTTTGACGAGTCGGTCCCTTTTTACCGTCTCTTCCCCTACCGCACTGCCCCCCTCCCTCCCCCGCCGCTTTTCCTCGCTCCTGGTCCCCCTCCGGTAGACCCCCTTCCCCCTCAGGGTCCTGCTCCTTCAGGTGTCTCTCAGGTAGACCCTCCTCCCGTCGCTGAGCCTGTCGAGGTCACAGGTGACTCAGGTGCTGCTGCGGGTGGTGCTGCTGGGAGTGCTGAGCCTGGGGGTGCTGGGCCTGGGGTTGCTGGGGCTGCGGGTACTGGGATTGAGGGTGCTGGAGCTGAGGGTACGGTGCCTGAGGGTACTGAGCCTGGGGGTGCTGAGACTGGGAGTTCTGGGCCTGGGGGTACTGAGCCTGGGGGTGCTGCGTCTGGGGGTGCTGAGCCTGGGGGTGCTGCGCCTGAGGGTACTGAGCCTGGGGGTGCTGCGACTGAGCCTACGGAGCCTGGGGTTGCTGCGTCTGGGGGTGCTCCGGTTCGGGGTGCTGAGCCGTCTCTCCGGGAGCCTCTCACACAGCAGCAGCTTCGTGACTGGTACGTCCGGCGCTTTCGCCGTCCTCGTGGCCCTGCTGGAGTTGGAGGTTCTGGAGCTGCTCGTCCTGGAGGTGCTCGTACTGGAGGTACTGGAGCTGCCGGGGCTGGTTGTTCTGGGAGCACTGAGGCTGGAGCTGCTGGAGCTGGGGACTCTGGAGCTGGCGGTACTAGCGGAGTTGGAGCTGCCGGCTCTGGGGGTGCTCTTCCTGGAGGTACTGGAGCTGCTGGAGCTGACGACACTGGAGCTGACGGTCTTGGAGGCGTTGGAGGTGCTGGCGAGGGGAGGTCTGACGCTGCTGGGGCCTCTGGTGCTGACGTCGCCGGCTCTGGGGGTGCTGCGGCGGGGGGCGCTGGTACTGGTGCTTCTGGTGCTGCGGGTGCTGGAGGTACTGGCGGAGCTCCGCCGTCGCGACTGTTCTTCGCTCCACCGTCGCCGTCGGCTTTGCCACCGCCTGACACGGTGCTTCGCCAGGTTCTTTCCCTCCCGTCTTCCACTGGCCTTCCCCTCCAGCCTGGCTCCCCCCTCCCTGCTCCTGTGCCTTACACTACACAGCCGGACTCGCTTACGGAGTGTCGTGAGCCTGCGTCTCGTCCTGCCTCGCCTGTTCGCGCTGCTCGCACTGCGCGCACTGGTCCCACTGGTCGTCGTGTCGCGCGTCCGCGTCCTCCTCCTGTTCCTGGCACGCACATTATGGCCCTTCGTCCTTCCACTGGTCCACAGCGTGTCCCCCTACCGTCTCCTCCTGCGTCTTCTCTTCCTGACGTTCCCGACCCTGAGTCTGACAGTGTTCGTGCTGCCCACCCTACTGTTACGCGTCTTCTCGCCACTGTTGTCACTGACCCGTCGTTTGAGTCTGCTGCTGCGTCTGCCCTGGTCGCTGAGCTTGTCGACTTTGCTGCTGCCTGTCGTCTAGACTACGCCGCCAGTCTTGTTGCTGAGTCTGAGTCTGTCTGTCCTCCGTCCGTTGGGGGTGAGTGTGCTCTTGGCACGGACGTCCTTGAGGACAGGCAGGAGGACTTTGACTCTCTTGCGGCTGCTGTACCTCATCTCGTGGCCTGGTTGCTTGCCCCTGAGGGAGACCCGGATGCACTAGACATCCCCACTCCGCGCTCTTACGCAGAGGCGATCTCGGGTCCCTACTCCTCTCAGTGGCAGACAGCCATGGACGCAGAGATGGCATCCTGGAAATCCACAGGCACCTACGTCGACGAGGTTCCCCCTCCTGGGGCGAACATCGTCGATGGCATGTGGATTTTCAGGGTGAAGCGGCCGTCAGGTTCTCCAAGGCTCAAGGCTCGTTACGTTGCTAGAGGCTTCAGTCAGCGTCAGGGAGTTGACTTCTTCCAGACCTTCTCCCCCACCCCGAAGATGACCACTCTTCGGGTTCTGCTGCACGTTGCTGCTCACCGTGACTACGAGCTTCACTCTCTTGACTTCAGCACAGCGTTCTTGCAGGGCAGCCTGCACGAGGAGATCTGGCTGCGCCGCCCACCTGGCTTCACTGGGTCGTTCCCTCCTGGTACCCAGTGGAGCCTCCGCCGGCCAGTCTACGGTCTCCGCCAGGCGCCGCGCGAGTGGCACGACACACTGAGGACGACACTTGCGGCACTTGGGTTTGCTCCCTCCACTGCAGACCCGTCGCTGTTTCTCCGCACCGACACCTCGCTGCCGCCGTTCTACATCCTCGTATACGTCGACGACTTGGTTTTTGCTACTGCTGACACTGAGGCACTCGCCCACGTGAAGTCGGAGCTGCAGAAGAGACACACGTGCACTGATCTGGGTGAGCTGCGCAGTTACCTTGGCTTGCAGATCACCCGGGACAGAGCACGCCGCACCATCACCTTGACTCAGTCACACATGGTGCAGCAGATCCTTCAGCGCTTCGACTTCCAGTACTCCTCACCACAGTCCACTCCTCTGTCTACACGTCACTCGCTCTCAGCTCCACCTTCGGACGAGTCCGTAGAGCCGAGTGGCCCGTACCCAGAGCTTGTGGGCTGCCTCATGTACCTGATGACCTGCACTCGACCTGACCTTGCGTACCCTCTTAGCATCCTAGCTCGCTACGTCGCGCCTGGGAGACACAGGCGAGAGCACTGGGAGGCTGCTAAGAGGGTGCTACGCTACTTGTGCAGTACATCAGGCATGGGGCTGGTGCTTGGAGGACGGGGTCGAGTTGTCCTCACTGGACACTCAGACGCCTCTTGGGTTGACGACCAGGCTACGCAGCGGTCGTCACAGGGTTACACCTTCAGCCTTGGTTCTGGCTCTGTTTCGTGGCGGTCTACTCGCTCGTCTTCTGTTCTCAGCTCCAGTTGTGAGGCTGAGATCTACGCCACAGCCATGGCTGCACAGGAGTTACGCTGGCTTACCTACCTGCTGACTGACCTGGGAGAGCGGCCTAGTTCTCCTCCAGTTCTGTACGGCGACAACAAGGCAGCCCTTGCCTTGTGTCAGGAGCACAGACTGGAGCACAGAACGAAGCACATTGCTCTGCGTTACTTCCTGGCTCGAGAGTTGCAGCAGCGTGGCCAGCTTCGTCTTGCGTACGTCGACACACGGGCCAACACCGCTGATATATTCACCAAGGCACTTCCGCCTAGTGATCATCAGCGGCACTGCACTGCTCTAGGCCTTGTACCTACGTTCTCTCACTTGCTTACTGCTTGACCTTGATTGTACTGTGATCTATATACATACCTGCTTGTTTGCTCTTGCTAGGTAGGGATCACTGTATTGTCGCTGTTGTTTATATCTCTCTGCATGTGAACTGGCCTTGTGGCCTTTACTGTTTGTGCTCAGAGTGTGTGGTGACGTTGTGATCCACCCTGAGCTTGTCTTTGCTTGACTGGTCATGTGACCCCTTGTTCTCCCCCACCTTGCCTATGGGGGTGTGTCAAATTATATATACCTGCTGTAGTACTGTAGGCTGTAGTGGGGTAGCTTACATGGGGTACAACACATTCTAGGGTTCATATTTGTATCCCAACTGTTGCTAGTTCACCCATTCTCTTGCCTAGTATTGTTGACAAAGCCCATATGCTTGAGTAAGACGAATGGTACCGGTACTCCCAGGCGACTGCTGCTGCATTTTAAATTTGGCGATTAGCACAAAGTCAAACATACTTGGGAATGTGCCCCTACTCCTCATGATCAAAACAGGGTTGTTGATTGACACACTTTGAGTTCGTAAATTTTCCGGTGCTTCCATTATTATGCTTTAAAAGCATACTCCGCTCTTCTTTGATTATTCTTTGGCACAATCTAGGTGCATGCAAAGTTTGATTCCAAATGGTGTTATCTTTCTGGTAGTTAATTCATATGAAGAGCTGGGAAACTTATTCAGAACCGTCAATAACGACCAGCACTGCTTAGCATGCCCCCTAAATCCGTTCTCCCTTTTTGACAGAGCAGTTGGTGTTATACCATTCTTCACGGAATTGTTCATGAACGAGTCCGTGCGACTGATACCTTGGTACGCCTCATTTCGTACGTTCCTTTACGGATACTCGGACTCGTTTCTGGGCGAGTGAATGATTCACAATGGCTGTCGCTGTCTCAGCGCGATCCCACCAAGTCAGTAGCAGCTTTCCCGCTGACTCAGCAGCAGCCTCTAACCTCTCGAATATGTCAACATCGCAATCGCCCAATCTAAACCATTCGTTGCACTGTGCTGCATCCTCATTCGCGGATCTTGTTCTAGGCTCTTCCAGCAGCCGTACTGTAGCAGCAGCAGGACCTGATGGACAATCCGCATCTCACGCCGCTTCTCGCGCCGGGATTCCCGGACAATCCGCGGCTCGTGAAGCAGCTTCTCCCGAAGCTGACCTGTCAGCACAGCTATCCGTCGCGGACCTGCTGACGTGTCTCTCGCGCATTGAAGAGCGGTCCGAGCAAGTGAAGGCGGAGATTATACAGGAGGTGGAAGGCAGACACGAGGAGCTTCGGCAGCTGATGTGGCATGCGTGTCAGGCTGGCGATGACGTGGCGGTTCTGCTAGCTGAGGTGGACGCCCTGGCTGCCAGCGTGTCACCAGCAGAAGGACTTAGAGGACGGGAAGGAGGAGGGAATCATGATTCTGGTTCTGGACCAGCCTCGGCAACTGGCTCGGGGATAGGTCCAGGCTCGGGAGCAGCACTAGGGTTTGTGGAGGAGGTGGTAAGGGCGACCAATGAGGTGCGAGCGCTGAATCAAGCAGCCAATGAGAAAGCAGAGATCCGGAAAGCAGTGGAGGAAATTGTTCAGCTTCAAAGGAAGCAGGCAGAGATGCAAATTCTTCTGGGAAGCGGAAGGCTCCTGGAAGCTGCGACTCTAGCTCGGGCCCTTAAAGCCTCCTTTGTGGAGGGTGATAAGGGTGATGTGGGGGGGCCAAGGGAGGGTAAGAACGGGGAGGGAGAAGGGGGTAAGGTGGACGAGGGAGAGGGGAAGAGTGGAGAGGAGGAGCGAGGGGAGGAGCCTGTGGTGGTGACGCTGCTGCGGCAGCAAGTGGACGCCAGCTGTAAGCAGGTCTGTGTGGCGTGTTTGAAATGTGAAAGTATTGGAGTGGCTTGGTTTGCGTATGTCCTGGCTGGTACATCTATTTTAAATAACTTTACACATTTTTTGCTTATTCATTCACTTTCACATTTTTTGCTTATTCATTCACTTTCCACCCCTCTCTCCACCGCTCTCCACCCCTTCAGCTGCAGCACAGCCTGGAGCAGCAGCTGTGGCAGATGCTGGTGATCGACCCGTCCAGCCACTCCATCCGTATAGTCACATCCGCTGCACTCACACCCGCCATCACCAGTGCTGCCAGCACTGCTGCTTCTGCTCCTGTTGTGCAACTACCAGAGGTGCTCTCTGCCCTTGAAATGCTGACGTCACCAGTGCTCCCACCACCATCAACATCAACGTCATCATCATCAGCAGCAGCAGGATCGCTGCCAGTAGCAGCAGGCCCCCTATGGTCTCGAATAGCAGCGTCCATCCATTCAGCCATCGTGCTGCCCCTGCTCTCCTCCCCATCCGCCTCCCTCATCGCCTCACCCCCTGCTGATTCCAACCCTGCTTCCCCAAGGGATGCTGCCTCTCCTGCTGTTGCTCTCATCCATGTGCAATTCGAGAACTCTGCACCAGCAGCAGCAACAACACATGAGCCATCAACCGCAGCCCCTTCAGAATCTTCAGCGGCAGCAGGAGGAACGGCAGGGGTAGCAGCAGCACCAGTGACGCCCTTCCATCTGTACCCTCTCCTTCTCGACCTCATCTGCTTCCTCAGTCGCCATCTCACCTGCACCAGCGGTGGGGAGGGCAGCACCATTCGCCTGCAGCGCCTGGCGGCGGCCCTCTGGCCTCGCATGGCCGATAGCATCATCGAGAGATGCCTTGCATTGGTAAGCTGTTATAGTTCAGTGAGTCAGTTGCCATCTGACATGGGTGGGGGTAAGGGAAACGCCAACGTTTTGCAGCGCCTGGCGGCGGCCCTCTGGCCTCGCATGGCCGATAGCATCATCGAGAGATGCCTTGCTCTGGTAAGCTGCTGGGCTTCTCAGTGAATCGACGCGCCTTGTGCAGTCGTTCAGAAGGGACGGTGCTTTCTGGTTGGGTTGGAAAGCACGGTGCTTTCTGGTTTTTTAAGGAGCCTCAAATGTTGGGTGACTTGGCAGTCGTTCAATCTTCTCAGGCACGTGGCACAGCCCTGCTTGACGCATTATTCCAGAAAGTGGTGGAAGCAAGCCCCTTTGCTCGCTTAAACACTTACTCAACGGACGGTTTTTCGTTTGACTTTTTTTTTCAATCTCTTTGAATAGTCGACTAAAAGATTAGCTAGACAGTTCTCATTCATAAATTTATATTGTTATTATTTCTTTAATTTCATGCTTCCCTCAGGCCGTGCCTCAAGAGACGAGGGAGCTGGCTCGCTTTCAGGAGGTGGTGGAGGTGACACGCGCATTTGAAGCAGCCCTCCGAGCGGAGGGGTTTCTCGCTCCACTGCCTAAAGGTATGCTGCTATTTAAAGCTTGCTACTCTCGTGTTGTGAAGCACGTCACTTGAACCCTGACTCACTCGGGCCTTTGAAGGAGCCATTTCAGCAGAGGGGTTTCTTGCGACACTGCCTGCCTAGAGAAGGTGTGCTTCACTCATTTGGTCCTTGCACTTGTATTCCATATGGCACTGGTTACACACACGCACACATAAACCCACATTGCTGTCTGTCCACTTCAGGACATGAAGGCGCGGGCAGGGGGAGCAGCGAAGGGAGCAGCAGCAGCACCAGTGAGAGACAGAGTGATGGCGTATGCAGCAGATGTGGACCCACTATTCTTTCCTTCTCCCCTCTCGCCTCTTGCTTTCCGCCCAGCGTCTGCAGCACTCAAGGAGATGCAGCTTCGTGCAGGGGGGGCAGTGAAGCGACCAGCAGCACCAGTTGGGGACAGGCTGATGGTATATGCTGCAGACGTGGGCGTGCATTTCGCAGAGAAGAATTGAGTGGCGGCCCAGGCGGCGTGCAGTGCAGCACCTGCTGCTAACATGCCCTTGCTAACATGCACCCCTCATTCCTTCCCTCTCCGCCCTTGCTTTCCACCAGCTTCTGCAGTGCTGAAGGACTTGAAGGCGCGGGCAGGGGGAGCAAAGAGAGCAGCAGCACCAGTGGGGGACAGGCTGATGGCGTATGCTGCAGACGTGGACGTGCATTTCGCAGAGAAGAAACGAGTGGCGGCTCTGGCGGCTGTGCGGCACCTGCTGCTCAAAGGAGACTTTTCAGTCTCACGGCTTGTGGTGAGTGGCCGCGCTGGTGGGTGTCTGCACCTGGTCATGTGTGAGACAGTCGAAGTGAGAAGAAACGAGTGGCGGCTCTGGCGGCTGTGCGGCACCTGCTGCTCAAAGGAGACTTTTCAGTCTCACGGCTTGTGGTGAGTGGCCGCGCTGGTGGGTGTCTGCACCTGGTCATGTGTGAGACAGTCGAAGTGAGAAGAAACGAGTGGCGGCTCTGGCGGCTGTGCGGCACCTGCTGCTCAAAGGAGACTTTTCAGTCTCACGGCTTGTGGTGAGTGGCCGCGCTGGTGGGTGTCTGCACCTGGTCATGTGTGAGACAGTCGAAGCGAGAAGAAACGAGTGGCGGCTCTGGCGGCTGTGCGGCACCTGCTGCTCAAAGGAGACTTTTCAGTCTCACGGCTTGTGGTGAGTGGCCGCGCTGGTGGGTGTCTGCACCTGGTCATGTGTGAGACAGTCGAAGTGAGAAGAAACGAGTGGCGGCTCTGGCGGCTGTGCGGCACCTGCTGCTCAAAGGAGACTTTTCAGTCTCACGGCTTGTGGTGAGTGGCCGCGCTGGTGGGTGTCTGCACCTGGTCATGTGTGAGACAGTCGAAGTGAGAAGAAACGAGTGGCGGCTCTGGCGGCTGTGCGGCACCTGCTGCTCAAAGGAGACTTTTCAGTCTCACGGCTTGTGGTGAGTGGCCGCGCTGGTGGGTGTCTGCACCTGGTCATGTGTGAGACAGTCGAAGTGAGAAGAAACGAGTGGCGGCTCTGGCGGCTGTGCGGCACCTGCTGCTCTAAGGAGACTTTTCAGTCTCACGGCTTGTGGTGAGTGGCCGCGCTGGTGGGTGTCTGCACCTGGTCATGTGTGAGACGGTCGAAGTGAGAACAAACGAGTGGCGGCTCTGGCGGCTGTGAGACACCTGCTGCTCAAAGGAGACTTTTCAGTTTCACGGCTTGTGGTGAGTGGTTGTGCTTTTGAGCGTGAGAAGAATCGAATGGGGAAGGGACTTGTGGCATGCTCACCAGTTGCTCCCATGCCCACCGTTTCACACCCATCCGTCATCCCCTGTCATCCCCACCGCATTCCTACCCTGTCACCCGCAGGTCACTCCTGTGAGTCCAGATGTGAGCAACGCAGCGCTACAGCCGGCAGTGTTTGGTCAACAGCTGCTACAGCTGGTGGTGGGAGGGGCAGGCGCTGCTGCTGCGGCTGCTGCTGCTGCTGTGACGTCTGACTTGGTGAGGATAGCCTAATGCAAGAGATTATTGTCACATTAACCCTTTTTTGCTCTGTAATATCTAATATGCATTGTCGCATTGGCATTGCATGGTGCAACATCATTGGCTGTGTTCTATCTAAGACGAAATCAATTGTCACGCACTTCATGTGCATGCCACGTCATCATCCTCTCTTCAGGACAACTCGGTATTCTTCTGGGAGCCGTGCCACGTCAGCGAGCCAGTGTGCAAGATCCTCGAAATTGTTCACAACACCATGGAGGTACGGTGTTTTCCGTTTGAGTTCTGCAAAGTTTGCGACGTCTCATACTATGCTTCATACCATTTCGTCTGATGCATGTCCAATGCTCGTTAGCTCGACTGACGTGAGCTGGCAAGCATAAGCCGCATGGTCTGACCTCGGTTTATTCCTTATTAGCATTGCTGTTTTCCCTATCCCATTTGTCTTCCAGGAAGCTTCCCAGTCTACGGATCGCACGGCTATGGAACTGTATCGGGCAGCACGAGACATCTTCACCCTCTACCGCGCTCTGCCATCCTCTGCTGTAAGTCTTAAACACCGCTCTGTACCGCTTTGTACCATACTGTGACTGGATCGCACGGCTATGGAACTGTATCGGGCAGCACGAGACATCTTCACCCTCTACCGCGCTCTGCCATCCTCTGCTGTAAGTCTTATGTACCGCTCTGTACCGCTTTGTGCCATACTGTGACTGGATCGCACAGCTATGGAACTGTATCGGGCAGCACAAGACATCTTCACCCTCTACCGCGCTCTGCCATCCTCTGCTGTGAGTCTTATATCCCGCTCTATATGACTGCCTCTTCATGGCGCCCCTGCAATGGCTCGAGTCATCATCACTCCTCCCTCCTCCATCCCCCGTTTGGTCCACGCGCGCGCCTTGGTCCACGCGCGCGCCTTGTTCCACCCGCGCGCATTGGTCCACGCGCGCGCCTTGTTCCACCCGCGCGCATTGGTCCACGCGCGCGCCTTGGTCCGCGCGCGCGCCTTGGTCCGGGCGCGCGCCTTGGTCCGCGCGCGCGCCTTGGTCCGCGCGCGCGCCTTGGTCCGCGCGCGCGCCTTGGTCCGGGCGCGCGCCTTGGTCCGGGCGCGCGCCATGGTCCGCGCGCGCGCCTTGGTCCGCGCGCGCGCCTTGGTCCGCGCGCGCGCCTTGGTCCGCGCGCGCGCCTTGGTCCGGGCGCGCGCCTTGGTCCGGGCGCGCGCCTTGGTCCGGGCGCGCGCCTTGGTCCGCGCGCGCGCCTTGGTCCGCGCGCGCGCCTTGGTCCGGGCGCGCGCCTTGGTCCGGGCGCGCGCCCTGGTCCGCGCGCGCGCCCTGGTCCGCGCGCGCGCCTTGGTCCGGGCGCGCGCCTTGGTCCGCGCGCGCGCCTTGGTCCGCGCGCGCGCCTTGGTCCGCGCGCGCGCCTTGGTCCGCGCGCGCGCCTTGGTCCGCGCGCGCGCCTTGGTCCGCGCGCGCGCCTTGGTCCGCGCGCGCGCCTTGGTCCGGGCGCGCGCCTTGGTCCGGGCGCGCGCCTTGGTCCGGGCGCGCGCCTTGGTCCGCGCGCGCGCCTTGGACCGCGCGCGCGCCTTGGTCCGGGCGCGCGCCTTGGTCCGCGCGCGCGCCTTGGTCCGGGAGCGCGCCTTGGTCCGCGCGCGCGCCTTGGTCCGGGCGCGCGCCTTGGTCCGCGCGCGCGCCTTGGTCCGGGCGCGCGCCTTGGTCCGGGCGCGCGCCTTGGTCCGCGCGCGCGCCTTGGTCCGCGCGCGCGCCTTGGTCCGCGCGCGCGCCTTGGTCCGCGCGCGCGCCTTGGTCCGCGCGCGCGCCTTGGTTCCCGCGCGCGCGCCTTGGTCCGCGTTCGTGTGCGCCTTGGTCCAAGCGTTCGCGCGCCTTGGTCCTCTGATCGCCTTGGTCCGCGCGCACGCCCGCCTTGGTCCACGCGCACGCGCGCCCTGGTCCGCGGGCGCGCCCTGGTCCGCGCGCGCGACTTGTTTGATCTGCACGCGCGAATTGGTTGGTCCGCACCCGCGACTCGGTCCACGCACGCGACTCGGTCCGAGCGCGCGTGTTCCCAAATTCATGCTCATCCTCCCAAACAGCCAGTGGACATGGCACAGCCTTAATGGTATCAGTCAACCACCGCCTACCGCTGAGCCACCTCTGCCTCTCCTTTTGCTCAGATCATCACTGCTGCTTTCCTCGCTCTCCACTCATACCTCCTCTTCACCCATCCCTCCCAAGCAGCCTCTGGACGTGGCGCAACTCACCATGATAGCAGTCAACGACCGACCGCCCACTGCTCAGCCACGTGTGCCTCTCCTATTGTTCATGCCATCACTGCCGCGCCTTCCTTCCCTCCCTCCTTCCCCTGTGTTCCCTCATTCCCACTCTTCCTTTTTTAAACAGCTTGTGGACGTGCCGCAACTGGCCATGATAGCAGTCAACGACCAACCGCCTGCTGCTCAGCCACTTCTGGCTTTCCAAGTGCTCATATCATCACTGTTCCCTCCCTCCCTCTTCCCGCTTGTTCCCTCATTCCCACTCACTCCCCTGCGTGCTCCCAATCTCCCAAGCAGCTTGTTGACGTGGCACAGCTGGCCATGATAGCAGTCAACGACCGTCTGCTGCTCACCCACGCCTGCCTCTCCATTGGTTTGTCCCTTTGCACTCCTTCCCCTCCCCCCCCCCCCCCCCCCCGCCATGTCCCTCCCTCCCTCCCTCCCTTGTGTTCCCTCGTTCCCAGCCTGTTGGCGTGGCACAGCTGGCAATGATAGCAGTCAACGGCCGCCTGCTGCTAAGCCTGCTGATGAGCCACTTTGGCCTTTCCTATTGCTTTAATCACTGCTTGTTTCATCCGTCTCCCCTTCTTCCCGAACTCCCTCCGAAGCAGCCTGTTGACGTGGCACAGCTGGCCATGGTAGCAGTCAACGACCGCCTGCTGCTCAGCCACGTGTGCCTCTCCCTCGCGCTGCAGTACCGCGCGCGCCTGCCAGCTGGCGTGCGCCACGTGGCCACCTTTGCTGACGTGGCGCCGTTCCTGCGCCAGCTGGCGGAGGAGCAGATGCAGCGCGTGCTGGAGCGGCACCACGGGTATCTCATGGAAGCACTGGATGGGGCGCAGGGGTTCAGGAATACGGATGAGGAGGAGGTGTACCGGTGTGCACTGAGGGCTCTCAAACAGGTGCGTCAGTGTGTGTACTACCACCTACTTCAAGCAGGTATGCTCATTGCAGATGCAGCGCGTGCTGGAGCAGCACCACGGGTATCTTATAGAAGCTTTGGACGGGGCGCAGGGGTTCAGAAACACGGATGAGGAGGAGGTGTACCTGTGCGCTCTGCGATCTTTGAAGCAGGTACGCTTGCTGCCGCTGCATGGGGTGGGGGTGGGTGCTGGCTGGAGCGGTACCACGGGTATCTCCTGGAGGCGCTGGATGGGGCAGAGTGATGCCGGTGGTTTTCTGCATCCACGGCACCACCGGTACTTCGTGGAAGCATTGGAGGGGGCGCAGGGGTTCAGAAACACGGATGACGAGGAGGTGTACCTGTGTGCACTGAGGGCTCTGAAGCAGGTATGTGGGCTGTTGAATGCGGTGCAGAGCGATACCCGTGGTTTGCTGCATCCACGGCAGTACCATGGGTACCCGATGGAGGCATTGGATGGGGCACAGGATTTCTAGTTTTGAGGCGCCTCAAAACTGGAGGCATTGGATGGGGCACAGGATTTCTAGTTTTGAGGCGCCTCAAAACTGGAGGCATTGGATGGGGCACAGGATTTGAGGAATACAGAGGAGAAGGAAGAGGTGTACCGGTGTGCCTTGAGGTCATCTTGCTAAAGATTTCTTTTAGACTGCTGCTCGCCTAATCACATGGCTGAAGGATTTCAGGAATACAGACAGAGGAGGAGGAAGAGGTGTACCGGGGGGGTGCCTTGAGGTCATCTCGCCCAAGGTCATCTGGCTGACAGTCTTTCCTCCAGATGGCTGACGGGGGGTTTTTTGAGGTGCCTCAAAAACGACCTCGGTGCCAGACAGCCAGTCCCTCCACCCTCGTGCTACCCCTTTCCACACGTCACGCAATCCCTTCCCCCCACTCTCCCACCCTCCCTCTCCCCACCTCCTCTCCTTCACAGGTACTGCATCACCTCGCCCACCTCTCGTCTGTGTGGCGGCCTGTCTCATCATCCTCCCGTTACCTCGGAGCCATGAGTCTTACCCTCCTCCACCCCTCATCCTTTCCCTCACAGGTGGTGCACCACCTCGCCCACCTCTCATCTGTCTGGCGGCCAGTCTCTCCTTCCACGTGGCATATCATTGCCTTCCCACCTTTCTCTCCCCCAATCCCCCTCCCCTCTCCAGGTGGTGCACCACCTGGCGCACCTCTCATCTGTCTGGCGCCCAGTCTCACCCCCCTCGCGCTACCTCGTTCCACGCGATATCAATCCCTTTCCCCACCTATCCCATAACCCCTCACGGCAGGTGGTGCACCACCTGGCCCACCTCTCATCTGTCTGGCGCCCAGTCTCACCGCCCTCGCGCTACCTCGTTTTACCTCCTTCCACGTGGCATATCATTGCCTTCCCACCTTTCTCGCCCCCAATCCCCCTCCCCCCCCAGGTGGTGCACCACCTGGCCCACCTCTCATCTGTCTGGCGCCCAGTCTCACCGCCCTCGCGCTACCTTCGAGCCATGAGTCGTCTCGTCTCTGCTGTGCTCTCCCGCTGCTGTGCGCACGTGCTCGCCCTTCCAGACATTTCCGTCGATGAAACCGAGCAGGTGGGTTGATGAAACTTCTGCTCTCTATTTTCCGCTTTTGCTTCGCATTTTGGACCAACCCCCTTCCTCTTATACCGCCTTGCTCGCTCCTCCATTCACGTTTCCAATCACCTTCACAAGCTCAATCCTCTTCCTACTCTCATCCATCCCATCCCTCATTGACTCTCCCCACTCCCCCCTCACGCCCTCCCCCCCTAACCCTGCATCAGCTTCGCAAACTCTTTGCGGGGATGCTGACACGTCTGCCTCCTCTATTCCACGTGGACCTCTCAGGAGCCATTGGCAGCGCCCATGGCGCCACGTCAGCATCAGCATCTGTCGCTGCAGCTGCTGACCTGGATGCTGACGTGTCAGATGCCATTGCTGACACAGCAACACTGGAGTCTCTTGTTCCTGTGTATCGCAAGCTGAAAAGACTAACAGGTAATTATTGCCTCTGCTTCGTGTTTTTCCCCTGGTCGCCATTTGAAGCAATTTGATGTCAAGCTTTTTCTTTTTCAGACTTATTTTCCGTTACCAGTCTACACCACACCCCACCCCACACACGGTATATAAGAGCGTGTTCCTACACCTCGTATCAGAAACACCTCGAATGATATCCGCGTGGTGAAATGCGTTTCAGTGTGTTCGACTGCGGTTGGATGCGTTTTAGTGCGGTTCGACGTGAAATTGATACGAGGTTGCATGATAGGAACACGCCCTAAGAAGTGTTTTCTCCTTCACTGCCGTTTCTTGTCCTTCCACTGTACCAACCCTACAGATTTGCTTGACATGCCACTAGTGGCAATCACACAGGCATGGGAGAGTGGGGACTTGTGCCGCTGTGGTTTCACCTCTGATGAGGTAACTTACCGTACAAGCTTTTCCCATGGTGTTTACCTGTGCTTCTTCCATGGCGACACTCGTTACTCTCCATTGTTTCCTCCATCTCTGATTGTATCTCTTCTGCCAGGTTGCTGTCACTTAAACATTAGGAATTGAAAATGATCCTTATTTGTTTCTTGGCGTCATGCTTTGGACTAACGGCTCTTCCATTTGCCTCCCACGTGTCTATCCCTACCTAGTAGGTAGTACCTACGCTCATCACCACCCACCCTCTGCCACTCTGCCTTGCCTTTCTTCCGTCCAGGTGCAAAGGACCATTCGAGCCATATTTTCAGACACCCCTCTTCGGCGAAACTGCATTGCCAGGGTGGCAGCTACAATGCCTCCTACTGCCTTTCAATGATAAGAGTTCTATATAGAACAGCTGCACATCCTGTTCTCTTCATGTCAATCCCATAAGAGCAAATAGGGTTTACAGTTCAGTGGCTTGGGCAGAGTGATCAGGGCTGAGGAGCAGAACATTCTGGTGTCAGCAACTGCTTGGAATATGATTCAGTTTTTTTCACTTCCGCTTTCTCAGTATCAGCAGGAGCCTCACCACTCACACATATCAAGCATTTTTCAACATCTGCACTGCACACTCATCTAGCATCAGCAGCATGGACTCAGGGTGCATAAACTTCTACCTACTGTGCCGCTGTGTTGGGCTGGGCTCCACCCCACCATGTGATTCACAACGCATGGCATCAGCGCAAATCAGGTCGCAAGATGATCAAACGACTTTCTGAAGCCTATGATACGGTAGATACATTCCAGGTACAAGCCTGAACAATGACCATAAACTACGCTTGCCGTCTGGAAGCCCCGAAAATGGTACAGAGAGCTTCAATAGCTGCAAGTGACACTGCCTCTCCACACCAAATCGAAATACACGAATCGGATCAAATCAGCCAAAAAGCCCCAAGCCTAGCTAGAATTAGACATCTACGAGACAGATAATGTCTTATCCAAACAGATCACTTGGCGGAGGAGTAACCGTAGAGCTTCCCCACAACGTGCAAGGCGGTAACGAATCCAATGAAGCAGAGGCTCATTACGAGAACGACGGTCGGGGTGATCTTAAGGCCTGGAGCGTCGTCCGTGTAAAATCGGAGCATGTTATTCGCAGCGCTTGAAGTTGCTGCCGCTGTTGGCCGTCTCCTGCGAAGACCTGCTGATCCTACCCCCTTGGGAGCTCCTCCAGCAGCAGCTCCTCTACTCACAGCACCACTCCCGCCACGTGCAACGGATGTTGACGCCTGGCTGACTGAACCCTTGGCCATGGTGTCTGATGGAGAATCGACTAAAATTAGTAGTAGACTGAATGGAACGTAACAACAGAATCAACAAATCTGGATCAATAAGCCTAGGCGAAAATACGTAATCGAGGGACGGAGGAAGTGAAGTGAGATGAGTAAACTGGAAGGCAGGCAGATCCGAGATGGAGAAAATGAGGTGAATTGAGAGGGATATGAAAGAAAGTGGTTTTCCAACTGCCAACATCAAGGTTGTGCTTGCGACATCGGCGGTTGGATCCGCTGGGGATGGATTCGTTTGGGTTTGTATGGGTAAAATACCTCGTGTAATCGCTGGTGGGTAGTAGATCTGTAACTGGTGCACAGGCTTCGCCAGCGTCTGCCGGGTGGTAACAACGCCTCCGTTTCGCGGTTGGAACGCAAATCAGCATACGAGCGTCTTCGATACATCGTTCAATGATCTCTCCAATACCACGCTGAGGAACACCGAAACCGTACTTGACCACACACTCTGAAGATCTGACAAACTTGCACCTTTCAAAGATCAATCAACTTGTGTTGTGACAGATGACACCTTCCTCGCTTTGCATTTTGCTGAGACTTCATGACAATGACGGCCGACGCTGACAGGCAGAGAACTGGAGATACAACTCAGCGTCGTATCCGCTTTGAAAGCCTGTGATGCACAGATTGTATTTCACGCTAGCGTTGCCTCGCGTTTTCATCTATTGCAGAGTTTGAAACCACAGAGCCGTTTTAGACAGAGCGTGCGACTTACCGGGTTGTACTTCCTGCTGTTCTTCGAAGATCGCTGAGCCGTAAGCGGGATTCACCATGCGAGACAGCGGAGAGGAACCAATCAAGGACACAGCATGGCCAAACGCCATTCCCTACGTTCTCAAGCTCGGAACCTTCTTGGAAACCTCATGGAAGCAGTCAGTATCCATCCAAGCGTCTACATTCTACCTCACCATCTTAGTCGGCCCGTTCTGCCTGGCCGTGTCCATCTTCCTCTGCCTCCTCCTCTCCCTCTTCCACCTTCAAGCGAACCACACCGGCTTTCCCACCTCCCCCTCCTGCAACTTCCCAAGCCTCTCTTCCCTCGTTGCTTCAGTATTCAATCAATGCTCCACGCTCCCTCCCACCCCGGAGCCGTGGACCCCTGACGGCTTTCTCGATGATCCCGAGGTGGCCGCTAGGAGGCCGGAAATGGACGCTACCTGCGATCTCTGGGAGGGGAAGTGGGTGTACGAACCGGAAATGTATCCGTTGTGGAAGACGGGGTCTTGTCCGTGGGTCGAGACGGGGTTTGAATGTGAAGCCCTGGGTCGGCATGACACGGATTATATGAAGTTCCGATGGCAACCGCATGGTTGCAATTTACCAAGGTGAGTTGCAATGCTGGGTTTCTTTCTCGGACTTCTCTGTACTTGCTCCGCTCCCAGTGAATTCTCGTATTTCCTCTGGGTTCTCGCTCTTTTCCATACAATGACCTTTTTACATGTCCAGGTTCAACGAATCTGGCTTCTGGGATGGTCTCCGCATGTTCTGTCCAGGTTCAATGCATCGGACATCCGACGGCGGCTCAAGGGGCGCCGGCTGGTGTTTGTGGGAGACTCGTTGTGCCGCAACCAGTTCGAGAGCGCACTTTGCCTCCTCAGCATTGATCTTTACAATGTTTCTGCTGTTGCTGAGGTGCTGCTGCTAATGTTCACATCCCATGTTTACAACCATATCATGTCATCATTGATCATCCATCATGCATCATGCATCATGGCTACAACACACTTTTCCCATGAAACACTCACCTGGAAAGTCAATGCCCTTCCAGCACTTGCGCTTGTCTGCTCAGCTAAATCTGTTCATTCAGTTGCCAACAGCACATGCCACGCTGCATGCAGTTCCAGGCTAAATGACGCTTCCCTTCCAACTGGCAACAGTCTAACAAACAATGCGCCTTTTGAATTGAATTATCGCATTCCTGTTCTTCCACTCCTCTCACGCTCCTGTATTTTCCCGTGCATGCAACCCTATGGCAGCGCACGGGCAACAATCTGACCAAGAAGGTGGACACGATGGTGTATGACTTCACTCAGTTCAACTTCACCATCGAGTACCATCTCTCACATTTCCTCGTGGGCTTCCACAGAGCTCCCCCTGATGCACCACCACACGTGAGTGAGAGATTCGCTAATCATTCTGTCAGGTGTTTTTGGGATTCCGCTTGAAAAGTTGGACACGAAGGTGTGTGACTTCACTCAGTTCAACTTCGCTGGGGAGTCTCACCTCTCGCGCTTCCTCGTCTGCTTCCACCGCGCTCCCTCTGATGCCCCACCACATGTGTGTGTGAGTGTGTGAGCGTGGCTGGCCCTCCGTCGCAATGATCGCACATCAGTGTCTCTTGCACTCACCCCCATCACCATACGTCAGTCCCCTTCACATACTCATTGTTCGGATTCACCTTCCTGTTTCAGATTGGAGCAGTGGTCAACACAGACACGGTGGATCCTCTCTTTGCTCGAAGGCTCTTTGACGAACGACCAGAGGGGCTTATACTCGTGCTCAACGCAGGCCACTGGTTCACCCCGTCAAAGATATCGCGTCAGTGAGTGAGTCGGTCATTTTTCGAGTCAGGGTGTGCGATATCTAATGTAACCTCAGAAACATCTACAACTGCTGTCATGCAACATGCAATACAGGCCACTGCAACACCCTGTCATAGCCTTAGCATCAGTGAGTGGATCATTCAGGTCAGGGTAGCATCATAGCCACCAGGCCTTTTTGAAAGATGTGGGGCCAGAACGGTTTTCCGTTTTGAAGGTGGGCATAAAGGTTTCAACTATGGTGAAAGACTTGTTTCGTCCCGTTGTTTGTACAGCTGGGAACACACTCTAAGTATTCCTTGTAATCACTCTGTTCCCATACAGGAACGTCTCCTTCTTGGTGAACAACCAGACTCGCCCAGACATCGATGAGACCGAGGGATTCCGCCTGGCCATGGTGCGCGTGTCGGACTGGCTGCAGCAGTGGCCTCCTAAGGCTGCCAACGCGACCGCTGTCTTCCGCACCTATGCCCCCGCCCACTTCGCGTAAGACTAGAACCCGCCCAGCTGTCGCGCTTGCTCCTATATCTCACACACACCCGCACCCTGCCGTTTGTCCGTTGCTTCAGAAATGGCCACCTCAGGCTGCCAATGTGACTGCTGTCTTCCGCACCATTGCACCCGCCCACTTTGTGTAAGACTGGAACTGGCTCATTTGTGACTAGGTTCACTCCTCAGTAATACTCCCACATCCTTTTCCTTGGCATGCCTATCATCTGTCCTGCAGGGGGGGCAGTTGGGACCACAGTGGTGGGTGCTCAGAAACGCATCCCACGCTCTCTGTTGACCCGTCAATCCCGAATTATCTATGGCAAGATCCTTCGGAGTTATTCGCTCAATTAAGTCGAGAAGCAATGTCGCGGCCGGAGCAAGCCAGAAAACCAATTATAAATGATATTACAAGAATGTCGTATTTCAGGAGTGATGCGCACATTGCACGGTATTGGACAGGAGCGACAGGCTCTGACTGCAGGTGAGTCATCGGCAGGTCTTTTCGTAGCTTGCATGCTTTTTCGTGTCTCTTGCTACGTTTTTTGCATTAACTCTATGAATTCGTGACAAGTAACTGATGTGCTACTATTTGTGCAGCCACTGGTGTCTACCTGGAGTGCCTGACACATGGAACGAGATGCTGTTTGCTTCTCTAGTAGCAAATTCTGTTTTGTAACGTGTGTTTCGAAGGCATAAATTGCCTAGTGAAAGCTTGGGTGTTGACGGAAATTTTCAAATGAGGGTCAAATGACATGTGCATCACCTACAGGGATCTGTGTGGGCTGGGCAAGGGGCACATGTGTGAAATTGTAAATAAAGAAGTCTGCTGTGATAGCTTGTAGGTTGAGCATATGCAAGCGTGTTGATTCCGTGGTGTTCCGCTTCAACAAACACATAATGGAATCCCCGTTATGCTACTGCCTTGCGTGATCTTGGATATTACGTGGGATCAATGATTTCTTCGGTCCATCCAACGAGGAGTAGAGCTGCACCAATCGCGTTCACCTCCCAGATGCTGGATACCTGGTCGTGACCGACTTCGACTTTCGACCGTGCATCTCAGCCTCAGAACTTGGATGGGATTTGCGGCGTGGGACGTCTGGTTCACACCGAAGCGGGATTTTAGGGAAGATTATCCGTCGGCCCTTTGCCAGAAAACGGTGTCCGATATCTTTCCCAGCTGCGTATTTTCTGTCGCCACATTTCGCACCGCCACTTCCGTTTCGCAGTGCATAGGTGTAACCACTTTTCCGCCCACCTTTTAGCGCAAAGAGAGCGCTGACTTCTTCGCAGAAAAAAATCCGGTCGTGGCGCATATCTTTCCTCCCTGCCAGCCCCAGCACAGTAACCGCTTCTCTCCTCCCCCACGCCCCATTGTTTGAGGAGGTGCGGAGCGGAAACAGATTAGGGAGGGATCTATATGTGCGGTGCCGCCAGCTTCTGGAACCTTGCTTGTTTGGATTGGTCGAGAAAGCGAAGCGCCCATGGTGAGCCCCTGGGAATTGCCCGGGGAGCGAGTTCGATGGAAATGGAGGCGCTTCTCGGGAATGTCTAACGGGACCAAGCACGCTGTCGAGGTGTTTTCCATTGTTATGAGCATCTCATAAAAGAACCACAACTTTCTAATTCTGAGTATTAGGGTTCCTTCCCTTTCGTCACCTCCCTCAGCCCTCCCCTTGAACCCTTCAACACCCAACCTTACTTGTTTTAGCATTTCATACCACCCAGAGTGGCAGACAAATCACCTCCCCAAACTCTTGCTTTCCTCCTTACCGACGAAGGAACAGAAGCCGATGGGCAGGTTCACGCGTGGTTTCAATGGTTGAGGATGATTGAGTTGAATGTGGTGTGGATGGAATTCGACAAACAAATGCATCACGAGCTTCTGACTAAGCTGTTTTTAGTTCCTCAGTCTCGCTTCATGACGTGAAGCTGCTGTCTAGGTGTGCAAATTGTTTCGCCATTCCGACATAGGGGCTCCTCACTCCAGACAGTATCAGTACGCGTAGTTAGGGCGACCTCGGGGCCTTGGCAGTCGTCGCTTCTTTTTGAGTTACGCACCGAAAAGAAGAAGCATGGACGGTTCAAAGCCCGGAGGCGCTAAGAAGATGGGACTCGCATCGTATGGTCGCAGCGTGAGTGCGAAAGAAAACACGGTTATACTTGCGGCGTCTGCGACAACCCCGCCGCCTGCGACAACCCCCACGAAAACTCCTCCCATGCGTCGGAATCATACTTACGGCGACCTGAACGACGCCTCTGCGACAACTTCTTCCATGCGTCGCAATCGTACTTACGGCGACCTGAACGAAGCCTCTGCGACAATTTCTCCCATGCGTCGCAATCGAAAATCCGGTGATCTGAACGACGCGCCTGCGACAGCTCCTCAAATGCGTCGGACTCGCACCTTCAGCGACGTGAACGACGCCTCTGCGACAGCTTCTACGATGCGTCGCAACCATACCTTCGGCGACTTGAACGACGCCTCTACGACAAATCCCACCATTCGTCGCAACCTTACCTTCAGCAACCTGAACGACGCATACGGCAGCGCGGTTCCGGCTCCCGCCATCGACTTCCGAGCCTGGCTCGCGGACCAGGTTCGGTTCAGCCAGAGCCTACGCATTCCCGAACCACCGCAGAAGGCCTGGTTAATCGACAAGCTGGGACCGCTTAAGGCGCTGGCACGCGTGGGAATGAAAAAAGCCACGTGTACATTCGCAATGCACGTTCACGGAGTCGATGACCTTCCGACAACCATGGAAGGAAAAGAGCTTATCGTGCAATGGCAACGACGGGGAATGTCTATTGGAAGTAGCTCAATGACAGTCCAACGAGGCGTGGCGAAACTGGAGCAGACGTTAACGATAAAGTCTTCCGTCTACTACACCGCCGGATCTCAGCAGTCCGTCAAGTTTCAGTCGAAGAAGTCGACGGTCGCGGTTCAGCTGTTAAAATCCGTCGGATTTGGATACGAGTCGGAGATTGCAAACCATTCTGTCAACCTGGCGAGTTTCCTGCCGTCAAAACTTCGTCCCGTGACGGAAGGGGAGCCGCAGACGTTAACGTTTAAACTCACCGGCCCGGCTGACGGAGCCGTCTTGGTGGCGACGTTTGGTTATGAGTTGAACCTCGGCAAGGGACAACCGATTGTCGCACGGGTGGATACCAAATCGTTTCGCCAGTTCGCCGCCAGCGTCGCAGAAGCGTCGCCCGCTCCGAGCGAGGCGTTGTTTTCGAGCAGCCCGCCTGACAGCCCGTCGTCGTACGGCTCCAGCCCGTCGCACAGCTTCGCTGACGAATTTTCGCCACGGCCGCGCGAACTCTCGCTGGCATTACCGGATTTGCCCATGGGTCACGCTCGGAGCGCGAGTTACGGATACGGCTTTAAAGTCACCACCCCGAGCACCATGCGACCGGTGATAGAAGAAGAATACGAAGGAATCGAGTCTAAAGAAGAAACAAGTCCTAAAGATGCGGTGACAAACAAATACTTGGGAGAACATTTCAGTCAGTGGAACGTGGGGGATGGAGGAAGGGAAGGAGGGAATGGAGAAAGGGAAGGAGGGAATGGAGGAAGGGAAGGAGGGAATGGAGAGGCGGCCGAGGAAGTGGCAGAGGCCGAGGAGGGAGAGGTGGAAGAGGAAGAGGAAGAGGAGGAGGAAGAAGAGGAGGAGGAAGAGGAGGAAGAGGAGGAGGAAGAGGAGGAGGAAGAAGAGGAGGAAGAAGAGGAGGAGGCGGAGGAGCAGGTGAAAGAGGTGGTTGCAATGGAGGGTAATGGTAGCGCGACGCGACTAGGGTCCGTGGTTGCCATTGGGGAAAGGGGAGAAGGAACGTGGGGCGGCGACGCGGGGACAGAGGCGGGATACTTGTTGCTGGCAGAGGGTGGGAGGATGGAAGCGAGGGGAATCAACATAGGAGATAATGATGGGAGAAGCGAGGAAATCGCGAGGGAAAGGGTGGAGGGGACGGAGGAGGAGGCGGGTGTGGAGGAAGGGAGTTCGGTGGTTGAGGGGAATGGCTCTTGCAGTGGGAGGTCTGAGAGTGAGGGGAAATCTGAGAGTGCGAATGAGCCTGAGAGTGAGGGGAGGCCTGAGAGTGAGGGGAGGCCTGAGAGTGAGGGGAGGCCTGAGAGTGAGGGGAGGCCTGAGAGTGCGAAGGAGTGTGAGAGTCAAGAGGGCTCTGTGAGTGAGAAGAAGTCTGAGAGTGAGGGGAGGTCTCGTAAAACCGGCGGTCTTTCGCGTATGGCGGAAGCAATTTTGGAGTTTGAGCGGACCGTTAGCGAACAGGAGAAGCAGCTCTTAGCGGAGCAAGAGGCAAGAGCGAACTTTGGATCAGTATTGGACGGTCGGATTGACTCCGAGGAGGAAAGGATCAACGGTGCTACTTTGGCCGAGGAAATCTACCCTGTGGATGCGGCTCCTGCGAAGGAGCAAGCGACTGGAGATGGGGTTACCGGGTTACCAGCCACAGTGGCATCAGCAGCTGCTGTTCTGAATTCGCCCGCATCCGTTCTTCTGGAGCCCCAGGACTCGGTATCAGGCAGCGATAGCGCCCGCAGCTTTGTGCTTGATGATACGAACTCGGATACCATGGAGGAGGGAGGGGAGAGTGAGGAAGGCGGAGTTGGGAGGAGTGAAGGGAGGAGCGAGAGAGAGGAGGTTAGGGTGGGGAAGGAAGGGGAAGAGGAGGAAGAAGAGGAGGTGAGTAGTGAGCGGAGAGATGAGGAGGGAGTGGAGGAAGAGGGGGATCGAGACGGGGCTAAAAGGGTGTGTGGGGAGCGAGAGAGCGAGGGAGCCGTGGAGAGCGGTGGAGATGGGGAGGGAGTGGTCGCGGAAGAGGGAGTGGAAGAGGAAAGAGGTGGTGGGGAATGCGAGGGATTGAGTGAAGCAGAGGAGGGTGAAGAAGGGGAGGAGGAAGAGGAGGAGGAAGACGAAGAAGATGAAGAAGAGGAAGAGGAGGAAGAGGAGGAGGATCATTTAGCTCACGCTAAGAGGGAAAGGGAGCAAGAGGAAAGAAAGGCAGAGGCAGAAAAGCGGAGGGCGGAGGTGGAGGAGAGGAGCAGGCGGAGGGCGCTTCAGCTGCAGGAAGAGGAGGAGGCGGAACTGCATAAGCACTTCTTGGGCAAGCGATCCCATTTCGCCGACACCGCTCGTGCCTTTTCTGCTGCTACTACAAATGGAGTTTCTGCTGCTGCTACTACCACCAATGCCGCCGCTGCTGCTGCCGCTGCTGCCGCTGCTGCTGCTGCTGCAGCAGCTGCTGCAGCTGCCAGTGGTGGTGCTTGTGCTCCTGCTGCGGCTGCTCCTGCAGAGACCGAGTTGGCTCTTGTTGTTAGAGGAAGTGCTTCTGGGGCGGTAGCTGGTGCGAGTCCGGTCAGTGGACCTGGCACAGTTGAAGGCGACTCAGAGGAAGATGACGAGCAGCTTCCACGAAAGCGCGCTTCCTTTAGCAGCAGCAGCAGCAGTCCAGCGGTCGCCGCTGCTGTTGCTGCGGCTGCTGCAGCTGCGGTTGCTGCAGCTGCTAATGCACGCGGGGGGGAGCTGGGAGAAGCAGCGGCGGCTGCTGCAAAGGGAGGATTCAGCATGGGAGCAGTCAGGGGAATCGGAGGGGGAGGGGGAGGGGCCATGGTCGGTTGTGGGCATCATCACCACACCGGCTTGATTGCAGTGGGCAGCAGGCGACGAAGCAGCAGCAGCCACTGCAGCAGCAGCAGCAGCAGCAGCAGTGGTAGCAGGAAGGGCGTTGATGAGAGTCTGACGCGCATTGAGAGTCCTGTGATGCGTATCCCCCAGTGCGTTCTCCGGGACTTGTCTCTCCCCGACAGCCTTGTCTTCTCTGCTATGCCTGCTGCCGCTGCTAGTGCCAAGCCTGTAATTCCAGAACCCGCAATTGTCGGACCTGCCAGTGTCAAGCCTGCTGGCGATTGCGCCAAGCCTGGTGGCGATTGCGCCAAGCCTGGTGGCGATTGCGCCATAGGTACTTTTGTGGGGAGATCAGCTGCCGGAGCAACGATCACCGCTTCCCCTCCAACCACCAAGCCACCGCTTCAGCTTCCCCCAACGAGCACTAGTGCTCGCTCCGTCGCTTCCCTCAGCTCCCCTGCTGCTTCTGCTCTTGCACCCCTGGCACCACCTCCCGTCACACCTCCCGCCACACCTCCCGCCTCCTCGCTCCTAGCACCCGATTCCATCCCCCCTCCCATCCCACACCCCACCACCATCCCACCCCACCTCCCACCCCGACCCACCCCCTCACCCTCCTCCCTCCCCTCCCCCCTCCCCTCCTCCCTCCCCTCCCCCCTCGCCCACCTCAAAGCCACGGACCCTCTCCTCCTCGCCCTCCCGAATTCCAACGCCCCTCCTCCGCTCCTGGACGGGATGGGGTCGGCTATAGCGCTGCAGGGAGGGGGGTTCTTAGCGTCCATGTCGGGGCGGCACTTTGGGGAGGGGGCCACGCGGCTGGTGATGCAATTCTCCCGCCCCATGGTCATCCCGTCAGAACTAGCATCGTTAGATTCCTTAGGGTCATCCGAAGCAGGCTCTTCCAAGCTCCTGCCTCTCCCTTCTGGAAGTGCTACTGCTACTGCTGCCACTGCTGCTGCTGCTGCTGCTGCTGCCGCTGATTCCTCCTCAGTGCTCCCGCTCCTGCAGCGCCTAGCAGCGGCCTCTGCAGCGGATCCCTCCGCCCCTTCCCTCACAGACCAAGTCCTTGCGCTCATGCCCCTCCCAGACATCAGCGGCAAGCCTCTCGAACAAATCGCTGCTGAGGGAATGGCTTATATCGAAGGAGGGTGGAACTGGGAGGGAGGATTGGGAGGTTCGGGAGGGTCGGGAGGAGTTGGAGGATTGGCGGGAGGGGTTAGAGGGAGTTTGGAGGGGCAGGAGGAGAGAGCGGGAGGAGGGTACCTGCAAGGGAGCCAGGGAGGCTACCTGGAGGGGCACCTGGGAGGATACCTGGAGGGCGGTTCAGGTGGTTCTTCAGGTGCTATCATCAGCCGTGGCAGCTCATCTGTGGTCTCAGTCTCCCACTCTTCCTCTGCCCTCTCCTCCTCTGCCTCCTCTGCCTCCTCTGCATCCTCTGCCTCCTCTGCCTCCTCTGCTCTGGCTGTGAGGCGGGCACAGGCAGCAGCAGCGCTGGCTCGCCTAAGGCGCCGAGGACAGCACCTACTGGGCAGCAGCAGCGGAGGAGGAGGAGGAGGAGGAGGAGGAGGAGGAGGAGGAGGAGGAGCAGGAGGAGAAGGGGAGAAGGATCAGACTCCAGGGGAGTGTGAAGAGGAGGAGGAGGTGGATAGGGAACTGAGACAGGCCCTTGCGCTGATTGGCAAGAGCGGAGGAAACATGGTTCTAGCTGGTAGGGGTGGTAGGGTTGGTACGGCTGATGGCACAGGTAGGGCTCTAGCTATAGGCAGGGGTGCAGCAGGGAATAACATGGTTCCTGGTACGGCTGGGATGGGAGCCGGAATGCTGGCTGGTGCTTTTGAGGGAGTGGGAAAGGGAGAGGGAGAGGGAGAGGAGGAGGAGGAGTATGTGGGCTTGGGAGAGCTGGGGGCGTTGGCTGTGGAGCAGATTGAAGCTTTGCTGGTGGAGGGGCTGAGAGTGCAGAATGAACAAAGCGAGTTGCACGCTCCAGGGGCTATTACCCTGGGAGAATCCGGGCAGTTGGGGTACTCTGCGGGTTACCCTGCGGGTTATGTGACTGGCGGGGCGAGGGGTGTTCTGGGCGGTGCTGGTTACCAGGTTAGTGGAAACCAGATTGCTGGTAACCAGACTGATGGTTACATTGGGGGAGGTGGGCATAGGGGGCTGCTCGGGGCGGCGCTGACAGTGGAGGAGTGGCAGCAGCTGGATGCAGGGGTGTGGGATGCGGTGGAGTCCGATAGAGATGCTTTAGAGGTGCTGCGAGCACACTGCAAGGCGCATGGCATAGCAGGGCTGCTGGAGGGGAGTGAGGGGGACGAAGGGAAGCAGATGGTGCTGCGCGGTGCAGATGGGTTCGGAGGGCAATTGGTGCCTGCAGGGAATGTAGATGCTGCAGGCTGCTTGGCTGTAGGAGGCTTGGGGAGTCAATCTAGGCACATGGTGGGGAGCTATGGAAGGGGAATGGGGCTGACCGCCAGCCAAGGGAACACCGTAACAGGGGGTTTGGTGGGGAGCAGTGTAACAGGGGGTGTGGCAGGGAGTAGAGTAACAGGGGGTGTGGTTGGTAACCCTGTAACAGGGGGAATGCTAGGAGACAGCGTGACAGTGGCCATGCTGGTTCAACTGAGGGATCCTCTAAGGAATTTTGAGCCGGTGGGAGCACCCATGATGGCGCTGCTGCAAGCAGAGAGAGAACCAACACTTGCACCGTCACCAGCTGCTGCTGCTGCTGCTGCTGCTGCTGCTGCTGGTTTGGGTGGTCCCATCTCTGCTGCTCTTGGCAGTGCTGCCCTTGGCAGCAGCGGCCAGGCCTCTCTGGGGAATCAGCAGCATCAAGCCCTAATAGAAGGCTATCATGCTCAGGGCCTTATGGAGGAAGCTGCCTCTCCCATCCCTGGTGGCTCTGTCAGTCATGCAGATAATGCCACCAGGGCCCAGCTTTCCTTGGAGTATTCTGCAGTTGATGCTGCCAGCCCAGCACAGGGGGCGCTACAGCCGTGGCATGGTGCCAGCTCAGCGCCAGCAGCGCTACAGCCGCGGAATGATGGCACAGCCACAGGCCGCCGCAGCCATATTACCTCGGCTGCCTCTCATCCATTTTCAGGTCCAACTCCCACGCTCCCCTCCACCGCCCCACCCCGATTCAAGCTCAAAGCAGTGCACGTCGCAGGGCTAAAGGCTGAAGAGGCACCAGGGAGGGGATGGGGGTCGCAGAAGCAAGCACAGGCAGGGGGGAGGTGGCTGGCTGCGAACGGCATGGGGAAGAAGCAGCAGGGGAAGGGCGGTGGAAGTGGGCTGTTTGGGAAGCATGCTAAGCCGGCTAAGGTGACTGTGAAGCCTGGGGATACCCTGTGGAGTCTTTCCCAGAAGGTTCATGGGAGTGGGATGAAGTGGACGGAAGTGGTGAAGCTGAATCCGCAGATCCGGAACCCGGACCTGATCCTTCCGAGCCAGAAGATTCGGATGAGGAGATGATTTTGAGCCCGGACCTGATTCTGCCGAGCCAGAAAGGGCTGGCTTGTATAGGAGATGATCACGGACCCGTACCTGATCCTGCCCACAAGAAGCTGGTACGGGTAGCGTGCTATACTTTCTTGCGTGTTTGTTTGCTGGTTCCGTTCTAACACCACCGCAGGTAAGCTGCTTGATGCTTTATGTAGTGCTCGCTCCATACCACTTTTGAGACGTCTCAAAAGTCTTTTTGTAGTGCTCGCTGCATACCGGCTTGTTGATTTCGTTTTGCATGGACCGGTATGCATGCAAGTATATCTGCTTGCCTGTTTGTAATTTTTGCTCTGCATTTTCATTGCTGTTTTGTAGACTACATGGTGATGTACTACCTTTGTTCCAGGCAAACGATTTCTGAGACGTGAACCTACCGGTATGTGCAAAACCGAACAGATAATAACAATGGAATGAGCAGAGTGGAAGACAGCATATATAGAAACAAGCATACTGCAAACAATTTACACTTCGGTACTCTTAGAGCGTATTCCTAACATCGTATCAAGCGAACCTCATATCTAGCTCACACTGGGAAATCCCCTAAACCCAAAACCTCTCGCTATTTTCACCAGGCAAAAAGTACAATTTGATACGAGGTGGCCGACCCTGAGGCAGTAGGAATACGCTCTTAAAGTTGGGAAACCTTACTACATTGCAGCTACATTCTCATTTTGAATGACCCTGTTCAACACCAGAGATCCACCGTTTCAACTTCCCCACTACAGTACCACCAGCCCCCCCTCCTCCCATCCCTTTCCCACTCGTAGTCCCCGCATTGCTGCTCGTCCTCCTCAGCCCAGACCCACCTATATTGCTCCCCAGCCCACTCAACCCCTTTCCACCACTACTGTTGCCGCCACTGCCACCAAGGCCACCACCCCCACCACTGCCGCCCAGAGGAGAGGCAGTGCTGCTGGAACGGGAGAAGCCCCCTCCTCCAGTTGTAGACTTGCTTCCAGGCAAACCAAATCCACCTCCCCCAAATCCACCTCCCCCAAATCCACCTCCCCCGAACCCGCCTCCACCAGCCAATCCTGCCTCCTTAGCTGCGCTGCTGCTTGTCCGAACCAGCCCAAGCCCACCCCCACCAACACCACTGCTGCCACCGCTGCTGGCGTTGCTGCTGGTTCGCATCAGCCCGCCTAACCCCATGCCCTTCCTCCCTCCCCCACCCCCGCCTCCCCCAGACGCTGCATCACCACTGCTGCTGCTGCTGCTGCTGCTGATGCTGCCTGCGTTGCTGCTGGTTCGCATCAGCCCACCCAGCCCCATGCCCTTCATCCCTCCCCCACCCCCACCTCCACCTGACGCCGCATTACTGCTTGTCCGCATCAGCCCTGCAAATCCTCCCCCCTTCTTCCTACTCCCATCACCACCACCACCACCTATCCCACTCGCACCCCCCGCACCACCCCCACCAGTACCACCGTCACTGCCCGCTATCTTCCCGCCCCCTCCCTTCTCCGCCTTCCCAGAGCCACCTCCCCCAGACGTCACCTTCTCTCCTACAGTGGTAGACACGCTGTGCATGCCCAGGCGCGTCTGAGCCTCCAGCACCTCCTGTGCCGCCACCATGAGGCGTGTGCGAGCACTGCTCATCTCTAGCATCCCTTCTAACGACCCTGGCTTGGCGCTGCCAGCACCAGACGCGCCTGAGAGGGAGGGTGGAAGGGCGGGGCGGGTGGTCAGAAGAGAGGGATAGGGGGGATAAGTCTTTGCTGAGCCTCCAGCACAGCACCTCCTGTGCCGCCACCATGAGGCGCATGCGCGCAGCGCACTGCTCATGTCCAACACTAAGTGTATTTTGAGTCGACTCAAAATACACCATGAGGCGCGTGCGCGCAGCGCACTGCTCATCTCTAACACTAACATCTCCAGGCAGAACTGGCGCACGCGGGCTCATGGTGCGTGTGCGCTCATCTCCAACACTAACATCCCCTCTAACGACCCCGCTGCCAGCACCGGATGCTCCTGATGGGAGGAGGGGGAGGGAGGGAGGGAGGGAGTGCGGGAGACGGGGGGGGGAAGCAGCAAGGGGCGAGTGGAATAAAGGTATCTGGTGCTGCTCACCAGCGTCTTTTTTGGCACGAGGGCATGAGGACCGGTGAATCTCCTGCCCAGTAGCGCCATACAGGGCAATCAGCTTGCACGCAGAACAATCCGTCTCCCCTCCAAACCCAAAAGTCGCCCACTTACCAGCGTCTTTTTTGGCACGAGGGCACGATGACCGGTGAATCTCCTGCCCAGTAGCGCCATACAGGGCAATCAGCTTGCACGCGGAGCAATCCGTCTCCCCTCCAAACCCGACTTTTGAGACACAAAAGTCGCCCACTTACCAGCGTCTTTTTTGGCACGAGGGCACGATGATCGATGAATCTCCTGACCAGTAGCGCCATACAGGGCAATCAGCTTGCACGCAGAACAATCCGTCTCCCCTCCAAACCCGCGCCTGGCCCCCACTCCCCCACCTCCTCCCCCGCCTCCCCCTAACCCCCCGCCTCCTCCCCCTGCGGAAACCCCCCGCATCTGCGCCATAACGTCACTCGTTGTGCGCATGCCCGCGTGCAAGCCGCTTCCCGCCCGCCGCAGCCCCACGCTCCCTTCCCTCCGCGGTCCCCCGACCATCCCGCTCCCCTGCCTCCTCAACCCTCCTCCGCCCATGCCCTTACCCTCGCCGAGTCCTCTCATTGCGCTCCCATCACCCAACCCTCCCCCCACGCCCTTCCCACTTCCGAATGCGCCAATTCCCAGCCCTGCCTCTCCTGCTCCTCCTGCTCCTCCTCCGTTCGTTTCAAGGTCTGATAGTTCCGAACCTGCCCCTGCGGCACCTCCTGGTTCTTTGGCGGCTCCTTCTGCTGCTGCTGCTGCTGCTGCTACTTCTGCTGCTGCTCCTGCTGCTGCTTCTGCTTCTCCTCCTCCTGCTGCTCCTCCAGCTGCTGCTGTTCCTGGTCCTGCTGCTTCCGCTGCCGTCACTACTGCTCTTCCTGCTTTCCGCGTCTCTCCTGCGAGACCCACGGCTGCATTGCAGCTGCTGCTGCTGCCATCGCGGGTGTTATTATCGCCACTAATGAAATCCACACCGGACGTACCCTCTTCTGCTGCATCTGCTGCTCTGGCTCCTGCTGCTGCCCGCCCCCCTGCTCCTTCCGCTCCTTCTGCACCTTCCGCTCCTTCCGAGCCTGCTGCTATGCTAGCTTCGGAACCGGCTACTTCTCCTGACCCGGCCGCATTTCCCGCGTCCTCGCCGGCCGAATCCGAGAGTCCCTCGTTATTGTCACCTTCGGCCCTGGCGGAAGCCCTATTCGTCATGAATCCGTCCGGAACCGCGGATGGGGGATTTGCGGAATGGGTTGCGGAAGGAGGTTCCCCGGAAAGTGTCGCGGAAGGGGGAGCTGCGGAATTGGCGGATTTGCTGGAAATGCTGCGCGGAGGAAGGCTGGGGGAGCGCAATGGGGAAGGCGCAAGAGGAGACCTTTCCCCGGAGTCATGGAGAGGCAGGGAGGGCGGAATTGGGGATCTTGATCCCTTCGAAGAAAGTGGACTTCTAACGCCTGGCGATAGCGGCGGTAAACTTGTTGATTTCTCAAATGCTTTGTCAGCCTCAGCTCCTGACAAATGCTCAGACGTCACGGATTTGAATCCGAAAATTTCGTTATCGCGACTCGGGTGTTCCTCAGCTACCTCTTCGATTTCTGCGAGTCCCGGCGACATTGCGTGTTTCACTAAAGGAAGCATCGAAAATGTCGTCAGAACCTGTAACAATGCTTCCGTTACGAGTGGAAAATTCCGCATGCGACGGAACGCAGTCTGACGAGTTATCTGCTAATCGAGCCGCGACAAGATGGTCTTCCATAATCACAGAAACCAAAACGCAAGAACCAGAAATCACTCCACATCATCATTTATCTTCGAGTAGAGCGGCTTCGTTCGGCGGAGTGCGTTCCCATGCGGTACAGAAGCAGTGGCCGAAAGCTATGGGGCAGGTGCCTCCATAGCGTGTTCGATCGAAACAGAGGTGCAATTGAAATTGAAAGGCCAACACGCTTTGCAACAAGTTGCACAAAGGGAAAATATGTCAATGGTAACTTACATGGGGCACTGTAACGCGTACGGTAACGATTTCAACGCGTTTGGTAACTCGCTTAACGCGTTTGGTAACTCGCTTAACACGTTGGGTCAGTCGCTTAACACATTTGGTAACTCTACGAATGGTAACTACATGAAATTCCCGCCGAAATTGAGCCTAATTCTAGTTTTTCCCGCTCGCGTCAGAATATATTGACGAATCCTGAAGCAGAAACCTCTGACACACTCTCCGAAATTCTGACAGGTTTCCGAAATTCTGACAGACTCTCCGAAATCCTGACACACTTTCCGATTTTCAAGCTAATTGCAAAAACGTAAGTGTTGTGAAAACAATTGTTTATACACAGTTGATATTCTGGTGCTCTTTCCGCAAACTGTTTCTACGTTTTTCTATCGTGCAGCCGGGGCAAACAAATCTATACCCCTTTCAAATGGCAGATAAATTTGAGAGCAACAACCTTAAACTTCTTGCGACCACGCGTTTATGGTTCTTTATTTAAATTAAGAAACATGTAATTTTCAAGAGGAGTATTTTTCCCACATGCAAAAATTCTCCAACGTTGCATTAATTATAAACAGTAAAAATTCCGAGGTCCTTTCGGGAATTTTTTTAAAATCGTTTTGCAAGTTCGCAATCATGCTATAGAAATTTTAGAAATTTACCATTTTTGTACGAGCTACATATATGTATAAAATGGCCCTGAAACTTTGTGGTCCGTGGTATTAGAACAAACGGGATCCTTCAAATTCGCGGCGAGACTTGTTCAAAATAATAGTACTGTGCGTAAAAGCTTTCAAAATCTATAAATTCTTCTTGCTCGGGCTCATTTCGGCGGGAACTTCATGTAGTTACCATTCGCGTGATGGGCTGCTAGTGTAGAGTTACCAAACGTGTTAAGCGAGTGACCAAACATGTTAAGCTAGTTACCAAACGCGTTAAGCGAGTTACCAATTGTGTTGAAATGTTTATCGTACGCGTTACAGTGCCCCATGTAAGTTACCATTGACATATTTTCCCTTGCACAAATGTACAGGTTTGTTTCAGGACCAGCGATTTCTTTGTGGCTACACTCTCTGAATCACTCGTGATTATGTTTTTAACTTTGTCGAAACCAAACAGTCTTCGCACACGGACTTGAACAGTCCAGAAGTGTTACAGATCGGAACAAAACAAAAGGCGGTGGTTGGGGGGCAAATGCAACGCTACATCAACAGTAGTTTAGGGCACCAGCCGAAACGAAACAAATTTTTAAATGGCAGGCTTAAAGCAACAGTATACTTTTGCAAGCGGGGGTTTCAAAAACCTTAGGAACTTGAAAAACTGGTTACGCGATTACAACCCCAACCCCCCCTTGTTGAGAGGCGGAGGAGTCCCCAAACGCCCCACGTCCAGCTCCCCGCACTCACAGTTCAAAACCTTAGGAATTGCAAAAGGAAACTGAAACTGCGGTAGTGAGAGGATAGCCCACACGCTCCTACTTCAGTATGTCATTCCGCGTAGACTAGGCAGCATTCTAACCTAACAGCTAGAATTAGGGACAACATCTGTTACTGAACCACGTAACGATGTTTCCTCGCATGCGCGGACAAATCGCCACGCCTACGCACTCGCTTAGGCCACGCCACCTTAGACAAGGCCACCCCACGCCTCCTCTCGCTGCCTCACCGCGAGGCCATTAGCGACAGCGCCTCCCCTCCCCACAATGTCCCGTTTAGCCTCGACGCGCTAGCATCTACATCCCATCCCTTCCTCCACTTCTAGCTCGCCGTCCGCCGTTCGCCGCGCGCGGTGAGCCGCTGCTTCCCGCTCGCCGCTCGCGTGTCCTCCCTTTCACTTTCGCCGTCCGTTGTTCGCCTTTCGCCGGACGACGTCCGGATTGAGACTCCTCTCGCCGAACCACGTTGCCTCGTTCTTTTCTGGTTTATACCCATTCGCGGCTGCACGAATGCTTCTTTACCAGCTCGGTTCATCGGACTGGGCTCGTGTCTCCTCACGCGGCCCCATCGCGACCACCGCCACGCCATCTCCCCTTCCCGCCACGAAAACTCCTCTTCCCGCCACGTCATCTCCCCTTCCCGCCACTCCATCCCCCCTTCTCGCCACGTCATCCCCCCTTCCCGCCACGCCATCTCCCCTTCCCGCCACGCCTACTCCCCTTCCCGCCACGTCATCTCCCCTTCCCGCCACTCCATCCCCCCTTCTCGCCACGTCATCCCCCCTTCCCGCCAGCCATCTCCCCTTCCCGCCACGCCTACTCCCCTTCCGAGCACGCCCTCATTTCCCCTGCACGCCCTCGTTTCTCCCCCTCGAACGCCCTCATTTTCCCCTTGCACGCCCTCATTTTCCCCTTGCCCGCCCTCATTTCCCCCTTGCACGCCTTCATTTCCCCCTTGCACGCCTTCATTTCCCCCTTGCGCGCCTTCATTTCCCCCCCTGCATGCCCTCATTTCCCCCCCTGCATGCCCTCATTTCCCCCTGCACGCCTTCATTCCCCCCCCTGCACGCCCTCATTTCCCCCTTTTCCCCATCTCCCCTCCCCATTTCCTCATCCCACCACCTCTCCCTGCCTTCCCATCTCTTCTCTTTTCCAGGGCCTGTTATCCGCAACCCGCCCTCTTCAAACTGCTCCTCAAGCGCTGTCCTCATCAGCACCACCACTCTACCTCCCGCTCTCTGTGCCTCTTCCCTCCTTTGTCACTGGTCCACGCTTTGTCTTGCTTCTTGCTCTTCACATCCCCTTTTCCTTCTTCCTCCAGATCGCCCCATCCCTCTCTCTCGCTCCCAATTTTTCCTCCATGTCTCCCCATGTTATTTTCCTTCCCACCGCCCACGGGTTTGGGACGAGGCCCGTCTGCCCTCTCACACTCGCCATGCCTCGCCATGCACTCGTCCTGCCATTCTGACTCTCCCTGCAATTCTCACCGCCATCACACCTCCCTGCCTTTCCATCACACCTCCCTGCCTTTCCATCACACCTCCCTGCCTTTCCATCACACCTCCCTGCCTTTCCATCACACCTCCCTGCCTTTCCATCACACCTCCCTGCCTTTCCATCACACCTCCCTGCCTTTCCATCACACCTCCCTGCCTTTCCATCACACCTCCCTGCCTTTCCATCACACCTCCCTGCCTTTCCATCACACCTCCCTGCCTTTCCATCACACCTCCCTGCCTTTCCATCACACCTCCCTGCCTTTCCATCACACCTCCCTGCCTTTCCATCACACCTCCCTGCCTTTCCATCACACCTCCCTGCCTTTCCATCACACCTCCCTGCCTTTCCATCACACCTCCCTGCCTTTCCATCACACCTCCCTGCCTTTCCATCACACCTCCCTGCCTTTCCATCACACCTCCCTGCCTTTCCATCACACCTCCCTGCCTTTCCATCACACCTCCCTGCCTTTCCATCACACCTCCCTGCCTTTCCATCACACCTCCCTGCCTTTCCATCACACCTCCCTGCCTTTCCATCACACCTCCCTGCCTTTCCATCACACCTCCCTGCCTTTCCATCACACCTCCCTGCCTTTCCATCACACCTCCCTGCCTTTCCATCACACCTCCCTGCCTTTCCATCACACCTCCCTGCCTTTCCATCACACCTCCCTGCCTTTCCATCACACCTCCCTGCCTTTCCATCACACCTCCCTGCCTTTCCATCACACCTCCCTGCCTTTCCATCACACCTCCCTGCCTTTCCATCACACCTCCCTGCCTTTCCATCACACCTCCCTGCCTTTCCATCACACCTCCCTGCCTTTCCATCACACCTCCCTGCCTTTCCATCACACCTCCCTGCCTTTCCATCACACCTCCCTGCCTTTCCATCACACCTCCCTGCCTTTCCATCACACCTCCCTGCCTTTCCATCACACCTCCCTGCCTTTCCATCACACCTCCCTGCCTTTCCATCACACCTCCCTGCCTTTCCATCACACCTCCCTGCCTTTCCATCACACCTCCCTGCCTTTCCATCACACCTCCCTGCCTTTCCATCACACCTCCCTGCCTTTCCATCACACCTCCCTGCCTTTCCATCACACCTCCCTGCCTTTCCATCACACCTCCCTGCCTTTCCATCACACCTCCCTGCCTTTCCATCACACCTCCCTGCCTTTCCATCACACCTCCCTGCCTTTCCATCACACCTCCCTGCCTTGCCTCCCATGGGTATAGGGCCCCATTATTTACCGCTGTGACACCAGGTGTCATTCAACCCGTACCAGGCGGGTATGCATATGCAAAGCTGCCGGTTTTGCGTCCAAGTCAGCACCATATAAGTGTGCCAATTCCCTCAGCTCCAGCGACAAGCACGACAACGCCTGGGCCAAGCGAGCTTGGCAGTGTGGAGGGGCATTATGTTGCAGGAGTGTGTCGTGGCATGAACATGACACCAAGAGTATATCGCTGTTTAGTATACTTAGAGATGATTGTATGTGTACATACGATACAACTCAATGTTCCTTTTGGACATCATTGCTGTGCTCATTTTCAGCTGTAGAGATGGCTTATAGAAAGAGAACAGACACCTGAAAGACACGTGGTACATATCAGATGCATGTGAACAACATTTGCAATAAAATTGTGATGTAACATTCAACTACTTTCAACACACAGTGGGAGCACATGCAAGCCTAGACTGAAGAGGACTGGTCCATCTTGTTCCATGCTGCACTTGAGATCCCTCAGTATGGAAAGGGAAGGCGGTAAACACGGTACTGGTGGTGAGGGTAGAGGGGAAGAGAGAGGGTAAGCAAAGGGAGGAGGGAGCATAAGCAGGGTAAAAAGGGAGGACAGAGAATAAGCAAACTCGAAGGAGCTGATTGGATTGTAAGGGGGTGGAGAGGCATTGCGGCAAGCAGAGGGGGAAAATGAGCGAAAGGAGGGTGAGAAATAGGGGAAGCAGGTGGGGAAAGGAGGGGAAGCAGGGGGGGAAGGGAGGATAAGCATGGGGGGAAAGGAGAGGAGGCAGGGGGGGAAAGGAAGGGAAGCCGTGGGGGAAAAGGGGGGAAGCAGGGAGGGAAAGGAGGTGAAGGAGGGGCGGAAAGGAGGTGAAGCATGGGGGTGAAGGAGAGCAAGCAAGGGGGGGAAAGCAGGGGAAAACAGGGGATGCGGGGGGAAGCGAAGAGAAGCATGGGGGGCAAGGAGGGGAAGCAGGTGGAGAAAGGAGGGCATGCAGGGGGGGGAAGGAGGTGAAGCATAAGGGGAAAGGAGGGGAAGAAGAGGGGGAAATAAGGGGAAGCAGAGGGGGTAACGAGGGGGAGCAGAGGGGGAAATGAGGGGAAGGAGAGGGGGGAACGAGGGGGAGCAGAGGGGGAAAGAAGGGGAAGGAGAAGGCGGAACGAGGGGAAGCAGAGGGGGAAACAAGGGGAAGGAGAGGGGGAACGAGGGGGAGCAGAGGGGAAACAAGGGGAAGGAGAGGGGGAACGAGGGGGAGCAGAGGGGAAACAAGGGGAAGGAGAGGGGGGAACGAGGGGAAGCAGAGGAAGAAATAAGGGGAAGCAGAGGGGGTAACGAGGGGAAGGAGAGGTGGGAACGAGGGGGAGCAGAGGGGGAAATAAGGGAAGGAGAGGGCGGAACGAGGGGGAGCAGAGGGGGAAATAAGGGGAAGGAGAAGGCGGAACGAGGGGAAGCAGGGGGGGAAACAAGGGGAAGGAGAGGGGGAACGAGGGGGGAGTAGAGTTGGAAATAAGGGGATGGAGAGGGGGGAACGAGGGGAAGCAGAGGAAGAAATAAGGGGAAGGAGAGGCTGGAACGAGGGGGAGTAGAGGGGGAAATAAGGGGAAGGTGAGGCGTTAAGCGGTGAGGCACTAAGCGGTGAGGCGCTAAGCGGTGAGGCACGCAGCGGGGTATTAGGAGAGACGCGGGTGACGCGCTAAGAGGGTGTCGCGAGCTGCCGGTTCGGCGATCGAGCTGCGGGTTCGGCGATCGAGCTGCGGGTTCGGCGATCGAGGTGCGGGTTCGGCGATCGAGGTGCGGGTTCGGCGAGAACGTCGCCGGCGACGGGAACGCATGGAATGCGGCGCTTAGGACGAAGGCTAGTCCTACATCTATCGCGAGGCCTTTGAACGAGTCTATTCATGAGAGAGTGAGGTGTTTGTAGAAATGCTTTCTAAGTAATCTCGCGAGCCAGCCTTGTGACACTTGTCGCCTCGACACCAGCGTTTTTTTTTAGTGCCAGCGCTGTTCCTCGCCGCCCTAGTTGCCTATTGTGTAGTTGTATCGAAGGCCTTTCCTAAAAATGTCGCTCCGTTGGTCTGCTCGTGTCACTCCAAGGCTTGGGTTGACGGGAGACTTTCTCGTGTTCGCAACAATCAGCCATCCAAATTTTCGCCGATTCTCTCGCCAAGCCCATTCGTTTTTCGTTTGGGTTTGCTTTTGGTAGGTACTGTTCCAAAACAAACAGTACTTTCAAATGTATACCGCCGCTTTAAACGAATGCCACTTGGGGTTTGTGGTACTACACTTCAAACCATCGTAAATACAACAATGGAAACTGCTGTAGCACGCATACATCTTACTATGTACAAGCATCCACACGAACAGAAACCCGGCATATCCAGCCGTGAAGATATCCATATCAGCAATCTACGCCGGCAGCATCCACCCTACTAGGATTTGAAGAGTTAAGTCTATAAAATGCTTATCAAACATCAAACAAGAGGAAGTCACGCGCCACGAGGTCATTAAACGCCTATCAATCCTCGGATGAGAGCAAGCCCACAATACCATCAGCGGCTGTACGGGCACGCTTGGTGGGTGGCTGCATGTGCACCGACATGCGCTCAGTCATTGGATCAAGAACCTAAAACGACCAAGAGAGGGAATGGGGGACACTATTAGTTCATTCAAACTCATACAGCCAGACACAAGAAATGGGCAAACGGAGGACAAACGCAAGGAGCTTTTCACTACAAACTGAAGGTTCTGACCTGCCCCACGGTGAGTTCTCCAACGTCCACACCCATGAGCATGTGATGATCCATCTGGTACTCCCCTGCAGCAGAAAAAGGGTCCAATGTACTCAAAAGTCAAACCAGACCTGCTTCTTCAAAGGGGGGCAAAAAAAAAAAAAAATCCCAATGGAACAATGGCGAAAGAGAATGCGAAACAGCCTCTGGACAGACCTGTTCCCTTGCCCACACGCCTGATCTGAGTCACATAGCGTGCACAGCGCTGCAGCGCCAGCACCTGCCACAACAGCAACAGGGATCCCACACAAAGTGGTTAGTGTTTCTGTGGTTAGGGCTCAGTGCTCATTATTAAAAAAACGTTATGTAACTCAACAGTGGGAGTGCGAGGCAAACAGTGATTGGGAAGGGCCAGGCAACCTGGACTTTGGGTTTTACCGCTGGCTTGAGCAGGCGATTCTCAATAAAGTTTTGCGCTCCAGCATCCCCCGACATCTCTGCTGCCTGCACAAGAAAAGAGGAACAGAAGGTTCAAAGAAAGCGCTTGGAATGGACACACAAATACCAACTAAACACCCATACGAAAATTCACGAGAATTTGCAGAACAGTGGAACCTCTAGGTGTAATTTCCTGACAAGGAGTTGACCAGCATTCAAAAACCCTCTTTAGTCCCGGATGCCCACCTTGTGGAGGTTGAGATCCTTCTCATATGCCACCTTGCCCAGAGCCAGGTCAAACTCCGCAACTGCCACGCAAACGACACGCAAACGGAGTGTAATCATTTAGCCTCCACCATCATACTGTACGTGTACAGTCGCCCTTGGTTTCTCCTAAGGGAAAAGAACGCGCATACCCGTTAGAGCATCACCCCTTTCAGGGTCATGGAAGGACTGCGGCGGAGCCTTGATGTCTCGCAGCATTAGGCTCCCCCCACGGCCACTCTGGCATCACCAGCAGGCAGACAGCAGAGGTTAAACAGTTGAAAACAGGAAACAGGAAACAGAAGAAAGAAAGAATGGAAGAAAACAACAGGAAACAGAACACAGAAAACAGGAAAGAGGAGGACACAAGACCGTTCGTACCACAAATGCTGCAATGTCCTTGAACGTCATCTGCTCCTCAAGGGCGCGCTTCCAGAAGAATTTGCCAAACCCTCGAAGGGCCACTGAGTCCTTGCCACAGTACAGGGCGAGCGCCTGATATGCATACGATGTTGACAGGTGTACACTGCAACATGGATGGAGCAGATACACATTGGCAGGGTCGCAAGAAAGAAGAGAATGTAAAAACCGCTTGCCAATCAGCGTGTGGCAGCAACTGGCGCGTCAGGCGAATGGTCTCTGGCTGTTTGAACATTCCAAGTTCAAGCAAAAAGAGGCAGCGCATACAAAGACTCTTGTGAAGAGTAGAAGAACTGACAAAATAATAATAGTAATAAAAGAGCACAATACAGTGAGTTATCATAAGCTACACCCACTTGCACGCGCAGTTGAAGGCCTTGAGGAGCGACTCGTCCAGATGCTGGCGAATCAGCGTTGGCTCCAGCTTCCCCGGAATGAGCACCTCCAGCCCTCCCAGGCTCTTCATCTCCGCCTGCCGTAGGAAAGGGAAATAGAGGCAAGGAGGTTTCAGAGCTAGTATGCCCTTGGAACAGGCCCAAAGGTCTTGCCATGGAGATCAGATCCTGATGTAAAGCTTGTGTAACAGAAGTGCCTCGATTTTCAAGGAGTTTTCAAGTTTTAAGACGTTTAGAAGTAATTATAACGTGGATACCTCGATGTTGAAGGAGGTTTCATCGGGAATGACGGTGCCGGTGAGGCTCTTGCTCAGCGGTTCCGTCTCGAGCTTCGTCTTAAGCTGCTGCATGTCGCTCTCCGCCGCCTTCGCCGCGTGCTTCGGAGCCATGATTCCGTGCGAACTGCCTTCACCTTTGATTGTAAATGCCGATCAGACTGATAGCCGTCTAATGGACAATTTCAATGGAAGCTACTGGGAAGAAGATAAGATACCGTGCCACAGAAGACCTTAGTATTAAACAGAAGATCAGATATATGCCGTAGTCTTGAATGGGTTCCACAACAGGAACCCGTGCGGGTCCGACCACCGTCGCGTTTCAGAGAGTACCGCCGCCTCAACCTATACACCTCGATGTATCGAACCGCATGACGATATTGTGGTTCGCCGAGGCTATCGCCGCAGCACGCATGTTGCTGCGGAGTCTTGAATATGCGACTCGAAGAGCAAAGCGACACGTGCACGCTGCGGCTCTCTCTTGACGCACCACCTAAAGACTACGTGTCGGCTCGGATGGTGCTTCACAAATAGGTAGGCGAAGGAGAGGAGTGTGTTCAATGAGAAATACATCCTACAGTACCTCCCGATATTCGTAGAAGAATGTGTACAGAACAGCCAAATTTCTAGGCTTCCTATTTAGGCTAACATAATTGGAAATAAAATGTGGACTTCAGCAATCGAACGAAACACCAGCAACAAGTTGATATACTCAGAAGCATTTTCAGCCTATTATACCTTGAGAAAAAACAACATGGCTACACTTTCTTCAGCATTACAATCACTGCACAAGCTTTCCTAAGCCAGTGATTTCAATTGTCTTCACATCAGGTTCACCGTCCACCTTCACAATCCCTTCTGCCGCATCCACCCCCATCAGCTTCCCCACAGCACCCCTTAGCGGGCCACGCAGAATCTTGACGCGGTCGTGCGAACGCGGTAACACTATATCCATTTCCGAGGGACCCACTATGAAGAGCTCAGACTCTGACGCGTTGCTTGCTCCAACACGGCATGATCCGTTCTGTGGGAAGAGGACATGTAAGAATTACGGCGGGAGGAAGAGAGATTGCACATAATGAGATCAGAGTTCAAGGAGGAGGAAAGAAGCAAAAACGGAAAACCACCAACCTCAGCCAAGGCAAACAGGATTGAGTAATGCAGGGATACTCATAGGCAAAGTAAACACACTCATAACTCAAAAAGCTACAATCAATTGTTGCAAAAGCAACTTCACTCACCGGCAGCACTTCTCGAATCACCACTGTGGTCATCCCAGGCCCCCCCGGTCGTCGCACCATCACCAGCACTCCAGGCAGGCCCAGCGACCCCCCCTCTCCTCCGTTGCTGAACCCTCCTCCCATGCCTGTGCGGCAGGTACGGTGGATGCATGGATACTTAGGATGGCAAGGAGGGAATACTAAGATGGACATGTGGAGATCCAGGAAATCAGAAAAGGAGTAGAATGTCATGGGCTGGGACAAGGAAATGAGGTTAAAAGTCAGCAGGATGCAGCTTCTAGAAAGAGACAAGTGCTGAATGGGAGGAGAAAAGTACCAAATGGGGGGAGACATGAACGGGAGGGAAGGTGAGAAACTGACCAATTGCGGGCGAGTTGGGGTCGGCAGGGGTCATGGGCAGGGAAGAGTCAGCAGGGGTGGCGGGAATGTAGGCAGCAGAGGGCGTGAGCGGCTGCCCCGTGGGCGTCTGCGCCGCATATGGGCTCGGTGCCTCGCCTGGTGGTAACCGGGTAACACACGGACAGGAAGACACAGCAGAGGATTTGAATTCCAGTCGAGTTTTGAGCTGAATCGAAGACCGAGTTGAAAGTAATGCACAGAGAAAAAGCGAACAGGAAAAAAAAAAGGTAAAGAGGGGAACGGCGCAGAGACGAGGATATCGGAACCTGAAGGCAGTGGGTTTTTGAGAATTCTCAAATTCACAAAAACTTCCTGCAAAGTAAAGAGGGGAACAGTGCAGAGACGAGGATACTGGAACCGGGAGGCAGTGGAGGTGGATGCACCGCGAGAAAGCTATCAAGGGAACGAAAAGGAGGGGGGTGGACCACCGCAAGGCACCGGGGGAAGGGGGAAGGGGGGGTGGGCGGGGAGGGAAGGCGGAGGGGAGAAGGGGTGTGTGGGGGAGGTGGTGAAGGAGGGGTGGGGCGGGGGTACCATAAGGTGTGGAGGGGTTGTAGTTGGGGCCGGCTTGGCTGCCAGGCGTGGGAATGTCAAAGGCCGAACGCAGATCGCCTGGCGTGCCGGGCTGGAAATGATCAGGTTGGGAAGGGCACGAGGGAGGATGGGAACACAACGAAAGCATGCGTGAAGGTTGTGTGCCGCAGTGGAGAGGACGGGTAGGAGAGAAACATAGGAGGGCAGGTAGAAGAGAAACATAGGAGGGCAGGCAGGAGAGAAACATAGGAGGGCAGGCACAGGGCAGGGCAGCGCACATGGGAGGGGAGGCGCAAGAGCACATGGTGCAATGGAAGCGAGGGCAGGTGGGTGACACTAGGTGTGGCCAACACAACACATGATGGGTGCAAATTGTCATGTAGGCAAGCACCTGACATGCTATTTCTCGTGGAATGCGTATATTTCCAAGAATAAGAGAGAAAGAAAGAAAGAAAGAAAGAAAAAAGCATTCAGCATGTCGAGTCACAGGGCTTACATCATGCACGGGTAGCGGTGGCGAGGGACTTTTGAGTCGACTCAAAAGTCACAGGGTTTACATCATGCACGGGGAGCGGTGGCGAGGGGGCAATGTCAATTTTTGAGGCGCCTCAAAGAAAGACAGAAAAAAAAAACATTCAGCATGTCGAGGCTTACATCATGCACGGGGAGAGGCGGCGAGGCATAAAGGGATAGTTTCGACTTGGATCCAACGGTCCTAACTCGCCCTTGAGTCCTCTAGGCTGAGTTAAGGCTAGTAGGGAATGAATAGGTAAGACGTTTGTCATTCAAACCTGAGCATACGCGTTTCGGCCGGTGGCCTTCATCAGCGCTCTCAGAAAGAAAGAAAGAAAGAAAAAATTCAGCAGGTGGAGTCACAGGGCTTACATCATGCACGGGTAGCGGTGGCGAGGGACTTTTGAGTCGACTCATGCATCACTTACATCATGCACGGGTAGCGGTGGCGAGGGGGCAATGTCGGCGGGTGAGAAGGCAGGCGTGTATGGCAGGAAGGGAGCATCGCTGCCCGATGAACCCCATGTGGACGGATTCGCCTCGTCGAATGAGTCGGGCCTGGTGGGGAGGAGAGAATACAGAGAGGGACGGCGAGACATTGAAAGTCACAACAGCAAAAGAAAGGCTTCTGATACCGCAGACCTGAACACGACGAAGTGTATCAGAGCGAGTACTGGATCGAGGTAAGAAACTGAGCTGGGAGAAAGTTAAAGGAAAAGTACATGGGGACAGGAGTGGTGGGCACATGGGGGCTCCACGCTCTGTCGCGTTTTGAGTCGACTCAAAACTCGACTCATCACACGCGGATATTCAACAGAAGAAGTACCTGAGAGGAGTGGTGGGAATCGCTTTTGAGAATTCTCAAAAGCGCATGGGTGAAAGTTAAAGGAAAAGTACCTGAGAGGAGTTGTGGGAACATGGGGGTTCCAAGCTCTGTCGCGCATGGGTGTGCGCATGCCCTCATGCACTGGTGTAGCTGCATGATGCACACAGGGAGGAGAGGGGAGGACAAGGCATGACAGGAAGGCAATGTCACACGGGACACGCTGCAAATTTCCTACAGACTACAGGCTCTGGGAAGATGGACACGGGACTACAGACTACAGGCTCTGGGAAGATGGACATGGGACTACAGACTACACGGGACACTTCAGGAAAATGGACACGGGACTAAAGACTACACGGGACACTTCAGGAAAATGGACACGGGACTAAAGACTACACGGGACACTCTGGGAAAAATGGACTACAGGCTTAACTTGACTCTTGACCGCTTTGGGACAACGGAGGAAGATAAACACGAGTCAATATATGAGCGCTAAAAAAAAACCACTATTACAGGAGTACAAAGAACATGCACCTTCAAATTTAACCTGCAAAACACCAAAAGGGTCGAAGGCATGGCGTACCAGAGGGATCGAAGCCCCGGCCGCCAAAGCCTGGGTGCATGGGCGTGCGCGAGGGGTGGACTGGCGTCTCGCTGCCCAGCGGTCCTCTGAAGCGAGGCGACTCCCTGGAAGGGGGCGAAAGGGAAGGTGAGGAAGCGAGACAATGAGAGCAGCAGGTCAGACGACAGGAAGCAAGGCTTTTGGTTGCGGTGAAAAAGCTTAGATGCAGATGGATGGAGGAGGGGGGAGGAGGGTGCTGGATGGATGGGTATGTTACTGCCAAGTGACTTGGGGGAGGAGGGTGGTTCCAAGGATCCGCGTACATGTACAAGGCGACCATGTACGAAGCGACCATGTATGAGGCGACCATGTACGAGGCGACCTTGTGAGAGATATTCTAGAAATGTCACGTGACATTATATCCAGGTGACTTTTGAGTCGACTCAAAAGTCACATGTACGAGGCGTCCTTGTGAGAGAGATATTCTAGAATTCCCAAACTGGTAGTGCCAAGGATATGTATGCAAGCATCCCAAACTTCTTCCCCCGTCACTCCCTCCCCCTTTCCCCCCTCGTCCCCCCTTGACCTCCCCCTTCCTCCCCTCCCCAGAATTACATACCTGTACGGTGCGGGTGACTGCTGCTGCTGTCCGGCTGCTGGTGCTCCATCGGGTAGTTGATCCCTCCGCACTGCACCACACGCCACCATGCACCACCATGCACCACCATGCACCACCATGCACCACCATGCACCACCATGCACCACCATGCACCACCATGCACCACCATGCACCACCATGCACCACCATGCACCACCATGCACCACCACACACCACCACGCAACCCACCATACACACACAGAACCATGAAGAGACAAACCAGCATGCATGCATTCACACATCGCACAGAGGCACAAACAAGACAGCCAAGGTTGATCGAGGCAGCAAGACACCAAACTCTGATACATGATGAAGCCTCTAAGCTGTTGGTACATTCGTCGCTTCACATAACTGAACATTGCCCTAACCGCACCGCGACAAAGTGTTACATACTTGTAATTTGTAAACACCCCTGCAACAAGGTGTAACATACCTGTAACAACTTTCATTTGTGACTCAAGCTCGATCCTTGCCGTGGTGTCAGTGGCATCGAGCACCCGGCCTCTGTACCCCTTATAAGGCCCCGCTCGGATCTTCACAATACGCCCCACCATGCCATTCTCGCGCCTGTTCCCCATCCGCCCTCCCCCATACGCGCCTGAGGGGAGGGGAGGGGGAGGGGAGGGGGAGGCGGAATGGGAAGGGGAATTGCAAGGGAGGGGGAAAGGGGGGCGGAAAGAAGGAGGAGAAAGGGGGAGAGAGAGAGAAGGGCAGGTTTGGGGGTTTGCCATTGTAACGAGGTGCCATTGTTTGCCATTGTAACGAGGTGCCATTGTTTGCCATTGTAACGAGGTGCCATTGTTTGCCATTGTAACGAGGTGCCATTGTTTGCCATTGTAACGAGGTGCCATTGTAAAGAGGTGCCATTGTTTGCCATTGAGTCGACTCAAAAGTCACCTAGGAAAGAAGGAGGAGAAAGGGGGAGAGAGAGAGAAGGGCAGGTTTGGGGGTTAAGCGACAGGAAGAGGAGGGAAGAGTCGGGTAAGGAGGGAATGTGGGCAGGAGAGGGGTGGCGGGGAGAATCAGAGAGAGGAGGGGAATGCAAGGCAGGTGGGGCGTGGGAAAAGAGAGATGTGATTTTGAGTTCGTAAAGCTCAACTGCAGCTTAGAGTAACCTAATCCAACCCGACCCGACCCGACCCGACCCGACCCGACCCGACCCGACCCGACCTGACCCGACCCGACCCAACCCAACCCAAACCGCAGCGACAGGTGAACGGCCCACCTGGCGGAGGGCCTCCTCTGCCACCCTGTCTGCTGGGGCTGCCGGGGAAGTTTCTTGGTGACTGCAGGAAGCGCGATGGCGACTGCATGAACCCTTCTACTCAGCTCGACGCAGCCCAACTGTGCCGCTCACCTGGCGGAGCGCCTCCTCTACCGCCTTGTCTGCTGGGGCTGCTCGGGAAGTTTCTTGGTGACTGCAGGAAGCGCGATGGCGACTGCATGAACCCTTCTACTCAGCTCGACGCAGCCCAACTGTGCCGCTCACCTGGCGGAGCGCCTCCTCTACCGCCTTGTCTGCTGGGGCTGCCGGGAAAGTTTCTTGGTGACTGCAGGAAGCGCGACGGCGACTGCATCACTCCTCCAAACCTCCGGTCGAAGGGAGCCATAGCCCCCCCTCCACCTCCACCAGCTGAATTGCGCTGCGATAAAGGGGGGTTGAGGCAATGCAGAGAAGGAAGGGGATGAGTTGACCATATTTCTGCAGGAAGCGCGAGGGCGACTGCATCACTCCTCCAAACCTCCGGTCGAACGGAGCCATCGCCCCCCCTCCACCTCCACCAGCTGAATTGCGCTGCGATAAAGGGGGGTTGAGGCAATGCAGAGAAGGAAGGGGATGAGTTGACCATATTTCTGCAGGAAGCGCGAGGGCGACTGCATCACTCCTCCAAACCTCCGGTCGAACGGAGCCATCGCCCCCCCTCCACCTCCACCAGCTGAATTGCGCTGCGATAAAGGGGGGTTGAGGCAATGCAGAGAAGGAAGGGGATGAGTTGACCATATTTCTGCAGGAAGCGCGAGGGCGACTGCATCACTCCTCCAAACCTCCGGTCGAACGGAGCCATCGCCCCCCCTCCACCTCCACCAGATGAATTGCGCTGCGATAAAGGGGGGTTGAGGCAATGCAGAGAAGGAAGGGGATGAGTTGACCATATTTCTGCAGGAAGCGCGAGGGCGACTGCATCACTCCTCCAAACCTCCGGTCGAACGGAGCCATCGCCCCCCCTCCACCTCCACCAGCTGAATTGCGCTGCGATAAAGGGGGGTTGAGGCAATGCAGAGAAGGAAGGGGATGAGTTGACCATATTTCTGCAGGAAGCGCGAGGGCGACTGCATCACTCCTCCAAACCTCCGGTCGAACGGAGCCATCGCCCCCCCTCCACCTCCACCAGCTGAATTGCGCTGCGATAAAGGGGGGTTGAGGCAATGCAGAGAAGGAAGGGGATGAATTGACCATATTTCTGCAGGAAGCGCGACGGCGACCGCATCACTCCTCCAAACCTCCGGTCGAACGGAGCCATCGCCCCCCCTCCACCTCCACCAGCTGAATTGCGCTGCGATAAAGGAGGGTTGAGGCAATGCAGAGAAGGAAGGGGATGAGTTGACCATATTTCTGCAGGAAGCGCGACGGCGACTGCATCACTCCTCCAAACCTCCGGTCGAACGGAGCCATCGCCCCCCCTCCACCTCCACCAGCTGAATTGCGCTGAGATAAGGGGGGATGCGGCAATGTAGAGAAGGAAGGAAGGCAGTAGCTTTGCCTTCAACGGTCTGGCATCGCACAGACTGCGCCTGGACGCAGAAGAAGCCCAGGCATAATGGCAGTCCGGGCTTATTTTCAAACAGTACCCCGCAGTCCGGGCATGACGGCAGTCAAACACAAACAGTACCCCGCGATGAATGTGCTCCACCGTGCCGCGCCGGTCGCGGTAAGTGCCTTCCAGAAGGCCCTCTCGAGTAGCCACGTGTATGAAATGAAGAAGTGTTTTGAGACGTCTCAAAACACGCTGGTCGCGGTAAGTGCCTACCGTCCAGCAGCCCCTCTCGAGTCAATCAACCCCGCACCCAGCCCAGCACCCAGCCAAGCCCCGCACCCAGCCCAGCCCCAGCATCCCCACTCACCCCAGCAGCAGCAGCAGCAGCTTTCGCTGTCAGGCATCGCACCGACCGTGCGCGAACACAAAAGAACCCGCCGTTCTCCACATAATGCCGGTCGAACACAAACAGCACCCCACGGTGAATGTGCTCCACCGTGCCGCGCCGGTCCCTGTAGGTGCCCTCCACCACGCGCACTGGGTCCTTGGCCACCACAGGGAGGCCCTTCTGTGCCACCCCTGGCAGACCCTTTCAAGTCAATCAATCCCAGCACCCAGCGCAACCCCACCATCCCCACTCACCCCAGTAGCAGCAGCAGCTTTCGCTGTCAGGCATCGCACCGACCGTGCGCGAACACAAAAGAACCCGCCGTTCTCCACATAATGCCGGTCGAACACAAACAGCACCCCGCGGTGAATGTGCTCCACCGTGCCGCGCCGGTCCCTGTAGGTGCCTTCCACCACGCGCACTGGGTCCTTGGCCACTATTGGCAGGCCCTCTGCATCGTGTGCCGACACGTTCTTGTTGCTCATCTTGCGCCGGATCTCCCTCAGCTTTACCGCTACGGTTTCGCTGCGCTCTGGAGTGGCCTTGAGGACAACGCAACCAGTTTTCTCAACCTTCACTATCACGCCTGCCGTGGTTTGGCTGGGAGGGGATGGATGGAGGGAAGAAGGATGGTTCAGGAAGAGGGTTTAAAGGCTAGCCCCTCCGAGCCAGTCCCTGTAGGTACCCTCCACCACGCGCACGGGGTCCTTGGCCACTATCGGCAGCCCCTCTGCATCGTGTGCCGACACGTTCTTGTTGTTCATCTTGCGCCGGATCTCGCACAGCTTCACTGCCACGGTCTCGCTGCGCTCAGGGGTCGCTTTGAGGACCACGCAGCCGGTCTTTTCGACCTTCACTATAACGCCTGCCGTGGTTTGGCTGGGAGGGGATGGATGGAGGGAAGGAAGGATGGTTCAGGAAGTGACTTAATAAAAGGCTAGCCCCTCCGAGCCGGTCCCTGTAGGTGCCCTCCACCACGCGCACAGGGTCCTTCCTTGGCCACCACCGGCAGGCCCTCTGCATCGTGTGCCGACACGTTCTTGTTGCTCATCTTGTGCCGGATCTCCCTCAGCTTCACTGCCACCGTCTCGCTGCGTTCCGGCGTGGCCTTGAGCACCACGCAGCCGGTTTTTTCCACTTTCACTATCACGCCTGCCGTGGTTTGGCTGGAAGGGGAGGGGGTGGATGGGTAAGGGGATGGTTCAGGAAGAGGGTTGACGGGGCAGCACGGAGGGGGTTTGAAGTGGCAAGTCAACAGCCCTGCTGAGTCATGTAAAGAGGGTATTTTTGAGAATTCTCCCATGTAAAGCCCTACTGCGCCATGTATAGACAGCAAAAGGTCCTCCCTTTTGATCATCCAGTGGTGCCAGGTCGTGAGCTGGACTGGAGATGAGGTCCCCTTACAGACACAGGCAGACCATCTCCCTCTCCCCCAGTTTCACGGTACTCTTGAGAATTCTCAATAGTAACATCACTACTCACTCTAGCAGCACCAGGTCAAGCAGCTCATAGTCGCCAATCTGAGAAGGACCAGCCGTCACCTCGGAACTTGAAATGAGGTCCCTCTTCAGATGAACAGATCCTGCCACCAACCCCCATCGCACCACCCCACTCTTCACCCCTTTTCTTCCCCGTTCTCCAATACTCACTCAAGCAGCACCAGGTCGTGCAGCTCGTAGTCGCCTATCTGAGAGGGACCGGCCGTCACCTCTGAGCTTGACATGAGGTCGCGAGTGAACACCCGCACCTGTGAGAGAGGGGAAAGGAGGAGGGAAGAGAAGGACACATGCACGATTTGAAGGAGGGAAGAGAAGGACGCATGCACGATTTGAAGGTGGAGGGAAGAGAAGCAGGCGAGAATAAATGGCGCAACAAGCAAAGCCTTTTGAGGCGACTCAAAAGTCACCTAGTAAACACCCGCACCTGCGGGGGAGGGGAAAGGAGGAGGGAAGAGAAGAAGGCGAGAATTAATGGCGCAACAAGCAAAGCCATACGGCGCCCACAACCACCATGCGCACTCACGCGCTCCCTAGGCGTGTCTAACACTACGATGGCGACGTGCCCATCCACCTTCACGATCATGCCCATCGCTCTGCACCCCTCTGCATCACATTGGCGCCTTGCAATCACCCTACAACCACCGTACAATCACTGTGCCATCACGAATCGACCCCCCACAACCAGCACATACACTCACATGTTCTCAGGAAGTGTCTGACAGCACGATGGCGATGTGGCCATCCACCTTCACGATCATGCCCGTCACCGTTCTGCCCCTTTCTGCATCATCTTGCAGCCTAATGATCACAGCACGATCACCCTTTAATAGCCATACTCACATGTTCTCGGGAAGTGTCTGACAGCACGATGGCGATGTGGCCATCCACCTTCACGATCATCCCCGTGACCCCATCGTTCTGCCCCGCCACCACCTTCACGTGGTCCCCCGTCTGGAAGAACTTGCGCAGCTGCGACTCCTTTACTGGCAGCAGATCCTGTGGGGTGGGGAGGTGGGGAGGCGGGAGGAATTGAGAAAAAGGATTGACAAGATATAGGTTCTTGTGGACAGCACTTGTTCTGCCCACCACCGACCACCTTCACGTGGTCGCCCGTCTGGAAAAAACTTGCGCAGCTGTGACTCCTTCACCGGCAGCAGATCATGTGAGGAGGGAGAGTTGATGCAACATGGGCAACAAGAGGCAGAATGGGTGTGCGATGTGAACGACACTGTGCAGCCGCACAGCATTGCACTGCACTGGATCCTCTCCAGCCGCTCACCTTGAGCTCGTCATGGTGCGGTTGAATGATAACCTCGTTCTTATCCACCTTCTCCACCCGCCATTTCAACCCTCTCTCCACAGTTACGCCCTAGGCCTGATTGATTCAACCACACTGAAGCTTACAGAACCGCACAGAACTACTGAGAACCACACTGCACCGCACTCTATGCTCCCATCCCCAGCCGCTCACCTTGAGCTCGTCATGGTGCGGCCGAATGATAACCTCGTCCTCATCCACCTTCTCAACCCGTCCTTTCAACCCCTTCAAATCGCCCTCCACCACTTCAACCACATCCCCCTTCACCAGCCGCCCCCTCTGCCGATTCGCCTGCTCAGCAGAAATCCCCATCGGCCCCACGCCGCTCCCCAACCCCCCTCCGCCGCCATACTCCCCCCGCTCCCCGTCCCCTGCAGCGCGCTGAAAGCGCTGCAGCTCGTCGAGAGTCGGGACGACCCCGCGGGTGTCAAGGGATTTAATGGAGACCACTTTGAGGAGGTAGCCGTCGACGAACTGCATGCCCTCAATGGATTGGATGTGCTCTCCTGTGGTGCGATGGCGGGTGACCATGGGCCTAAGACCGTAGTTCCTGTAGTAGAGTGGGCATGGGGAGGGGGAACAGAGGCATGGTGGGCACGGGGAGGGGGAAGAGAGGCAGGGTGGGGACGATCCCGTGGGTGTCAAGGGATCTGAAGGAGACCACTTTGAGGAGATAGCCGCCCACGAATTGCATAATTGAACCCGAAACCCTAAACCCTGAATCCCCCAATGGATTGACGAATTGTGTGCACTCAATGGATTGGATGTATGTGCTCTCTCTCCCGTTAGATATCCCCCAACGCTCATTCGTTCGTATCTTCCCCCAGACACATATGTTGGCCCCCGCCCACCCTTCCACCCGCACTCACTTGGCTTCGACTACACTGAAGAACCGTGGGGCAGGCCGGGCCTTGCGCCCTATCCCCAAGGGGCCAACGCCCATCTTATCTTAGCCCCCCCCCCCCCTCTTGCCTGCCCACCTTCCCACGTGCACTCACTTGGCCTCGTTAACACTGAAGAACCGCGGGGCGGGGCGGGGCGGGCCCTTGCGCTCAACTCTCCCTCCCTCTCCTCCTCCCCTCCCAATCCCCCAGCGCCCGCCCACCTTCCCACGTGCACTCACTTGGCCTCGTCGACACTGAAGAACAGTGGGGCAGGCCAGGCTTGCGCGTATCCAAAACCTATCACTCATTTTCCCACACATTCACACCCTCGCCCACCCCTCCCACGTGCACTCACTTGGCCTCGTCAACACTGAAGAACAGTGGGGCAGGCCAGGCTTGCGTGTATCCAAAACCTATCACTCATTTTCCCACACATTCACACCCTCGCCCACACCTCCCACGTGCACTCACTTGGCCTCGTCAACACTGAAGAACAGTGGGGCAGGCCAGGCTTGCGCGTATCCAAAACCTATCACTCATTTTCCCACACATTCACGCCCTCGCCCACCCCTCCCTCGTGCACTCACTTGGCCTCGTCAACACTGAAGAACAGTGGGGCAGGCCAGGCTTGCGTGTATCCAAAACCTATCACTCATTTTCCCACACATTCACACCCTCGCCCACCCCTCCCACGTGCACTCACTTGGCCTCGTCAACACTGAAGAACAGTGGGGCAGGCCAGGCTTGCGCGTATCCAAAACCTATCACTCATTTTCCCACACATTCACGCCCTCGCCCACCCCTCCCACGTGCACTCACTTGGCCTCGTCAACACTGAAGAACCGCGGGGCAGGGCGGGCCTTGCGCTTCACCACAGGCTTGCCGTCCTGCTCACACACGTGGGTTCGTTTCCACAGGGCGGGTATGGCTTTAGTGAAGGGGTGGAACAGAAACAAGACAACCAAGGGAGGACTTTTGAGGCGCCTCAAAAGTCGTTTCCACAGGGTGGGTGTGGCTTTAGTGAAGGGGTGGAACGGAAACAAGACAACCAAGGGAGGACTTTTGAGGCGCCTCAAAAGTCGTTTCCACAGGGCGGGTATGGCTTTAGTGAAGGGGTGGAACAGAAACAAGACAACCAAGGGAGGACTCGCCTCAAAAGTTGTTTCCACAGGGTGGGTGTGGCTTTAGTGAAGGGGTGGAACGGAAACAAGACAACCAAGGGAGGTGTGGGCCCAGAGGGGGAAGGGGTTGTTTGGGAGAGGGTTGGGGGACGGGGATCGTGGTGTGGACGGACTAGCGGCACGGCACAGGGAGGCGAAACCTGGGTGGGAGCAGCACTACTAGACATTCAGTTCAGCTCACTGGTTTTTGTCGAAGTTATTCTGCTGCTGAGCATGTCTGAGTGGCATGAACGGACGGCCTGGGCCAGGGCTGGAGGAAGAAAGAAACCCACCTGGCGCTGAGCAAGGGCCTGAAGGTCGATTCGAGGGATGAGCTTGATGGTGGCCCTCTGCTTCACAGTGTCCACGTCAGTCACCTGCTCATGTGACGTGGCATGGAGTGGCACGGGGTGGCATGGGCGTGTTATGTGGCATTGGAGGTGGCACGATGGTATCCTGTGGTGACGGTGCCAGCTTGGGCTTGCAAGGAGCAGCATGGGGCGGCATGGGGCGGCATGGGGCGGCATTGGGCGGCATGGGGCGGCATGGGGCGGCATGGGGCGGCATTGGGCAGCATGGGCGGCATGCGACACTCATGAGCGCGAATTCGCCCTCATCAAAGACACTCACACACACCCAAAGACACCCACACATTCGGAGTTCCTACACACTCCAAAGCACTCACCAAGGCCAGGTCGCCCTTGTAGAGCCCGATCTTGACGCGCACCCAGCTGTTCTCCTCCAGGTCAACCGACTTCTGCTCCACCGTCAGCCCTGCCCTGCCCCAGACTCCCACACGCAAACACACTGGACCGCATTCAACCACTCTGCACTGCACTCACCAGAGCCAGGTCGCCCTTGTACAGCCCGATCTTGACGCGCACCCAGCTGTTCTCCTCCAGGTCAACCGACTTCTGCTCCACCGTCAGCACGCCCGCCATCTCCTTTATCGGCACCAGCGCCGGCTTCCACGCCCTCAGCAGGCGCAGCCCCGCACAGGCCTCCTTGACGTAGGCCTCCTTGTACGCCTCCACGTACACGCACCCCTTGAGGTTGTCCAGGGCTATGGCCGACTTGATCTGCAGCGACTGCCCCAATGCCTCAAGGTTCACGCACTTCTGCATCAGCGATACCACCGCCTCTCGCTCGTGGCCAAGCTGTCAAGGGGGATGGAGGGATATGGGGAACAGGGAAGGGGCTGACTTGATCTGCAGCGTCTGCCTTAGCGCCTCCAGGTTCACACACTTCCGCAGTAAGGATATCACCGCCTCACGCTCGTGCCCCAGCTACGGGGGGAGAGGTGGGGGGAGGGGATGGGGGGATGGGGAAACGGAAAGATGATTCAATCTGCGCAGGCTGCCCCAGTGCCTCCAGGTTCATTCATGCACTTTTAAATCAGCGACGCCATAGCTTCGCGCGTGTGCTTCAGCTGCAGGCATCGGAGGGAGGCGAGGCAAGAGGATGGTGCACCGCACTGCACCGCGGCGTACCTCGCACTTGACCATCCAGAGCTTGGGGTCGCGCACGGATGGCAGCAGCGCCTGCTGCTCGACCTCCGTGGCCTCCCCCTCGCCCAGCTCGGGCACCTCGTTGCGCGCATACCGCTCCTCCAGGAACCGCTGGTAGTCCTCCTCGTTCACCTCCTCCTCCTCCTCGTTGCGCCGCAGCAGCGTGCGGTGGTGCGCCGAAGGCCGCTCGTTGCCCAACTCCTCCCCCAGATCCGCGTCCCGGTCGATAAAGCCTAGGGGGGGATAGGAAGGAGGTACAGAAGCAAGAATAAAGGCAGGGCCATGGGAGTGATGAAATGCGCAGACAGGCACTCGTTTCCCAAGTCCGCATCCGGGTCGATGAAACCTAGGTGGACGGAAAAAGAAATGTTAGAACACGAATTTGAGTCATAAACTCATGTCTCTGCTTGGGACCCAACCTCAGCAAACGACAACCTGAGTTTCCGTTTTGAAGGACTCAAAGGGACGTGGCGATGACATCAGTAGCACATCAGTTTAGTCTGCTCCACTAGTCGACATTTTCCAGAAAGAGAGCCGATGTGGAAGAAGCATCTACGCGTAAACCTAATTTATCAGTTCTCTGCCTCGCGAGAAGCAGGCATAGCCGATCCGGCTATCCCTTAGCGGAACCTAATGCCTTAACCCTGCATAAGAAGCACTCAAACCGCCATCCTCCCTTTCCTCTTCCTCTTTCTCCTACTGAAACATCGACCGAACCTGTCAACTGTCAACCCCTGCTTCTCCCTCGGAAAATCGAAACCCTAAACGACGTTCTGCGCGCCTAATTTAACCCACGTACCGCCCTCCTCTTCCTCCTCTTCCTCGTCGCCACCATTCGCGACCGCTTCTTCCTCCTGCATAAACATCACCCGGCCGGTCGTCGACCCCTTCTTTTTCCTCAAAGAATTGAAACCCTATAAAATGTTCTACGCGCATGATAAAATTAACGTACCGTCCTCCTCTTCCTCCTCCTCCTCCTCGTCATCACTTGCCACCGCCGCCTCCTCTTCGATGAACATCGACCGTCCGGACGTCGACCCCTTCTTTTTCCGCGGCGCTTCGTCCTCCTCGTCCTCGTCCTCATCCTCCTCCGCCGCGTCGTCGATAAACTGCGATCCGCGCCCTCGCTTCTTCCCGCGTTCCTCCTCGTAATCTTCCTCTTCCTCCTCCTCCTCCTCCTCCTCCTCCTCCTCGTATTCCTCGTCCTCCTCCTCTACCTCTTCATCGTAATCGTCGCCACGCGCCATTTCGCTTAACGAAGAAAAACTTCGCGAAATGAGCACAAGATACGAGGATAGGATTCCGCAGATGAGCTGGCCTACGCGATTGACGAAAAGGCCTTCGAGATTCTTTTAGGGAATTCCAGGCGATTAAAAATCGGTGTACTGAACGGCGGGAGGGTTACGCTCAGTAGATTGATACTTGCCGGTCACCAAACGGAAAGGCTGGAAAGTGTACCCTAAGAACGAGCAGGGCTGCTTCCACGAATCGGAAAGTAATGGGAGAGCGACTATGTTGAGGACGACTGGGGTTGATGATAGGGAGAGAGAGACGAGAAGGCTGTGGTGGCGATCTTCTCGTGACGAGCCCAACTTCTTGACTGAACGGTGATGGTGAGGATACGAAGACGAAACGAATGAGAAGGAAGCGAGGCAGCTAATGTTTCTGTGGTCTTCTGGCGGGAATTTGGAATAGGGTAATTGAGGGTGTGGATGACAGGTGTACGCAGGGACGCGACTGCAAAAAGGGAAAATATGTTACAAGTAACCAAAATGGGACTGGATAACACGAATAGTAAAAAAATAACGTATACGGTCACTGTATCGGGTTTGCTGACGGGTTTGGTAAGTGGGGTCACGGATTCAGTCATTAACAACAGGAAAAATATCACGCGAATGGTCACACATGTAACTCCCGCCAAAATTTCTTGAAACTCTACAAATTTCCCGCTCGCGCCCAACCAATCTGCTAAGTTCTAACAAAACTAAAACCCAATCGGAATCGGATGCGGTTTGGGAACGGATCAACCCTGAACACCTGGCGATTTACGTGTTTAGGGTTGATTCGTCCGAAAATGAATCCAGGTTCCATTTGGGTTATATTTTTTGGCGGGAGTTTCATCTGTGACCATTCGCGTGATTTCTTACCAGTTACTAGTGACTGATTCCGTGAAACGTTTTATCAGTCGCGTGAAAACACCCTTTGCAGTGACCGTACCCGTTATTTCTTTACCAAAAATGTTTTCGAGTCCCATTATCGTTACAAATGGCATATTTTCCCCTGCAGAAACGTTGTTATACTGTACATTGAAAGCAATCAAACATATAAAAAACCTCATCCAGACAACTATCTAGCTTTATGTGGGCGATGACTAGGAAAATAAGGCGAGAAAGGTATCAACAAAACCCGACATATTATTAGCACATTGAACGCACATATAGCAAATCACGTTCAAGTATCTGAAATTCTCCACAACCCATATACTTTGAATCTTGCTAATTTTTTCTCCTTTCCTGACATCCAATTATTGTGGATCGTCACGACCGCAACACGATTAGGGAGCACTCTTAGCCTACCCGGAGGCATGGACGAAGACTCGGGAAAATAGAGCCACCCCGGAGGAAAGAGAGTTTGCGGGAGAACCCCTACTAACGGAGCCGGGCTGATATTCAACAACTCATGAATTGCCATGCCAAGATAAAGCTGGTCGTTCTCCCGCCCTGTGACTTTTGGCGCCCGATATATCTTCAATATAAGCGACTCCAGAATTAGCCTTCCTCCCGGCGTGTTACGGAAGAGAACAAAGCCACCGCAGAGCTTGGCATGGTCAAGCTGTACGGGTCGAGGATCCATGAGGTATGTGGAAGTTGCATAGAAATTGTATGTATCCGGAAACTCCCGCACTCCCACCACATCATACTCTATAGGAGTTGCCCCGGAATCTGGCAAAGCTTGCAGATCTGAGTCGGAAACAGCATATCGTTTTCTCTTGTTGCTGTACAATCCCAGGGTGTTGGTTAACTGAAGCCGCGAAGCCATGGACCTTCTCAAAAGCTCCGAGTGGCTTGGCCTTGCAAAGAGGTAAGGAAAGGGATCCTTTACCCAGATGAAATCCGAGTCGCAAATCAGGACGTTGAAGCCCATGCTAAGGAGCGTGCGGATGTAAGCAACTCTCCGATACATAAGCTTTTTGAAGCCCAGCGTGAGGAAAGAAAAGGCCTCTCTGCTGCTGCTGCTGCTGCTGCTGCTGCTGCCAATCCCACCTCCACCACTCCCACCACCCCTGCCAGTGGCACTGATCCCTGCACGGCCACCACTGGCAGCATCACTCTCCTCCACCAGCCCTGCTGCCTTGAGCTCCTCCTCCCCCGCCTGCTCTATCTCCGGCACGTGCCATCTCACCACCTGATGGCCCAACCAGGTTGGGAGAAAAAGAATGATAGACAGAAAAGGAAAACCATCAAATGCCCGTGCCCTTCCATGGTGAACAAAAGATATCCAATGCCACATGCACAAGGCATAAGACCAACGGTCCCTCACCCACCTGCGCGGAGAACCAGTGTTTCACCTGACTCGGAAATCTTGCTCGTAGCTAGCAGGTTGACGGTCCCCCAGTCTTCAGCGAACATTAGGAAATTACGCCCGTACTCCAGCTTGCCCGCATAGACACAGGCACACAGCGGTGCCTCACCAACCTGTCCTGGTAACCACTGTGCCCCGCACCTGTCTCGGAAACCTTGCTAGTAGCAGGTTGAGGCTCTCCCAGTCTTCAGCAAACACTAGGAAATTCCGCCCATACCCCAGCTCGCCCGCGTATATCGCCCAGTTGAGCAGAAAATCCGCGTAGCCTTGGATAGGGCGAGGGGGAGGGGAACGAAAAGGGGGAGAGCGGAAGAGACAGGTTTGGATGGGAGAGTGCAGGATACGCTCTCCGTGCCCCAACTCGCCCGCCTTCACCACACAGTTGAGCAGAAATCCGCATAGCCTTGCACAGAGCGAGGCGGGAGCAGCAGGAAAGGGAGTGGCGGGGTTTGGAGAGGAAAGGGGAAGAGTAACAGAGGAGAGTGGGGCACGGAGCCAAGGTCAAACGAGAGAGTTTGAGTAAGGAGAAAAGGCTTCAAAGGACAGCAAAATTTCCATCGTTTCATACAATCACATGACTGTAGCCTGGATTTATACCCGATACAATCACATGAGTACTGCGTCTTATCATTACTGCATCTTACCATAGCTGCACACGAGGATCACTACAGTGCCGTTGATCGAAGCTTCTTGTGCCAGCTGCCCGAGTGTACTGGCCAACACATATCCCTCTGAATCCCACTCTGGCTCCCTCAACATCTGTTCCCGCGGCCCGTTCAACTGCCCGTTTGAGCCTGCTCTTGCTGATGAACCGCCTTCCTGGGGCTGCCCCTGAAGGGTTTCGAAGGAACTTTTCATACTCTCTGACTCCCCAATGTTGGTAACCACTGCTTCGTTGCTATGCACTGCTTCGACATTCTGCTCTGAACGGGACTCCTCATAGCGAGGTAATAATGTATCCGTCTCTTTCAGTCTCTCGAAATCTTCTGGCTTGAATTGACTCGAAAACGGGAGAAGCTTCCGGGAATCCAGGGATTGTCGCCACCAGGCACGGAGGCATCACCCAACGAAGCTTTGGACAAAAAGTCAGTAGGGTAACCAGCCTCGGAAGACTCGCCTGCTAGTTCGTTCTTACTCGCGGAAAGAGAGGAGGAAGCGGTAGAGGAAGAAATCGCGAAACCAGAAGGAACCAATTGTGACGTTTGCAGTGCAGGTGAAGGTACGGAGGCTAAGTGGCTGGAAGTAGAACGCTTCGAGAAAGGCGACGCGAGGAGTTGGAAATGGCGATTAAAGACCACGACGACAGTGAAGAGGAGCAGAGATGGCAGTCCGAGCGCCTTCACACACGCCGGTGAGCAAAACGTCAACGCACGCAACCGCTGCTGCTGCACGGAGCGACGCATCTTGCGAATAGTTCCAATGATTCGGGAGCATGAATCGAGCCTGGCAGGGGAGTGAATTGTTCTCTCCGCATCATAAAGCACACTGGAATTGACCTCACATGAGTTCGCAATGGCTCGTGCTTTGCAAGGTCAAAGCCAAGGTCGTTGTCTGGCAGTGCCTTCTTTGTGGGGCAATCCCGAAGGAAAGACATGGTGGAAATACGCGTTATGAGGCGCCACCATGCCACGGGTATCAATTGCGAAAACAGCTGCTTTTATCCGCTACAAGAACCTTCAAATGAAAATGTAAACGTGAAATTTAATTTAACAGAATATGAGCTGGAGAGAGCCACCAGAACCAACGCAAACAGCATAAAGGTAAAAAAGAACTCGTATATTCAGATGAAGATTACTTCTAACCGGGGGCAAGGGTGGCCATTCAAAAACTTGGTGAAGTGCTCGGTGGTTTGAAACCACGCACTCCCAAACATGGCCTCCCTCTGATTTGACCCCGCTGGATATATGTGGAAAATCCGCAGCGCCTCGATCCTCTTTTCTGATGCCAAAACGGCTGGTCTCTTGCCGACCCAAGCAGGCTTGTAACCCTTCTTTTTGAAGGTTCGGCGAATGGCTCGGCGGAGGCCCGGGAGGGAGAGTGAGGTGCTTGTAAGGAAGACGGAGGTGTAGCGGTATGTGCCTCTTTCACGCACGTAGAGATGGTATGTCAGCTGCTTTTTGCCCGAGTCTACACTCTCACACCTGTTAATACGAGTGTAAAAGATGCAAAGCAACATGGGGTGGGATACAGGTGTCAGACACAGCACACGAGGAGCAAGGGTGAAGGGGGGATGGGGAAGAGGAGGCGGCGTGGTGGGAAGGGGGAACAACAGCCAAGGCTGACGCATGGGATCTATGGGGAAGGAAGGAGAGGTGAAGGGAGACAACACACAGAGGTTGAGGAAGGGAGGACGACTTTATGGAAGGGAGAAAAGGGGAGGGAGGAGAGCGAGACATTTCACTAACCTGTATGGCCGTGGCTTGCAGGAAGCAGAGATCTCTTGTGTACGGATGCGGTCGACTAGAAGCACACAGAGGCGGCAGGAGTGTACAACTGACAGAGACGACTCACAGACACCGTGACTCACCTATGAGACTCACCGTGACTCACCTATGTCACGGTGTGTGTGAGTCATCTCTGTCACGGTGTGTCACACCTATGAGACTCACCTGCAGGGCCGTGGCTTGCGGGAAGCGGCGATCTCTTGTGAGCGGATGCGGTCTGCCAGCAGCACACACAGGCGGCAGGAGGAGTGCACAGCCGACAGATCCACATTCGCGACGAACTGATCCGACGGCCCAGATCGCTTCCACTCGAGCATCTGGTTGTAGGCATCCTCGTCAGCCGCTATGGCCTGCATCTGGCGCGCCACCCTGGGGATGTCCTCCTCGCTCTGTGGGGTGGTGAGGGTGTAGGGTAGAGGGGGGGCCATTGAAAGCACGGAAAGTGGAGGGTAGACTGCCAGAATGCCTCTAACTTATCACTTCCAGTCTTCACACACACGGGAAGAAGCGCTCACCTGGATGTAGAGGTATGAGCTGTTGTCTGGCACGAAATCGGCAATGTTGGGAGGACCCACGATCACAGGCACAGATCCGGCGACCAGGGACTGCCAGAACTTCTCAGTGATGTAGTCCGGTTCACAGGAATTCTCAAAGGCGAGGGAGAACTTGTAGCGCTGAATCACTGCCAACTGGGGGTGGGAAGGGTTGGGGAGGGGTGGGGAGGGGTGGGGAGGGGTGGGAAGAGGTGGGGAGAGGGGTGGCGGGTGGGGATGGGAAGTAGGTTGGGACTGCCAGAACTTCTCAGTGATGTAGTCCGGTTCACAGGAGTTCTCAAAGGCGAGGGAGAACTTGTAGCGCTGAATCACTGCCAACTGGGGGTGGGAAGGGGTGGGGAGGGGTGGGGAGGGGTGGGGAGAGGTGGGGAGAGGTGGGGAGGGGTGGCGGGTGGGGATGGGAAGTAGGTTGGGACTGCCGGAACTTCTCAGTGATGTAGTCTGGTTCACAGGAGTTCTCAAAGGCGAGGGAGAACTTGTAGCGCTGAATCACTGCCAACTGGGGGTGGGAAGGGGTGGGGAGGGGTGGGGAGGGGTGGGGAGAGGTGGGGAGAGGTGGGGAGGGGTGGCGGGTGGGGATGGGAAGTAGGTTGGGACTGCCGGAACTTCTCAGTGATGTAGTCCGGTTCACAGGAGTTCTCAAAGGCGAGGGAGAACTTGTAGCGCTGAATGACTGGTGAATGGTGGTAAGGCAACTGCATGAATGGTGGTAAGGCAACAGGGTAGGAGAAGAGGAATCAAGGGGTGGCTAGGAAGGGTGTTTTTGAGAATTCTCAAAAACACCCTTCAATTCTTAAAAACACCCTTCAATTCTCAAAAACACCCTTCAATTCTCAAAAACACCCTTCAGCATCATCAACGGCATAAATGGTGGTAAGGCAACAGGGTAGGAGAAGAGGAATCAAGGGGTGGCTAGGGATTGGGGTTTGATGAGACGAGACATTGTGATTGGGGTAGCACTGTGGCACTGCCTGTTGGCGACTTTTGAGGCGCCTCAAAAGAGGTTTGATGAGACGAGACATTGTGATTGGGGTAGCACTGTGGCACTGCCAGCTGGCGACTTTTGAGGCGCCTCAAAAGAGGTTTGATGAGGCGAGACATTGTGATTGGGGTAGCACTGTGGCACTGCCAGCTGGCGAGGGAGGAGGTGAGGGGTGAGGGAAGATCGCATAGGGGAGGGGTGGACGTGTGCTGGAAGAGAAGCCGTTTTTGAGGCGCCTCAAAAACGAGGTCGTTTTGAGGTCGTTTTTGAGGCGCCTCAAAAACGAGGGGTGAGGGAAGATCGCATAGGGGAGGGGTGGACGTGTGCTGGAAGAGAAGCGGGGACGGCAGGAATAAGGGGGGTTTGGAAGTGTCCAACGATTTGTACCAGGAAGGGGGAAGCAACAGCTTATTATGCTCTCACACCTTATCATGCTCTCATGCCTTATCATGCTCTCACTCCTTATCATGCTCTCACCCACAGCTTTCCACGCTCACTTCCTATTAGTTTTACACCTTATCATCACAGGTGATAAGACCACTATGCTCAGCTCATCCATACAGCATCGCGTTGGTTGGCACCCCATCATGCCCCCACCTTGTCATGCTCGAAGGGTCGGTTGTTGAGGCAGCGACCGTATGAGTGCACGGGAAAGAACTTCTGCAGCTCCTCCACTGCCTGCGGTTGTGTGGGGTAGAGAGTGGTGGAGAGCGGTTACACAGGTTATGAGCTATGATAGGAGTGCACAGAAGGAAAATGGGGGAATGTGAGGGAATGTGGGGTGGAGATGTGGGGTGGAGATGTGGGGTGGAGATGTGGGGTGGAGATGTGAGGTGGAGATGTGGGGTGGAGATGTGAGGTGGAGATGTGGGGTGGAGATGTGGGGTGGAGATGTGGGGTGGAGATGTGAGGTGGAGATGTGAGGTGGAGATGTGGGGTGGAGATGTGGGGTGGAGATGTGGGGTGGAGATGTGAGGTGGAGATGTGAGGTGGAGATGTGGGGTGGAGATGTGGGGTGGAGATGTGAGGTGGAGATGTGGGGTGGAGATGTGAGGTCTACACATTCGCTGAGAAGTGCAGTTGTGATGGCGACTGCCGAATTGGGGACTGAGGGCTACATAGCTGCAATCGCACGCTACCTCTCTTCCTTCCCTCCCCATTTTCCCTTGCGTTCTCCCCCCTTCTCGCCCCTCCACCTTCCCCTCACACACCCCTACCCGCACCTTGAGTCCGAAGTTGTTGGCAATACAGTTGCTGATGAACGCAGCAGCAATGGCATCTGCTGTCTTGAGCACTGGGTGCTACATGGTTTCCTTTGCACCCTCCGTCCCCTTCTCTCCTCCCTTCCCACTCGCCCCTGCGCTCCCCCGTTTTCCCCCACCCCCACACATCCCCCTCCCCTCACCTTGAGCCTGAAGTTGTTGGAGTTACAGTTGCTGATGAATGCAGCAGCAATGGCGTCTGCTGTCTTGGGCACTGGCGGCAACACAATCACTTCATTCCCCCCCTCCTAGCTCTCTCTCCCCTCCTCCCACCTTGCGTGCCAACAAACCCCACCCCCACACATACCTCTTTTTCCTCACCTTGAGTCGGAAGTTGTTGGCGTTACAGTTGCTGATGAACGCAGCGGCAATGGCGTCTGCTGTCTTGGGCACTGGAGGACGCATGATGTCATACTCCTCCCATGACCCGTACTGCACTGGCACGTCTGAATCGTAATGCACTGTCATCACCACCTGATGGGAGGGGATTAGCATTGTGGTGCGCGGCGCGGTGAGCAGAGAGACAAAAAAGAGAGAGAGGAATGCTGTCTTGGGGGGACGGCTAGATGGCACTGAAGGCCGCATGATGTCATACTCCTCCCACGACCCGTACTGCACTGGCACGTCTGAGCCTTACAATGCAGTGTGATCACCATTTGGTGGTGTCACTAGAAAACATGCAGAGACACACGAGTGAGACACAACACCTGCCCATACATGCCCCTCACGCATGTCCCCACATGCCACATACTGCCCTGCCTCCCTCTCACTCCCACTGTAAGATCCCAGCGGGGTCGTTGGCAGTCACATGACACAGCGGGGTCGTTGGCGGGCATTAAGAGCGCGCCTCCATTGAGCGCAGCACCATCTTGCCCGCCACACCCCCACACGCATGCCCCACATACCATGTGCTGAGCACTGTAGGCCAAGCCATGCCACGTGTTTGAAGAAGTGTTTTGAGACGTCTCAAAACACTTCTTCAAACACAAGCCATGCCACTCACACTGTAAGATCCTCGGGACACAGCGGGGTCGTTTGCGGGGTAGTAAGAGCGCGCCTCCATTGACCGCAACACCATCTTTCCCGCCACTGCATACGTCAAACTGGCGTCCACGTCGTCTCCCTGGCTCACAAACTCACACGGCACATCGCAGTCCCACCGTTTGACCTGCGGAGGAGGAACGAGGGCGTAGGGGAAGGAGGGGAGAGGGGTGGGGAGAAGGGTGATGTGTGGGGGGCTGCGGAATGGGGAGGAAGTGGAGGGCGCAGCACCATCCTGCCCGGCACCACTGCGTACGACAGACTCGCGTCCACGTCGTCTCCCGCGCCCACGAACTCACACGGCACGTCGCACGCCCACCTCTTCACCTGCTTGCAGGCGAAGGGATGAGGGGGAAGCAGCGAGGGAGGGGATATCGTGTAGTGTACGAGAATGCTCAGACACTCACCGCACAACCAAGCACACACGCAACACACCTCGTTGGACGCTACCCAGACCGGCCGCCTCTCAAAATCCCTCCCAACACCCACTTCGTCTTGCTCCTCCTACCACGCCCGGCATGTCATCTCCTCTGCTGGCCCGCTTACCTTGTGAGAATAAATACTTCAAGGGAAGACGCTCACCTCGCTGGAAGCCACTCGCACTGGTCGCCTCTCAAAATCCCTCCCAACACCCACTTCGTCTTGCTCCTCCTACCACGCCCGGCATGTCGTCCCCTCTGCTGGCCCGCTTACCTTGTGCGAATACATACTTCAAGGGAAGACGCTCACCTCGCTGGAAGCCACTCGCACTGGTCGCCTCTCAAAATCCCTCCCGACAGCCACGTCATCTTGCTCCTCCAACCACGCCCGGCACGACATGCCCTCTGCTGGCCCCCTCAACGGCTCCCACCCACCCTCTCCTCCTCCCTCTCCCTCTCTCTTGCCCTCTCCCTCGCTCCCTCCCTCACTCTCTCCCCCCCTCTCTCCCTCTCCTCCCGCTCCCGCTCCACTCGCTCCCTCCACTCCGCCCCCCTCCGCACCCTCAGCCTCTCTCTTATAAGCTCCCCCTCGTAGTTGCGCCAATGCGCCATTCACTTGCCCCTGCCCCTCCCCCTGACCCTGTCCCCTGCTGGTATTATCCGCCTCCCCGGACCCATCCCGCGCGCCCGCTTCCTCCTCCCCCGGTTCCGCTTCCGCTCCCCGTCGTCCCCCCGCTTCCGCTTCCGCTTCCGCCGCGCGTTCACTTGCTTCTCGGCGGGACCCAACCTCCTCCTCGTCCTTACTCTCCATCTCACTCTCCTGTCCCAACTCATCCGCTCCCTGCTCCTCGCTCCCCTCCCTTTCCACTCCCCTCCCTACAGTCACTCCCGCATTGTCAGCTCGCGGCAACTCCACGGGTTGCTTTCCATCCCCGGTAGAAACAGATCCGGTATCGGTGTCTTCGCGAGTCACTGTAATAACATCGGGTTGGGTGCTTATCATTGCTGTTTGACTTCCCGGACCAGCGAGTTCAGTTGCTATCGGTGTTCCTGAACCTGCCTCATTCCCAGAAATTCTGTCAATACTTGCAGCTTCATCATTGCGAGAGTTCTTATTCCCGCCATCCCCGTTACTGCCTCGTTCCTCTTCCAGCATAAGCCGCCGCTGCTGCGAGACCTTAAGCTTCACAATGTACAGCGCTTGCGCCAGGATCACCACAATTAAGAACCGGATTAAGAACACGGTCGCGCGATTAGTTGACGGCCGTGACTGACGGCCCGTCGGTCCCGCTCCACTGCCGTCTGGCCGTTTCCTCGACGCGCTCGAGCCGCCACCGCCCCAGGCACTCCATCCCGAGTTGAACGCGCTCATGGCTTAAACTCTAGTTCTGAAGTTGGAGCAATGACGAGGCATAAACGGCGGCTCTGACAAAAGGACAGGCGTATTCTCAAAATGCTGACATTCAATGGACGATGCTAATGAAGTTTCAAAATGCAACAGCACAGACGTCCAAGAGGAGAGATAGGATGGGTGATCAATAATCTGATATGATTTCTGCTTGAAGTAGGCAAGCCCAATCAGAGAGAATTCTCTGGAGCAGCTGGAAAGTCGGTTTACAGGGCGGGTCCAGCACGTTCGTTTACAGTTCACCCGTCGTGGCGTAAGACGATTCCAAACGGTGCACAGCGGTTTTCATGTTCACGGTTTCGCACCGTGACGGAGCAAGAGTACCAGTGAACAAACGCGCTGTATGCTCAGTTTTCTGTTAGCATTCCCTCGATATTGTCCCTTCGGATCAGGGAACTGCTTGATAGGCCGACTCATAATTAGAATGTACATTACAAGACTTGCCGTATGATATGAACTTCATCACATGTATTTTGCGAATATAGCATCAGTGAAGACCAACCAGGCCTGGAACTTTCATTTTGTTCTTTGAGCTTCATTTTATCATTACCAAGTGCAAATTTAGAAAGTTAACCTTTTGCAGCAGTTATCTAAATCACCCATCTGCAGAATATACCCACATAGACTGCACGTCACTTATAAAAATTTTACGGTTTTTTACACAAGGTATTATCCACATAGGATTTTCTGTATGTCCCCATTAGTGAGTGAATGTTTCTTTGAAGTACAATCGATTCTAGCTTTGAATGGGGGACTCATAACGGGGAGGTTTGTTTTGCATAACACGAGGGAGCAAACTTCCGCTGTGGAGAGAGCCGCTTGCCCGTTGCCCAGCGCACGGGCCAGGGATCTCCCGTATATCGGGAGGCATAACTCGCTTTCCTGCGTGGCTGCCCCCGCATGGCTGGCCTCCCGGTGCTGTGTTGTCGATCAATTTCCTCCACGTGTCCGGCTTGCTCAATTCAGCGATGTGATTCGTGGATGAGGAAGATTCGGTGGGCACACGACACGACACGAACTTGACCCCTTGTTTGGGAGAGGAGACTCGGAGAACTGCTCCCTCACCCTACCCCACTCCATCCCACTCCACTCCACTTGACAAACGCCTCCGCGCTGTTCGGTGGTTCCCTCCTCCCCCTTCCACTTGCCATTTTGCCGTTGGGCAGGCCACCCAAACCCCTCCGCTGCACTGGGGGAAAGGAAGACGAGGGTCGGAGAGAAACTCACTACAAACCTCCCAACCCCCGTCACTGCGACAATTGAGGGAATAACACTTCAACCCATCAACTTCATGTTCGAAGCTACTATCTTTCTCTCTTTTTCTAACCTACCAGCTCGCCATCTACCACACTGATCAGCTTTGATTGTTGCCTACTCTACTAGAAAAGCTCATTGAGATCCTATTAGTTCATCAAAACCATCAGCCGAATACTGAGCCACCACTCAGCTGTACTATCTATAGCTTGTCCTCACAGAACGGGTCTTCAAACATAATGGCATCATCGTTGTACTTGCCCACTCGCATAGCTTCTAGCTCTTGCTTCAGCCAACGGCTTCTAGCCTGTTCTCAGCAGCCAACAAAACCATCGGCCCTCTTTCACCCCCTCACAAACCGGCGATCGCCCAGCAGCTTTAAACTAGCCGTTGGAGCTTCCAAGCCCTCCCGCATTCAATGCAGTCACGTGGTATGTCGACGATTAGGCAGTCCGTCATTGGGCAATGCGGCTCTTCACACAAGCCGTTCGTCTCGCTCATCAATAAAAGGCCTTTATTTTCGCAGTGGGCCCTCACTCCTCGTCGCTTTGCAACTTGTCATTTCTTCAATACACCTAACCTCTAATGCGTCTTCCCTGCCAACGTCTTTCCTCCAATCTTCTTCCCTTCATCTCCAGCGCGACGTGAACACGGAGGAGTTGGATCACCTGGTGACCGGCGAGCGAGAGACACCTCTCGTTATTGACTTCTGCGCTGATTGGTGCGGGTCGTGCGACATCCTCTCCGAGCAACTTGAAGAGGCAAGTTATAAGGCCAAAAAAAAAAAAAAAAAAAAAAAAAAAAAAAAAAAAAAACTTGGTGGTTGACTTGCCAGTTCGGGCTGTTTTCGGGTATGACTTCATGTTCGTACAGGATGAGGCTTACGTTCTAATTATTTCATGCCCAAAGTAAATGGCCACGGGTTGCTCTCTGACCTGTATCTCCTTACCTTTTCATCCTTTTTGAAACGTGGGTGCGACGGGTGTGCAGTTAGCGGAGGAGTACGACGGGCGCGTGCGGTTCGTCCAAGTGAACACGGATCAGGAATATGACCTTGCAGATCAGCTGGAGGTACGGCGTCCTTATCGCTAACCAACCGCTGGTTACGGCGCCTTTACTCTCCATCTCATACTCGTTTCCACCTTGCCATCGCTTCCTTGTAACTGCCAATGATGTTCTCCTCTGTTTGTTGCAGATCCGCGGGCTTCCAACCATGGTCTTCATGGGTAAGGACAAGGCCAAGCGAGCGACCCGCATTGAGGGCATGCTTTCAGTGGACACCATCAGGCAACTCATTGATGACGTTGCTGATCTCCATAGCTAAGAGAATCTGACAGTTTTCCTAGGGGAATAATTTGGGTGAAGTGCTTGTCCAATGTGTGTATAAATGACGACAGGATTCCTTGCCAGGACGAGAAGTAGACTAGGAAATTTTGTACAGATGGCGCGGTCATGTATGGTTGTTTATGTGTTTCTAGCCATGGTGCAACATGTCTGCATTGGCTCACTTTTTCTGCTTCGTTTTATTTTGTCTGACAGACGAGCATTCATTTCACATGTGTACGCGTTCGAAGGTCAGTCTGGTTGCACAAATTTTCGGACCCAGCTCCGCGGAAGAGTAAGCGTGACTTACTGTACAGTACCCGTATGGTTACCCAAATCAATTTTCACATTTCACTTCTTGTTCCACACGTCCATATTTTACTCAACCACAGTAAATATCAATTTGACCGCTGTACAACGTAAAATATCTCATTGAGCCGCATTCGGACGAACCTGTGGGACACGCCAGCAACAAGATCGCTCGCAACGACACGCATGCGGAAACTAGTACTGCCAATTCTACAACCTTCTCTGCTGCGTCTGGATTCAGGTGGTGCCCACACCAGCATCAGCTCGCTTCACGTCTCCCCTTCCACATCGCTCCTCGTCGATAGGCCCTTCTCCCGCAGGCCGACACTCTCCCAAATTTACGCTCTTCCCGGCGTTGCCCCTTAGTTTTGCCCACCTCTCCCGCGCTCACGACGTCCCGCCCACTCACGCTGCCCCCAGCGCTCACGCCGTCCGTACTAGGCAGGTCATGCCAGTCACTCTTAAGGTCGCTGGCTCTTGGTCTGGGCAGGTCGAAATTCCGTCCCTGACCGAATGGACCGTGTGCGAGCTGCGGGCGGAGCTTTCTCGCCTGTCTGGGATCGACGCGCGCAGTCTAAAAATTATCTGCGGTGGGCGCACGCTTAAAGACGAGGCGGAGGCGGAGGGGGAGGCGGAAGGGGAGAGGGGGCGAGCGGGGGAAGCGGCAACGGGGGCGGAAGTGAGAGTTGCGGAGGGGAATACGGGGGTTGGAAAGGGGAATAGCGAGGGGAATGAAGAAGGGGACAAGGGGGAGGGGAAGGGGGTGGGAAATGCGCCGGGAAAACGGAAGGGCGGGCGAGGAAGGAGCTTAGAGGAGGTTGGGGTGAGGGCAGGATCACGGCTTCTGGTGACAGGTGGTGGCAGGCGATTGGGCGGCGAGATTGCAGCGGAGGGGAAGAGAGTGGTGGAGGAGGAAGCTGCTAGGAAAGAGACGGAAGATAGGTTGGCGCGGCTGAGGTGAGCAATGGGGAATGGATGGTTGAAAGTGTGGGTCTTGAGGGGTGAAGTACGGTCGGGAGGAGTTAAGGTTGGCTGAAGACGTGGGACTTTGGGTTGGGACGTGTTTCGATTTGACTGAAAACACACACGGGGCATGATAGCTGAAAAGATGGAGTTACACTCGTGCTGAAGTAGGAGAAATGAATTATACATGAGTTGTTGTTAATCTACTTGCTTCTTCCCAACTTCACTCCAGTACCTCCCTCCCTATTCCTCCTCCCCCTCATCCTTCCTCCTCCCCCTTCCCTTTCCCATTCCCCCTTTCGACTGGCCCCAGGGCTGCAGCAGCTGCCATTGCACGGAGAGGCAGGGCGGGCAGGGGGAGAAGGGGAGGGCAAGGCGTGAGGGGTGATGATGGCAATACCAATGGTGGTGGGGATGATGATGACGATGATGCTGAGTTGCTGCTGGAGAATCAGAGCGGGCAGAGACTAGAAATGGCGCCAATCGATAAACGGTGAGACAACCGTTGAGTCGACGCAGATTCACCTGATAACAACCTTGTTTTGAGGCGCCTCAAAACAACCTGGTACATCAGTTACCTGTCATTCTGTTACTTGTCTCAGAATCAGAATCACGGCGGCCAGACACAAGACATGGCGCCAGCTTATAAGTGGTGAGAAGCCAGAGCAGCAAGCGTCCATTTAAGGAGAAAGGCCGTTTCTGTTGCTGACTAAGGCCAACCGTTCTCGCTCGTTTCCTCTCGCTCTCGAACGCTCTCTCACAAACGCCATCGCACCTCCCACCCACGACAGCCCTCTTTGTGTGTGTGTGCGTTTTCTCTCGTCATCTTTTTTCTTTCTTCAAATGCCCACTCCCCACAGCTCTCTGGTGACAGGTCTGCTACTGCACTCCCATGGCCGATCTCTCCTCACCAAAGGCAATTTCGTGGAAGCCCGCCCTGTGCTGGAGATGGCAGAGGTGCGGTGCAATTCTTCCCTGCTGTCTCTTGGGTGTGTTGAGATTGCCTTTCCGTCTTTCCGCCTGTGCACCGTTTTTTAGGCGCCTAAAGAAATCCCTCCCTGTGCTGGAGATGGCAGAGGTGCAATTTCTCCTTGCTGTGTCTTGATTGTGTTAAGAAATTGGTGTTGAGATTGCCTCGCTGCCTGTGCATTGCTTGTGGAGGCACCTACCCACACTCATCCAGTTTTTCTTCCTCAAGATCAACACTTCACCGCGACACGTGGCTTAGCGTGTGCCTTGACATGTGGTTTGGTATGACGTCATGCACCTATTTATGTCTGTGTGCTTGTTGCAGGAAGCATTCAGCATCTGTGATGCCAAGATCACAGAGGTAATCAACCAACCACTGGTCCACTGTTACCAAGGTTTGTTTTAAAGGCGCCTAAAAAATCCATTCAGCATCTGCGATGCCAAATTCACTGAGGTAACCAAATCGCTCTGACCAGCTTCCCGTTCACTTTCTGTGTGCTACTCTTTCCAAATTACTTATCTCCAATTTGTACCCTTGTGGTTGTCATAACATTGCGCAAAGTATATTCTTGAAAAACACATGGGAGAAGGAGTATTGCCATGCCATTTACTTACCTGTCAAAAGAAGCCCTTCACTCGTCTCTCCATGCTTCTCTATCCTTCCTTCCATCTGTCCAGTCTGTAGACAACATACCAATGCTCCTATTGGACATCGTATGGTGCCACTACATGACAAAAGACGTCGCCAGCCTGGCATCTGCTAAAGGACGGCTTGCTGCCGCCCGGTCTGCACTGCGCAAGGCACACGGTGCGGACATGTCAAGGTTGAGGATGCTTCAGGGAAACTTCCGGCCCGAGCTAGCCACGTGAGTATCGAGAAATGTATAGCACAGGGTCGTTTCTGGCATGCCATGAGGTCGTTTTTGAGGTGCCTCAAAAACGACCTCAATGGTCGTTTCTGGCATGCCATTCTTTCGGGTTTTTCAGACGTCTCAAAAATCATCTTTTTACACGTCGTTTCTGGCATGCCATTCTTTCGGGTTTTTCATTTGATACGGGTTTACCTTTTCCGTCTTACGCTCCTCCTCCATCAACTTGCCGATTTTGTGCGGGAACATGCTATTCATCGACTTCTGTGCGTTTCACGTTCCCTTTCCCCCACCTCCCGCTGCCCATACTCGTTACAGGTATCTCCGTCTTGACCTGTTAGACGCCATTGCAGCATACCACAGTGGAGACCTGACGCGAGCCCGCCCGCTGCTAGCGTCGGCCCAGTCCCTCTTTCAGCAGGTACTGCTTTCAGTTTTTTTTTTTTTTTTTTTTTTTTTTTTTTTTTTTTTTTTTTTTTTTTTTTTTTTTTTTTTTCCTTGAGACATTTTTAAGGGCATTATCAGTGCAGTCCCTGGTTCTGCTGTTACTACCCACCTGAAATGAAGAAGCAGCACTCAGCTCTGCCCAATCACTTCTCTCGTTTGTCATTTGATTATCCAGCTCTGCCCAATCATGTTTCTCATTTGTCATTTTATTATCCAGCTCTGCCCAATCACTTTTCTCATTTGTCATTTTATTATCCACCTCTGTATTGCTTGTGTAGCCCCTCACGCTCTCAAATCTTATCCCCCTCACGACCCCCCAATCCCCTTCATCCACCCTCACCCCCCCTCATCCCCCATCACCCCTCCTCACCCCCCCTCACCCCCCCATCACGCCATATCAGCTGCAGGTTTCAGACGATTCATTGGCCAGCTTCGCAGGCATGGGCCTCTCGGGTACTGACCTATTCACCTTTTCCCCTTCCCTTCATCACCCCGTCATCCCCCTCCTCCTTCCTCCCCACCTCGCTCCCAACCTCAGCTGCAGGTTTCTGACGATTCATTGGCCAGCCTTGCAGGCATGGGCTTCTCGGCCAATGAGGCGAGGCGGGCACTCCGCGTGGCGGGCTGCGACGTGAGCCGGGCGGCGGAGTTCGTCATCTTGCAACGGCAGCGGGCGGCCGAGAAGGCAGAAGAAGACAGAAAGCAGAGGCGGATAGAGAGGTGCGTGTAGGGAGGGGGGAAATTATGTGAGTGTGGGGACCAGCTGCGTGTCGCTTTTGAGAAGTCTCAGAAGCAGGAATGGATGGATTATTCCATACCCTGCGCTATGACTTTTGAGGCGCCTCAAAAGAAGCAGGAATGGATAGAAAAGCCCTGTGTTATGTTTCGCATTACTTTGAGAAAGGAATGCGGTGGGTATTATTCACCACGCATAGTGCATGTCAATGTGTCCATTGTCCTACTTTTGAGGCGCCTCAAAAGGTGCATGGACACGTCTAGTCTAGACGTGTCCATTGTCCTACCATCTAACCATGTGGGTGCATGGTGTGTGTACATACATGGCGTGTGCATGGCATGTGCATGGCAACTGCAGGGAGCAGAGGGCCTATGGGAGGACGCCACGTGGCAAGAAGGTGGACATGCAGCTTCTGGACGAACTGACTGCATACGGGTGAGTGGGCGAGCAGATGACGTCATGCTGACATCACTTGCATCATGCGAGTACGCTGGATGGAATCCTGTAAGAGCTTAAATTTTGGAATTCCAGGATTCCAGGATTCCAACAACTGAACGTTCTGAAACAACTGAAGGACTCAACTGCACGATCTCAGTACGCTGGTCTCTCTCTGTACGTTCTTACTCACCATGATCTCAGTACGCTGGTCTCTCTCTGTACGTTCTTACTCACCACGATCTGTGCAGTTGAGTCCTGCTGACCTGTGTGCACTCTAGTATTTTGTTCCATGTTCCAACAGAAACATTCTCACTTCACCCCATCCCCTGTCCCCCATCACATCTCATTTCTTCACTCCATTCCTCTCCTCCTCCCGACCATCTCAGCTTCACGCGGCGAGTAGCAGCAGAGGCACTGAAGCAGAGTGAGAACCATCACCAGAGGGCCCTTGACGCCCTCCTTTGCTCAAACGCCCTTGCTGCTTTCGTTCGAGACTAGTTGATTCTCTCTACCCCTTTCCACCCCTCTCCATCCCGCTACGTGCCTCCCCACCATCCCAGCTTCACGCGGCGGGTGGCAGCAGAGGCACTCCGGCAGAGTGAGAACCATCACCAGCAGGCCTTAGACGCCCTCCTTGACCCCAACACCCTTGCTGCTCTTGAGGCAAGTTCACCCTTTAAGCCCCTCTCTATCCCTCTCTACCGCTCTCAACCATCACCAGCAAGCCCTAGACGCCCTTCTTGACCCCATCTCCCTCGCTGCTCTCGAGGCAAGTCCACCATTTAAGCCCCTCTCTATCCCTCTCGACCGCTCTCAACCACCACCAGAGGGCTCTCGACGCCCTTCTTGACCTCATCTCCCTCGCTGCTCTCGAGGCAAGTCCACCCTCTCTGCCCATCACGTGCATGCACACCACGTGCCCATCACGTGCATGCACACCACGTGCCCATCACGTGCATGCACACCACGTGCCCATCACGTGCATGCACACCTTTGAGATAGGATCTACTCAAAAGACACCACGTGCCCTATCCTCGTGTAGCGAGGGTGTTTTTGAGACGTCTCAAAAACACCCTCGCTACATCTGCCCATCACGCGCATGCACACCTTTGAGTCGACTCAAAAGACACCACGTGCCCTATCCTGCCCTATCCTGCCCTATCCTGCCCTCTCCTGCCCTATCTCGTCCGCCCCTCCCTTATCTTGGTCGTCTCTGGAACTTTTGAGTAACTCAAAAGGCACTCCACGTGCCCTATCCCGCTCCCTCCTGCCCTATCGCGTCCGCTCCACAAACCTCCACACTCCTCCATATACCTCTTCGGGCCCGTGTGCTTTCAGGTGGCAGTGGCGGAGGGGAGAGCCGACGGCAGCAGCAGCAGCAGTAGGAAGCGGGGGAGAGGCAATGCAGGTAGAGGGGCAGGTGCTGGTGGTGATGATGCCGACATGTGTTCCGATGACTCGGTGGCAGCGCTGGTGGCTCTCGGCTTCTCCGCTCAGCAAGGTACTTGCTCTTCCTCCTCCTCCTCAATTAAGGAATCCCATCAGAGGTGGTGCAGGTGGTTCAGCAGGCACAGGGACAGCACATGTGGTGCTGGTGGTGGTGCATGTTTGGACCACCCAGTGGCAGCGCTGGTGGCTCTGGGCTTCTCTGCTAAGCCATCATCTGGGCTTCGCGGCATGGCATGCAAGGTACCCTCATCCTCCACCATGCCATGCCATGCCATGCCGATCCATGCCGATCCATGCCACGCCATACCATGTCATGCACATCCCTCCTCCCTTCTCTCCCCTCGCCTCTCCCACCCACCACCCACACACACTCCTCCCTAACTCCAGCCCGACAAGCTCTAGAGGGCAGCAGCAACGATGTTGAAGCAGCGGCAGCAGCTTTGCTTCAGGGGGAGTATGGGGAGGCTGGAACTGTCCATCACCTAGCCACCCCCTTTCCCCTCCCTCTCTCCCCTCTTCCCCCCCCCCCCCACCACCAAAACGGCCCACACAGCGCGTCGAGCGTTAGAGGGCAGCAGCAACGACGTTGACGCAGTGGCAGCAGCTTTGCTTCAGGGGGAGTATGGGGAGGCTGGAACTGGGGAGGGCTCATCGTTTCCCCCCACGTTCATTGCCTGACATCCCCTTCCCCCCTTTTCTGTCGCCCCTCCCACCCACACACAGCCCGACAAGCACTAGAGGGCAGCAGCAACGACGTTGACGCAGCGGCAGCAGCTTTGCTTCAGGGGGAGTATGGGGAGGCTGGAACTGGGGAGGGCGGGGGCAGTGCGGAAGGAGGGGAAGGGGAGGGGGGGAACGGGACAGGGGGAGAGGGGACAGAGGGAGGTGGAGAAGCAGGGGGGATGGATGTTGAGGGAGGGGAAGGGAGTGAGGAGAGTGAGGAGGAGGGGGAGAGGGATGAGGAGATGGAAGGGGAAATACGGAAGGGAGTGAGTGGGGATCCCTATGCTGAGTATGATCTGGATGTTTCATTAGAAGCTGCTGCGATTGAAGAATACTCCAAGCTGATTATTGGTAACAGTGAGAATGTCTGATTACTGTGATTAGTGTACACTTTTGTTTAATTCAAGGCAAACTTGTGAGAGCTGCCAATGGTTCTCTACTAAAACTGAGGACAATTCACGGTACTCCAGTCAGAGTGATTCTATGGTATTAAGCATAAAAAATTATTTTGTATAATCCATAATAAGCCCCAGCGTCTTGATGACTTAGGTTCAAAAGGAACTACCAAGTACTGTACACGACAGATCCAGAATCAGTAACTTCACAAGGGTTCTGAGAGCAGCAGACCAGCAACCCGCTTGACTCCCTTCCCTCGGCCTCCCTCCCCTCACTCTGCTCCCCCTGCTCACCCCTCCATATCCGCATCCATCACAGCACCCCTCACCCGTCCCACCTTCACCTTCATCTTCCCCTTCAGTTTCCTCTCTACAGCCCTCTCCGCCTTCGCCTCTGCCACGGCCCTCTCTCCTCCCACCTCCTCGCCCTCCTCCATGGCCACTGCAATCGCCTTCTCCTTGGCCGCTTGCTCCGCAACTGAAGCTGAGAGCGTGGAGACAGGCTTGGGGAGGGTGAGGGACGGGTCGGCTGCGAGGGCAGCTGGAGCCTTCACAAGGTGGATTCCGGATTCGAGCTCTTGGCGCGCCTGCCGCCGCTCCTCCTTGGTTTTCACCTTCATTCTGTTAGGAAAGAATGGGGAATGGATGCGGGGAGGGAGCACGAGGCAGAGTGAGTGAACGATGGGTCGGCTGCGAGGGCAGCTGGGGCCTTCACCAGGTGGATTCCGGACTCCAGCTCCTGGCGCGCCTGCCGCCGCTCCTCCTTCGTTTTCACCTTCATTCTGTTTGGGGCAAGGACGGTGAGGGTAAGAAGGGGGAGGGGCGCAGGGTGTCAAGGGGAGAGGATCTGGACTGTCGAGAGTGCCGAGCCTGCTGCGCCCACCGCCGCTCATCACTCATCCCCTACTTTTTCCAGAACTCAAACCTGTCAAATCATTTCACTCGCAACTTACACATGATCTCGGATTAACTCACCTGGTCACCTAACAGCCAGAAAATAGCCTCCACTTACCGCTTCTCCCAGAACTTGGCCTGCCGCTTCACCCGCAGCTCGTCGATTCGCTTCATCGCCGCCACCGGCCACCGCCCATTCCCTTCTCTTAGCCCCCAGTAACCCCATAGAACTCACTGGTCACCACTCCTCCCAGCACAAAAACTCACCGCTTCTCCCAGAACTTGGCCTGCCGCTTCACCCGCAGCTCGTCGATCCGCTTCATCGCCGCCACCGTCGTCGCCACCACGTTGCGGTCGTACCGCTCGGGCCGGTTCCTTCGTCGCTCCATCTCAAAGGTCGTGTCCTGGTGGGGGGAGGTAAGGAGGATGGAAGGGTGCGGTGTGGGAGGGTGTGGATGGGTGGGTTTTAGGCCAAGCAGACCGTCGTCGCCACCACTTTGCAGTCATACCGCTCGGGGCAATTGTGCCATCTCAAAGGTTGTGTCCTGAAATCGATGGGAAGGAGGGTGGAAGGGTGCGGTGTGGGAAAATGTGTATTGATGGGGTGAGGTTTGGGGCAAGCAGGGTGCGCAAAAGTTCAGTCCCTTGTGCGCAAGAGGGAAGGAAGGGCAAGGGGCGGCGGGCTAGGGGCAAGGGGCAGGGCGCGGGGGGTAAGGGGCTGCCGGGAACGGGAACTCACGGAGGCGAGGTCTTCGCCGTGCAGGCGGCGGTACGCCTTGCGCGGATTGCGAGAGGAAGGGAGAGAGGAAGAAGGCGGATGGGAGGATTGGGGAAAGGGGGGAAAGGCGGATGGGAGGATTGGGAAAGGGGGGGAAGGCGGATGGGAGTATTGGGAAAGGGGGGGAAGGCGGATGGGAGAATTAGGAGAGGAGTGGAAAGGCGGATGGAAGGATTGGGAGAAAGGGGGAAGGATGGGAACATGGGAGAGGAGAAAGACACTCACGGAGGCGAGGTCTTTGCCGTGCAGGCGGCGATACGCCTTGGTCCATCGCACTTTGCGCGGGTTGCGCTTCAGCTTGAAGTTCCGGTGGCACTTGGACCGGCAGAACCGAAACACCTGCCCGCAAACCACACGGAAAGGAGAGAGAAAAATAAAAACTTCAGACAAATTCGTTTATCTTACCCCTCCCCTTGCCCTTGTTCCCCCTCCTCCCCCCCTCCCCCCCGCGCACCCCATAAAAAAGAGGAGTTAGGTGTAGCTATGGGAGCAGAAGCCGCCAGCTGTTATAGTTCGTGGGATTGAGTCGAATCGAGCCTCGACCGAACGGTCAAGATTCCATCTAACCTTGGCGTCATTGCGCACGTAGCAGATGCCGTGACCGGGATACACGGTCGACGAGCAGAACCAGCACTTTTCTAATCTCATCGCGCAGCGCCGACGAGCGACTCGATACTAGGTTCTGACAACGGGCGGTACACTAAACGGTGAACGAAGCGCGACAGTTAACGCAAGGATTCAGCTTCGCGAGGCAGGCAAAAGCACCGACAACAGTGTGAAGCGCTCGGTAACGACAGCTCCTGGTAACCCTATTGCAAAGGCTGCCCCTGAGCAAAGCCGTAAACGCGAGGGATTCCTTCAAAAGCGTCCTGGAAGACCTAAACGAAGGGTAACACGACTCGAGGGGAGCGATTGGGACAAGCCAGGCCGCAGACTGCACGATGCGGGCGCTAACGACGACTGGCGTGGACGTGGGACGGCGCGCGGCAGTAAACGGACGAGCCGAGCCCAACTCGCTAAGGAGGTACGAAATACTGGGGTTTGGGAAATAAAGACACCTGGGTCTAGGATTTCGATGCTAGAGGGTTTGGGTATTTGGGAGGGCGGCGGGTTTGGTGGGCGACCCAACACTCGAGCGAAGCGAACTGACGAGAACCAGACACGGAGGTTACAGCTACAAAATACAAGTTTGCACCGAGGAACTTCACAAGTTTTAATACTACTGATTTTGGATATTGTTATAATTTTTTTCCCGCTATTTGCTAGAGACATCGTCTGGTTTATAGAGACATGTTCAGGGATACCTTATTGCTTGGGCACTCGGAGAAAACCACAGTTCACGGTGCCACTCGTCTGGAGCAGGTGAGCCGCATGAATGAGCATTGTTACTATACTGCAACTGCACCTGGTGGCAATTGTAACCGCTTGAAACCTGTGTATTGTACAGCGTTGCCGCATGTGACCGAAATCCTTTCAATTGTTGCTGATCCAACTCCATTTGCTGCGTGAAACCAGACCCTTGCATTGGACCTTGCTCAAAAGGACGCCATTGTGAAAGCGCAGGATGCCGATAGAAGTGCTCTGAGTGCCCCACTGTTGCAGTGCAAGATGCCGGTTCCACAGAATGCAGCCCACTGTAACCCCAAAGTGCAGCTGCTTCCGACACTGATATATCCTCCTGAAACTCAAAAAGGGTGTGGTGGTAGGGACTCTGCACCCAAGGGCGCCCACCAACCCCTCCACACACACTCCCCCCCTCCCACGTGCTCCTCCCATCCCATGTGCTCACCCCCTCCCACCCATTTCGATCCCACTCTACCTCTGCCTCCAGAGACCAGGCAGTGAAATCCGCAGATTGCAACCATCGCTGCACTTTCAATGCCCCCTCCATTCCTGCTGCTGCTGCTGCAGCTGCTGCGGTTGCTGCTGCCACTTCACTTGCTGACGTCGCTGCTGCTTGTGCTGCTCCCACTGCTGCTGGTGCAGCTGGGGATCCCCATGCCTCTTCCTGCCCTTGCACCTCGGGCAGACGAACCTCTCCGTACAAATCATGACTCCGGTTGTCATGGAGATGCAGATGACTCTGAGGCGAGTCAAAGCTCAGCCCTGGCACGTCCGAGCGATAAACCTCTCCCTGATAAAACTCCTGCAGACAAACCTCCGGTTGATAAGCCGCTGGCCGATAACTCTCTGGCTGGTAAACCTGCTCGTACAGATCCGTATCTCCATTGTGCTGCTGCATCTGGTCCAGGCCTCCCCAGGCTTGCTCGTGCCTCCCACCTGCTGTGTCAATCCACCCGGCATTTTCCTGCTGCCCTGCAAGCTCCCTCTGGTCGGCAAGCGCCGGCTGGTTTGCAATCTCTTGGCCATGGAGCCGCCCGGCTGGCGATATTTGGGGGACATACGTGCCTGCTGCATCACAGCCCTTTGGCCCCGCGCCTGCACCTGCACCTGCGCCTGCACCTGCGCCTGCACCTGCACCTGCGCCTGCGCCTGCACCTGCGCCTGCGCCTGCACCTGCCCCTGCCCCTGCACCTGCGCCTGCGCCTGCACCTGCCCCTGCCCCTGCCCCTGCCCCTGCCCCTGCCCCTGCACCTGCACCTGCACCTTCCCCCACGCCTGCCAATACGCCTGCACCATGTTTCCCTGCACTGCAAGCTCTCACGCGCTGTTGCTCCACAGCCACTAGGTCTGCTGTTCCTGCTGCTGTGGGTCCTGCGGGTGCTTCAAGCGCTGTTGGCGCCAACGCCACAGCTGCTGCCACTGCCGCTGCTGCTGCAGTTTTGCCTTGGAACGAGGGCCGTCGCATGGGATCACCCAATGCCAAGAAGGAAGCCTCCTCACAGTTTCTGCTGGTCGCTCTAGCAACACTGCCTGCCCTCCCACCTCTCTGTTTCAGAGTATCTCCACGCTGAACTTCATGTGTTGGCGTTGGTGGATCTGTGAAATCACCAGCTTTGCTGCCGTCACCACCACTACCGCCGCCACCACTGCCGCCACCAGGCCTGCTGCCACTACCACCACGGCCGCTACCACCACTGCCGCCACCACCGCTGTTACCACCCGCCCTCCTCTCCCCTCCTCTGCTGCCGTCCCCACGTGTGCGTGCAAACGCCAACCTGCCGACGAGTGCTTTTAACGAGGATGCAAGGCGGCCGGGAGGGGTTGATTCTGGGGAGAAGCACTGAGGCTGGTCCAGACGTGGAGCAGCGGACAGGACGGGTGCGGCACGGGGAGATTCACCATAGCAACTAGCGTCTGATAAACCTCTGCTGCTGGGAACACTTCTGCATACGTCCTCGTCTCTATCCCCCTCTTCCTCTTCCTCTGCATCTGGCCCCTCTGCTTCCGCCTCCCTTTCAGCGCCCAAGGACGCAACTCTCGGACTCCCAACCGCAGCTCCAAGGCTCTTCACTCTTCCAGAGGCTAAACGCTTGTCTGCCGAGGGAAGGACAGATGACGCGGGAAGGACAGATGACGCGGGAAGGACAGATGACGCGCGAGACGTTATGTGGTTACCAGTGCGGGTTTTATCGCCCTCCTTGTCGCTTGCCCATGCTGCATCCCGGTCAATCCCATGCGATGCTGCAGCTGCATTCCCTAGGCGACTCTTCGGTAGACTCACAGGCGCAGCGTCAAAATTCGCTGCATTATCCCCCGTGCTTCTGGTCCGCCTGCGGTTGGCATGGGCGGAGGGAGAAACGTTGCGAGGTGACTGCTGCACCTGTTGTTGGGTCAACTCAAAAGGCACGTCATCATCCCCCACGCTCCTGTTGCGCCTCCGCTGGAAACGGGCAGAGGGAGACACGCGCAAAGGCCCACTGTTACCCCTCTTCGCCGGCTCCTTACTGGTGCTGCTGCTGCTGCTGCTGCCGCCTGTGCTCCGTCAATTGCCGCCCGTGCTCCGTCAATTGCCGCCCGTGCTCCGTCAATTGCTGCTTGTGCTGCGTCAGCTGCGGCCCATGTCCAGGCGTCTGCCGCCCATGCTCAGTGATTGCCAGCTGGCGCAGCTCTGCCAGCGACCCAATAGTCCTCCTGCCATTCGCCCTCGCGTTGCTACCTACCACGGGCGGCCTTCGCTTACCGGGAGATGCACCTTCTATGCCACTCGCTGCCCCTTCAAAAAACTCTTTCAACAGGTTATCTGTCAACTCCTTGGTCTCTCTCTCCCGCGCCTTGGCCCTCGCGCTGCTGCTACCTACCACCGGCGCACTTCCCTTTACACACGATGCACCTTCAAGAAACCCTTGCTTCTTCTTCAACAGGTTATCCTTCAACTCCCCCTTCTTCTCCCGCTCTTTCCCGCCGCGCAGTGATTGGGGAGACGAAACCCCCGCTGCCACGAGGGCTGGGCTTTTAAGCGCGTCACACGAATCAAACGATCTCCTCGCAACGGCCTTCCTCCCCTCGCCGCCGCATTGCTGCGACGCCCCATCCCGCGTTGCTCGCCTTCCAGGCGACTCAAACGGCGGCTGCGGGTCACCCGCCCGTGCTGCGGGAGACACTTTATCCGCCACCTGCCGCGGAGATCCCCGCGCAAGCGACTCAAGCGTCCGCGGATTCTCCGCTGCTGCGCGGAGCCCCGGTTTTTCCGCTGGCTGTCGCGGAGACCCCCTGCGTGCGCCCTGAGCCGTGGCGGTAACAATAGCCGTATTTTTCCTACTAGGAGTGGTAGTAGCGGTAGGAGAATTGAGAGCAGAGTTCCTAGCGGCAGCGGTAGGAGTACGAGGAGTCGCCGCAAATCGCGCTACTGCCCATCTCATGTCCGTCTCCGCCGCCGCCGCGCCCGCATCCCGCTCGCGCCAGGGGACGGGAGATGCGGCGGGAGGTACGGCGGGAAGGCTTGTTCCAAAATAAACCGCCGCGGATACGTCAGTCCCTGTATAGTACGTGTCGCCTAGCGTGGCGGCACGCGAGATCGCATCGTGACCGTCCATTTCCCGATGATGCTACTAGCGATTGTCGTAACTAAGTCGACTACTACACCATACAGTGACTTTCCGAATCGGAACTTTTCCAAAAGGCGGGCAGTCCGGCGTCGAACGGCGTTCGCGACGTTGCTTGTAGACAATGGCAAACACGAGGTTGAAAGCACTGATGGTCGAAAGGACTGTTGGTAGAAAAAACGCTCGCGACGTTGCTTCGCGCTTGAGAATCTTCAAGAATGGCCAACAGATGGTCAAAACGACGTTCCTATGAGGCCCACTCGTTGTCGATGCTCTAAACGACGTGAGAAGGCAAAAACCGCCTTATCATCCTACGTGACTTGGCAACGCTGCCTTATCGTGCGGTGCGATGACATATATATCTCATTGCTCGTCTTGGTATGGTTGCGTATCGAGGTGAGCCTATACTGTACGATGGCAAGACGAGTTGCATCGTGGTTTTTTTTTTTTTTAGAAAACGCGATCGTCGCTGCGAGAATGGATATTTTGCATCTCCAGGGTTTCATTCTGGATCGGATGTGGCTGGGGATTGACTCGACCGATGCGGCGTCTGCCGTATGATACGGCGAGGAAATCGCCGCGTGAATCTCCCGTGCATTTCCAGCAGCGAAGCTTCCTATGCAACAGCTCGGCAGCGTACCGTTTTAGTCAGCAGCTCAGCAGCACAGTGTAAAGACATGAACCGCCTCATGTCAAGAATCGCGCGGCGACGCGCTCGTGTCGCTCACAGTTAGCTCGATCAGGCGTGTTGCTAGAGACAGCCACCCTTCGAGAACAGAAGTGTCCAGTCCGATTGGGCTTGATTCCCTGTCCATCCTGTCCCAGTGCGAGGGAGGGTGGGTGCATAGAATAGAACGCCACCCCACAACCCCCTTGCATCTGTCTGTAATTTTCAATCAACGGACGGACCGAGAAACATGCGAACCTGATGCTTCAGCTGATGAAACGTCGACATCCGTTTGCGGATGTCGGCGAATCCTGACGGTCGGAATCTTCGATCCGAGGGCTGACATGCACCGACATCCAGCGACATCCAGCGACATGGTCACTTCGGGTCGGACACGCCATAAACGCGACGCATTCTACGCGTCCTTCCCGTCCTTCCTCAAAACCCCAGACTGCTCTCCGTGAGCAGCACTAAAACTGGAACAGCTGTGCGGTGGTGCAATCATAAGACTAGTTGCCCTGAAGTGAGCAGAGCATGTGCGAAGCTAGAGCAATGGCCTAGAGGGGAATGTTACAACAGGTGGAGGTGAGCAGTGGGCAGCAAAGGAGGTGGTTGGTGCTGTAAGATGCAGGCCAGAGGCGGTCATATGTTGTGCTTTCTGTCGTTCATGGGTGTGCGAGGGAAAAGAGTCGTTGCGGGGCGGGCGGGGGTGCTTGGTTCTCTCGCTCAGCCCAGAGCAATTCCGCTTGCCCAATCACAAAAGGCGAATTTCCTCCTCTGGGACAGTTCAGGCCGAATTTCTTGAATCCGCGGTTCGGTGTGCGGTGGTGAATGCCCTCCAAAAATGACGAGACGGGGGCAAGTTCTGTCTGAAAATGATGCACTTGTGCTGTGCTACAGTACAATGGCACAGCGATGGCCAATACGGGCGATTTCCGAGCTGACGGGCAACAGTGGAAATCCAGTTTTGTGAAGCAGGCAGACGATGGCCAACATGCTGGCGAAACAGCTCCCAATACGGGGCCTCTCTTCTGGGTATAAGCGGGATGCACAAAGCACAGAAGTGTAAATATAACGATTCGATCAATGGGTTATGACTGCAGATGCCATGCAAAACTCTAATGTACAACTATTGGACTTGGCTTCCCAAACTTAATTTAATCAAGTGAATACACAATAAAAGAGACTTTACCAATCAATTGGTTCCAAACTAACACGGTCATAGACGCAATTTTGGCGATTGCTACTACAGAACTGTCCGTTTGAAATAGTCAGGCTGCTATATTCCATATCACTCTTTGCTGTCCTAAAAACACATCAGCCCATAAATCCGGGTGCCGAATCAGCAGCCGCCCCACCACCCCATGATGCGCTGCGCTTTCTCTCAATCCTTGTTCCAGAACCTGCAATCCCGGGAGCAGGTGGTATGCCATATTGTGGCAGAAAGGCCATAGCGCCTGGAACCATGGTTCCCATTGCCCCATTTCCCGCCATACCTCCCCCCACAGGGCCCACAGCAGGAACCATAGAGCTCCAATCAGCGATTGGTAAAGCACTATGAGACGGCCGATGCCGGCCGCCTGTGGCACCAGCAGTACCAGCTACTCCACCCGCACTCGTACCAGGTATGCTTCTGTTACCTGGTGCAGCGCCGTCACTGTTGGCACACAGGTTGGTGGCGGAATCAAAGCTTCTGCTGGCAATGCAGTAACCAGGTAACAGGTTACCAGGCTGAAAATTACCAGATCCGAGGCTGGGAGGCAAGGGGCCAGATGAAAAAGGTCCTGCTGCAGAAATACCTGTAGTGAAACCCCTGGGTAGTGGGGGGAGATTGCTAGAGGAGGGAGGGAAATTGCTAGAAGAGGCCGGGAAATTGCTGGAGGAAGGAGGGAGATTGCTAGAAGAGGGAGGGAGGGATGTGGTGGTGGAGGAACGTGTCGCAAGAGGGTCCCAGCCGGCGTCACTGAGAGGGTGAGAAACGGCTGACCCTGGCCTACTCGCTGTTGACTGTTGCATATGCTGCTGCATAATCTGCTGCTGCTGTTGCTGTTGTTGCAGCTTATATTGCTGCTGCTGCTGCTGTTGCTGCTGTTGTTGTTGCAACTGTTGCAGCTGCATCTGTTGCTGCTGCTGCAGCTTTTGCTGCAGCAGCTGCTGCTGTGATTGTTGTAACTGCTGCTGTTGCCACATTCCAGTTGACTGTTGCTGCAGAGACAAGTTCCCTTGTGCTTGCGCCTGTCCCTGCCACTGCCCCTCTCTCTGACCAGGATTCGATATCAACCGCATCCCACCCATTCCTACAGCACCAGCACCACCAGCATCACCAGCACCACCAGCAGTGGTACCATCCCCTCCTGCTAGCCCTGGTGCTAACCTGGTGCTGGGGCCTTGGAGCATGTTTCCTTGAAACTGCTGAAACTGCTGGTATTGCCACTGCTGCTGCTGCTGCTGCTGCTGTTGCTGCTGCTGCTGCTGCTGTTGTTGTTGTTGTTGTTGTTGTTGTTGTTGTTGCTGCTGCTGCTGCTGCTGGTAAGGGGCAATCATCCCTCTATACACACCTCCTATACCAGCACCACCACCCACTGCCCCCCCAGGCTGAGGTATAGGGCCAAAAAATGCGCCTCCTATGTTTCCAGGATACCCAGGGGGGAGCAATTGGCTTGCTACGTTTCCTGGAAAGTTCCCATACTGTTGATCGCCTGAAGCTGATGATTGGTGTTGGTGCATCCCCCAAGGCAGATTCGTAGCTTCCTGCGACTCTCGATTGTCCTTGTCGCCTGCTCCTGCTCCTGTTGCCACCGTTGCTCCTGCTGCTCCTGCTGCTCCTTCTGCTCCTGCTGCAGGTGCTCCCTGGCCGAGCATGCGTTTAATACGCGCAATCTTCACCTCTTTGGGTTCCAACCTCCTCCTCCTCCTCTCCTCATCTGAATCCACTTCTTCCTCTCTCCCCTCACCTTCCTCCTCCTCTGCCTCCTCCTCCTCATACTCCTCCCCCTCTCCCTCCTCCTCCCCTGCCCCCATCCATCCCTTGTTTCTTTTCCCCACCACATCAACCTCTCCTTTCCCTTTCACCCCATTCCTCCCATCCTCACCAGACCCAACCCCATGTCCCTTGAAAAGCCTCTGAAGAAGCCCCCCGCTTCCTCCCAAAGCAGCACCAGCGTCACCTGCTTTCCCCCCTCCCAAAGCAAACGACTGGGATTTGAACAGCCGTGGCTTCCCTTCATCTTCATCAACCCGCACTGCCACTCGCCTCACCCTCTCTTCCCGTACACCCACTCGCCTCACCTCCCCTCCTGTTCCCACCCTCCTCACCTCTCCTCTACCCCCTGCCCCTCCTCCTGCCCGCGTCCCCTCCCTACCTCCTCTTCCCCCGGCTCCTCCTCCCTTCTCCCCCCCTCCCTTCTCTACGCCTCCCTTTGCTCCCGCCTCTCTTCCTACTCTTTCATTACCACTCCCTGCGCCCATCCCCCCTTTACCCCCACCAACAGCCAAGGAATGGCTGCGGGGAAAGACGCCTTTAGTGGAGCGTGCAGCCGCAGCAGCAGCAGCAGCAGGAGCAGCAGCAGTCAAACCAGCACCAGAAGCAGGGGCAGCGGCAGCACCGACAGCCATTGAGTGGCTGCGGGGAAAAACCCCTCTAGTGAGATGTGCAGCCGCAGCAGCACCAGACGCAGCAGGAGCAGCAGCAGCAACAGCAGCAGCACCAGCAGCAGCACCAGCACCCGTAGCAGAAGAAACAGCACCAGTTCCAAAACTAGCGCCAGCAGAAGCAGCAGCACTGGCCGCAACACCAGCAGCAGGGCCGGCAGCAGCAGCCACTGCAGCACCATCGCAAACACCAGCAGCAGCAGAAGCAGCAGCAAGCGAGTGCATGGCATCAATAAAAGCAGAAGAGGTGGGGATGTTCTGGTAGGTGGATTCAGTAACCATCTGGTAACCACCTGGATCAAACCTCCCAACGGAACCTGCTTGAAACTTTCCATGCTCACGCTGTAGCTCCTGCAAGTATAGGGGTTTTTGCTGCAGCTGTTGCGGCTGCGTCTGGTGCTGCTGCTGCTGCTGCTGCTGCTGCATCTGCTGCTGCTGCTGCTGCTGCTGCATGTCGTGCTGGTTCAGCTGTTGCATCAGAACTCCTGGCTGCACGTGCACCTGCTGCTGCACCTGCTGCTGCACCTGCTGCTGCACCTGCTGCTGCACCTGCTGCTGCACCTGCTGCTGCACCTGCTGCTGCACCTGCTGCTGCACCTGCTGCTGCACCTGCTGCTGCACCTGCTGCTGCACCTGCTGCTGCACCTGCTGCTGCACCTGCTGCTGCACCTGCTGCTGCACCTGCTGCTGCACCTGCTGCTGCACCTGCTGCTGCACCTGCTGCTGCACCTGCTGCTGCACCTGCTGCGGCCCACATCCACTCTGCCCCTGCCTCTTAACAATTGCGCCAGCACCAGGTGGTATACCACCACCCACAGCCGCACGTGGAGCAGCAGCAGGAGCAGCAGCAGTATCACAACTATTCCCCTGTCCCTTCCTCCCTCCTTTCCGTAGCTCCCCTCTTACTGCCTCCTCCTCCTCCTCCTCCACCTCCTCCTCCTCCGCTTCTTCCCCCTCTCCCTCCTCCTCCTCCTCCTCCTCCTCCTCCTCCTCCTCCTCCTCCTCCTCCTCCTCCTCCTCCTCCTCCTCCTCCTCGTCCTCGTCCTCCTCCCCCTCTTCTCCCTCCTCCCCCTCCTGCTCCATCTTCCCTCTCCCTGCGTGCCGATCGCCATGAGAAACCCTCCCATGCGGCTCCCATGAGACAGAACCCCTCTCTGAGTGACCATCGCTGTGCGAAATCCTCTCATGCGTCACAAAAAAGGAGCCTCTCCCTGCGTGACGGTCGCTGTGGGAACCCCTCTCATGCGTCACAAAGAACGACGAGCCCCTGCCTGAGTGGCGATCGCTGCGGGAAAACGCAACAACAGGGAAGCACTCAAGCGACCCCCCTCTCCGCCTCTGCATTGCCGCTTGCCTCCCCATCCAAGGCCCTCCTCCCCGTCCTCCTCCCCGTCCTCCCCCTCCCCTCCCGCCCTCACTTGTTCCCACTGGTTGCTGCCTACTCCTTCTCTCCTCCGCCCCATCCCTCTCCTTCCTCCCACCCGCCTCTGAGGCATCTTGAGACCTGAGACAAATCCCATACTCCCTCCCCTCCCCGTCCTCCTTCCCTTCAGCATCGTGGGACCTCAGATGCAAGAACCGGAGGAGGTCGTGTATGCTCCCCATACTCCCTCCCCTCCCCTTCCTCCTTCCCTTCTCCTCCTCCCTCCCTTCTTCCCTCCCCCCTTCCCTCCCACTTTCCCTCCCCCCTCTGCGCCTCCCCCAAACTTCCTTCTCCCCCTCCTCGTCCTTCCTCGCCCCTTCCTCCCCATCCCCCTCCCCTTGTTCAGCTTCCCTGTTGTCCCAGAAAGATACCCGCCTCTGCCGAACCTGCTGCCCCTCCGAACCAGCAGTTGACGTCCGGGACCTCCCGCTCTCATGCCACTGCTGCCGCTCCGACCCAACAGTCGAAGTCCGGGACCTCCCACTCTCAAGCCATCCTGCACCATCCACTCCCCCCATCATCCCCACACCCTCACTGCCTCCTCTCACACCGCTCACTTCCTTCCCCACTGCCCTTCTTCTTCCACCCTCTTCCCCGCTTCTTCCACTATCTTCCCCGAGACTACCTGAGCCAGAGTCGCTTGTCGCATTTCTCAGAAGCGACTCGGATCTCCCCACCTCTTTGCTTCTGCCACTTTCTACCCCGAGTTTTGCCTCTTGTCTCCCCAGCGCTGCCGCACACTCACCAGCACCCCCACCCTTGCGGATCGAGCCCGACCGCACTGAACCATGTGATTCTTTAGCACGAAAACCATCCGCGTTACAAGCACTCTCCAACCCATCCCCTTCATACGACTCCCCATAAAAATCATCCGCGTTACAAGCATCCTCCAGCTTTTTGGGCTGCTGCGGCCGCCCATCAGTCGAAGCTGACTTGGGGAAAGTGTGATGGCTGGTGGAATCAGCGCCTGTTGTGTAAGAGGAGTAATTTAAGTCGCTCGCACACCTCTGCACCTGCCCTCCCCTTCCTGACCTTCCACCTCCTCTTCCTCCTCCTCTTCCTCCTCCTCCTCCTCCTCCTCCTCTCCTCCTCCTCCTCCTCCTCCTCCTCCTCCTCCTCCTCCTCCTCCTCCTCCTCCTCCTCCTCCTCCTCCTCCTCCTCCTCCTCCTCCTCCTCCTCCCCCTCCTCCTCCTCCTCCTCCTCTGCCTCCTCCTCCTCCCCTTCCTACTGCTGCTACAGCAGACGTTGCTGCCTTTGGTGCGGCTCGTTGCCCTCGCGGTTTCTCTAGTGGCTCTGCTCTATCAGGGAGCTTCTGACATTTCTCAGAAACGTTATCTCGTGGCTCGGCCCTATCAGGGTGTCTGACAGATTTCTCAGACACGTTATCTGGTAGCTCTGCCCTGTCAGGGTGTCTTTGAGGTTTCTCAAAAGCATTACCTCGCGGCCCTGCCCTGTCACATGCATCGGTGGACGATCGAGCACTGCTGTCACCATCCCCGCCTCGCCTGCTCACCCTTTCCCTCTCTCGCCCGCTCTCCCCTTCCCCCCCCCGCCTACTCTCCCCATCCCAACTTTGCCTGCTCTCCCCATCCTCAAAATAAGCAGATTCATCCCCATGCTCAAGAGCTGCCTCCCATTGAGGCACCTCCTCAACAGACCTCGATCTCCGCTTCACAAGAGCGCGCCTCTCTCTCTCCTCCGTCCCTCTACTCTTTGTCCTGACCACCTCACCTTCACCAGCAACAGCAGCAGCAGCAGCAGCAATACCCCCGGAAGTAGCACCAGCACCAGCAGCACCAGCAGCACCACCAGCAGCACCAGCAGCAGCACCAGCTGACACAGCTGCGGCTGCTGACTCACCGCTGAACCTAGACTTGCCACAGGTTCGGGCCGGACCTATATCCAGCACTCCTACCTCCCCTTCCGAACCGTGCCTCCTCCTACCCCTCCCGCCTCTCTGCCCTGTTGACACAGACGGCGATTTTGGCAGCATCTGGGGGCGGTTGGAACTGGGGGAGGCCAGGTAAGTGCCACCTATCTTACGCTGATTGCAAACCCCAGGTGAGTTAGCACCAGAATTATACAAATCTCCTCCTCCCCTTCCACCCTCCCCATCCAACTCTCCCCCTTGCGCACCCACACCATCCTCCCCACTTCCTCTGCTGCCCCAGTCCAAAGGCAGGGAACCTTCCGAGAGGTTTCTCAGGTGCCCCGATCCCTGGCGTGACAGCAGCTGTTGTCGGCGCTGCTGCTTCCCCTTCATCTCCCCTTCCTCACCCTGTAACTCACCCTTCCCCTCTCCTCCCTTGACCTCCTTCTCCTTCCCCTTTCCCCTGCCTTCCCTCCCCTTCTCTCCTTCCCTGCCCTCCCTCACTCCCCTTACCTTCCCCTTCCTCTCCTTCCAGTCTCCGTGACTCTGTTCCACAGGGGTCATCACACCCAGCAGCAGCGTGGTCTTAAATGGCGCCACCTGACCTTCAACCTGGCTTTTCACCTGAGCGACTCCTCCAGGTGAAACCAGCAGTGGATGGTTCACCTCTGCCTGTAACCCTGTTACCACACGTAACTCTAAGTTAACAGTGAGAGGAGCAGCCGTGGGCATGGGTTCTAAGGTTGAGGCGGTGGCGTTAGTGGAGGAGATTAAAGACATGGGGACCAGATGAAGCGGGAAAACGACGCTGTCCACTGAAGGTTCGTCATCCATAAGTAAGGACGAAACCGTCGCCACCCAACTATCAACAATCGTCGTCCCGTCGCTCAAATCGTAAATGCTTCGGCCAATTAGCGAAGCGTCTGCCATTGCGAGGTCACCATCTTTTCCACCCTCCCCTTCCCACCCCCTCCCCGTTCCCTCCCCACCTCCTCCCCTTCCGTCTCCATCCCCCATGGCCTCCCCCATGGTCCACCTAACCGCTGCAGCAGTGGCGGCTTTAATTTGACCTCGCACGTCCAGAAGCAATGCTGCTACCTCCTGCTGCCCCATCCCCTGCTGCAGCTGCTGCTCCTCTAAGAGCGACTCCAGTAACAGACTATAGGCGTCTAGTGCAGCAGCAGTAGTTCCAGTAACTCCACTAGAAGCATGCTCACGCCTTTGCATCTCGGACTCGACTCTCTCGTCCCTGCTGCTCCTGCTGCTGCTGCTCCTGCTGCTGCTACTGCTGCTGTTCGCAACGCTGCCGTCCCTGCTGCTACAGCTGTTCCTCATCCTGCTCCTGCTGCTACAGCCAGGCACAAGGTTTCTGACGTTGCCGTTGCTGTGGCTGCTGCTCGCTTGAGAAGGGGATCTGATGAGACCATGGGCTTGCTGCAGCGATTTCTGCGACTGCATTTCCCCCTCTGTTGTCTGCTGTGCCTGCAGAGTCTGTAGGGCAGCGGAGGAAGAAGAAGACGAGCGGGAGTGCGAGGCGGACAACCGAGACGACTTGCGACGAGCCGAGCCTTCAACCGTCGGTGCGTGCGTGCGGGATCTCCCTTCCGCAGCCTCTGCTGCAGAGACGGCTCTCGACTCGCGCATGGCTTCAGTCCGGCATGACGTTAGAGTTGACTCAACGGTCATCGAGTCGTGTCCACAGGAACTCTCTCGCGCTGCCTCCGCTGCGGAGTCCCCGCTGGCAACGGCTTTAGCACGACGAGCGCGAACCCTACCCGTTGGCTCTTTCCGCGCGCTGCCGAGCCCTACTTCCGAGTCGCTCCTATCTCCCGCTCCGAAGCGCGAGCTGCCTTGGCTTTCCAACCCGCCGTGAGTTTCCTCGTCGTTTCTGTGAATGCTCCGATTCGCCCTCCCGTCTGGTCTAATTTCTACGGTTTCTTCGCTACAGTCTCTCAAGGAGCCGTCGTCGTCCGTGTCCGCAATCCACGGCGCGTCGTGCGCCATGAAACTCGCGGCTTCGTCTGCCACGTCATCGTGAATCACGATGCTGGACTGCGACCCGCTGCTCGTATTGGCGCTGGCCACGTCATCACGCACTAAGGAACGAAAGCGAATCGCCTTATCTGCGGAGTCGACAGCCCTGCGGCTCACGTCCTTTACTCGCGACGCGTCAGAATCGTTCTTTTCTACGGAAATTCTACCAGAATTCCGGCGGCTTACCCTGCCTCCCTGGCTGTGGGTCTCACCGCGAGAGCCGCCGTGAGGAACGCCATGGCCTGTAGCGTGTGCTGACGTGTACAGATCCATGGAGGAATCTGAGTGCACGGCGACGCAAACCTGCGACATTGTCACCGGGTTTTCAGCAACGGAATTCCCATGTTCAAGCAACGGGAGTGTCTTGAGAATAAAAGAAAATAAAGATCTCGCTACTTAAATCAAGGGTAAACCTTTCTGGACGTCCAAACGCTGAAATGACGATCGTCTACAACGGACAAGAAAGCAGTGAGTCAGCATATTAGGCTTAACGCGTTAGCGCTTCAGTTCAACTCTCTACTCTAACGCGTCGTACGATGACTGAGCGGACTACACGCACGGCAGAAGATCGTAGGCTAAGAAGGAAGCAGACGTTCATTCACTCCTGAAGCTTCATTGTTGAGCAAGCGAGGAGGACGGAGCAGAACGAACCTCATCGTCGTGAGTCATGTCGTCGTGAATCGACACTGGTGAATTGTGACTCGTCCGTGAACTGGTTCTTCTTCCTGACCTGACCCCTGTGGCCAGCAACAGTTCCCCTCGAATTTTGATGTGAGGGAAGAAATCGAGGCTTGAGGAGAACCTTGGACATGACGCGGCGCGGCTTGTTCTGGAGCGCCAGACTGGCAATTGAACGCCTCAAGTGGTCCGGTCTGGTTGCACCCAAAATCTGGATGTCACACGGGCTGACAAACACGCGAAAGTCCATCGAATATGGGGAATCCGAAATTTGTAAATAGTTCAAGTTCAGGGGAACGGCTGAAAATATTTATTTCGGGGCTGTCTGGGAGGCTGGCGCGAAATTTTGGCCAATGGTGCCAGAGAAGGGATAACTGGATTTCGTAGCCACAAGCCAACCCACCCATCCACCAACCACCCAACCACAACACACAAACAAGCAAAACAAGACTCCGGGCTGGTAGCTCCACTTCTACTCCATAGTGAGGTATGTCGGAAGGAAACTCGAGGCGGCGTCAGGTTGCAGAACGGTAAACGTCAAGAACCGCTTTCCACCGTGTTGGACCGTCCTGAACCACGATTTAAGAACTGTAAACGCGTGAGAAATGTACAACCTGCCGTCGCCCTCAGTGGAACAGGTCTAGCAGGTTAGCACATATGGAGAGTTCCTTCACAGTTCAGTGAACATCATCTTGGTGTTTCAACTACCGTAGACAGAAATTGAACTGAAGACCTGATACGGTACCACCTTTTACACTGGCCCCATTCACTCAAAACTTCAACAAAACAAATAGAGATTGCGCAATCCCATCTATGCATACAAATCTGCACCATCACCGTTTGACAACCCATACACCCACATGGGTTGCTGCGGCTGCTCCAGCTGTCCCTGCTGCTGTTGATGGTATTGCTGTATGAAACCGGAAGCTCCTGCATCAGTGTGTGCAGATTCTGCCACAGCCATCTTGTGAATAGTCCCAAGTGCAATGCTGCGGGAACGCTGATGGTGGCCCCTCCTCCTGTGCTGCTGCGCGGACCTGGCTTGCACACCACCATCTGATAATTCACCTGAGGGTATTGAACTGACGGAAACAACCCCAAGGTGCGTTGGTGCAATTCGGTTGCCAGTACCTGCTGACATTGGGGGACTGACAAGGGCAAGGTAGGCCATGTCATGGCATGACGTGGGTTGGCCTGAAGTGGCATGGCCTGATGTCACGTGGCATGACCTGGGATGGCCTGAAGTGTCATGGCATGAGGTGTCACGGTTATTCCCGGTGTAGAGAGGTGGCTCATCATGGTATGTTTCATTCTGGCATGACGTGCCCTGGCAAGTTGGCTGCAGCTCTGCGGTGTTGTGGGGTGAAGACATGTACGGGGGATCGAGGTAGCTTGTGTGGAGGATGGGAAAAGAGACAGGTGCATGGGAGGTGGGTCCTGGAGTTACTGAACCGGCCGCATCAGCTGCTGCTCTGTATGCCGTCAAACCCAATGGTCCCCTCCCTTGGTGCGGTGAATAAGAAGAGAGATTTGTGGAAGGTGTGGGTTGGTAATGAGGAGACGGCAGCTGCTGCTGCTGCTGCTGCTGCTGCTGCTGCTGCTGCTGCTGCTGCTGCTGCTGCTGCTGCTGCTGCTGCTGCTGCTGCTGCTGCTGCTGCTGCTGCTGCTGCTGCTGCTGCTGCTGCTGCTGCTGCTGCTGCTGCTGCTGCTGCTGCTGCTGCTGCTGCTGCTGCTGCTGCTGCTGCTGCTGCTGCTGCTGCTGCTGCTGCTGCTGCTGCTGCTGCTGCTGCTGCTGCTGCTGCTGCTGCTGCTGCTGCTGCTGCTGCTGCTGCTGCTGCTGCTGCTGCTGCTGCTGCTGCTGCTGCTGCTGCTGCTGCTGCTGCTGCTGCTGCTGCTGCTGCTGCTGCTGCTGCTGCTGCTGCTGCTGCTGCTGCTGCTGCTGCTGCTGCTGCTGCTGCTGCTGCTGCTGCTGCTGCTGCTGCTGCTGCTGCTGCTGCTGCTGCTGCTGCTGCTGCTGCTGCTGCTGCTGCTGCTGCTGCTGCTGCTGCTGCTGCTGCTGCTGCTGCTGCTGCTGCTGCTGCTGCTGCTGCTGCTGCTGCTGCTGCTGCCTCTGCTGCTGCTGTTGCTGTTGCTGCTGTTGCTGCTGCTGCTGCTGCTGCTGCTCCTGCTGCTGCTGCTGCTCCACATGGTTGCTTGTGTGTAACCACATTCCTCTGCCACCATCAAAACACAAAGCCTCACCCGTTCCCCCCACATGTTCATGCGACCCCACCATGGATTCTCCCATCCCTCCTGTACCATCACCCATACCTTCAACCACCATCCCCATACTTCCAGCCAACCCCAATCCCTCAACCATGCCTGGAACAATCCCATCCCAACAAATCCCATCAAAATGCATCCCATCATGCCGATACATGCCCTCATGGCCCATGCCTTGCCCTTCATACCCATTTCCCGTTTCAGCACCCCCCCCACTGTAGCTTTGCAGCGATTCAAAGCTATACGGAATCAGCTCTAAACGAGGGTACATATCTTCCTCCCTTGAACCTGGCGGCGCTGCAACCCGCATGCCATCAACCCCCATGCCATCAACCCCCATGCCATCAACCCCCATGCCATCAACCGCACCAGCCAGCCACCTCTCCACGTCTACTGCCCCTAGGGAACGCCTCTCCCTCCTCCTCCGCCTGCTCTCCTCCTCCCTGTCCCCCTCTTTCGTCCCTTCCCTCCCCTTGTCCTTCCTCCCCGTCTCCTCCCTCCTCTCCCCGTCTTCCTGATTCCTTATGACAGCATCCCAGTCAAGGCTTCGGCTGGCTGGAAAACCCTTTCCTCGCCTCACACTCACCTTAGTACCTTCTCCTCCCCCTCCTCCTCCTCCTCCTCCTCCTCCTCCTCCTCCTCCTCCTCCTCCTCCTCCTCCTCCTCCTCCTCCTCCTCCTCCTCCTCCTCCTCCTCCTCCTCCTCCTCCTCCAGCTCCTCCTCCTCCTCCTCCTCTGTTTCCCACTCCCCCTCCCACTCCTCCCTCCCGTCCTGCAAAATAAGTGCCAGCGCAAGGATTCGAACCCAGATCCCTAACACGCACTTCGACTGGACACCCAATCTCATCACTACTCCTAGACCTTACCGCCCTTCCGCCGCCCACCCTCCCCCCCACTGCTCCAAGCAGTTCTCTTCCCTCCGTTCTACCTCCCCCTTTTCCTCCACTCACCCCCCTTGCTCCTCCCCCTTTTGCTCCTTCCCCCTTTGCTCCTTCCCCCTTTGCTCCGCCCCCTCTCGTTCCGCCCAACCTCTTTAGGTTCGTGCCTGAAACCGCAGGACCCTTGCCAACAGGCGGCATGAGTTGCGCTGCGGAATCAGCCGCCTGAAAGGTGCCTGGCTTGAAAAGACTCGGTTGACTTGGTTGACTTGGTTGATTTGGATGAGTCAGCTGGATCTGCTGACTTGGTTGATTTGGGTGGGCTAGCTGACTCTGTTGACTATCTTCACTCGGTTGACCTGCTGTGTGGCCTATGGAGAGGAGACGAGGTTCTGTTAGGCACGCACTCAGCTGGTTCAAATGCGGACAAACTTGATTAAAAGGAGGGCTTGATTGATTCGAGAATGGGCTAATTACGTTTTGGTACGGGCCAGCTTGACTGAAATAGGGGCTCATTTGATTGGAGTATGGGCTCAACTGATTCTGGAAAGCGTTTGACGGATTTTGGTAAGGGATCGACTGATTCTGATAAGTGCTTACCGGATCCTGGTAAGGGCTCGACGGGTTCTGGTGAGGGCTCAATAGATTCTGGTAAGGGCTCAACTGATTCTGGTATGGACTCGACTGAATCTGGCCAGGGCTTGGCTGATTCGGGAAAGGGCCTGACTGATTCTGGTAAGAACTCTGTTGCGTGCCTGCTGAGAAAGAGCGGGAGCGAGAATGGCCTTTCTGACCCATCAGTGGGGGGAGGCGGCTTGCAGGTGGAGGAGACGGGGAGGAGATGAGGAGGGGTGGAGAGGGGTGCAAACGAGAAGCAGAGACCCTAGATGCAGAGAGCTGGGGTGAAACGCTGCGACGATTTGGCACTGGGGGCGCGTCTAGAGTCGAGGCTTGGGGGGAGACAGAGCGATGCTTTGGCACTGGGAGCACTGAGGGCGCGTCAAGACATGAGGATTGTGGGGAAACGGAGCGCTGAGATGGCCCGGCTTGCTTGGAGCGGCAGGGCTCGGCTGGTTGGGAGGCACAAGGTGTGGTGGGTTGGGAGCGACAAGAAGTGGCCGGTTGGGAGCGGCAAGGTGTGGTGGGTTGGGAGCGGCAAGGAGTGGTGGGTTGGGAGAGAAAAGGTGTGGCAGGTGCAGCAGAGGATTGCAATGTTGTGGTTACCTTTCCCCCTGCTGTCTCTGCCTTGTCTTTTGGAGTCGCTGCCTTGTCTTTTGGCGTCCCTGCCTTGTCTTTTGGCGTCCCTGCCTTGTTTTTTGGCGTCCCTGCCTTGTTTTTTGGCGTCCCTGCCTTGTCTTTTGGAGTCATTGCCTTGCCTTTCGGGGTCGCTTCCTTGCCCTTTGGGGTCCCTGCCTTGCCCCTAGGGGTACCTCTGTTCCTTGGTGCAACCTCATCCCCTGCAGCAGCGGTGGGGAGTGGTGAACGCACAGTACCAGCTTTTAGGCTCAAGCCAGCAGCCGTGGGGTGGGGTGATCTCGCAGTCCTCACAGCCCTCACAGCCCCCGAATTTCCCCCCTCTCCCTTCCGCTCCACCCCATGTTGCCTCAAACCTGCCGTACTAATGTCACCTGCCCAATCGTGTCCTCCCCCCCTTTCTCCTGCCCAATCGTGTCCTCCCCCCCTTGCTCCTGCCCAATCGCGTCCTCCCCCTCTTGCTCCTGCCCAATCGCGTCCTCCCCCCCTTGCTCCTGCCCAATCGCGTCCTCCCCCCCTTGCTCCTGCCCAATCGCGTCCTCCCCCCCTTGCTCCTGCCCAATCGCGTCCTCCCCCCCTTGCTCCTGCCCAATCGCGTCCTCCCCCCCTTGCTCCTGCCCAATCGCGTCCTCCCCCCCTTGCTCCTGCCACCCTCCCTTCTCCATTATCTCCCCCTCTGCCCCTCCCTTCCCCTGCACGCCCTCCCCCTTCTCCTGCACGGCCTTCCCCTTCCTCGAAGTTTCTGCTGCGTCTGCCTCTGCTGCTGCTGCCACTACTGCCGTTGCCACTGCACTTGCTCTTGCTGTCACTCTCACATTTTCCATCGCTTCTGCTTTTTCCGGCACCACCCGGAGCCTCATCCCCCCTCCCCGCCGCCTTCTCCCCCCCCCAACAAGCGCACTAACTCGAACTCCGATCTCCAGCCCTCTCCCCTTCCTTCCCAACGTGATCTTCAGAGGCCGGGAGGAGGAAGAGGTGAGGGAGCGAGGCAGGAAGGCCAAGTTCTCTGTTCTCTGGTGGGTGCTTGCGTTTCCCAACGTCTCAAGGTTCTTCCTGAGGGCTGATTTGAGAGGACGGGAGGAGGAGGTGGAGGTGGTAGTGAGAGAACGAGGAAAGAAGGCAGGGTTTTCTCTTTTCTGATGGGGGCTTGAGCTTTCAGGCAGATTCTGTTTCTTCCTAAGAGCTGCCTTGAGAGTAATGGAGGAGGAAGAGGTGGAGGTGAGAGAACGAGGCAAGAACATGGGCTTTCCAGATGCCTCTTGATTCTTCCCCAGGGCTATCTTGAGCGGGCGGGAGGAATCGGCAGCTAGAGCTTTGCGACGCACCAAAACCGGGCAGGAGGAATAGGAGGCTTCTGTTTTGAGGCGCCTGAGAAGGGGGCGGGAGGAGGAGGACGCGGTGAGGGAGCGAGCAAAGGTGGTCACACGGGAGAGGGTAAAGTCAAAAGCCCCCATAGCCCCATTGGCAGCACTGGCAGCAGTGGCAGTACCCTCCCTGCTATCACTGTCACTTGCATCATCACCATCATCATTCCTCCTCATCCTCCTCCTCCTCCTCCTCCTCCTCCTCCTCCTCCTCCTCCTCCTCCTCCTCCTCCTCCTCCTCCTCCTCTCCTCCTCCTCCTCCTCCTCCTCCTCCTCCTCCTCCTCCTCCTCCTCATCATCATCATCATCCTCACTACCATCATCATCACCACTATCATCACCAACATCATCATCACCAACATCATCATCACCATCATCCGTATCACCATCAATACAGCCCCCGTCGCCATCACCGTCCACCGCCCTGCGCCGCCACACTGGCAAGTCAATCAGGCTCTTGGACCGCAGGTTACGCAGAAAGGGCGGCACACTGCCTACACTCAACAAACTTGATCGCCCATCGCCTTGCTCTTTGCTCCTTCTTATCTTATCCGCTCCCCTCACCTTCCTCTGCTCCCTCTCATCCCTCTCCTCCATTTCCTCTCTCTCCTCCCGTTCTTCCCTCTCTGCCCTCCTCTCCTGCCTCCCCTCACACATCTCCGCCCTTTGTTCCTCCTTTCCCTGTAACAAGTTCAGATGCGTCACCAGCTTCTTCCCTCCTCTCTCCTCCTCCCCATCCTTTATCCGCCTCATCCCATTCCTCTCTCCTGAAACCCTTCGTTTCAACACCTTCCCCTCTAACGCCCTCCCTTCCGCTTCCCCATCCCCATCACTCCTCATCCCTCTACCATCTCCCCTTCTCCCTCTCGCTCGATCTGTCCCTGCTGGTTCTCCCTCCATAACCCCAGTCTCCGACCCACAATGATCCAAACGCCGCATTTCCTGCTTTCGTTGCCTATCCTGCTCTTGCACCCGCCCCTGCATTACCTGCCGTTGCTGCTTTTGCTGCTTCTCCCCTGACAGTTCGACCAAACTACCAGTACTATACCCTCGTCGCCTCCCCTTCCTACTCGCCTCATCCTTCTCACTCCTTACTTCCCCTTTCCCTTCCTCGCTCCACCTCTCCCTCTCCCTCACCCCACTCACAGAACCACCATCACCTGAGCCCCTGGCGCTCCTGCTAGAGGACAAATCTCGCCGTCCATTTGGCTTCAGGCTCCGCTGGTAACCCACACTCCCCTCCTCGCAGCTCTTACTCTCCTCACCACCCCCCTCGCTACAGTCATCCTCACTGCAATCACTCTCACTACAGTCACTCCCGCTATTACCTCCGCCCGCTCGCCTCTGCTGTCTCGCACCATAACCCCCTTTGACTTCTGAATCCCTCCGCTGCTGTCTGTTCTCCAGTCCCCTTGGCCTCCCATCCTTCATCCCTCTCTCCTCCCACTCTTTCTCATACCTCGCTCCCCTCCCCTCCCTCATCCCCATCCCTTCTCTCTCTGCTCTCTCCTCACACTCCTCATCTACCATCCTTCTCCTCCCCTCTTCCCCTGCCCTCCCTCTCTCTCCTTCCCCCTGTCTCCCTCCTCCTCCTCCTCCTGCTCCTCCTCCTCCTCCTCCTCCTCTCTCTCTCCTGAACGCGCAAATGCTCCCCACCAGCAGCGGCAGCTCCTCCTGCTGCACAGCAGTACGTCTCAACCTAAGGTCCACAATGCGACCGCACAGCACCCCTCCTGACCCACCTGCACCTCCTGCACCTTCCCCACCACCAGCACCATCATCGCTGAAACTGCTGCTGCTTCGGATACTACTGCTGCTTCTGCTGCTGCTGCTGCAGCGGCGGCTGCTACTGGGGGAGGCTCCACCCAGAGGGACGAACCGGAACCTCAGAATCACGCTCTCTGTGACTATATCAGGGGGCAGCGCCGCCACTGCTGCCTGCCAATTCGCCATAGTCATCTTGCCGTTTGTCAACTCAAACACCGATCGTCCTACAAGCAACTGCTGCTGCTGCTGCTGCGGCCGCTGTTGACTCTGTCCTTCTCGCCCCATCCCGCCTGCCCCGTCCTCTCTTGCTCCTGCCGCATCCCCTCCAGCTTCCCTATTAGCTGCTTCGCTAGCAGCCAGAATCTGCCCAGATGATGCGTCTAACAAAAGGGACACACCCTTAGCCGTCTCAACGCGCATTCTAGCAGCAGCAGCATTGGGCTCGAATCTGAGTACAGACAGAAGTTCTGAACTCAGACCTGTCTCATCCAGAGCTTCTGTCGCTGCCCCTGCCGCCGCAGCCACCGCTGCTGCTGCTGGTGTTGCTGCCGTTGCTGCTGTTGCTGCTGTTGAGGACGCTGAGAAAAAGCTTCCCTGCACCATCCCCTGTGCTCCTGCTGATTCAACCCTGCTGCTGCTGCTTTTCCTGCCTTTGACCGTCATGCTGATTCTCCTGTTGCTCGGCAACGCAATCTCGACCGTTGGGTCAATCCCGGCGCAGAAATCCAAAGGAGCAGATGTGACAGATTTGGAGCGCTGGTGGCGGAAGGAAAGGGATTGTCGATTCCAAAGGCCCGCAGACTTGGTGGAAATGTAACTATTAGTAGTGTGACTATCAGCGTTATTCTCCGTATTAGTGTTTCTGTTACTCGTCGTGGAATTCGCATCGCTGCTGCTGCTGCCCTTTTCCCCTGGTGACGTGTCGGATCTTAATAGGCCACTGTACCCTGTCCGTCCCTCCGCCACCGACTTGCTCCGAAAATGCATTGCTTTATACCCGTTAGTAGCAGCAGCGGTAGCAGTAACAGTAGCGGTAGCAGCTCCCTTCAAGGCCTGCTCCTCCGCTCGCCCTTCTCCCTTATTGTCTTCCGCTCTTCCATGCGAATCATCCCTAGAATCAGCGCTCCCGCGAGACCCAGTAGACGGGAACACCGCTCCTGTTGCTCCTAGAGCAGCCTTACCGCCTGTCCCTAAAACCGCCCATAGTTTAGTCATCCCATGCTTCCCCGCTTCCGCCAACGTTGACAGGTGCCTGGCGGCATCTCCCCCCAGTCCCCTTCCACCCGTTCCCCCTCCGCCTTCCGCCTCGCGCAGCATCTGTTGCTGCTCCGCGCACTTGCGGAACAGTCTGTCCAAGTCAACGGGAATGTCGATGCTGACGTCATCGTCCGCATCGGCGCAAGCGTCGTCAGGGTCCGCATCTAGCAGCGCGTCCGCGGCGGAACTTTCGAGGTCGCTTGCGCGGAGGTCCGGAACGACGGCAAAAGGGTATTCCCCCCACTGAAGCGGGTACTCCCCATTTTTGAAGGGATATTCCCCCTTCTCGCCTCTTAAGTCCGAGTCAATTCCGCCGCTGGACGCGCCGTCATACACGCCGGGAAACCTGCGGCTGACAATCCTGTTAGTGGCGGAAAGAGCAGCAAGGCCAACGGAGGGTCCGCCATGGCCGGAAGAGGCGGCGCAAGGCACGGCGGGCCGGCCGGCTTTGTCGAGTTTGAGGCGACGACGACCGCCGGGAGCAGGGGAGAGAGGACCGGGCGCGTCGTCGCCTGATGCAACCGTCGCGAGGGACAGCATAACGATTTTATAAGCGAAACAAAAGCCGACGACGACCGGAGGGAGCAGGGGGGAGAGGACGGGGAGCGACGTCCCTTGGTGTTAGCGTCGTTGTGGGCGATGGCATAACGGGGCCGTGGATACGCTACTACGTGAACGGCCTATTTTGATATAACGCGAGCGATTAGTGCGAACGCTACGGCGGAAGGCGGAAAGTAGTCGCATTTTATAAAGAAGCGGTCCGAATTTTGCAAAAGAGAATAACACGGGAAAAACAGGCGACACTATTCCAGAAAAGCGCAACGTTCTAAAGTTGAATTCTAAAGTTGAAAAGCGCACCTCCTTGAGTTCCTGATACCTAAAGTTGAATTCTAGCGATCTTTTGAGATTTCTCAAAAATCCCTGCTTGAGTTCCTAATGCCTGAAGTTGAATCCTGGCTATCGAGACCGTCTGAGACTCATCAGGCTGCCACTTTCTAGAAGCCCCTAAACTATTATGACCCACCACTAGGCCAGTCGACCTGATAAGTTCAGGAATCGCACGCTGATGTTGATTTTCATCTGCGAATCGAGACACACGATTTTTCGAACAGGAAAAAGGAGCCATGGCCTCAGCTCCAGGAGAGCTACAGCACGTATGTCACAGCAATGAACGTGAGGTGGGAGAATGGAAGGAAACTAGACCTGTGGAGAATCTTGAAGCTGTCTCCATTGAATCGAAGGAATGTGGTTGGAAATAAGCACTGAGCACAGGCAGTGCATCCTGAATTCCATCCTGTTTTTCGTTCCCCCACACGGTGCTGTTCTGTAGGCGTCAAATTTCTGGAAACCGGGTCCGCAGAATCTTCCCCGATAAGTGGGCTTCTGCCTATCAAGGTTTGGTGATAAGTGCGTTTGAGCCAAACCTGTTAGCGCCAAATTTTCACGCTTCTGCCTGCAGAACACCACTCAGGTGGCGCACAAATTTAACGTGTTGAAGGTTCCGAGATCGTGCATCATCAGGCAAATGTCCGCACAACTTGTGCGCTGCCAAATTGGCCTCGAGAGCTAGGCCCTGTTTTGTTGCCGCACCACTCGGTGCGGACCCCCCCTGCACAGCACCAAAACGATGCTTCTTCCGGGGTTCTACCGAAGATCCTACGAGCTTCTTTTTCAAGGTTGTATTCCTTGCTACCAGGCTCGGGAAACTGAACCCCTTCCCAAACCTAGCGAGTGCAGTGCAGCGCAGTCCGCCCATTATTGCCAAAAAGAACGGTAAACCAGTACTGCACTCGCAATCCCCCACTCCCAGGCAAAATGGGTGCGGGACTGGTGCGGCCCTGGTTCAGGGTCAGAGGGGGGATCCAGGAACCGCACCAAATGGTTCCGGGCAGGGACAAATGTTTTTCGTTGTCCTGGTTGGCCTATTTGCTTTCAGGCCATGCAACCTTCCAATTGCCATCGCGAAAGATTGATACACGGTCTGAAAAGAAAAGAAAATAAAAAACTTCCTGCCACCCTCTTCGCCACTACAACAACTTTCGCCAACCAAATCACAGCAGTTGCGCGGAGGGTGGCAGGAGGCTATGTTGCACCAACATGGGGGTTTGATAATTCACAGAAGCACGATGCTGCACCATGTGATGCGGTGTTGTCTTGTCTGCCCCCACATCAAGTGGTGCGGCAACAGAATACCACCCTAGCATAGGCCAGCGCACAAGTTATGTGGGGCAGCAATTTTGGGCGGTGTTCTGTGTCAGAATCCCAGCCACTAACCACTGGGATAAAAGGGCTTGTTTGTGTAGCGGGTGAGTGCGCCCATAACCCCCCAGGCCAACGTGCCTGTAACCCTTCCCTAGGATCATCGGGGATCACCAGTGGACCTCTGACACCCCCCCGCACTGGGATGCCCGAGGTGCACACACCGGGATTCGAACCCGAGACCTTCGCTCTGATACCATGTCAGAATCCCAGCCACTAACCACTGGGATAAAAGGGCTTGTTTGTGTAGCGGGTGAGTGCGCCCATAACCCCCCAGGCCAACGTGCCTGTAACCCTTCCCTAGGATCATCGGGGATCACCGGTGGACCTCTGACATTCTGTTGCCGCACCACTTGGTGCGCCCCCCCCGGACAGCACCAGATTGATGCTTCTTCCGACATTCTACCGGTATTCCTTCAAGCTTCGATTTCAAGGGCGCATTCCCAGATATTAGGCTCGGGAAACTGAACCCCTTCCCGGACCTAACGAGTGCAGTGCAGTCATGTCAACCCTCCTTTGCCCAAAAGAACGATGAATCAGTAAAGCACTCACAAACCCCCTCACCCAGGCAAAATGGGTGCGGGGGTGGTGCGGCCCTAGTTCAGAGTCAGAGGGGGGATCCAGGGACCGCACGAAATGGTTCCGGGCAGGGATGAATGTTTTTTTGTTGTCTTGGTTGGCCCATTTGCTTTCAGGCCAGGCAACCTTCCAATTGCCATCGCGAAAGAATGATACACGGTCTGAGGGAAAAAAAAAAAACTTCCTGCCGCCCTCTTCGCCACTACAACAACTTTCGCCAACCAAATCACTGCAGTTGCATGAAGGGTGGCAGGAGGCTGTGTTGCACCAATGTGGGGGTACGATGATTCGCGGAAGCCTGATGTCGGACCATGTGATGCGATGCTGTCCTGTCCGCCCCCGCATCAAGAGGTGCGGCAACAGAACACCGCCTTGGAGATTGCGAAAGTGAGCGAGACTCCATGGCAACATCCACCCAGCAAATTGGGCAATGAGACATTGTGGCTGCACTCTGCGGGCGCATCAGCTCTGATGCGCCCTAGGCTCGGCCTGATCCGCACATTGACAAATTGAGGTTCGGAAATGAGGAATTTGAAATTGTAAAATAGAGGCTCAGAAAAATGAAATTGAGGTTTGGGACATCGGAAAATGGAGATTTGAAATTTAGACATTCCCAATCTCGACCTCAATTTATTGGGTTTGTCGAAGCAGGGAAGCACGTACCTGACACCTTCCCCAAGGGCATGAACTGGGCTGCCCGACGGAAAATTAAAAAAATTGGCTCAAATTCGAGCTGATGCGCGCCTCAAGCGTCTTCTCAGCGTTGCATCATGCGCGTATCAAGGAAAAAAAAAAGATTGCTAGGACGATGAATTTCGCGGAACGCGGCGACATTTTAATTTGTGGTCGCCAAAAATACCGTTCTGCAGGCATTCGGGCATGGTTTGCCTTGGCAACCAAGAGCTTATTGCGAGCCTTGATAACCTTCGGGCTGGTTATCAAAGAAGGCTCCTGGAATGCTGAAAAAAAATTGCAATGTACATTGATGCGGGCTAATGCGCCTGCAGAACGTAGCCTCTGTGCGGCGAGAAGCTACTCCGAAGGACAGGTCCCGTACATTTCATGCGGAGGCAATAACGCCTACAGAACAGCGCCGCAATCCCCATAATCCAACCAAAGCTCGGCTGGGCACGGAGAACTCAAGGGATACAGTAACTGCGCGTGCCCGGACGAACTTGAGATTATTTCTGTGCCGGTCGGGTCCAGTGCTTGGGCTATCTGAGCCAGTGTTTCTCAGCTCGGTTGTAAACGTTAGGGAATTTGCATCATAAAGCGAACGTTTAGAACGAGCGGATTGTCACTGCAGTCTCATATGGGCCTTCCGCGTTGCAAGCAATGCTGCCCGGAAAGGTCAGTAGAATCGCCGGGAAACTTTGCCCAACTCCATCCAGAACGACCCCGCGCCCTGCCTGACGCCAAGCGGAAGTGTGGCTACGGCGGCGGGGAATGTCGCGCACGCGTGCCGCACAGTTGAATCCGCTCAGCACATCCTGAAGGTAGGATACGTACGGGCTGGAAGAGGGACAAGTGTCTGGCTCGTATCGCATGTCAGGCCTGACGCTCGAACTCAGGCCGGCCATTTTCAGGTGCATGCAACTTAGTCTAGGCGCGCTATTCAGGTGCATGCTATCCCGTCGTTTTTCTCCCTCTGTTGTTACTGTATGTACACCCCCGCCACGAAAATTACTGTTCTGTCAGGGGATGCTACAATCCGACTGACACCAACTGGCGCAGCTCTCGCACGAACTCGTCGTCCAACCACACCAATCGCAGCCTTACTGCGAACAAGGTCAGCACATATCGCAATACACCTGGCTAAAAACGGGCAAGAAAAATATAGAACCCAATTGGAAACGCATGCAACTCGGGAGGAATCAACCCTAAACACGAGGGCAGTTCCGTGTTTAGGGTTGATCTCTTCCGGAAAATTAGTCCAGGTGCCTAGTTTTTTTTTTCCACTGCCTTACGTGACATCAACCCTAAACACCATGAACGTTCCCGTGTTTAGGGTTGATCCCTCCCGAACAATGTCCAGGCTTTCTATAAGGTGTATTTTTCTTTTTTCTTTTCGGGATTCCCTGTCAGGCCTATTTCGTGTGTTGCGTGTGTTGCGTGTGCTGCTTGTGTTCCCCTGACGTAACAGTATTTTTAGTGGCGGTCGTGTACAAACAGTGGTAACAGAGGGAGAAAAACGACGGGTTAGCATGCACCTGAATAGCGCGCCTCGACTAAGTTGCATGCACCTGAAAATGGCCGGTCCTGAAAGCAGTGGGCATCCGTGTAATCTCTTCGCGAAGACCGTTGTAACTCCGTGTAGCGTGAATGTGAAATATGTCGCAACAGAACAAAGGATGCACCTCATCTACTTCTTCGGTACCACAATTTCCCTGGTATGAACAGCGTGAAGACTAATCCATACCCTCCACCAAACATTTCCACTTGAATCAAGATGAATGACGAACTCTTTCCATTGCTGCTACTACTGCACTGCTTCACATTTCACAATTATACATGGACGGAGCACAAAAGCAGCTCCAGGCAACAAGCTAGCGAAGCCAAGGTGGCAGCAATTAAGACAGCTGAAGAGGTGGCAGTAGCACACAATGGCAGTGCACCTTCCCATAGGCGGGTTTACTTGAGGGGAATGAAGCGGGAGGAGTGAGTGGCACCAATACCGGGCCGACCGTGCTTCACAGGCTTGT